TTTGGCTCTGTTCATAAAGTTTATGAACAGAGACCAACTTAAAGAGGTTTGATGGGGCAAGAGCCTGTGCTCATCTGACCATAACACTGTCAATTCGTAACTCTTTTAACTGATTTTTCATATTTAGAGGTATTTTACGATGCTTTTTCAGGTTATGTGATCAGAATTCGAAATTTATAGAAAAGGATATTTATGACGTCATTCTATTGCAATTTCCTCTCCATTATTGCAAGGAAGCTTTCTCGATGGCTTGAAAACACAGTTATACTGGAAAACCCCGAGAAGAGGATTCATAGCCACGAAGAGCACCCAAAAATATTTTCTGACCTTCTCCCGTTCACACTTTTTGCACCATAATTGTAAGTGGGAAGATCATTTGCCAGATGCCAAACTTTTGTTAGTCTATCTGAAAATGACTTGGTGATGTTTAAAAGCCATTCTCTGGCCACATTTTACACTAGTTGTGCCGTGTTTCTAAAATATGACAATGCCTTGTAAAATCGGATCTCGGTCTAGATATCTATAAATAAAAAAAACTTTCCTTAAGAACCGGCAAATTGAAACTCAGCCTGGATGTTTTTAATTTTTTCGAAAATTTGCTCCAGGATTGTTCTAAATTATTCCTTGAATTATCGGAGTTCAGGCCTCATTTGCCAACAAAATTGGTGCGACAGGCGTTATTTGCTGACAAGTTTGAAAGTTCACCCAAAAAGCACCCCTAGATGGCAAAAAACTCTTCGTTTTTTATATAAATTTTTTAAGGGTGATTTCACATTATTGTTCTTAATTTGTTCTTGACATTTGACAAATTTTGAGGCTCGGGTTCTTAAATAATTGTTTTTGTAAAAAGAGTAATAAAACTGCTGAAAAATAACTCGGATCCACTAACAGTAACCAAAATCCAGCTGTTGTGAATGATATACCCGCCGAAGTAAGAAATGTCAACAGTTTAGAGATCTTCCAAAAGCTAATAAAACAAACCAAAATTCTGTGCTCCTGCAAATTATGAACCCGGATATAGCAGGGCTAGCATATATCACATAGATAGATTCCCAGAGGGTGGGGGGACCTGACTAGGAAAATGACAAGGGGGCTGTGCGGGAAACCTTTTTGCACCCTAACCCTGTCCTATAAAAATTTGTCAAAAGCATACCCTGACCCACAAAAGTATTCCAAAAAAATGCGGCACACAAATGCCAAAATTTCTCTAGATGTCATGATAATTACCACTAGCGAACGTAACTGAAAATGCTCATTCTAATTTAAGAAAAAATTAAATAGCCCCCCAATAATTCCCAAATTATATTTAAAACCATACAAAAAGTTGGCCCCAATCTGCTCTTAGTTTTTAGCATCTTAAGCCCCCTCCCCCCCCCTAAAAAACGCTTTAGCTCCTCCAATCTGTGATATAAACCGCTGTCATTGGTATTTAATAGCCCATGATAATTGTTTAAAATTAAGTTAGAACATTATATCCAACTTGAAATAAAGTTATCAAAAGCTAGGAAATAGACTGTGCTCCAGACCCCTCAAATAAGGAGTCTTGAGCACAGGTTACAAGAACAAGGCAAACATTTCTGACAGGATCATATCATACACCGTGGAAATTTTGCAGGAAGAGCCTGTTTTTGTCACAAGTTAGTGTAAAACTAAAAGGACTAGCAAATTAGACCACAGTTTTTTTGACTTTAACATTTCTTCAAAGTGTAAATTATATAATGAAAACTAAATTGAAACGGTTCTTACTTTGGAAAACCCATTATAGAGATGCTCAGGGTACACTTTTGATCTTTTCGAAAGTTAGAAAAACAATTTTTCCCGTATATAAATGTTCACAAGAATAATAACTATACAATATTTGATCATTAAACATTCTTCTATGTTTTCAAAAAAATTTCATTTCTTGAAGTCCTTTTAAGTGTTCTTCTACGTTTTTACGTCCCTTTATAGCAGGACTCTAACTTTGACCCTAGTTCGTAGACGGGGCTCTTCGCAATTTTTCTCGCCTGGATTCAAGGCAACCGTAGCCAGCGGAGGATACACAACGGTGTCTCCGTTTTTTTTCAAAGCTGTTTAGCTGTCAACAGCCATCAATGGCCGATTGTTCAACATGCTGCCAGCCGCGATAGCATGGTGTAGCCTGCGACACAGACCAAATCGAATGCATTCGATTTGGTCTGTGTCGCAGGCTACACCATGCGATCGATGGTAACAGCAATTCGCATCATGTTAATTCTCACAAAACACCAAGGAAAACATGAGTAACTTACAGGAAGGACCATACCAACCATCGGATTATTTGTTAAATAGTATTTACAAGATTTTCAATGCCAAATAGCGAAAATTGTCGCGGGAAGACTGCAAACACGTGCATGGGATTTGGCGCGAAAACGGTTTGGTTAATGTGGTGCAAAGCCTAAAGCTCATACAAAGGACAGAAAGGAGTTGAGATTGCTGCTAACCTTACAGTAACCAGGTAATGCCTCATTTCGTTTTATAATCGAAATTTCCAATATAAGTTTTTTAATAATTTCATGGAATTAACATAAAGCGTTTACTAACATAGGATTTGTTTCACCGAAACATTCCGATTTTTCATGAAAGTGGGGCGACTACCATCCAAAAACCCCTCCCCTCTGCATAGAAAGTGTCGCGATAGCACGCCCGAAGTCCTGTAGAAAAAGTCAAAAACGCTTTTTGTGTTGCATGCAGTGTTTTGCCGCGAAGGCGGAATATCAAAGGCATCAAGCAGGATTATCACCCGTCCATGCGCTGTCATCAGGATTAGCGCCAATATCACTGTCATGCGATTTTTTGGGAAAATGCAGACTTCTGATTGGCTTAGGCGGTAGAAGCTGCTTTTTTCTACCGATTGCGATTAATCACGTTTGATTTTGATTGGTCTGTGTTTTCTTTCTCCTTTTGGCGTGGATTTTCTCTTTATGACATGGATCGCGTTAAGAGTGATTTCCAATTGTTGTAACAACATTATCACAACTCTTTTCCTGTCAGGTCTTTATCAACTCTCTTAAAAACCATAAAAATAATTTTGTACAATAATCGCCTTCTAATAATGAGTATTTTCGCATGCTATTTGCTGTTTATCAAATACTAGCTGCAGTACAATGACAAAGCTTACAAAGTGGCGAAAAAGTCACCACAGGCATTTAACTTCACTGTCAACACGATTTTACCAAGATCCAAGTCCAAATCAATACTGAAATTCTAGAAAACCCTGACTTATTTCCACTGATCACAATATGACATATCAAGATAACTGTTTTGAGCTTTTATTTGATACAGCTACACTAGAAATGGATATTTATTAACAAAAGTAAAGTAGAAGGTATTATTTTACACACAGCTATACGATAAAGAGCAAATCGTTTTCAGTTTTCACAAGGCAAGGGCACAATCCCGTTATATAGCCTTGATTTATCTGAAATTTACAATTTTATTGAACCAGCCAATGTTTAATGAAGCAGTCAAGCAAGGTATTATCTGTGTGAAATCATTGAACACACTTCAAGATCTTCCTAGCTTCCCGAAGACCACTGATAAAAGCTCCTGTGACAGTTTGAGGAAATTGTCGATTTGTTGCCTAAAAAAGGAAGTTTCATGAAAGTTTTTAATGCGTATCTCAGTTTCATCAATACAAATGTGACTAAGACACAAATGTATATTTAGCCGCTTCTAAAAAGTAGCAAAAATGTCAAGAACGAAAATTAATGCCCCAACAGATACAGAAACCAGTAGAACAGTAACATTCAAGCACTTAAAGGCAGTCTGTCCCTTTTTATGCTCAACTTTATTTCCATGGGAGTGAAATTCACGCACCGTCGAGCTTGATCGATAATTAAATTATTTAAAGCAATCAGAGACAACTTCAATTCAAGAGCTTTTGGATCAAATGGCTGCGTTCCCGTTGAAGTGAAGCTGTGGCTAGAAAATTTTTATTCCCTGTTTGATTTGCGCGACAGATATGTCAAGACCGAAAATAAAATGCTTCCAGTATCATCATTCAATTCCAGTAATTAAATCTCCTTGCCATTTCCGATAGCTTTTTCCTCGCAGTTTCAAATATCGCTCACTACCGCAGCTAGGCCAGCCAAAGCGAGCAGTGTAATCCGTTAAAGCGGGAAGACCAATGGTACAGTCTGCCTTTAAGTACAAAGCAGAGAAAAAAAGGGAAAATCGCGGTCAAAATCCAATGAAATTGGAAGTTTTCGATTCACATAAAGAAACTGTATTTGACTAGCTAAGTTGCTGGAGCATGCAGAGGTTCTAGGAAAGCTGCTCAAGCAGGTATAAGAACAAATAGTAATTGCATTGCTTTGACCACGTTCAAACCTCGTCCTCTAGCAATAAAATTTATTCCCCAGATGATTTCTTTATTTAATAATGAACCCCTAAACCCTTTAAACTCGAAGTTACGGGAGATAAGTATATTTAAGAGAATCCATCACTAAACAGAAATTCTATTCAATTAAACCTTGAATTAACCTGACAATCGGATTTCCTCTTCATTTTTGATTTTATAAATATTTCATAGATCTTGTCTATAATTTTTTCTTAAATGTATTACGTTATCCTTGTGTTTATCATTTGTTTCCACCAATTCTGTCTAAAATGTTTGGGCTAACTGTGATGACTAGCTACCGTAACCTGAATATGATGAATCAGCGTTCGACATATGGCTATCAAAATAAATAATGTTGTTTAACACGTCAAATGTCTTTCATGTTTCAGAAATTTTGGAAAAGCGTTCAAGCGCTAAAATTAAAAAAAAATCCCCTTTAAATCTTGTGCTTGAATAAAATTATCAAAAATTGATGAAAGATTTTGAGAAAAATAAAATTGAAAGAAAAGTAAAAAAGAAAAATAAATTACTCTATTACTTTTTACTATAATGATAATTCGTTAACAAAATTCTGTAAATTCCATTGAAGATCAACAGATATTAACAAACTAAAGTTTTGTGCATTTTTTTAATATCGTTTAGGCTTGGATGAAAATAACAAACAAAGATTACCACAGCTTCTTGGATGTTTGCCAAACCCAAACAGAAAAATATCATCATAGATCATTGGACCCATGACGCATTGGAAAGTACTTAAGAGATGAGGAAATTGCTTTAAAGAAATTAGTATTTTTTATGATGTTTTCGCATTGAAGTTTAATCTAAAGGCCTCGCAAATAAAAAATCTAATTTACGAATTTCGTCGGTTTTCTTGAGCATCGATTGATGTCTCTACATTGCAAATGTTATATTTCACATTCACGTTCAACACTAATTCGTCAAAGTTCCCGTCCACATGGATGACTAGGAATTTCGAATAATTAATAGTAGCAGTGAAAGACGGTAAAGAAATGGCTAATATCTAGTGAGCTGTCAAATAAACAAGTAAAAATATCTGTGGAATCCGAAAAATCTAGACCTAGAGGAAAATATCGTGTTTCATTGAATTGGTTTCTTATATTTTTCAAGAAGTAGAAATTATTCCAGGAATATGACATCGACATTTGACCAGTAGAGAAATCAGTGCATGTAGGAAAAGCCTTCTTACTTTGCTTTAGATTTCTAGTAACTTGCGTTCACGATTATCAAAACCTAGAGATTAGAAATGTACCTCGCCAGCAAAATAGATTTTCTCGTCGATTGTCTCCGCAAGAACATCGTAGTCTTCACCAGACGCATTGACTCCAATATATGAATACGTCATTTCAATGTGCTCTTCAGAACCCCAACGTGTGACAAAGTACTTTGAAGGTTTATCGACAGTCTAAGAGTTGAAAATTGTGATTAGTCGAAAAACCAAATACAGATCAATTATAGACAGGAAGGTGGATTCAACCCATGATAATTCTGAAAATGTAGCTGGGAGAGTAACTAAATCTAAAATCTTCTTTGCAATTTAAAAACGACCAATTTTAAACCTCTTGATATGTTCTTTATTTACTATTAGTTAGCTTTTCATTTAGTCAAGTTACTATCAGACAACATACTATTGTTTATTTACTATTAGATTTCTTGCTTATTTTACTTATTTAGTAAATAAAGAATAAGACAATTAAGTAAATATAAATATTTAGTAAATAAAGAATCAAATTGAGGGGTCCAATTTGAGAATTTACGGTAACAGTGGGGGCTTATTCGAGGGTGAGGGGGGGAGGTATTGACAATTTGTAGTTCTAGGGTGGGGGCTTATTCGAGGGGGGGGGGAGGTGGGTGGCCGATTCGAAGATTTACGGTATCCGTAAGAAAAACCTAAAACCTGTTTTAATAACTAATCAAATATAGATAGTTTGCATCTACAGTCCCTGATAGACGTTGGCAAGATTTTTCATCCCCCCCCCCGCATCAGTTCAATGTTGCTGTCTCTACTATTAAAGGGCATATATACCAACATTGAATATGGGGTTGAATGGACCTTGAATAAAGGGGAGGGTGTGGGGTTGATGCATGCTACCCAACATGTGTTTAGGTGCTTGTCTCAAATACCATGAAACAGGACAGCAAAACATATTTTTTTCTTTCTGTGAACCTGTTCAATTATATTACAGAAATTATATTATTATATTACATTACAATTACAGAAAGTACCAATCAAGAACTCTCAATCTTGATTGGATTTGCAACTTTTTATCACCTGCATAGAAAATTCAAAGACATTTTTATAATATTCTTTTGGCATAAAAGTAATGCCAACATATTTCTCCTTGGTTAAAACAGCAGGCAGCTTCATTCCAGCTGGACTGAACACACAAGTGTAATAACAGAAAAATCGAGTTTCAAACTATCCTTCAAATTAAACCAGCCACTACAAACAGCCAAAGAAGGTCAAATTCACGCACTTCTAATGGTATGTTTTTTCATTAAACTTAAATGCAAATAACCCAACCTCTCGTTAGAGTGAAAAAATAGCAAAAGTGGTTAGGCTTGTGTATTTGCGGCTGCAATAACAATCTTGATGGTATTGATGGAGCAACATCTGGGAACCATGTCTTTCAAAAAAAGACTTATTTTCTGATTATAAATGAAAATTCTGTTTATGGAAATTTTCAAATTGAAAATCGCAGTGTGTTTTTCCTAATCAAAATGCAAACGAAGAAAGAAAAATGGCTTTGTGAATAACAGTAGATCCCTGCCAAGAAGGAGCCAAAATCTAAGAATCAACAAACTGCCTTTAATTAAGCACTTTGTATTTGATAGCCTATTCTAGCCTGATCCTATTTTATATTTGACATATAGTATATCATTATATACTATATTGTATGAATCATTTGATCCTATATTCCTTCTAGAGCCTATTATATTTAAGGTAAAAATGCCTTTATTTCAAAAGGATTCTCCTCTGAACCATCATAAACAAACCGAATAACGTTAATTAGACATTTCTTACAACTGATTAACGCCAATATGGACAGAATCAACTACTGTTAGTAAGTTCTGAGCAGTTGCACTCATTACCAGAAAATCAGCATTTATATACCATAAAACCCGTTCAATCTCATAAAGCGATACCTCTTTTGCCAGGCATCAACGGCCAAATTCACCATCAAAGTAAAACATTTATACAAGAATTAAGTGTTATAGCCCCAAACGCTCCAACTTTCATATGCATCTTTAAAACAAGACCCAAGAACAGTCTGAATCACGAAAAATTAGGTTCTTCAACGCAGGGGTTTATCACACTGTCCTAGATATAAAGCTGTGAAGGAACACGTTGGGCGACTGGCTGTTGTCAACTTGATTCGGAATTCTTAAAGAATAGGAATAGTGGCTGTCTTCTAACGTTACTACACAAAAATGTTTAACAACGTTTTGTGAAGTATAACAGTGCTTTCTTTTTAGGCAAATTAATCTTGAAATGACATTTTAAACTTACAACGAGAAAGCAAGGGATACAGGTTAAGATATAAACGAATGATGTGGTCGATAGGCCTACCTGTTTAGGGAACATCTTTGCTAAAGTTTGCAGACAGCGATCAACAATATTTTCATCGCTCAGTTTCTGAGCTTTCAAAGCAGCATCGCCGGCTAACAGAGCCATTAGAACAGGACTGTCCTAAGGAGTAAAATAAGTGCTTTAATAAATGAGGCAACCTTGGGAATACAAAGGCTTAGATATATATCATAGCACTACTGAATGCCATACCTGAATTTGCTTTCAATTCAACACGTGATGTACAAAAATCAGACAAGTTATTTGATAGAGGAAGGCACTGTATGAAATTCGATACACAATCAATGGTAGACAAACTGATCTAAAATCGCTGCTTGCCATCTAAAAGCATTCTAAAAAGGTAGGTACGAGTCATATCTCCATACGCTCATTGCATGTTTTGCATAAAAGCTTTGAGAATAATCCCATTGAACTGAAAATGCACTTGAAAAGAAAATCTTTATTTAGTCTTCTATACTTTGTCACACGACTCTTCTTTTTTGCGATATTGATATTCAAGGACTCCTAGATGATTGAATTTTTTCACAAAGTTTCTTTTCGTAACAATGATAACTATCTTTCAACAAGCTTTTTCTAGGAGCAAGTTCGGAGCTTATTTGGAATAGTAGTTGTGGAAATTAAAGTTTCAAAACAGTTTGGCTGCGAAACAGCAGCATACACACGAGATGGTATCATGTTGAGTAGAATTTTACGTTAAGAGCCTGGTAACTAGAATTTGGTTCATAATTCCTAAGGGTAGAGTCACATTTCTTGTTATTAAGATGAGTCGCGAAAGTTCATGATTGCATAGAAATGCAAGGATAACTATGTCAGTTTCGTAAAACTTCTGTATAAACTGTCTTCTCAATACTTAAATTCTATTGTCTTAGGAAAGAAAAGCATTAACAAGATAAAGGCGTATGTCTATAGGCAAGAAAAATGAGACTGATTATTCAAAAAAAATAAGTCCAAGATCACTTATAGTAAAACATGAAACGTTCTGTTTATTGAATATAAACAAGAAAAAACTGTGATGAAAAGACTAAAAGATGTTGCGAAACTTTGAAAACTGGGGGTTTTATCATAATTTACATTATCAGTGTTCATGATAAATAAACTCACAGAGTTCAACATTTGCGACGGCGGGATCTGAGGCAATGGGAAATTGCCTTGAATTTTAACATCATTAAAAGATAATTGCAGTTGCAAAGATCATCGGAAAAGTAGAAAAATTTGTCAGTAGGAAATGAATCCAATCGAGTCATTAATTCCGATTTAATTTACCCAAAATAAAATCAATTAAAATCAGGATTCATGTGGAAAAAAACAAGTTATCAATGGCTAAAACTAATTTAGTCTAAAACCACAAGCATTTGACGCAAATGAAAATTAACATACATTTTTCATAAGAAAGTTAAAATCTGAATTATTTTTAAACAAAGTAGAATCATTTCTGTAGCCATCTATGCGGTTAGAGCATTTGTTATCAAGGGTTTGACGAAAACAACTGAAACTGCAGGAGATGATCTCCTGATGTCTCATCCGTGGACAAAACTTATCAACTAAAATGAAAAAGGAACAAACCCGGACAGCTGTTTTGGTATAACATGAATAGCAACTCAGACTGAAATTAGTTTCTGTTACCAGCTAGCATCAATCCCAATTTAAAGAAACTAATATAGTTTTTGCCTGCCAAAGTTCCTTGGCGAACCGAACAAGAGGCGCTGTATTTTTGTATTTATCATTCCTCTTTAAAATGCAACCCTTCCCCCTTCTAAAGAGCAGTATTGGTAGTTTAAGCAAATATTATAGATCTCCTACGACGTTTTATAGAAAACCATTATTGTTCCAAAGGGTGGCTGAACTTGCTTTTGAAAAATGTCATAGTGCTCTAATGCATTTGACAGGCATTGTGGCTCTTTCACCACTTTCCCTGGCAATGTCTGTTGAAATCTTGCAAAAAAGATGAACTATAAATCTTATCTCAGAGCAGCATCTCAAAAATACCCGACAAAGCAGTGCAAGACTAATAATGGTATTGCTGGTGATTTGCAATGGGCAAAACGTTAAGCATATGTCCTTAATCACATTCCAAAATTCGGTGTTTTGATGCTTCTAACAAGTCAGCAAAAGAGGGAATAACAAACGATGTTTGATCGGTATCTGTGATGACAACACATACCTTTCCTGATACATCATAGAACAAACAGCCAAAACCTCTGTCTTCGCATGAATCCGGAATGTGACCGAAATAGTCTGCAGTCTCAATTTGATCACTCCAGAATTTTTTCTTAAACTGCATCACTACCTGAAAATAAATCTTAAAGATCGAAACATTTGAAGCTATCAAGCAGGGTAGCGAGTGAAAATCAGGGTAACGTGTATTTACATTTACACATTCATAATACATATCGGTTTTTGGGTATATTTTATTGCAAATAAACAAAAAGTAAAACATCATGGGCATTTCTTAACGATCTGTTTGCTCGTTACCAAGTTGCAACATACAAAATAACAAGAGAGGCAGGAAATGGTTTGTGCTGTTGCAGAAAAGGTTTAAGCTCCTTAAATTATTTGAAAGAATTAAGTGCTAATCTGTTATACCAGCCCATCAGCAGTCAGCAGTAATTGAAAGCACAGCACGATAAATACCTCTACTTCCAATTTAATTTGTGATGCAAAGTTAACATTCATTTGAAGGAAATGATTTTAGTCTAATGTGAATCAAATTAACTTCTGATTTACTATGCAGTATCCACATAAAACATGGCATTTCCCCACACATTTTAATCAAGTAACAGTACTTTGGGGTCGATAAAAGCAGCAAACGAGGAATACAAACGATAACTTGAATCGATTATACAGATGATCCAGTTAAATGAAAAGCATTTGGTGGTTTTCTCCAACAGGATGCAAGATGTCTGTGGATCATCAAATCAAAACCATTCGAGGATTTTTTGAATACATTGCCAATATAGAATTTGCATATTGAAAAAAATAAGAGATGCCAGATGCATTGGACCCTGGGATTGTTGTAAAATGACACTGTCAACTGGCAAAAAATGAGCAAAAAAGGTTTGATTGAAAGCATATCCTTGTCCGGTGTCAGGCAAATTGGTAATATCGAGACTGGCCAAATACATACAAAAATGTTGGGTGTTAATGAAATTTTTACATGATAATGATAGCATGTTCTTGCCACTGACGCTGTCAAGATTTATATGTTACTGGTATTGTTAAAAAGAGGCCAGTTGGAGAGAAACGGCTCAAGCCTGGCATTGAAGCATCAACTATGCAATCATAGCTGGAGCATGGGCAACAAATATTACATGAGAAAATGTCGGGGTGATTCCATTTAAATTCATAGGATGATGACTGAACAAATAAAAGTGTGTACTTAATTTTACAGAAACAGACAGGTATCATGATGCTTCATATAATGCAGTTAAATGAGTCTCAGGTCAGGTGACTTTTCAGAACCTAAAGACTTTTGAAATGGCATGAAATAGCAAATAAATCGAATTTACTTGGAAAATTGTTAGAAGAATCGCACAAAAAAGTATTATAAATCTTGCCAACATTTACAGGAAAGTTTGGAACAAGTTGCCTGATGATCGCATTAAGCGTGAAACTACACCAAAAGCGGAATTGTTGTAACAGATATAAACAAACTAGAATATTTCTAACCTTTTCGATGACACCAGCACCAATTTTTGATATTGACTCCTTCTTTGGTTCAGGAAACGACGGTAGAAATTCCATTGATCCTTTTTTGAGAACAGATAGTGGTACCGCAACGACAACCTTTAAATATTCAAAAACATTTTAAAGTTTTTCGAAAAAGTGTTCGTATCAAGAAAATACTAGCAACAAGAAATTTTGCTTGCATAAAAAGTGTGAAAACTGCATGTTAACTGCGAACAGTGTGACCAATTAAAACTTACTAACTTTTTTAAGATACGATATACGAGAGCGAGTATCATTGAGTATTTGAAACAAAAAGTCCTTTTCGTGCTGAATTAATATATGTATATAACAACTTTAAACACGACAAATCTTCTTGCAGATTGCAAGGGGAGCGCCTGCAGGCCCCTCCAATCGCTATAAATTCCTCAACTGCCTAAAAGTATGAAAAACAAGATTGCTGGTTGAAAGTGAACTGCTTAAATGCAAACCAGGGCATGAATTAAACGTACAACAGGCGTTTTAAAGCCATAGTAAACAGCGCACGTGATAAAGAAATAATTACGCAGAGATACACGTTTTTAAGGTGGTGCTGATGGAGTGCAAATGGGAACACGAAATAGTCTTAAGTAGACTTAGGATACACGATAATTAAATACGGTAACAATTACTTCTGATCTGTTAAATATAGTTATAAAACACAATTATCCAATGTCTTTCCAAGATGTTTCCAGCAATTGGCTTTCAATGAGATGTATACAGAGTTGATATGAGAACTGCCAGATATGACAAATACAGTTAGAAAGCTTAATTTCGTATTACGAAAAATCCAGATGATAACCTTATCAGCTGAAAATGTTTCCCCACTGCGAGCTGTTACTTGCACTTGGCTCTCAGCGTAATTTACAGCTACCACCTGAAATAAAATTTGCGTTCGATTGGTAGTAAATTATACTCATATGGTTTCATAACTATTAAGAAACGGGTAGGCACACAAACGGAGTGACATAATTATAACTTGGCCTAATTAATGGTAGTTGACATTTTTTATTATAATCTCTGTACTATTCATACAATTTTATATTTATGACAAGAAAATTTCTCTACGATGTCCGGTTTCTTTTCTAGAGCGTAACCTATTTCAAACAACTGCAGACAATAAATACAATAAAGAAATCTTTGTATATTCATAAGACTAAAACAGGTCTACCTTTTTTATTACTGCCCAATTTGCAGACAGAAAAGGATAAAAAACCCACCTCACAGGAAAGATTAATATCTAGATCTTTTGATAGAGCCTCGGTGACAGAGCCAAAGCCTTTCTCAACCCAGGCATGATCTCCAGCGAATTGCAGCATCGATTCGTTTTGATTCCAATTTAGCGCAGAAACATTTTCAATAGGGGCACCAAATGCATACTCCAAGTTGGCAAGGTGAAATTGCAGTAGACCTTCTTCTTCCTTTAATAACAGAGGCGACAAAATGAAAATTAAAATGCAAATACAGAAGAGAAGAGAGGTACGATCCTTTGAATCTTTTTATCGAGGAAAATATACTAACAACCTAATCTTCAGAAAATAAAGAATAGAAATATGAAGAATAGAAGTAAAATTCATTACTGGCAGAGGCTCGCTAAAGGTAAAAAAAAATTGATATGAGATTGTCTTGTTTGGATCTTTAAAACAGGACTGTCAACAACATTGCAGACACAACATTGACATTAGAACAATGTAATCTTTATTACTATTTAAAAGTATGATCTTAAATATTTGAAAGTATGATGGCAAGTTTTTGCTGCCTTTAAGCTTCATTGGTACAGCTTTCAAAATCATATCTTTCTCTTAACTATAGGTTATTATTAATTACTCTGATAAGTCAATATTAAATCTGTAAATCTGTAGTACGTAGTTCTGCGTACAGAATGCGAACAGAATTGTTTTCAAATAAGAACATACTATAAACCCAGTAACCGAAATCCTATGCTTATTCTGCCAAGCGTGCTCTGGCCTACGATCATCTTATGACTGACTTTCCTAGCATTCATAAGAAATTCAGAAAGGTTGCTTCTAGCAATAAGTGTTATCACCAGTATAAGCAGGTGAAACGATGTGAAAACGCAGCCATGATAACACGCTGACTAGACAAACCTTTGTCAATTTGCGATAAATTTGAGCCTCTAGGTCTAGCTTCCTGGCGTCAAGGTGATCTAAAACAAGCAAGCATCGAATCAAATGCAATTCTCGTCTCTTCAAGTAGTTAAAACTGTGAGCAGACGTACAACAAAAATTAATTATCTGCAAAAAATGAATTGAATGCAATATGACTAAATTTCTTCCAAACTGCTTTAATACCTTGTTGATAACTATCGAAAAAATAAGCTCATTGCTGATCAATACTAATGGAGCATTTGAAAATACATGGAATAAACAAATTATTTCTCATTCATTTAGAACAGTATTATTTGCACTTCCAAATAAGTGAAACGGGTTTAGACTTACTATAAATATCGGACCAAAACAACTTTATTTTGGAAGTCTTGCTTACCGTGCAACCAATGAAAATTGGCAAGTAATGACAAAAATTATTTTATTGTTGATGAATTGCTTAACGTTCCTCGGCTTAGTCAAGTGTTACGAGAGAATGCTTTGATCTCATAAACAACTTTCAAGATAAATCAATTCACCTTTTTTACGCAATCAATATTAAGTTATAATTTCCTTCTTTCAGATTTTCAGATAGAACACATTTCTATGTTCTTCCTCTCCTAAAAATTCTCCTTTCTATGCAATTATATTTAAGGGCGATTATTTGTTTCTTTCAAAAATTTCCAGACACAAATCGAAACAATTCCAAGCAGCTTACTTTTTAATGAGATTTGCTGTATGCCTTGGTTTTCGTCATTCCTTTGATCTTCATCAGGCTCAAGCATCAGATTGAAATAAAACTCTACTTTCTGATCCATCTCTTCTCCAGCAACTTCTCCGTTTTCGTCAATCAGATTGCACTTTGAGCCTAAAAAGCGCAACGGCTTGCTAAGCTGAAATCAAATCGAAATTCAAGTTATTCATATATCATAGAGAAAATATTGTTAGATCAGAGTATTCAAAAGATAAAGGATGCAGATATTGTATATAAGTAGTTGGAGGCCTTCAGCAAATGAACCACTACAGACTGATCGTTTAAATTTATAGAATCTTAGTGCACAAGAGCTAGGCATCTACATTTTAGATGGAATGCATGTGCGAATCAAGGGAATGCAACCAGCCCTATGCAATAGAAATTGCGTCAACAAATAACAAATAGCGTTAGGTTTACCATGTATCTTAAATGATATTTTCAATGCTCACAACAAATGAAAATGCAAACATAACCGCCCAATAATTCGACTAAAATTCTGTAGAGACAAATAAACACACAAATCACCTGTCTGTTCATTATATACATTGGATTATTGATGCAGCCAGTTATTATTTGAGGCCCTTTGCTAACGCAAGCGCCTAAAGAAGTATCGTCTTGAACTCTTCCACCAACAGAATCTCTCGCTTCTAGAACCTTAACCTGCAAGCAAAACAATGAGGCTTTTGGGGGATGACATTTAATCAATCTCCGGTCATTGTACAGTTGCTTGTACATCGTAGCATAGAGTAAAGCTCGATTAATCAGCAATTTCAGAATAAAAGGAAACTAGATGCTAAATTGGTATAGAATTACAAACATAGTTGGGCGTACAACGACATTTAAGAGGTAAACACGGGTGTCGTTGATAATACACGAGGAAATGCGTCACCGTTATTTATCACTGTTATCTATAGTGCAGCTTAATAGACCACCTACTCCAAGTAGCACATATGTTAAGGGCACGTTATCTCCAGAGCGATTATAGAAATAACCCTGCTAGAAGTGGAAGAGAGGAATTGACGAGGCAGATATTATGTTTCTGGACGTCCTATCTATGACCCAACAGAGCAACTGGCAAGAGTTAAAGTAGAGTTACTTCGATAGAAAAGGTTAGATGCACTGAGGGAAAGGTTTCTCAAGCCCTGAAGTATCTGGGAATTTGCTTAAGCAGAAAGATATCGAGCAGCTAGAAACTGCAGGTTATTGCAGTTGTACACCCTTTTATAGCGTAATTCTAGACACATAAGAGCATATAATTACCATAATTCTATGCAATACACAGTAGAATAGTTACTTTGAATAGCAGTACATGCTGGTTCAAATTCATATACATTGCGCAGATCCTAATACGACAGGTTTTCACTGACAGTAAACATAAGCAAATAATCGTAGTGACAAAAAAGAGAACCCGGATATTACTGATAAATACTGTACTACAGACATAGTACAGAGAAAATACAGATATTTTGGGGCGACGTTTGATGACCTGGGGTTGACATTTCCTCAATTTTATAACTGTGGCTCCAGAGTTTATAAGTAGAATAGCTCAGGGTTTGATGGTTTGGAATACTAAGATGGATGTGGCCATTTTTTTAGAATATCACCAACAAGAATCAAGTTTATGGAATGCACGATAAAAACAAACATTCTTATTTAATAATCTGATGAAAGGGCAGTACCTTACATCCAGCTCTTGTTAACTGAACCGCGGCAGAAAGTCCAGCAAAGCCTGCGCCAATTACTATGACAGAGCCCTGAAGAAAAATAAAATAACAATGAAAGAATGTGAGGAAATCATATTGATTAGAAATCACTGACGAAGAAGAACGCGATAAAGGTTTAGATTCAGTAAACAACACATGGAAATAGGATTTACACTATGTTTTTAAAGAAGGAAGATTTCATAACAAAGACTAAAACAGAAGTAAAATGAAAAAGAGAGTGAAATAAAAAATCATACTTACCATGAAATATTCTTTGTTCAGAATTCCATCTCTAGGTATATCTGACATAACGCCAAAATTTATTCGTCCACTAATCGTTAGAAAATCCAACACATCTTTCAGAATCTCGCACATCGTAATTCGCGTAAGCCCTCTGATCACAACGAATGGTAGGCAGCTCTCCAGAGAAAGAAAAGCCTTAGAAAAGGAGGAAAATTATATGGCAACGAAATGTTTTGCAGGAACGTTTTCAGATGAAGAAAAACAAGAAAAATCTTATCAGGTATTAACTCACGCTCTGTAATATCAAAGTCGAATTATGATATTTTTGTAATATGTGATATCAAATGTTTTGAGTAAATTTCAGCAAATGACATTGATAAGGAACTGATAAACATTATCACTACTTATCTTTAGAAATCAAATACAAAAAAAACAAAGTTTGGAAAACTTTTACTTTTCTTTGATTGAAGTTAGAAGCCAGTGCAATTAGGCTTTACTGCTCTTCGGTATGAGGAGCTTCTTGATAGGGCTCTATAAACCATCTTCAAAAAGATATTATTCCAATTTCCGCAGCTGTTTGGTTACTTAGATTGGAGGTACTTTAAATTTTCACCGTTGCTTTAGGATAATAATGTTTTAAGACGTACCTTAACATTCGAATTCCAAATCGACAAAGCCAGATTTCTCAAGCCAAGATAGATGGACGAATATCTATCAAGGTAAAATGTATATGGAATAGATACTTTGGGAAAAAATTAGCAAATACCATAATGATAACAAAGTAACTAAGAAAGTTTTTTTCACATCTTTTAAACATTTCTGCCACCTCTGTTAGAGAGAAGATTATTTACAAAACATATGTTCACGAACACTTTTAACATATTTGGTTGTTTTTTCAAGTAAAAGTGACCATTTTAGAAATCAAGGCAATTTTGATTAACGAAACAGGGGAACGACAATCAACAGACAAAAATCACTTTGTAGATTCACCTTAAACAAACTAATTTCCTTTAACATACTTTAAAAGATAAGGGAAAGCATCTTTTTCTTCGGGTAGCATTATATCAGGGCTGTAGCAGCCGGCTTTCTCTGTGTCATCAGGTGCATGGAACGGTTGAATGAAATCCTTGTCTCTCTCACTTTCAGTGTCTGTGAAAAGAGAGAGGGTTTTATAGGAGCATCATATTGTCTCTACTTTTGTCACATGTGAAGCACCTAGGTACGTCTGTCAAACAATTATTGCAGTTATTTTTGTCCAGAGCATGCAACTACAAAACAGGTCTACAATTGACTAAAATCAAGAGAAAAACTTCGAAAACTTAACAGAAAAACTGGACGTTTTAAACAATAGAACCTAAAGCATTTCTATTTCTACGCCACGTGAATCAGCTCAGCTACTTCTGACCGGAGCAATACTTCTGTTCGGTGTTTTAGACCCTCTCGTAACAAATACTGAAGGAGGAGCATATAGGATTTACCAAAATACTGTCAACATAAATGAACATTTGTCAGCCGTATGTGAAGTCTTTGAGATCGGGAATACCTCAAATAAATAGCCATTTGCAGAGGTGCAGGAGCAATAAGTAAATGAGGTGGAGTGGTAGATGTAAAACATCCACCAAAACAAAAAATTGTCGAAAAATGCCAGATATTGCTATTTTGTCGGAAATGGTAGAACAACTTCATCTTTCGCATCACCTCCATCCCCGACTTCCTTAACGAAAGAATATTAACTCCCACTGCACCCCTGTGGAATTGCAAAATAGTATCAAAGGGAATAAATGGGATCTAACCATTTCCATTTTGCTTCTCAGACGACATCGATAAAGCACTGAATCCAATGCCATCTGGAAAGTATTCTTTTAACACTGAGAAGGGCGAGCTGTACTTTAGCAGGGGTAGATACGTTAAAGTGTTGAGCCAGTCTATCGATTTTGCTTCTTGTGCTTCCTGTGACAGGAGATAAAACAAACCGCTACGATGCTTGATCTTGCGCAAGGGCATTTTCAATTTTTGACACTTATATTATCACTTTTAGCCTAATGAAAACAGTTCATATTTTTAAATGTTAACAAGCATAAATAATTGTAGTATAGCTTGATATTTACTTACAAAGAACGAGAGATTACCTTTCACTGCAGCTAATAATGTAGATAAACATGTGATCATCGATTTAATTGTATTAGCCTACTTTAAGTATATTCCTTTTATGGATATAAATATACTTACATACAATAACAGAAGAATAAGAAATTTCCTTTTGTCATTGTCCTCTTACAGCATTTTTTATATATAAAAATATATTATTTTATAAAAGAATATTTAATAGTTAATATTTAATATTTGAATATTTTTAAGATTTAATATAGATGTATTTGCTCATTATATATATCTATTATATATATATATATATATCTATATATATCATACAATTTTCATGCATGTGTCAAAAAACTACCAACCTGGGCCTCTTCTTCCATACATATCCATCCGCTAGCCTTGAAAAAAAGGTTATGAAAGGCTTTTAATTTTGGCAAATATAGATTTTATCAATTAGATTGTAAGTGCAAACAGTGGACTTAATGGGAAAGGTTCTATTCAAGAGATAAACATGAAATAATGTGAAATAAACATGAGAGCAGTACTGAAGAATGAAACGTTTTTGAAAATTTCACACCAAAAGTCATAAATATGAGGTTAACATTAAAGGCATATTCAAATGATATTCATTCCTGCTATACATAAATCATGGTATACATAAATTTTCATGGTATACATAAATAAACCTTATTACCAATTTCTCTAAACTTTTAAAAAGCAATGATAAAATCAAAAAGCCAAGTGCAAAAGTAACATTCTGTAAATTGAACAATTATCTAAAAAAGTTTAAAACAACTGAAGTCAGCTTTGTCAATACCAGATACACTTTGAATCAACCCAAAAATAATTGCAAATTACTTTTCTGCAGATAACATGATTGCAGACATGACCCTACCTTTGAGCAATGCCATTTGCTTTTAAGAACACCATTTTGCACTACTGTATCAGAAACACTGCGCCATTTCTTACATTTGTGACATAAAACCCAATAATTTAGAACTTCTTCAGCAAAGAATAGTTTTAATGACAGCTCTTTCTGGCAATTTGCAGCAGCTTCCAGCTTCCAATCCGTAAATCTTTTATTCCCTTCTTTGTGACTGAAAATGAATTGATTAATATGCAAATTAAACTATATATATTTGTGGGACTTAAGGGGTGTTTGTTAAACAGAGAAAACAATTGAAAGCTCAGATATTTTAGCAGAAAGAGCTATAAAAGAAACTCAAAAAAGCCAATAAGCTTTTCGCTTATTGCAATCTTGGCCACAGCATCTAAGAAACCCATAAACCACACAATTTGAAAGAATATCACAAAAAAATGTTAATGCATTTTAATTTTTATTTCAATGTCCAATAAAATATTCTGCAATACCTATAAACAGGTGAAAATAATTTTCAGCAGTTTAAATATTGTGTCATTGCCCCCTCTACAACTTATTTCATTGCCTCTTCATACAAAAACCTTTCAATGGCTTAGCATGGCCATGCTGGCAGCCTCTGTTTTTTGTCTACCAATTGGAATTAATGTCAAAATCCAGAATAGGTCAGAGTGTAAGTGTCCATGGCAACGTTGTTGGCCTAAGTTTTCACAAAATACAATATTTATTACAACTGCAATAATTTGGAATAGCTTATGTATTTAAGATTAAAGCAATCATAAACTACATTGTCACAAGTGCCTTTTGGCAACAATTATCTTTAAGAAGGAGTTATCTTCTTCTACCTCCTCTTTGATATTAATTTTCCCCTGTGTGTCAGCAAGTTTCTAATATTGCAATGATGTTTTGTAAACATTATGTGAAAGTTGAAAAACTTTACTTTGATGACATCACATAATGTTCAGTACCTTCTATAAGTATAGTCAAAGCATTCATTACAGAAGTGTTCTCCATTGGACAAGTGGTACCATCTTGATGTATACCCATCTCTTGCACAACTAAAAATTAATAAGACAAACTTGATACAAAAGAACCAAAAAATCCTGATATTTTTTAAAAAAATTGAAATACATTTTCCAATCTGTTTGATTAACTCCAACCAAAACCAATATTTTTTATAAATGTTCTCTTTTTCAATAAAGCATACTTTAGATAACAAAAATTTAAGATGGTAAACATTCTGTTTTGTTGTTAAATATGGATTTGTCTTTGTAAAATGATAGAGTTCACCAACGAATTCATAATTTTGTAGATGGTCAAAATGAAATAGATCTATTTATTTTTTTAAATAACATACAAATAAGCACATTCTTGCAGTCATTATTACACAGTGTCTGAAGATTCTTTGCCTAATCAAGTGACATAAGAAATAACTCAACAGTGAGGGCTCAGCAGCGAGGGCTCAACAGTGAGGGCCCAGTGGGACTTGGGTACACCCTTCATGCTAATATTCTAAATATGAGAGTAAATAGATATTTTGCTGTAGTTTGTCCCGAGACACCTCATTTATTATCTACTCTCCGGCTTGCACAAAATTTAACTGGTTTACCTTTACACTCGTCTCCTGTTTTTATCACGAGAAGCGGAACAAAATGTCTACTTTGTATGATTTACAGCCCTGCTTTAAGATTTTCAACGCCGATTGATGGTAATAGTAAAATCAAACTGGGCCTAGGTGCTAGTTAGAGCTGGATAAAAATTTCCATTTAAATTCTACGTACTATATCAATGAAAAAATCGATACCCGCTTGTTAGTTTGGCAAAGCAAGCCGGTTGTTCACGTGGACATCCGGTCTTTTCACATTTTCTGTAGGTTCTTTTCCTTGGTGAATCCTCAGTCTTTGAAGATTGTTTTCTTTTGGGTGTACGTCCACTCCTTCTACACTGCGCTGCACTCTCTGATGCCATATTTGATCAATGATTTATTCTGGAAACACTATTATCCATCCCTGCATGGTGATGGAACACAACCACGAGTTCGAATCACGCGCCCTTTTTGTAGCGCCTCGCTTTGGCTACTACTTTTCGCTATCAATGATATATAAGCGACTTGTTCGCTATATACCAATACGTATTTGTAATTAATTTTGCAATATTTAGTCCAACTTTATGCATTTCTTGCTGTAAAAGGGCATATTAAATGTAGAGAGACGAGGGCCATCTCGGCCTATATGCCTAATGAAATAAGAAAATAGAAAAAGATTGACAATTTGATAGCAACAGTACGACTTTAGCCCTCCAAAATCTACACCTTTTCCTTGGGAATTTGGCTGAAAATATTGTAGTAGGGTTTCTTAAATAATTTCTTGAAACTTACACCATGTGAGCTGCTAACACGCGTGTTTGAGGAGAGAGAGAGGAGAATGGAAACGCATGGATGTGCTACCGGAACCACGCCCCTTTTTGGAACTTCCCATTCTCTTCAATAAAATTCAAGTTGGTTATGTTCGTTTTGAAGGGTTTTTGCATCTGCTTCTCGCAGTCGCTGGCTTTTCATAAATGCAGCTAAAGAAATTTTCATGAGCTCCGCCACTGTTAAGAATTGATACCATTTTATAAAAAGTTTGAAGTAACCTACTACTTTTGATTCATCCTGTCTTTATGGGTGGAATTTTAGAAGGAATGAGACTTTGACCAAGAATTTGACCGTATTAGATTATTTTCATCTTGAAAATGGATATTTTTACTGCGCACGCGCAAAAATGATAACGAAATAGTTTAAAATAAGCTGTTTTCAAAACCTTTTCTTCCGTTTCGGTGCTATTTGAATTGATTTTTTTCAGAGGGGGGGGGGGGCTCAAAAAATTAATGACAATTCCTAATGCAGCTGCTGATGTCAATTTGTCCATAGCTATTATCACGTCAGCAAAGATCGCACGTTGCTTCCTCTGATGCTTCCAGCCTCTCTGAAGGATTGGCCTCGAGTGGGATCTGACCTACCCTGGGTACCAGACTCACTTGAGCCTGGTACCCAGGGTAGATCTGACCATGTTCACGATAAATTCATACTATATTTTGCTGAAAACGCAATTATCTAATGCAACAAATCTTATGCGTGAAACCAATAATGTAACAAACTAACCTAAAAATTGGTAAAGCACTTCCTTATTTTCCAGGGGGGCTCAGCCCCCTCGGTTTTCGTCAGGAGGGGCTGAAGCCCCCAGAGCCCCCCCCTGAGTTTACGCCTATGTTTCCAACGTCTTTATCTTCGAAGAAGTTCATCGTTTCCAAATCTTAAGCTTCTACAGGTTACCAATCAGGAGGTATGAGTAAGAAGGCTAAGGTAGCCCACCCGTGGCCTTGGGATGCTCCAAAAATCTTTGTTCAGATAGGGTTAAGCTTTTCGCTTGACTTTTTTTGCCTGAGTATACAACATCAAAATAAGAATTGAAAGGTCAAGAAAGAAGATTCATACCCAATTGTCGATCGAAATAATCCAATCAGAAAAATGCTTCCACATGACCGGTATAGTTACCCAATCAGTACCGTGTGCCTAAAGAACAATTACCATTGGAGTCTTATAGTCTGAAGCATCTTACATGAACAGCTTACACAAATAGCAGCCCACACAAGTAGCAGGTTAGCTTTTTTGCGACTATGACCCATTATGAATTGAATTGATCAGAAATATAAAAGAGGAGCATAATTAGAGTTTCAACTCAGCAGATTGCAATTGGAGCGGTCGGAGCGGAGTAACTTTTTCTCGAGAATGATAATTGGGGTTGCAGTTACACTACGATGCTCCTCCGCTTGCTTGTACGACTTCATTACTTCCTTTGCTGCTTTCCTGGTCAACAGTGCTGTGCACTTTTGCGATCATTTGCGAAGCGCGCAGTGCACCAGATTAAATTATTTCGTGATTATGTACTGTTATGAATTCTTTCTCAATAAAAACTAAGAAGAATGACGAAAAAACAAAACCCCTCAACTCCCCACCCGCTTCTGTGCGGTCCCTGCTCAAAAAGGCATTCCCGAAAAACTAGAAGGCGCGGTAAAAGAAAAGTTCCTGGGGATACGCCCTTGGACCCTATTTTTTGTTGTGTGGCAGTCAGGACCAAACATTTTCCCTTCCTTTTAAAAAATCTCACTCATTTTGAAACTTGACAGGTCTGCATTCATTTAGATGCATTCATGAAAGCACTTTCTAACTATACAGTCATACTCAAATTGAAAATTGAACCAAAAGCGGCAAATTTTCTAAATTTTAGATTTTAACGAAATAAGATGGGGGAGAGAAATAAATAAAACATGGATTAATAAAAAACATTAACTTTGAAATATCAACAGGAGAATTGACAACTAAAAATAAAAAGTTAAGCAATTTTGTAGAGTTGAGATATAACTTTGTAACATCTGATCTTAACTTTTTCGGAAATTAGGTGCTTTCACAAAAATTTGAAAAATCTTCAAACTGGGCTTGTCAAAATGATTTTAGACAGAATTTATGATTGCGTCGATATTTGCTCTTTCTTAGTAGGAATACATTATCCAAACGATCAAACACTTAAGTTTTCTTGATGATACTTTTTAAGAACAAATCTGCCCATACTTTTTTCTCATATCCTCAAAAAAGTTCTTTCCAGCTGTTTCTTTTTCTTCAACAGCCGATTTCCCTTTTTTTGTAATGTTTCTGAGAAAGTTTTCGTTAACAAATAGACCTTGTGTGCCAAGTTTAGGCAATGGAAAAAATGAAACTCCGTCAATTTGTGCTGGCATCAAGTTATTCTGGACTAGGTTTTTCGATCTATTTGCTAAGCCAAGCTGTTACTCGTTGTAAAACTTAGACAATGAACGATTTCTCCAATCTACATAATTTCCATATTGAAATTGATGTATGTCATCTATGGAAAAGACATAGCAACCAAGGTAAAGCTAAGGACACATTTAAGAGAATACTAGACAAAGTTACTTACATAAATCATATACTACATCCTGTATTTCCACTTTTGCTTAAAATTTTACTTTAGCTCTGCAGAAAAGTGGAGGGGGGGGGGGGCATGGCGCCCGGCCCCCCTGTTTCGCCGGCCCTGTTTGCAGAGTACTCTAGCAGATTTGAAGCTACTTTAGCGGAGCAGCGAATATTCAGTCGGAAAATTCATCTATTGAGATACTTTCAGTCATGCTGTATATCATTGCTTTGACACAATTATTATGACAATTTTCTTAGAACGTAAACAGAGAGCCTTCTGTTAATGAAACCCAAACACCTGTTTATGAAGCAGCAAAATTATTTACATGCTACTTTAGATCATGTCTCGATTTCTTTTTATAGCCAGTAATTTCTGTAGTTAATGTCAGAGATGAAATACATAGATGTTTATGGAAGATTTGTTTACTTGTCCTTGAAAAATCATTTTTTTTAATTCGTCCCATGACATCAGTTTGTTGTGGGTCTTGGTTTTGAGTGGGTAGTATTACCATGGCAACTTTTTTATGTGGTGAGGATATTTTCGCGTTTCATTATTTTCCCCTACAGTTTTCGCGTTTTTTCTACTCTGGCCAATAGCTCGATAATTTCGCGATGATTTGTAGACTCGCTAAATGGTGCGAACAAAATGGCAGCACGACTTTCATCCTTGAATTAAGTTTGAACGTTGATTACGGCACAACTCGAGCGAAGGTTTGATAAAATCACAAGTATTTTCTAGAACAAAAATATTAATATTGTATTCAGGAATTATTTGTTGGTTCTTATGACTTAGAGATAGGGGAGCTCAACAGGAGCTGCTTAGGCCCTATCAACTCGTTGTTCCTCCGTATTAGACAGGAAGTTAACGTAGCCTCAAGAGTGTGATAATGCCGGGTAAAAAGGAAAAGAAGGGTAAAGGAAAGGCCAAAGTTGTTCGGAAATCGCTTGAAGATCAGAATAAGGATTCGACAGAGAGCATTGAAGCTGGACCTTCACAAAACTTTGAGCTCAAAGAAAATGTTTCGGTTTCCAGCAACGAAGTCGATGGGTCGTCCTTGCTTGGTTCGAGAGAAGCTTCTAACTCGAGTATTGCCTCAGGAAAGCAAAGGAAAGGCGACGAAGAGTTAGAAAGGGAGACCTCATTTGGTAAAGATGAGGTCGGTGAGCTAGAAAAGGAGAAACCTTCCGCACCTGATGTGGTAACAACCGAGCTAGAAACAGATGAACTGCCTTCGAATTCAAATGGCAGCACGGTGAGAATCAATTAAGTCTCTATTCTTAAATTTGCTGGAAATGAAACATTAATGTGACCATTTTTTGAAGAACCGTAGGTAATGCATTTGAGGTCTCTTTGGGATACGATATATACATATCAAGAATCAAGCTAGCTTGCTGAAATGTTCCTCGGAAAATATTTTTTGGAATTTTTTAAAGAAAATGTTGCTGTGTGCTTGGCATATTTTGAAAAAGACGGTAACTTTAAATGCATGATTCAATGGTTTTTAAAGAAAATATCAAGGAAGAATTAATATTCAGATAATTTTTTAGATGAAATATTGCGAAAATTTTGGTCTAGTGGGAATGTGAGTCCAGAATGGCAGATAAATGGAGATGTGGCACCTCCAAATCATAGTTAGCAATGGGTGCAGGGAGATGTGACACCTCCAAATCATAGTTAGCAAGGGGTGCAAGGAGGTGTGACACCTCCAAATTGTAATTAGCAGGGGGTGCAGGGAGATGTGACACTTCAAAATCATCATGATTTGGATCTTCAGATGGTTCATAGAATCCTATGTTTGGTTGTTGAAATTACTTTTCAGTAGATGAATTGACCCCCAATTTTTTCTTCATATGTCTTTGTCAGTAAACTTAACTATTGATGATCCTAGTCTGGAAGGTCAAGCTAACCACTGATGTCTTTGTTTATCTTTGTGTTAAATAAAGTTCCCTGTCCATATTCCCATAAGTCTCAAAGACTAAAGGGTTGTATGTACCATATTCCACACCATTTACCATATGATTGTAGATGCTATTATTCTCAGCTTGTATAAGAGCATTCTGTTCTAGGAACTTTAGCATTGATTCTGCATTTTTCAAAGCAAGCTACTTGCCTCCAGCTGTAAAAGCCCCTTGGAAGTAGGTCCAGTTCAGCTTTATCATTAGAATTGATTACAATATCATTTACTTTTCTTTACAATTCCATGAATTCATATATTTTTACATTTTAGGAGGATGATCAAGGAGTACAAACAGCTATTTTGATAACAAATCAAGAAAAAATTGAGGAGAAAATAACTTACACTGTAGAAACCAAAATGGAAATGAAAATTGAAGGGGCTGTTTTAGATGAAAGCTCAACTGATGCACCCACTAACCTAGAAGATACATATCAGTCAATGGGATCAGAAAGGCCATTAGTTGAGAACATTCCCACTGATGAAGAAAGAAGAAATCTCTTGCCAGGTGATATGACAGGTGCAGACCATAGCCAAGGTCCTAAAGAGTTTAGCCAAGCAGACACACAAGACACTAGTGGAGGTGGTGCAAGTGAAGTGCAAGATGATAAACGTGAAAGGAGAAATCTTGATCCAGATGGAAAACCAGATGGTACTGAAGTAGATTCTTTTGAAGTTTCAAAGCCAGAAGATGAAAATGACCATGAGGTAAAAGTATCTACTGATTTGAATAAGAATGAAGTAATAGAGCATGAGATTCCAGCTGCAAATGCAAATATAAATCAGACCGAGAATGAAGAAGATAGTGAAGAAGAACTTCCATGGGCTATGTACAGAGACATAAAGAAGAATGAAAGACCTTCAGACGCTGAAGATGAGCTTTCTGATGATGATGAAATAGCTGGTAAGGATTAAAAACTTTAATCAGTTCAACTTTCTTAAGATAGAATCACTTGGAAATGAATTTCCTCAATTGAATCATGCAATATTTAAAAGTTTGTATTGAAAATTTGACATTGTGATCCACTTGTTTGCTGAAAAATTATAAACTAACTGAATATGAGTATTGCACCTTTACTGCATTCATATTAATCATTACGGTTATTTTCACATTTGATAATTTGGAGAACGTAGGTATTTCCATGATTCAATACCAAATTCCTAAGCCCTTAAAGACAAACTCCGCCATTCAGCTATTGCACTGATGCAACAATTTATTGAGTGTAATCTGTCATTGTCTTTGTCAATAATCTTTTATTTGGTGAAGAATAGTGGAGCTGGTATCTCAAATGTATTTGTCTTATCATCAATGCATTCTCTAAGATTTTCATCAATGCATTCATAATTTTCTTACAAACAGAACCTCCAGAAGAGAAGAATTACCCAGAACTCTATGAGTATCTTGGATCTCTTGACAATGGAGACACAGAGTTGGAATCAAAGCATATTCCACCACCTTTGTTTGAAAATGAAAATCAGCAACATATGCACAAAGATATTGACCGTACTAAGCTGAGTTTGGCAGAGGAAGAAATTGAGGACTATTTGGATGTGTTTGAAAGACAAGTTGAGGAAGAGGTCCTAATGATTGGTAACATTGGCCTTAATGAAGTTCAGGTACAGCTTTAGTTGTATTTTTTTAGAAAGCATTTTGTTACAAAATTTTCTGCATTTAAATATGCTCCTGTCATGTTTGAAAAACATGCTAGGGTACATATATTGAAATAAAATCTTGATTGGAAAAACTTCGGGAGTTCCTGTAACTTGACTCCTTTTAGGTAAAACTTGGCTCACTCATTAGTTCAGCATCCAAACCCAAGTCCTTGCCACTGCATTCAAAGACCTGAGCATTTGGTTGTGAAGAGGGCAAATTATATAATTTGTTTATTGTAAATGAATTTCTTTAATGGAACGGCTTAAAGATGAAATATACCTACATCTATGGCAAAAATATCTATATTCAACTAGAAGCAAGCCATAAGAGATAACCATTGAACATGATTTAGCCAAGGATATTTCGATATGCCTGTTGTGCTTAGTGCAGTTTTTGAAATTGAATATGTGATCTATAAAAAACACTAATTTTCAGGATGAAGAACGCAACATAAGAGAGGAGCATGTAGATTTCCAGAAAGCAGAAACCAAGAAACAGAAAGAAAAGAAGCAGGAATTAAGTGCTGCAATGGATAGGGCAAAGAAGCACGTCATGAAAGTTTTCAGGGAGAAGTATGGGAGAGTAAAAGACAAGGAGGTAATGTTTTCAATAGCTGGTATTCAATATATTTTATTCTATTTGATTATTCTGTTTATTCGACAAGCTGTTTATTCTGCCAGCTGAGCTATTCAGAGTCACGTTTTCAAATCCAACCCCAATGCTATGCCACTCACCCACCCTGCCCCCTTTTCACCAAGCGTGCAAGCGAGCCATCTACCTGACCTACTTTGAAAGGCGACTTCCAACATTTGGAGGGGGACATTTCTGCCTCCAAAGCTGGTTAAAGTTGAGAGGATTTAGTCGAGAATATAGTATAACAGGATTTGTGGAAGTTGTCTGAAGAAATGCAGAGGGACTTGTACAAATAGAGCAAAACTTGAACCAAAGACCAGTGACGCTTTAGGTCGTTGCGTTAGAAGCTACGTTATCCGGTCACGTTTTCAAATTCAAGCCCAAAGTTCTCCACTCAACCATTATCACATTTTTGCTTTTAATGTTTAGGCCGCTTTGATGAGAAGAGATCGACACATCCAAGGCCAGATAACCAAGGCATTCAGACGATCAGAGAACCAGCTGCAAAAGGCACTAAGGAAGCGGAAAGCTGAAGTCATGGTAACTCTCGTCTTTTGAATGTTATTTCCTGGAATATTATCCAAATTTAGGCATGGAATTTTTCACTGTTGGATGTCATATACGACAAGCTCTTTTCGTATTATCAACTCGTCAGTCGTATAGTCTATGCCATGTGTTTTTACATATCTGTCTCTTCAACAAATTAAAATTTTTGCTCGTATTTTTGCACTTATAAAATTATCTTTTTAACAGCTTTGGATTAGATGTTCGGTTTTGCAGTAACTTATTTTCTCATGCAGGCAATGTATGGCGATCTAGTTTTCGCTGATCGCGAATTTGGCGGTGGTAAAGGCAAACGATGGAAAGTGGACTGGGACAAAACTCAGCAACCTATTCAAATCAAGCTGAAATGCCTCCGGAGTGTCAGAGATAAACTGCCCTGTAAGTTTTCGCCGATATATCAACAGGGGTGGATAAAATGTTTTTCTTGCTGGTTAAAAAAATGTTTTTCCCAAAAATTAGTAGAATAGACAACTGCTATTGCATGAATTGAGCTTTTTGAGCATTCTGGGAGCCAAAATATTTCTGAGACCACAGGTTTCATGGCCCAATACTTTTTCTACCGCAGTATATTAGCAACTAAGCAAAGCAAACACTTACTTTTTATTTATCATCATCTTATGGGATATTAAACCTGTATAAGAGGCATCACATGCATATTAAACCCGCATCAGATCTTATTGTTTGAATATTCATCTTGAAGAATAATGTACAGCAATAGGCTTTAATGAATAGATGTATTTTGCTTTCAATAAGAGGCATGGTAATAATTAAAGGCGCTTGCCGGTTTTAGCAAAGCATAAATTAATGTGATTTTTAAATTATATTTGCTCCAAACGCTATGATAGCACTTGCAATGCTGGTGGCTTTGTCTTGTGTCCCTCTAGTGCTTAACAAAACATTTGCAAACTTTTCTTATAATGGTATTTCTAGCATAACTATTTTGTGTTTAGGTGGTGAATATGTTTTAATGGTGTCGCTATTCAGTCGACTTGGTGGTCACGTGATGAAATGGTCAAATCTGCGAGGCCAGCAGTGGGGTGCTGCAACTTTGCCTCTGTTCCATGATGGGGAATACTACAATATAGAACTGAAGGTGAATTAAGCACCATGGTGTCATTATAGATGATCTTCATTTCTTATTAGTTCTATATATTTTTTAACTGTTGTTCAGTTTATTCCGGGAAAAAAATTGATACTAGATGTGTCGTAGTACTGGAGGCAGTTTAATGTCACGCGATACATGTGGATAATTTTGTTGTCTTTTGTTAGTCACTTTGATAATCAGGTTGAATTGAATATAGTATGGTTTGATTCACGGGGCTGGTTTAGTATGCTTTAATAGCCTGTTTTACTTTTTCATTAGATTGACCAGAGCGTCTTCACTGTTTGCCCGTCGAAGCCAGATATAAGACCAGGAATGATTTTAATGTTCGAGCTGTTTATTCTAAGTGGATCATTCACCCCAACGGATAAAGTTGTTGCCTGGGGCAGCTTTCCGATTTGCGATGGCTCTTTCAATGTTATTGAAGGAAAGTAAGTTACAAGGGTTTGCCAGTAAATATTTTTTCATTTCTCCTCTTAAATTTTTCTATCCAACAATTTCAGCTCGAATAAATTATCTTTCCTGTTTTTAAGAAATCCGGTAAAACCCACAATGTTATATTGGCAGTTTTGCATTTTTTAATTCAATGGACATTCATCATTGCTTGATTTTGTTTTATATAAATTTTTCATTCCTTGAATACCAATTCTGATAGGATCAAAAAGCCCTAAAATCCCTTGCTTATTTACAGGTTTGAGCTACTTATTTTATAGCTTGATAATCCTGTAGCAAAATGCTTGAGTATAGTAACAGTGTTTGTTATTTTCAGGTACAAAACTCCTTTGCTGCGCGGTACAATCGATCCATCAATCGATAAATTCCAAACGGTTGAAGAGCTGATAGCGTTCGATTTAGAACATTGGCTTTGCAATTTGTACTTTGAGATCAACAAGTTGCCAAGGTTCATTTTGATAATCCTTCTCTTGAAATTCTTGCTGTTTAATTTTGTTTTCGTTGTTTTTTTTATTACATCTTAAAAATTGCAGTTTGAAGATGTAATAGAAGTGATTTAGTATACAAAAATGGTAGCAAAAGAATAACCTATAATGCGTAGATATAAAGTGCTTTCCTCAAGTATGTCATCATCCCAATCTTCAATTAGCAAAGAAATATGTGGCAAATAGAATTTCAAAAAATCCATACCAATTTTTTGTATGATTATTTGGCAAATAAAAGTGCTTAAAATTACATGTTTATTTAATCTCCAGATGTTTTGTAGAACGTACCTTTTCTATTCTTGATTCAATGTCACACCACCATTTGTCATACTACTCAGGTATCTAATGGGCCAGAAGGAGTACGAAGTCGAGCTTCAGTTTACCTCTGGTTTGGTAAGCTATCCCATAAGAACCAAAACTGGTGAAGAGTTCGTGGATGGTGAGCAGCCAGTATATGGCTCCGTAAGCGATATGGCTTCAATTGCAGCAAGCAGGGTGTCATTGCCGAACTCAAGGGCCAACAGTGTTCTTAGTTTTCAAGAGAAGAATGCCGATGCCAAACCTGGAATGAGCAATATCAAAGTCACTGTAGAACCTCCCAATAAGAAGGTAGGTATTCCTTTTTTATCTTTGCTTAAAAGTAAGAATTCCTCGATGATAATGGCTCGTATTAATTTGTGCCGTGCTTCTATGCTTTTTGAGATTCTAGGGACAGACTCTAGAGACTTTTTAGCAACTCCTAAAAAATTTTTAGTTTGTAGTTTAATATTTAGTTGGGATTTTAATCAGTCAACTGATCGTAGGATATTATCAAGGAACAAAATTACATTGCTTTTAAATTCCCCAGAATTTATAAAAATCTCGATTTATAGTATCTATCGGAAATAAAGTTTTCTTAATTAAGTACGATAGGTGACCAGAAAGTCACTATAAATAGTCACTAGTGTTTGCCAGTTCGCCTCTTAATAGACAAAACAAGCCTATACTCTTTTGCAAATAGCTCGTTATTTCCTAAATAGTTTGTTTGGGTATTCTATCCACTATGTATTTTTTCTGTTAATTGTCAGCCATCAAGGCCTGGGTCAGCTGTGTCAGTGCTCCAGAAGGCGAACGAAATATCAACAGAGCTCCGACAGAGAAGAACGTCTCGCACTTCCATAACTTTTCAGCCATTAGATGATACAGCTTCTCGCAAGTTGTCCGCGTTTGGCTCGCGAAGATCCGTGGGAGAACGCAGTTTTGCGTATAGTGATGATACGGATTCGGGCAGTGGAACAGATTACAATGATGATGATGTCTGTATTGTCAAGAAGGACTTTGGGTTCAGGAAGGTCAATGGGCAGCCTGGAATGTACTACAAGGTTAGTAGCGTATTCCTCCAATAGTTCTTGGTGCTCTTGGTTTGAATTCGTTCTCATCCACCGTATTAACCGTAGGTGCAATTCACTTTTTCTGTTATCTCTGCTTCTTAACGTCAGTAGATTTCAAATTTTTATCTAAATCGAATTTTTGTAACGGTTGCCGCAGTAATTAACTTTATTGTAGCTAGAAATCACAAAAAGATTTTGTTACGATTTTGTATCAGGTGCATCAAAACAATCCAGTCGATGTCTACAACCGGAAACTTCTGAGGACAATACCGCTGACAGCTCAGCCATCAATAAGACGGAAGAAAAAGAGACTCACCCATCAAGACGATCTCAAGCAGCACACGTATAATGTCAAGTAAGTAATCTTGTAAACTTGTGAATGTTGAATCCTTTTCCGAATACAACCAAATAAAAGTATATACTTTTGCTCAGTAATGGAGCCATCATTGTAAAGGTTTTTTTCTTATCTAAAGATCTATTTGGTCAAACAAAGGACACATGCCTCGCAAAGGCCGTGAAAAAATTCAGTACATTGGCAGAATGATGCTTGCAGAACTCGGATTGTCTCAATGGAGAAAAGGTCAGTTCTGGGTGACGTTGTTCATGTTGCTGATCACGTGGTTCATGAGAATGTACCTGCATTACTTCGGTCAATGGGTGCTACTCAAGGCACTGTCTATTCCAATTAACAAGTAGGTATTATGTAAGTTTTACATAGAGTGCATTTTCATTATTCTTTTTGCTTAGATGTAGGCAAGTTACGTTGCCACTTTCAATTATATCTTACTTATAATGCCGGTACTAGGAAAGCGTTGGCAAATAGCATTACACATTTTTTGCTGCTCCTTTCGCTCTCATTTGCTTTTGGCATGAAATAAGTCTTGAAGTTAAAATAATTGCAAAATCAACGCCCAGCAATGAATTTAGCGATACAAGTACATTTACTATTCGAGACTATTCATTTCCTCCATGTTTTCCACTTTCTTTCTAATTTCTTTGATACGTGGCCTACTGAAGCAATCAATCAATTAATAATTACTTTGATGTCCCAGTGATGTCACAATGCTAATGACAATAGTTGTTATTCGGAGTAGAATATGATATTTGCTACCAAACGCTTCTTCTTTCAAGCAGCAAAAGCATTTGCGCTAATCCTGAAAACTTCTTAATAATTCTTCCTTTTCTAGGTACAACTTCTATCCACACACTGTGAACTTGAACTACCAGGACACACTGCTGCAAGCGAGACATGAAGTCGGCGTGGTCATTGTTGGACCTTTTGCCAACTTACTTTTGTTCCTGCTATTTATTCCAGTGACAATGATGTTCCAGCGAATCTTCAAATGGTTCCCTGATATCATTACTCACTTTATACTCGCCTTTGGACTACAAGCGCTCTTGGATCCGCTGTCAATTTTGATCGTTGACTGCATTCTTGGAAGGTTAATTCAGTCACTTCATTTACCCTTCTTAAAAACAATTACTGCTTTGAAAGTCAATTTTTTTCTCTTTTAAACTTAGTTCAAACTAAAAACTCTTCTGTCAATGAATTTGAATTTCTATATATGTATTTGTATATAGACACCAATGAAATGTTTTTTGTGTTCAAAATGGAAAGTTTGTATTTTCCGATTTACATGGCTTCTAACATGATATCCCTTCTGTTCATGATTTAAAATGTCTTGCTAAACTTCTGCTAACATTTGGTTTTCTATTTAATGACATGCTTTTTGCTTCTAGATATCAAAATACAGGAGGAGTTGAACCAATCGGCGATGCATTTAAATTGTACTGGCATTTCTACCGTAACTACAGAAATGATGACGTCACATTGTATGTGAGCATTTCAATGACAACGTTCCTTTACATCTGTATTGCTTTCTGCATCGCTGCCTTGTGGTATATGTTCTTTATACGACTGCACAACAACGGCCGGTTGATGGACGTGTATTGGAGGCTGCATGGAAGTGAGGATGAGTTCTTCCTGCCTTATGATTTGGAGGTCTCAAATGAAGAGCTGAACTTTATTTGTCTTAAAGCAGAGCAATGGCGGGGAGAGGAAGGAGAGAGAAAGAAAATCGCAGTTTATGATTATGTTTGGGAGCAAGAAGAGGTGATGTAATTTTTGGTGTCTTCTCGCTTCATTTATCTTAGCGTATTACTAAAGGTAAAACTGATATTTGCATTCACGTTAATATACCGTAGAAGCTCTCTTCTCAAATTGGCCCCTACATATATTAAAAAAATAGTCAGTTTATAGCAATTTCTTTGCGATGGTTTTTGGCATTAGGAAGCATGTAAAGTTTGAGTATGTAATTTGACTTTTTACCCTCTTCATTTTTATCTAGTTTTTTGGGTAGCCAATTTTGTTCTCTTTAAAGATATTCTGCATGTCAGATAGGCCTTTTCGAAAGAAGATCAAGCTGCAGATAAGCCCCCCCCCCCTCATTTTCAACCCCTCTTCTTGAGGCTTATACGCATTTTTACAGTAGCCTAGAAAGCATTTACGCTTCTATCTGTTTGTTCGTATAATGAAGATTAACATTAACCGTCCTATAGCTGGTCGATGAATTCTGGGATGACCCGAACGCGCACGGCCAGAAGACTGGAGCCAAAGAAATAACATCCCACGTCTCAATTCATTCCATCCATACTGATGGGCTTATTGAAATATACAGGCAGTTCTTGCGATTGCCAGATGGTGCAGTTATTGAGGTAAGATTGTGAATTAGCTGACTCAAGTAGTGACCTGAAGCATAGACGTAGAAACCGGTAGGGCACAGGAGACTCGTACCCGGCTCCCTTTATTTTACAAATAGGGGTAAAGTGCTTGAGGTACACCTTTACGTCTACAGGTGCCATCCTCCTCCTCCCCTCTACTTATAAAGTGCTTCCTACTTCCACAAGGTGAAACATTTTGTTTCTGAGACCTCTATTCACAATTAATGAAATTCCGCCTATTAAGAAATTAATCAAGATAATCTAACTGCAATTGCGATGTTGTTCATTTTTTCACAATAACTATAGTCTTTAGATAATAATGAAATAGTAGAGAATGGCCAAGTTGTATATTTGCATGATTTAAATATTGTTTGTTTATCCGCTAAGTTATTACTGCATAGCATGATAAGAAGATCTTTGGGTAGTTCAGAGTTAAGAAAACATGGCTTGATTTATCCGGTTCATCATATCATAGCTCTCTGTTATCCTTTCTTAAAGGTCTTTGGTGAGATGAACATGCCAGGAATCGACGAAGGAGTCAAGCAAGCTCTTCTAAAGAGCTCTGGCTTCAAAGGCGTTTCCAATACAGTGAAAAGGAGCAGATCTCTCAGTGTATCATCGCTTAGTAGCTCATCTGGTCGGAAAACCTCCTTGAGGCGTATGTCATCAAATCGTCTGGATGTTCCTGTGTAGAGGGGTTCTTTTGTATATATGTAGATATGAGCACCAACGTTTAACTTATGTATTATCATCAACCAGTAATTTAACATGTGTAAATAGATACATCTTGAGTTGCTCTTAAGTGTGCCAGTAAAAGACAGGACCTAACTAGACCACGTGTCATAAATAGCTACGTTATTTGAAATAGGTTTCCTCTCGCATCTCCATTTCCGTGTTTCTTTGCTTAATAAGCAAGCCACAACATTTCTAATGATAATTATTCTATTTTCAGTTTTAACCTTGATAAAAAGGCTTCTTACCCCATCGATCAAACATGTGAATTTTTCTTAGACCCCAGAAGCTGCAATCTAGAGTCTATGCCAATATTTTTAAATTGCTTTATAGCTGACGCAAAACTTATACGTTGAGCTGTGTCATGAACTCGTGTCTTCTTTCAACTAGAAGAGTTACTGTTATGCAACTATAATATATAGAGCCCAACCAACCAAATTTCTAAATTTTTACCTATGACAGAGGTCTTTTTAAGCGTGGCAGTTTAAATAAAATATTCCCATTAAAGGTTCAATCGTGCTTCAGTCATCAAAATGCCTTACTTTTGCCTTACTTGCAAAATGCTGAAATCTTTTTTCTTTACTGAAAAGGCCCTACTTAACCTTGACATTGCATCACTGAAATAATAGGATCGTTTGTTTATTATGCTTACCATTTTTAGTGTGTGTCATTATGGATATAAAAACTAATTTGGAAGTGATCTTGTTGTTCTAAACCACCTTGCAGCTATTTAAACTGATTTAACAATCACTACGAGACGAGATGCATTTTGCCATCAAATATATATATATTTCTACATGGATTTGTAATTATTTGTCTCTTATTCTTACTTATTCTTACCAAGGCCTTTTTATATAGATTTTAACTAAAATTTTTTCCCCTTTTTGAACATCCTTTTTGACCTACTATAATTGTCTGCAAAAAGATATACTTTGCAAGCCTAAGAAAGAGAATACATTTGCAAATTTCATATCTGTTTTCTGTAGTTTTTTGCAACCATAGAAAAGAGAATTCGTTTGAAAATTTAATTATCTGTTCTCCTTGAGTTTTGGGTATTTTCCAGTCGAAATTTGTTTGCTAAAGTCAAGTATAGACAAGAGATTTTTCATATCTTGCGAGGCAATGTCTCTAGTTGAATGCTCAATCGCTCATGGAATGCTGAAAAAGCTGCCGAGGGCATGCCATTTTTGGGCAAGTAATAAGCCAAAACAGCGAAATCTCAAGCTACATTCTACAGGCTTAAAAGTTTTTTGAGCTCATCTATACAAACTTGCTTTTACAGTATACTAGAAGAATCCATGCAGAAAAAAGACAGATTTGTGTCTAAAATGTTCCATAAGAGTGATCTTGATAAAACATGCTATTTACACTATCTACAGCATTTTACAGCTTTTCTAGGTCCTGCCTCTACACGTCAATGTTAGCATTAAATGAGGTTGAGCAAAACATCAAATAAATTAAAACCACACATAATTATTTCATTCCAAAACTACAAACTTGATTTGCATTAGCTAAAATCACACTTAAAATCATTAAAATCGTTTAATGCAACGGTAAGTAAACGAACCCTGTGGAGAATGCCACTACAAATGGACAATGCATGAATAAAAAAAGAAGAGAACACGCAACTCTGTAACTTGACTGGCAATTGAAAGGTGATTTTATAATCTTATATTTCAGGCATCGCTGTAAAATGTTTCCCTTGCCTCCTGTTTCGCGGGTGAGAACAAAAAGTTCCGAGTGCAAAACTAAGCAACTTCCCTTAATTTCAAGTGCTCTTTCCAGTTATACCACTCACTAATGATTCTAAGGCACTATTTCTTTGAACAATGATTGTTAATAATTAGCAGTTGCATAGTGAACACAGCTGGGGCTGTTTGATAAGAAAGTGGCACGAATGACTACTAACAGTCCAGGAAAATTGTACTTGCTACAGATGTTGTGCCTTTAACAAGATGTGGATTAGCAGCTGATTAAAATAAGGTGTGATGTGGAATTAAGGTGGACAATTGATCTCACCATCTAAGACTCCAATGTAAGGCATGAGGTTGCCTGCATGAGAAGCTAATACACACAGATATCTATGAGTAGCTCTATATACACATATCTATGTGCTAATAAACACATATCTTCACTTGACCATCGATGGTAGGTCCAAAAATTGTGATGGTCTTCTCTCCTTCTCCGCAGCAGGTATGCTACCACTGGAGGATGCACTGTAGGACCGATTCACCCGCCCGTGCACAAATGAGCCACCGTGCAGATTGCTTTTTGGTAAGCCTGTTAGTTGAGTTCTCTGAGCTTCATTAGGCATGCTGACCTCTCCAAAGACCTGGGAGAAAAGCACACATTTTCTTACAATAGCAATAATTATTCGTAATGTTTGGGACCTTTTACCCGCAAGTAATGGTTTCATTGTCAACTTTGAAAGCCCTAATTTTATCATTCTAGATGTCTTATAAAAGATTAATTTTTTGGCTATTACTTACTTGTTTAGCGTTTAATTAACTAAGTTAGCTTTGTTACGGACATGTCTGTGATTCTATCAAAACTTTACACTTTGACTTGACTGCTGATACTATAGGTTTATCTCTAGTTTTTTTAGGTTCTCCAGATCAGGTGTTAGCCAAGGACAGTGCATTTGTGATACTCTACGTAGTGGCAGGGGGGCATGTTTCTTTAACAAAAGATTTAGAGCTTACTGTATTGATTAACTAAACCGCTTAGCGTATTAAACCGTCGTATAATATATTAAAAGGGAGATTTGGAACATCCATCAAAATTCTGTCTCGTCAAATTGGGGAAAAACTTATCAATATTGGTCTATGTTCTGAGACTGAAGACTGAAGGGGCAAAACTTCCATAAATATTGCTGACACTTGAAGATGGTCCCTGAATAAAATAATCAGACTAAAACCTTGATATAACAGCTTTCCGTGCAGTATAACAAATGCTGCTTACCTCAACTATTGCTCCGTTGTTTAGCTTCAGAAAATGTCTGTGAAGTTCCCTTAAACCATCCAGATGTATAGTGTGGATTGAAATATGGGTGATTGTTTCCGTCCGAGGTATTTTCTTCTTCTTTGGCTTTGTGTTCTCCCAGTCTTCTTCCGGGACCTGTTCATGTGACAGAATTCAATGAAAGTGACAAACAAAGAGGAAGAAGATAAATTAAAAAAAGCTTTATTGCTTGACAGGTGATAATGCAACAAAGAAATGAAATGCTATTCCAGCAGCCAACAGTAACTATTAAAACAAACAGGCTACATAAATGTTTCATCGTTTTCAGTTTTGTCTTTGGCAGCTCTCAAAATTTCTCTCAAGACTTAAGAAGTACGTAAAAAACTTTGACGATTGAAACACAGCATCGTTAACATCTAAAAGCAACCCACCTCTTCTTCCTCCCAGGTGTAATGGTAGACACTGACTTTCCGCTGCTCGCCTTCTTGTCCTCTCCATTTTTCTGCTTTTCTGCAGATGAATGCAAGCTCCTCATTCGACATTTCCAGGTCGTAGGGTACAAAGAAATTAGTCTCGATTCCATGTAGCCTCCAATAGATATCCATCATTCTGCCATTGTTGTGAAGGCGCATGAAGTACAAATAGAGTATGGCGCATGCGCAAAACACGGTAACGGCGTACAGAAACAGCGTAATCGAAATGCTGATGAACAAAGTAACTGCTCCGTTGCCAAAGTAACGGCTAAAATGGTAGAACAGCTTGTAAGCATCACCAATAGGGTTATCGCCGCCAAGATTTATGTACCTGAAACAAGACAAACAGCATTGAATGGGTTGTTTGCATTCTCTTCTGCTTTAGATATAGACACGATCGTTGACCTTATATTTCTGCGTTGCCAAAAGGTTTTTTATCAGAAATTGCAAACTAAATGTAATGATATGAAGAAACAAGGTTGTAAAAACTGTCATTGACAACATGATCGGGAGATCCACCTCGAAAGCAAGGGAGACTTAGAGCACTAATGAAAAAAACCGGCATTTTTGGACTGCGGCCAGTCAATGATTAATCATAACATTATTTGTTGTCATATACTGATGATTAAAGATAAATAAGAACTATTACCTTCCCTTGGCTGTATCAACGACGAGAATCCAAAATGGATCAAGCGCAGTTTGAATTCCGTAAGCGATTATGAAGCGGGAAAGTAGATTTGGAAATCGGTCGTACAGAAGCTGGAAGAAATAGCAGAAGAGGATCATCACGATAAGAACCATGATGTTGGTGAAAGGACCCATCGCAATGACGCCGATTTCCTCTCTTGTTCTTAGGATGGTGTTCTGGAAATGGATGCTCACAGTGTACGGCAAGTACTGAACGCTGTAGAGAGAAAGAAGATTTATGCTACAATACTGAAAGAACATCTGGAAGATATGCGAAGCAATAAGTACATGCAAAGGGGAATGACTTGGTGTTGGGGAATGGCAAAGGAGGAACGGTAAATACACGAATTGTCAAGTTATCAACGAGGAAAACCAGGTATCTAATGGATATATAGATAATTCAAAAAAGAGGCATACCTATTGATGGGAATGAGCTGACCAACCAAGAAGATCCATTGTCCCACGTAATGCAAGTACATTCTGATCCACCATGCGAGGACTAAGATCAAAAGCATTGACCAGAATTCTTTGCTCTTGTACTGCCACAGATCAAGCTCAATTGGCATCATACGCCACACATAGCGCATTCGTCGTTGACTTTTGCGAAGCATGCTGTCCTTACCTGACCACTTTGTCCTGAAAAAGCACAACAGTGAAAATCTGAGTAAGAATTCTAAAAAGACAGCAAGTGAAGTCTCATTTAGTTAACGAAATAGTCCATTAATGAGTAGCTCCGGACAGCGTTAGACTTACAATACATAGTTGAATCTCGTCAAGTCGGACCTTCAAGGAGGCAAAAAAATGATCCGACTCAGCAAATGTACAACTGACCCTTGGAACGACTTTCCCCTTCAACGTGAAAATAACAAAATGAGAATCATCTGTTATCAACGATTATTTAAATGGCTTTGAAAAAAGCAAACATTTTAAAACATACAATAGCTTTTCGTCTGACACTCCCCTGTTTGTATAGGCCGTCAGAACATAGATCGAAAACAATACGCTAGGAAAAACATAAATCATAAACTATAAACATGGACTATAAACTATAAACTCTAGCGTGGAGTTTTCAATCTATGTTCTGACGTTTTATACTCTGGCGTGTATGAGACACCCATTTTGTCTTTTAAACAAACAATTTGACTTGAACAACTTAGGGAGTAGCAGCTTACTTGATGGAGTAGTTGTGTTGCTCTAACTCCTCCAGATGTGTTAGCTTTTTCTTCTTACGTTGCTGTGCAAGCAGGGGTGTCTTTGGCAACATCGTGTAGAATTTAGATTTCTCGTCTTCACCCTGATGACTTTGACGAACCTGAGAACAAGATATACTAAAGGTTAAATGACAGGCATCACAATTTAACCGTGTCATCTAAGGAAAGCATGGCGCACCACCATTGCCAAAACTAATCGAGACCTTCACGAAAACAACAGATATTCGGTACAATGTTTGTAAGAGAATGGAAAGCGACTATGATTTCCTTTACAGTAACCATAAACAATGAGATTCATCTGCATGTCTTAATGTATAGAACTTAGAGTTCGAGTTTCATGCTTCATGGGATCATCAGGTAACTGTCAAACTTCTCTTTGTATTAATATCCGTATTCATACAACGAAACTTTGAAAAACGTAAAAAGAAAGGATCTGTGATAAAATTCAATATAAATATTTGATGTGAAAGCAACGTAATTGCCGTTAGGACCTATTCACTACTCTACAAGGGGATCATGTTTTATTGTTAATACAGTCCTTCAGATGAGCATTTTGAAACAGCTTTGAATTACAAGAAAGTATGCAGTTCCATAATAACGATGCTGTTCCATGCGACAAAAGTTGTATGATAAACGCCTTTTTTAAACATATTCACGGTTACTTCTAGAAATTAGGATGCCCTTGCAGTTTCTCGAATCGTAGTTTGAATGCAAGGGTACCTTTTCTGAAATAATTTCCGAGATATTCTGTCCATGATCTGGTACCTTAACGAGTTTCCTATTTTTAGCTGATTGATTGCATTCGACTGGCTGTTATGCGTTGAGCCATTATAGAGCCATTGGTTTTTATCGTCAAATTCGTAGGTTTGGTTTTGTAGATTTTGTAGAATCCTTATTGTGGAGCTAGGCATATTTTCTCAAAGTAAATTGTTATTGTTCATGTCAGTTTATTCCGATGGTTTTAAGCTGAACAGTATGTAAATGGATAGAGTTTAAGCAACGAAATGAACTGACTTTACACGCATGAATTTACTATATGTCATGACCCCTGATATAGAATAATAAGAAAGTTGTTATGGAATGATGAAAACTAATATGGAAAGATGAACGCGAATAGTTTTTACACATTGATGACAGGCATGCTTTTTCAAATTTTCTTCATCACTCCATGTTATCCATAAGATCTTTGCATGCCTCATTATTTGATAGTTCTCGATACAAATTTCATCAATGATCTTAAATATTACAATGCCTAATGATTCAAAACTTTTTATCCATCAGATAAGACGCTCCTTCGTTTATCACCATTGCCATACAAGCTGATATTATGTGAAAAGAATCCCAAAACTGTAGATATTTTCTTTACCTTGTAATAGATCCCAGGTTGTCCTTCAACTGGTTTCAATCCACCGCCCTTGCCAATGATATAAACTTCATCTCCAGAATACTCTGAGTCACTAGAAGACTCCTCGTCACCCAAATAAACACCCTGCTCCTCGACTACTTTCCTAGAACCATACACAGTGAAAGGCCTTTCGCCTTCAGCATCTGGAACCTGCACTTTTGCTGGCTGCCTGGACCCTTTGCGTTGCCTCAAATCAGTTGAAAGTTGTGAAATCTTCCTCAGTTTTGAAATGGAGGGTGCTGGTGAAACACTGCGATCAGAAGTCTGTTGGGCGAAAGTAATTAAGTTAGCCTGATACCAAACACACTTCAACAAAAATAATCATAAATTGCTGACAACCATATTCAGGACATCACAAAAAGTGACTTGTAACAAAATTCGAGGCAAATAAATGTGAATGCGCATCAGTTATAGGTATATCTAATTTGAAAATTCAGTTATCGGAACTACCATAGGAAATAAATTATAAGCATAAACGTCCAAGGGATGGAAAAGAAAATTTGATAGACCCAAGAAGAAGATGAAAATTTAAAAACGATATCAGCTTTTTGGTGGTTAAAGAATTAATGAAGCATTCTGTCAAGCTTTAGGATTTTACAAAAAGTTGAAATAGTCACTTAAAATTGAAGTTGTTACGTGGAAACATGGAAATTTTGGTACAAATCCCTGCGAGCGTCAGTGACAATATAAGAAAATCTAAAAACTGAGCTTATAAGAGTACGTATTCAAGTGTCTTCTATAATGGAATGGAAAAGAGAAGCGAGAAAAAAGTACCTTTCGTTGAGGAACGGCTGGAACATCAATAGTTAGATTATCTGCAGGAGCGTGGCTTGGGCCGGGTTTGACATCATCATCGTTAGAAACCAAGTTATTCTCAGTATATATATCAGAATAAGCAGGAGGTCTGAAGCTCTGTATAGAAACCGTGCTCGCCACGATTGACGGTGGCATGGCTTTTTCGACTTCAGAGCTGGCGTCTTTACTTATAGAAGGTGCGGGCTTCTCATTCTGTGCTATTTCTTTATTAAGAAGTTTCGACGTCTGGCTTGAAAACTGCAATTCGATTTCGTACTCCTTTTGTCCAGCTAGGTACCTGTAGGTAAAAATGCAATAACAACTTGCCATACTTGAGCACAGAAGAGGAAAAATATCTCCAGCGTTTCTCTCAAAAAAAGGGGGGGGGAGAGATGGGAAAAGCAGAGGAAATTGTTAACAACTAAGGTACCGTGCCGGAGAACTGGAATTCTTATCATAATGTGAACAATTTTTTGGCTGTACAGAACTTTAAAATGGCTTTGAAAAATGCAAACATTTCACAACACACCACTAAATGATCTTTCTACTTATTCGATCTACATACAAACGAAAAGCCGCCATTATGTAGACAGAAAAAGTTCGTGTTCGTGGCAGAATACGACTTATGCTTCTCTAACAAAGGAGTCCAGAGGAATTTTATCTGTTATGGGATTGTATCAAACAGCCTGAATTCTTAGCACATTGAATTTACGTATTCTGAAACGATCAAAGCAACGTAAGACCAAAAAATATATTGAGCAGGGGGGCATGGGTCTGAATTTTATGTGGAGTCTAGGTGGTTAGTTTATGGATACCTAAGTGATAGATTACGTGAAAGTAACAAAGTTGCTTGGCTTATATTTTACTTACTTTGGCAATTTCACAATCTCAAAATACAAATTGCATAACCAATGGTCAATGTCCGAAGCAACCAATTTCTCGATTGTTTCGAACTTGTCGATGGCAGGATCCATGCTCCCACGTAACAATGGTGATTTGTGTCTGTAAAAAATGTCTGCCTGTTTAGAGCAGCTGTTGCTCGTGGAATCATTAACAGTTAAAAGGAAAGATAACTAAGTTGCATATCATGAATATTGATACAGAATGTATCAAGCGACATGGACCTTTTATAAAAGATTGAGACCGTTCTGAAGCTAGCAATATCTTCTAAAACATATCAAAAATCAACAATAAATTTAAATTTACGGGTATAATATCAACAGTCGCTTTACTGTAGTGTTTTGGTTTCATACACCAGCTTCTTGCAAGTGAATTATGACAGGTAAATAAATTGAACTTGAAAATATCATTCTGACTTACTTTCCTTCAGCGACGTTAAAGTTCCCATCGCAAATGGGAAAGCAGCCCCAGCCAACAACTTTATCAGTGGGTGTAACTGAGCCTCGTAGTATCATCAACTCGAAAACGAGGATCATCCCTGCTTTCATATCAGGTCTCGAAGGGCAAACGGCAAATACACTTTGATCCATCTATAGATGCAGAAAAATAAGGATACAGTTTTGGGATGACGGCATACATACATACATACATATATGCCATCAGAAGATACATACATACCACAGGTATGGAAAAAAGTAGGCTTCTATACGAACAAGATATAAGCAAAACAATTATTCAAAGAGCTTTGATTTTCATAGGTTGATCCTCAACAGAATGACTTGCAACGGTGAAACCAACCTTCAATTCTATATTGAAAAATTCACCATCATGATTCATAGGCAGTGTTGCGCCACCCCATTGCTGTCCCTTTAGATTTGCCCATTTCATCACGTGACCACCCAAACGGCTATACAAGGAAGCCATAAGGACGTATCTGCTAGCTGAAAGATGAAAAAAAGGAAGTTTGTAATTTCGCAAGTGAGATTGATTGGAAGCTAACAAGAGATAAGAAACTAAAGAGTTGCAGAATTAATTACATGGATCTCTCAAAGTATTGAAAAGGGTGGCAGCCAAACATAGACAACATCTACTCTATTGAGAAACAGAATATGAGGTCACTGAAACAGCAAGGCAGAAGACAATAGGAAAATGGCTGTATTTGATTATACCAAAATGTACCTGGAAGCTTATTCTTGACACCACGGAGGCACCTCAGCTTGATCTGAATTGGCTGCGGTGTCCGAATCCAATCAACTTTCCACCTTCTGCATTTACTCCCCTCATACTGGCCATCAGAGAAGACCAGGTCACCATACATTGTCTGCAAACAAACAGGATGGGAAGTTCAGACATATAGTGACAAAATTGACATAAACAAACAACATTATCTCAAATGGCTCAGTAGATAATTAAAACTGGCTCAGTAGTTATGGTCACGGACTAAGATCCATGGGTCTGGGATTTAAGTTCCTGACATGATCAAATTGTCACTTAGAGCAAGGAGAGTCATCAGCTATCTGTAATTCCAGGCGTAGTAATCATGTAAAGAAAAGATCAGGACACTGCTCAATAAGCTTAGCTACTCTGTGCCAAAAACGTGTCGTTGGAAGGTTATAGCAAATTACATATTATGAGCACCGGTTTAACTTTCTAAAGCAAAAGCAGGAGAGCATTGGCAATAAATTTTTATGTAAAAGGAGTTCAGCTCACCTTAACCTCTCCCATCTTCTTTGCGAGGGCTTTTAAAAGATGGTTCTCTGATCTTCTGAAAGACCTGTGAATACGATCTTGCAGCAACCTGTCTCGCTGCATCAGATGTTCCTAGCAGAGACAAAGAAAAAATCGATGAGCAGCTGAATACAGGTAAAAATTCATATGAATATCAGGAAAGTAATTAATCAAACTACGATTTCCAAGAAAATCTGATCTAGTGAACAATTTTTGCAACCACACCCTTTAGGCTAGCTTAAAATACATTTCAGAATAATCCTTGCGGTCCTTTTTTGCAAACATCTTCCTATTTTTAAGAAATGGTTTCTTATGTTTGATTAATTCCAGTCTTATAATGGAATCCGTTAATTTATGGGACACTATAGACCCTGGCTTGTTCCTTTGAAAGAAAGCAATACTGTAACAGGATTTATCGCACTAGTCTTTTCTTCTATTTCCATTTCATCTAATCTTTTCATTCTTATAAAAACACTCTTTTGCAAAAAAGAGGGAGAGCTGAAGCCCCCAGCCCCCTGCCTCATACAGCCCATGTAAAAAGCCTTGACTGATTCCAAAATCCTATCGTTTATTTGCATCCATACAGGCATCTGTTTCTATGTCACACCAACTCACAGCTATGATTGACTAAATATATAAAAATATGAAAAACATGGGTTGAGGATATATACAAAATTACAGACAAACCTGTCTCATGAGAATGAGCTTGCACTTCTGCCTGAACAGGTTCATGACATGTTTCTTGGCTTTTTCCATGGCCATCATGATTTCATTCTGTCTGTCTCTCTCGACTCTTGCCTCTCTTTGTCGAAAAGCTATATGCTCTTCTCTCAATCTTCTTTCCTCTTCCTAAAAATGAAAGAAATGCGCTATCACCGTTGATAATGAAAACAGCAAGGGTAAAGTCAACTTACCATAGGAGCATACTATCCTGCCTTGAGAAGGCAGCACAAGATGAACTGCCTACTTTTGGAAAAAACAAGGCAAGCATTTTCCCAAAAAACAGAAAAAAATTTACAAAAATTAAAAACAATCTGGACCATGATTAAGTAAGCAACTTAACCAACCTGTCATAAAATCTTTTGGGGATGCAAACTGATCAAAAGATTGATTAAGAAAGACAATAAAGATGTCTTTCATGCAAATAAGAAAATCTGACTTCTTTAACTGCCTAGATTCATATACTTCTTCCTGTACAATCAATTCTGAGCTATAATTGGCTTACCTGTACATCCTCAAGGGAAATATCACCAATTTCAATTATTTCCTCTTCAATCTTTCTTTCAAACTCAGCGAGGTAAGATGCTATCTCTTCATCAGCCATGCCTTGTCTAAGTTCATCAACATACTTGTGCATTTCTTTTTGTTGCAAGTTATCATAGAGTGAGGGTGGGGGCTTCTTAGTTCCCAGATTAGACTTCTCATTCTCCAAGTCGTCTGCAAAGCCATCCAGGCTCTGCAAATCTTCTGCCTCTTTGTAATCTTGGAGAAAAATAGATCATAATAAATTAAATTGAGAATTACAGAGTAACTTGACAAAGCAAATAAAAAAATAATGATTAATGACAGAATATGGTTCAAATTGAAATTATTTCAATAAAGGTTTTTTCAAAATTATAAAGTATTCTAAATTCAAGGATTAGTCTTTTTCCATTTTTTTTGTAAGTGATTGCTGTATTTTATGGCAATTCATTACAATAAAAGACTCTCTTCTAATAGAGGACTTTGAAAATTATGTTGAAAATTTTTCCAAAAGTTTACAAGATCAAGCAGTCATTGTTTGGCTAAAGGCATATTTTTCTCCTGACATAAGGCTCCAGACATAGTGGATTTATAACCAACCAACAAAGGGCCTGGGTCCCTCTGCTAATTTCTGAGGGTCCCAAAAGCAAAAGGTTAAAAACCCGAGTTTGACAACTGAGAATGCTGAAAATGCACACATACTGCCCCCAAACCCTATTTCCCATGACCGTGTTGGTTTTTACATGTTTGTGTATTATCTCTTTATGTTATTTTTGCCAAGTCATTTCTATTTGTTCTTAAAAAAATTGTGGGCTCTTTCAATTTCAAAATCTTAACTACCACATGCTAATTAATGCAATATGTTACTAATAAACAACAGACATGCTCTACAACAACAAAATACATATATACCTAACATTTACACTGTAGCAAAAATCACAGTATCAAATTGCATGGTCCTACAGTTATAATAGGAGATCCGAGATGGTAATGTAAGATTTGAGGCAAGAGACAGAGATGATAGAAAAAAAGTAAATGATGAAACTAAAGAAAATATATAAACTTACCATTTCCAGTTTTTTGGCCATCATACTCCTCAAAATCAGTATCTTCGTCTTCTCTTTCTTTCTTTTCAACATACCTATACATCTCCCAAGGTAATGTGTCACTACCTTCAAAAACATCCTCTTTTGCCACTTCTTTTTCCTCATCTATTTTATGATCTTCATCTTCTTCCTTCAACTTTTCAGGTGCCTGCATGTTAAGGGCTTCATCTTCCATTACTTCAGAACCATCTGGAACTGGGTTTCTCATTGGGGCATCATATTCACCAACAGTCTCATCTGAAAATGAAACAGCTTTGAGTTGGAGCTCATCATTTTCTTGAGTATTTTCAACCTCAACCTCAACCACTTTTCCTGGGTCATCTTCTACTATGGTATTTTCTTCCACCTCAACTTGTTTATCTTCTTCTTGTTCTTCCTCTATGGAAATTGAAACATCCATCACCTGCAAATTGGAAAAGAAGAAGGTAAATTTCTGATTCAATTGACTTGTAGAAGGGATGATAAAATCTTAATTGAAGTTAAATTTTAAATGTTAAAGTACCCACTTTTTGTCTCACTCCTCAGATTCTAAATGTGGGATAATGACCAAAGGTAAGCAGAAATTTATATGCAAATGCAGATCAAAAAAGTATGAGAGAAGGAATGGCATGTTTGAGTTGTACCTTTAGGCATCATCCTATGTTTATGATATGGTGTATAAGACAAAAATTACTTTAGCACATTATGTTTTCTGCTTTCAGGTGCTATCTTCGAATTATTTGGTACCAATGGCTTACATAGAAATGCAAGAATTATGGGCAAAAGATCATGCTGTTGCAGTCTTGGTCATTATTTACATACTGATTTCTATGTCATGCTAGCTCTGCAAGTACAACAGTATCACAACAGATCTTTCATGCAGAGAAGATCTGAACACAGGTAGTCTGTGGGCTGGCCACTCTGTGCAGGCTAAACGCAGGGGCATCATGGCTGGGGATGGCAGGAGGGCATGTGCCCCCTTAGCATTGACCATTCAGAGATTGCCTTGGAACCCCAAAAATTAGGTATTATAAGTAAAATACTTTCAATGTGTAAAATATGGATGTTTTTCACTAATCTATCAGGTCTGCCCCTCCCCCCAAACAAAAAGTTGCATCTCGGTCTTTGTTTGCCATTCATAGAAAGCTAAGAAAGTTCAAAGAAACTAATCATTATAGCAGGTGATTGTGAAGAATGATGTAGACAAGAAAAATCTTCTGACAACTTACAAACCCTAACTGAGAAAGTGCAAGTAAAACTAACAAAAGATACACATTACCGTTTTATAAGTCTTTCAGTATTTTGAAAAAAGTGTGCATGTCCTTAATGACATCATTTTTTTATTTTAATTGATTTTCAGAAAATTGGTAAGTTATGTAAAAAAGAGACTTCCTGCAATGTCCCAGTCGGAGCTCTGTGCTATTTCAGGTTGGCAAGCATGTTTAGATGATTTTTTGCATGCATACTTGGTATGAAAATGATTTTTGTGTTGCCAGAAAGAAAAAAACACATATTTGTTCATAGAAATTAATTTGTTTGGCTAATTCTCAATCAGCCCATACTTGCACCTCTAAACAATAATACACTTACATTTTCATTTATTTGCTCAGGCTCTTCAGTGCTATTCTTTCCCTCGCCTGCAAGGCTAGCCCCTGAGTCGAGCCTTGACAAAGTCGCTTTTCGTCGTGGCGAGAAAGCTTCTTCAGCCTGAATAGGGCTTTCTGCTTCTGCTTTTTCTGCTTCAGAAACAACTTCTTTTTCGCCATCACTTTGTTCTATGGTTACAGATTCATCTTCGGCTTTGACAACAACTATGCTTGTAAGTTCAGAATCTGATCTTGCAACTGACCTTCGAGGAACCTCCGCTCCAATGTCAGCTTGTTTCTCTGTTGGTGGAAACGAAGTTTCCGATAGTTGTTCTAAACTGGGACTTCCTTCAAGACTTGACGATGATTTTGTTTCCTGTAACCTTATTTGATCAGCGTCTTCAGTATTTTTCGTCTTTTTTCCTTGCGACTTTTTTCCCTTTGCTTTTTTCCCCTTTTTTGTCTTTATTCGTTCTGCAGCCTCCTCCATTTTCAAGCTCTGTGTGTTGGCCTAATGAGAGTTTATCTCCACAAAAACTTTACAAAGCCAAGTTAACCATAATACAATCGAACTTACAGTTCGCTTTAACCAATTATCTTTTTACGTGAATGATTGCCGTCAAATAGTTCAATCCCACCAAGATATTTTACGAAAAATGTTACTAAAACCCTAAGGTTCGCCGTCCGCCATTATCTGATTTTCAATTCTTGTTGCTATGGCTGCAACTCCCACTCAAGTCGCAAAAAACATTTTGGGATTCAAAAGGACATCCTTTCAAAAAAGATTACGATTTTTGATAAACCAGAATTTATTGCGTTTTTAAGTTAAAAGCCACTACACTGAGCACAGACTGCTAAAAAGTGACATTATATCAGTATGTTTAAGTACATTTACATATCTGCATAAAGGGTATTTTCCTGTTGCAATTCCTACAAGTACGTAGAGCAAGAACTAAAATGAATTAAACAAATCCACTTTCATTATCTTATCCGTTATATTCCCCTATATTCTGTTCGGGTTATAAACCCAAGAACTTAAATGAAAATCTTCAGATCAAAATAAAAACGGTCGGTCACGAAACCCTTCACAAAAAAAAGACGGCGGCCTCCCCTTCCAAAAGAGGCGGTTGTTTCTTTGAAGGCCTCCTTTTGGCACAGAATTTTACTCTGTTTTTGTGACCATGGTTTATGCATTTCTTCTCCAAAGCGTTGGTATAAAAGAGGAATCGAATAAAATAGTCTATTCAGAAGTGTTTGGTACGGGACTGGTATGTATATTTCTCTGCCAGAGTGTATTTGTGGGCAGTGACGAATCTAGCCTTAAAAATCTGAGGGGGCTAGTGCTAGCCGAGCCGGGACCAGGTTTCACTTAAATAAAAGAGCCTTTTCCCTACGTGACAAAAGGGTTTTAATGGGATGCAGAAAAGTTTAGTTTGGGCTTACTCTGCGCACCCCACCTCAAGAAGTGCTATCTTGTGATAATATATAACAGAGTCATATTATAGAAAAAAGTGGTTGTCAAGAATGAAATTTGATTTTCACCTCGATTACAAACCAAAATGCTTATCAGGGCCCCTATCTTGTTAGATAAAAATGCAATAAAGATCGTATTGAGAAAAATAGAAGGGAGCTAAGCCATAATGGCAAAAATGGTTGAACAGTTATGTAAGAAAATATCAAATTAATCGTAGTAACTTTTGCATAAAATTTGGGGGGGGGGGGGGCAAGCAAGGTGCCTTGAAAAATTCTGGAGGAATCATCACTGTTTGAGGGTATTCAGTTTTAATTGCAACCAGGTTTTGTCTCATACCAGACTGCAGCATACGAGAGTTTCCAGCAAGATTTCAGGTGTGAAAGTGCAAAATCTCATGTGTGCACTCTGATGTAAGTGTGGACTTCAGTCACATATATTAGTGTGCAAACTATGCTAGAGCAGACCAAAGGATATCAATTAAAAAGGGCAAAAGAGCGAAGATAATAATGTACATGACAGTTGACAGTTATTTTGTTATCAAACCAATGCACAAGGTTATGTCAATCTTGAGGAAACCTAATCCTTCATTTGCCCAAAGCAACAAGCCACACTCTTGTCAAGCCCTGATCTCGCAAACCCACATCCTTTACCAAGTGTGCAGGAACATTTATTTCAAAAATATCTATGGTGTGCACTTGCCATACTTTAATGCAAAAATTGATAGTGCTGTACCTGCACTTGAAGTACATGTGGAGCTCTTTGTGCACCCAACATCTCTTCAAAATCAGCCATACTCTGCAAATTGAAGAAATTGATGTTTTTTTTCAGAATCTTGATGTGCCACCCTCTGATCAAAGGCAAGTGAGAAAGAGACAGCTTATGAGAATTGCTGAAAGAGTCAATTCAGAGTACAGGTTTAAGAAAGCATGTCATTTGGAGGCTGTTGAAAGTGATCCATCACATGCTGAAAGGTCAGTTGTGGCTTTTCGATAATTCATGTGGTGATATGGCTGAATTTTTTTAGCACTGAAGTTTTAGGGTTTGTTGTCGACAAAGAAGGATGAGCTTTCCATAAGCTTACAGCCACAGGAGCCAGAGAAGTTGCGGGAGTCCTCCCCCTCCCCAGTTGGACAAAAACAATACCAGTCAGCAATGAATAATTTATTTCTATGTGAAATATATATGTGGCTACTAAGGAAGGATGCAATACGAGAAAGTAATGTGGCTGTGGAAATGAAAAATAGATGGAGAAGGGAAAATCACAGTATTTAAGTTGAGCAAAAATATTTTATGTACATATGTCAGAAGATGATACCTAGTATATTCGTGTATGATATCAATATGGCAGGACACTTAGCAGCCAAAGTTTGACATTTAGCTTGCTACCAAAACCCTAGCATGCATTGGTTCCCAAACTCATTTGAAGAGCTCGAGAAACCCGAATTAAAACTCGACTTCCAGGAAGATTGATGTCAAATTAAATTCACTTAAATTATTAAATAGTTTTTTAAATTTTTGTCTTCCATTTTTAGTTTTTTTAACTTTGTCTTCCATATTTTACGTTTCTGATGGGATATCGTGTTGAAATAAGAATTTATTTAAGAAAATAATAAAATTAAAATTTGTAGAGGCAATCTGAAGCCCAAGTTAATTCATTGTAGTCCATTTGATATCAGAATAGCAAAATAGCAGTTTTACAGTACCTTAGTTGTTGTAGAGCAAACAGTCTCTTTTAGCTTGTCTAAAGTTTTACTTCCCTTGAATACAGACTAACACAGGCTGAAGAATCTGGAGTATTTAGGTAAGACCTTTATTTACATAATGTTTTTCAGTTTTATACCTTAACTTTCCTTTTGTGTCATACACTTTCTATTTTCTTTGTGAAAAGATATTCTATACAATAACATCTTTATTAAAGAAATTAATTTTAATTTTCTTAAAACTTAAAATATTCTGAAAAATTTGATAGAAACAGTTAAATGAGAGAATGTGATCGAGGAAATATTTGAAAATGTGTCAATGAGATACTTTTCAATTCTCACTCTATATCAAACCTTTTTGTCCATTGAAATAATGGAACCAAAGTCATCGTTTTTCCAATTTCTTATCTTTTAAATGGAGTTTACTTCTAAGGTGAGGTTTCAATATTACACAACCTATATGAACTTTTAATTTATTTGTTAGATTGCCAGCTGGAAAATTCTTGCCTGCAGAAAAGCATGTTGTCTGGAAAGCAAGTGATAGGTACTAACTTCAATGTTTAATGTTTAATATCTTTCCATGTTTAATGCCAGCATTTAAATAAGCAAATACTGTCATTTTTTTATCATTTGAAATGTAATGCTACAGGAATTGGGTTTGAAAGAATTTCCCTCCTCAGGGCTAGTTTCTTCATTATTCTTGAGTTTATTTTTATTTTTTCACTGTAATATATTGCTTTCCAAGTATAGAGAAAAGTCTTATGCATGGTATGACATTGCAGTATATGACTTATATACAATAAGACATGGTAACAAGTTTTTTCTTATAATTCTAACATGGATTTCAGACTGTATCTTTTACAAGAATGCATCTTATACATGGTAAATTATGTTATTTTTCATGAGACAGCCTATTAAACTTACAGAAGTTCATGTCTGGATATACCTTGCTAAGATATAATGAATTTGAAAGTTGCCCCAATTTTCAAAAGCCCAAATTTTCAAAAGCCTGAATTTTTAAAGCTAAAATTGTGTTTAAGATTTTTATGTTTAATCAGAGTGTATGCCCAAGAAGACCCTCTGGCTATTTGCTTACTAATATCTTTACATAATTCTTTTGTTTCTTTTTTTAGTTGCTGCTTTTCTATGATTCTTTCGCCCTCTGAAAACAAAGCTCTAGCTGAAAATGTTTTGAGTTTGATCATACGCTATTTATTGCAAACATTCAAACATTTTGATCAAACTGAAGAGGTAAGGTTTTTTACTCCTGTATTATTTCTACACAGTCGTAAGAATGATAGGATTATTAAAGCATAGCATTGCTTTGAGGTTTGAATGTAATATAGTTTAAGATACTGTCTTAAGAATGTTATAAAATGCTGCTACACATTTATGTACATCATCTTGTGAAAAAATTTGCCTTGAAATGTTGAGAAAGTTACAAATTACACCTTCAAAGATCAGGCGCAGATCTAGCCAAGATTTTGACCGGTTTTGGGGGTGTTTTACCCCATTACAGCCCTGTGTGTCAATGGTACATGAATATTGCGAAAGGTGCACTGGTAATGAAAATTTATGAGGTCAGTAAATTGTGATTAATTTGCCATCCCTTTATCTGAACTGTCAAAGTTTTACTCCGTTGAGATGGTCTTTGATCCTCTTCTTGCAACTTCGATTCTAATTTTCATGAATTTTCCGAGAAAGAAAGTCTAATACAAGAATCCTAGAACTCGGATTCTCATTTCTATACATGTTCCACTTTGTTTCATGTTGTATCAGAGCGTCAATATTTTCGAGCTATGGATATCTATATCGAATTAGCCAACGGTTTTTTCACATAAGGGAAACATATGGGAGCACCGGTTTTCACAAGTTTTCAGATAGCATAGATGGCATACTCAAAACTGCCATTTTGAGTGTTGACTGATTTCCTCGATTTTGAATTCCTCGGATACTTAGGGAGAAAAGACGAATTAAAAAGCTTGGAACTCTGTCGGAACGAAATTAAGCAATTGTGGGGGGGGGGGGGGTTTCAATTAAGAATTTAGTATGTAAGCACATGAACTGCAGTCAGACAGGGAGATATGCATCAATAGCCGCAATTGAAATTTTAGATAAAAATTCAAGATACATATCACAGAGAAACATAGCTCTAAGAATTTGACCGGTTTTCTGAAACCTGTGCAACCGGTCTGCATCCGCGCCTGATGATTGATTAAATATTGAAGTGCATAATGTAAGTTCTGTATTTCACCTAATATTCTTGCTCTCCAAAGGAGGTGCATTAGATATAGGAAGGTCTTAGAATAAGCTGTATGATGTTTTACCATATTGTAAAGTAACTCACCAGGTATGTTATAATTTTGGTTACCTTAGATCCTTGAAGCATCTCAAAGAGGCAGGAATGTCAACAAGTGGATGATTTTGGGGGGTTGTGGAATGTTGAAAATTCCAACTTTGAAAATTTTTCTATCGACCTGTTAATCTACTGAACCTACTAATTGGTTTTTTAAAAATAGCCTCATCCAGATTTCTAGTTTCTGTATTATAACAAACATTTTACTTGTAACAATCGGTCTTAAACGTAAAAACACTAAAGAAAATAAAGGAAATCTCTAAATTTTAATTAACGTATTAGATCTTGCATATATATTTAATGATAAAAAGTAATATTCTTTCACGTCAATTAACAGCGATTCGGTTCCTTTTTTTGCTTTGCTCATTTTAAAACTATTTGTTGCAGATCAGTTTTGTATAACATATCTTTTTCATAGTAATGAAGCATCAAGGAATTGACTATTTCATCTTTTGTTCTTGATCGAAGGAAACTTTTTACAATATTCAGAGGGCTAAATGTCCTTTGTGTTTTGCAAGGGTGATCTAAGGGCATGTGCATGTGCCCAAGATATAACAGGGGCTCACATCGTTAGATATAACCATGGATATAACACTCTTTTTTATCTAATACTTCTGCTGCTGCTTCTTTGATCAATGTTTTGTTGCTTCTCATAAGCTTTATCATAGCATTTTATGATAAATTTTAAGGTTGTCTACAAAGTACAAGGGAGCTTAGCATACACTCGTTAAGAAGCTTTGAGAACTTCTAGCAATGACAGATCTTTAATATTTGCAATGAAAACTCTCACTTCCAATTGTTCTGATCAATACAGGGTATTATTTTTTCAAAATTGCAGGCTAAATCAATACTGATAGTAAAATTTAAACTTTTTATCCAGAAATTCATCTTGCCTGTTTAAAATTATTCAGTTTAACTTAACTCCTGTCAAAAAAGACAAAACGGTGTAATGGCGCAACTTGACATCCAGGACTTCACATTTAAAAGCGATTAAAAGATGTGTCTGCTCCAAAGTTCGATTTTTAATAAAGTCTAAGATTTTTACGTTTAAAATCCCAAAATCCCTTAGCTATAAAGGTTACATATTTGGTCATGAGAGTTAGAAAAAAATCCAAGTGAACTTTTACTTTTTCTAATTTTAATTGGATTTTCCAACCTTTGGGGGGCGTCGTGCCCCCACGCCCCCTATTATTTACGTGCCGGCAAATAGGGCTTAAGAAATGGGGGTGTTTTTTCTCTTTACGTTTATTCTCTAGCAGAAATAGACAGTAGGCTTTTATTAAAAGAGCAAGGGAGTTCCTTAGATGAGATATTGCACCCTTTCTGTCGGCGTCTTAATGCCTTTTGCATCTTGTTCTTTGTAATTTACAGATGGCTGTCCATCCAGATAAGATTGCAGCGATTTTACACAATTTCTTACCAAACGGACAGGTAAGCTCATTTACCTACAGCAGCAATGCATAGTGTAATTCTTTGCATGCTAGATAATAGAAATTCGACTGTAAAAATAAATTGCTTGCAATTGATGTCTAGATTAATTCTATTGTCCAATTTCTCTCTGATTAACAGCTTGTTTTTATGAACCATCGAGTTGTGAAACAACTGGAAAAAGAATTATATCGAATCATCAACGACAGCAAGTAAAAACTGGAAGCCATTTCCGTTCCACTGAAGTAAGGAACTATTTTACGAAAAGTGGAAAGATTAATCTTGTTTATATGACTGTAACACAATAATAATGTTGTCCCTTTAGTTTGTTAAAAGATATGTAGAGTTTTATATTTGAAAATTATTGAATATTTGGACAGGAAATGAATTGTTATATAGAAAGAGATTATATCATTTGTTTAAAATTATTATAACAAAGACGATAGCAAAGAGCTGGTGTTTAAAATTTTGTATATTGTGCCTAAGAACATTGCCACTGTTACTAGTTTTCATGCGTCAAATTACAAAGTATTTTGAATCGAGAGTGTTTTAGGAAAGGATTCTTTCATCTTTTGCATTATTTCTTCCAGCCTTTCAATGTCAAGCTCTATCTCTTTAAATATTGTTTATTCCCTAATATTTATCACCCTTTCGCCTTGTCTGACGGAAGATGTTTTAGAAATTATGTTGCACCTCCAGGGACGCCGGAACGACCAACGGGCAAGGGGAGGCAGGCTTGAGTAAAAGGGCATTTGAAAAAATTATTTCCCAGCTACCAACAATTCTTTCGTAACTGTCATTTTGTTTCGATCTTCTGTCAGTATCTTAAAATAAGGCTAAATTTTGGCATAAGGAATTTCTTCACAAGTTTGGAGTAATGTCGTCATAAATAAGACACTACAGTCAGGATTTCATATGAATCTCATTGACTTTTTACAAAAGGCCGGCGTCAAATGCACTTCTATGAAAAGGGCACTTTAGCCCCCTTGCCCCTCCTATCAAAAGGCAACAGAGGCGGTTGACCCCCCGTGCCCCCCTCTCCGGCGTCCCTGTGCACCTCTCCCACGTTGACTGTTTTATGATATGGATATTTCAAACACATCTGCCCCGCAATATCTTTGTCTGGATGTGTGGTGGGTTCAATATAAACTTGCCATGTATAAGCAGTCGCGAGTCCTTTCCAATGTCACAATTAATCCTTGGGTTTTATTTGCTTTTTGATAACGTGGCGTGGCTCTTCAGTTTTTGGTTTTGTTTAGTTCACAAGATTTGCTCCTGCCGAGTTTTCTAAACTGGCAGTAAAGCCCGAGTTGTTTTAGTGGAAATGGAACTGCGGGTGTTTGGGCCGTTTCATTTAAGGATGCATATACATATCTAAGAGCACCCGAAGATGTCGCTTAGGTTGTACATGTCCCAATAGTGGCCTTGCTAGAAAACTATTTAGCAAATTGGGTTTTGACTTTTAGAGGACATTAAAATGCTGCATGTTCAAAAGTTGTGCACTCAATATGTGTTTAATAAATGGCCTCTCCAGCCAAAAAAAAAAAATTTTTATTGACTAAAAAGTTAGCATCTGGTGCGTGTATTATGGCAAAGTCGTTGTTTTTGCAAAATTCCAATTAGATTACAAGTTATAAGGGTTTAAAGTTGCACCTTTCCGAGAAAAAAAACGATAAAAGCCAAATCAATTTGGTGACATTCTGACGTCACAGTGTGCGGCTCTCGTTCGTCAGGAATTTCGTATATCTTCCACCGAGTCGTGAAGGAGTCATGGTCACGCGTTGATAACTGCATCTAAATCTACAACAGGAGCTTTTTAGGATCGAAAAATATTAAATGTTTACAATCATTCTAAGTTTGCGGGTCGGAATGTGTCCATGCTGTGTCACGACTTTGTTTTGATCACCTGTGTAGGCCCACAAAGCTACGGCTTCCTTTTCCAGCTCTTCCTTCGCGTATAATTAATGGAAATTGACACTTCAGTTGTTCTTCCGAAACGAGGAACAACTAAAGGCTTCAGAGTTGATATCTGAAATGCTCAAACTAAAAGCCGGTGAAACAGAATATCAGAAATTGTATTTCAAAATGAGCTGTTTAATTTAGACTTGGAATGCTCTGCTGATAAGCTTTTGCTTGTGTATCCCGCAACTGGCCCAACTGTTTGCATGCCAGAAAAGTCGTTTCCAGTGCTGCACGTGCAACAATGAAACGCAGGCAGATAAACGCCTTAAAAACAGGGGCTCACATGCGCCACTTTCCCAGAATGAATCGCCAACAAGTAAAAGTTGAAGGAACGGCCCGGGGTGCGATGATATCCCAACATCCCTTGCCAGTTCACTACTACACTTATTTGCTTTTTCTCACAAAGGCTGCCGATTGAAGCGATGCATTGAAGCGATGTAACTAACAGGACCCGCGCCACAGGGGGGAGGGACAGATGGGCCATGGCCTCCCCACTTTTCCGCTAAATGAATTATTAAGATCAGCCATCTCCAATTTAGAATCGGTGGTGCAGGCTCTGATCAGGATTACTAACGAACATCAGAAATTTTTTGTGTCACGATATTTTTCAAAATACCCCTTCAGTTCAAATTCGATTTTTTTATCACAAGCAATAACGAAAATAAACTCACTAAAAATATTGCAAAATTTGTGATAAATTTTCTAGCCATCGAAAATGGATCTCTGCACCCCTGTAAAGAAAGTCAACTTCCATTTTTGTGCTTCTGTTCAGTTCTAGTTATTTCTGTGGATAATTCCTTCTTTCTTTTCCCTCACTTTTGAATTAATTACTTAAGCTATTTGTACCCTGTTTTGTGTTATAAATTCTAAAAAAAGCTTCTTTATACTGTTTCATTGATAAATTAATAAGTGACAAGCTTAGCAATATGTTTAGTTACTTAGTGATCTAATTCAGACCTTAGAGTACTTGGCTCGAAAACTTTCATGGTTCTTCTCAGGCCCTCTCAGTGTCCTAGACAACATATTTTTTGTCTAACTAACGTATTTTAAATGAATCTATTTCTCATGTACAACTGCAGCATCTTCATGTTCCTGTTCATGTTCATCTTCAATATATTGTAATTAATGTTGTTGAATTGAGTGGAATTTAAATCCTGCTTGCTCATGGGCTTCGACACAGGTTGGAGGGAGGGGGCAGGGCATGGGGAAAATTCAACATCCATGGCTATGCCCCCTTCATCTGAGGCCCTGTTGCTTGCTATTTTGTATTAAAGGTAATGTGTCCATATAAAAGGACTGCGTATACCCAACTTGTCAAGCCACCCATCAAAATAACAGTTTGCGATTGGTTAGTATTCTTGCGATGCAAAACTGCTCACATGAAAAGCTGACCTCGCAGCAGTATAGATAAACAAAACGACCGTAATGGCTGGGGCGATGACATGAAAATCACATGTTTCTAAAAACCCCCGCAGAGTCGCTTGCTTTAGCTGGACACATTACCTTCTAATGTAATTACTTTTTGTGAAAATGGGGCCCCTATGGCTATTCTACCACTAGCTGGCATGCGGAGCCTCGTTACATTGAAATATTTTATAATATGTACTGATGAATTGTACTTATGATGATGATGATGATGATTAAGACAAAGATTTGAGGTGAACGGCGAAATTGAGACTCACAGTTGCGCAACATGGAGTCTGGGATTTTGTTTTTCCACTGCCGTATGTTTTTCCTATCTCCACATGAATGTGTCACATTTCATCAATCATGCGTCAACAACCAACCTACTGTCCTATCAACAGTGGATATATTTATACTAAACTGTGCTGTTCTTTTCTCAATAACAAAATAAAAATCACTTTACCAGTCAGTATTGTGTTCTCCAAGAACATCGACCAGCAAACAGACGAATTTCTGATTTTGAAAATGATGTGATATTCACCAGGAAGTAGGTTCTTTTCCATCGAGGTCTTCACGTGAGGCCAACTTTATCTTCAGAGCGTCGAGCTGGTGTTTTGGTCTTGTCTCCACGGAGCATGGATCCGGACCAGGCCCAAGATGAGCCATCTACATACAGAGGGCGCACTGTTTCGGATTTGGCCCACATGTTTGAGTCGAAAGTTAGAGGTATTTTGTGTTCTTTAAAATTTCTTTCGATTGCATGTCGTGTTTTTGCCTTCAGAATCACAGTCGAGTTTTAAATTAATAAACAATTTTTAGCGGGAAGTAGGAAACCCTAATAGATTTGCTGCAATAGGCCTGGTAAAAAATGAAAATATCGAAGAACTGTTAAAGATGAAACCATCGCATTTGAGAACATAAGGGTCTGGTCAAGACATTGAAGATGCGTTTAGCACAACAACAACTACAGAAGAATATTACTATAAAAATAACGGAACAATTCAGAGTTTAGATTCTAGTTTACGAGTAGCATTGATGTGTTGTTTTTATTCGCGGCATTGTCATGTCATTGCCAATAGGCTGCTTGTAAAGGGTTATCACACTAAACCTTCCACCAATCAAATGCACGAATACCATTGATACCCATGAGCTCCCCTTTAATGCTTTGGACCAATAGCAGAGGACCTTACGCACGAGAGGTTCCAGATATCTGTAAAACTATGATATTATGTATACAGTAAATTTTTAATTTTTTTGTTATATCTTAATGTGTATGTAACTGTTGTTGTCAAATTACAATGAAATTGAATTTGAAAAATTTGAATTTGGAAAATTTGAAATTAAAAAATTTGAATTTAAATTTGTTACTATGCAAACGAGGCTAACCTGAACTCAAGTGTCGAAGCCCGAATATAGGCCTAAATTTATATAGGTATAAGCCAGAATATAGGCCTAAATTGCAAGGTAAAGATTTTCTTGTCTTAACTTATTAACACCAAGTGATTGTCCTTATATGAGAAAGTATTTATGTAAATCCTTAACGGTATAGTTAAAGGATTTTTACTTTTAAAGGATTATCTCAGATAATTTAATAACGAATTTTTTCCCATTTTTAAACATATTTAGAATTAATGGTTTCGTAATATGACCTCAGTTAACATGTCCTCTTTAGAGCTTGCACACTTTTTCAAAGATCTTTGCATTTTTCTGAGTTTCTTAGAAGGGATCTTAGAACCTTTCTCTACCAGAGGGGTTGTGGATCCTAGAAAAAGGCCGGGAAAAACTGAATAATCTCCAATCAAAAACCACAGGTCACCAGAATTAAAAAGAAACCAATTTTTATCATTATCAAAGGTTCATCTGCATTATTTGGTAGGGGTGTATCCACCTTAGTCTCTTTATGACTTGAACAAAGCCATTGCTGCACACTTGATATAAACACAGATGAAACATAAATTTTTTGCGACCACGCCCTTTGAATTAGTTCGAAATACATTTCAGAATGTTTCTTGCAGTCATTCTCTTGCAATCGTTTGCAACGTTTTACAATTTTGTACAACGTGGTACTTTGTTGTGTTTCGTTACGTTAAAATTCAGTGCTTTAAATGGAATTCCTTACTTTAGGATGCCCCCTAGACCTGGAGGCCCTGGGGCCTCTCCTTGTTCCCCTCTCATCAGCCCTGTTCATCTTTCACGTATCCTTTTCACAGGGTCAAGTTTGTATATGCTATCTCTAAGTCTTTAATTCTAAACTATGAACTTGAGTCTACATGTAAGTGAGTGATTTTTTTCGCATGGAACATTTTCCTGGGTTATAAAAACTCACTTGAAAGGGGCCAACCGGGAAATTTCCCAGTGTCCCGCCCAGCCACAACAGATTCTCACCAAGAACTGAGCAAATAAAAATATTTTTTTAACAAGGATGAATCCTTTTTTTGGAAATAAAGATGCGCAGCTGGAGCACAATTTTTTTTGTTTGCATATGACGCGATAAAAAAATTAGAAGGATAGGTTATGTTTAGAAAGAGGTTTTGGGTGCTTTATCTGTATCTGCCCTCAAGTTAGGAATTTTCATGCTGTACTTATTTTCATGCCGTTTCCATTTTCTCGCTTTTCTGCAGTTAATCAAAAGGTATTCCGGGTTTCAATCCACGTGGTTGGATATCCCCAAGCTTTTAGAAAAACTTTCTATAATGAACTTATTTCAACCACTTTGAAACTGCTTTGAGGTCTCGTAAAGCATTTTAGAAACTAATTTAGTATGGCATTTTTCAGATACCTGTTAAGGCTACAATTTTCAGTATTGATAGCATTTAAGTTCATCGACAAGACTTTAATCCCTTTTATTGTAGTAGGTAATATATGCAGCTCTCTTTCCGCCGTAGAAAAAGTGAGGTCAAGTCCATATTTACGACACTATGAGAAGTTCAATGCTGCTAAATTCAGTGCAGAAAAGCATCTACCGCCTACAGTCAAATCAATGACCATGCCAATTAAGATACAGAATCATTTTGATGAAAAACGCCCTTTATCTCCTGATGGAAAAGAAGCCTCAGGGGTCTACAGTGAGCCTAATGTGAAAGTTTCGTCTGTGGCAATCAAACATCGAGTGGAGAGCAAAGCTTTTGTTTACCAGGGCTCGTTGGAGTCAGCTGATCAGCAACGACCTGTTGTCTTAGTGAAGGAGCCAGAGGAGCCGATCGACAGTTCCAATGTTTTGGGCGCAAATTCTTTGAAGGTAGTTTCGAATCCCCGTCGCTCAAAGTCGTTCACAAACGGAATTCAGCGGTTTTTAAAAAGGGAAAAACGTAGAGGCTCCTTAGATGCACGTGATACAGATAAGTTACGTCAGAATGAAGATCTGGGTCACGACTTTGAGGAGGTTTTCCCAAAAACTGACAAGCGAGCACCTCGTTTGAAGGCAGGGCGTGACAAGCAAGCCAGTGCAGCCACAGTCACTCCGAAAGTCTCTTTGAGTAAGAGAAGATCACGATCTGACAACGATGAATCCACTGAGGGCTGCGAGGCTAGTAAAAAAGAAATGAAGAAGAAAAGCAGTAAATTTAGAGGGTTCTTCAGGGCGATTTCACTGAATAATATTGGTGAAGCGAGAAAGACTGCAACCTTATCACATGAAAACTGGTGTGCAAACTGCCATGGAGAAATGCCAACCAGAAAGAAGGTTTTGTCCCTAGAAAGGTTCAATACTTTAAAAGATGAAAGAGACTTGCTACGAAATGAAAGAGATCGAGCGGTCGAGGAATGGAGCGAGACTGCTTCAAGATGGGAGCGTATGCTGGATGATATGGATTCACTGATGAACGAATTGGTGCAGGTAATACGTCTTTCATTTCAATATCATTATGCAATTCTCGTTGATTTATCAAATTGCCTTAGAGAGCCAAGGCTGTTGCTATGGGGGTTTTGGGACATTATACCCACTTGGGAAACGTTATGTTGGAAAAACAAGAACACTTTCGCCATCTGGGGGTTTTGTCGGCAAGTTTAAAAAATCCCCAGCAAATAATTGATGGCCTTTTGCCTTTGTCCATAAATAGTACCTAGACCAGTGTTTTTCAACCACTGTGCCATGACACACTAGTTAGCCGTAAGATATTGTATGGTATGCCGCGGAAAATTCTCCAATTTTTCCTAATTGGTCTGTAAAATTGAAAAAAATTGCATCTTCCATTCCTCCCAGGACATCATCTTTGTGTTCATCAAAACAGGCCTAGATCTCATACTTTAGTGAATAAAAATATTCTATTTTATTCTTAATATTTTCCTCTGTGTTTGTTTGAGTGTTATTCAAGAAGCTTTGATAAAAATTACTATAAATTGTGAATATGGGTCACAGAGTTTCATTTTTCAACATTATCTGTTGTTGGGGTACCTCGTGATTTTTTCTACAGAAAATGTGTGCAATGGGTCAAAGAAGGTTGAAAAACACTGACCTAGACATTTCACTCGTGCACAGTAGCTTGCGACGGCTCTGAACAAAACATAAGACTGAAGCAAACTTCTGTTTGTCACTTGTAACTGTTGGTTAACGTCAGGGATGTAGTGGTTTGGGCTCAGGAGGGGCGCAGCCCCTAGCTATTTGTGCTTTGACAATGAGAAGGGTACTGTAACGCATAGAAAGTTTCGATAAAATGGTTGCTTCACTACAGGTCTGCCATTGACACGATAGAACTGTCACACTAAAATGTTATTGTCATTGAAATGTAAACAGCCTGATATACACACATAGGAAAGGATGGCTCACAAATCTTGAAGATTCCTTACTGAGTACGTTTATTTCCCATTTTTTCTAAAGAAAAGAAAGGGTTTCTTAATTGTTGCTCTGAAAATGGTTTAAGATTAATTTCTTGGGGCCAAAGCTGTAACTTTAAAGACGGGTTTCCACTTCATTTGCTCTGGTCGCGCGTCTGAACGAATACACATTGGAGTATGCGCAAATTGGACTTCCTCATTCGCTGCGAATGTGCGACCATATGGTGCGTCCATACGCGGAGTAGTTCGACTAAGTTGAACGACTGGTCGCGTTCGCCGATTCGCTGACTTGTTGATTCGATTTTGCCAAGTCGCGCGAACAAAGCGAATCAAACGGAAACCGGCCTTAAGAAGTAACTTTGATTTAACTCTGTCTGGCCTCGTTTTTTATAGTTAGTAAAATAGAAATGGGGTTATTAAGTTATAAAATTATTCAATATCAAGGGCCTGCCGTGTTGGGGCTGTATGGGGATGCGCCGGTAATGTCAGTAAAAGTTGAAATTGTGTTCGGTTGGACAGTCCATTAACCTCGTCACTTGCTCTGTGATAACAAACAATTTGATTGCAGATTTGCCGGGAAAATAGTTTTTTTCATATTATAGAGATTGAGACGCCCCTAAACAATCTCCATTAAATAAATTCCTTTTCCTACAATGGTATGATTTTGTCTTACCTCTTATCTCATGTTAGAATTATATCTCGAGTGGAAATCCCTCTTGCTAACCTTAACGACTTCACCCCCTGGTTACTGTGTCACATTGCTACTCATACTTCTTTGCAAAAAACAAGTATTGACTTTGTACGCCTCTCTGATTGTGCATAATAAACAGCTGTTGCTGAAAAAGAAAATTCAGTGCTCCAGAAGTGACTATGTTCAATCAGATCACATTATAGTTTGTGTCCGTTTGTTTATATAGTCATCCATATAAATTCACGTGGCATTGTTCAATTATAAACATTAAATAATTCACTGATATACATTGCTCAATCAAATTTTGGTAAAATTCCGAAACTCATTTTTACCAGTTTTGTAAGATCAAAATAAAACCCATTTGATGTAGAACACAAAGTTCGCACATTTTGCCATTTGATGTAAAAAAGGCGACATGGTTTTCTATATGACATTTCTATATGACATATAAATGACATTTCTATAATACTATGATACTTAAGGGTTTCTATTCCACTGTTTAAACTGATAACAAGAACCAGATGCAATCATCATTCATACGAGAATTGTGACTCTGGTAATGTCATTAGTTCATTTCGATCAACGCGGTCCCTCTAAAAGTATCGAAATATCATCAAAATTTTATGCTGACGTTGATTTTGCCTGATATAACCCTCCTAACGAAGCTTCAAAACCTACACAATATGCAATAGTCAACCACGCGGCATTTTTATGAGGACCGCAAAGCGCGAATGAAGGTCAAGATGCCGAGCAAATTTTCTGGCCATGTTGATTTTCCTTCGCTTGCAATTAACCTCTGCCCTATGCAGTTGCATTTTGATGCAATATTTCAGAGTCTTGAAAAATCATATTAGTTTTTGCGTGGCCAACACATTTTCCCACCAAAATCAGATAAGCAGATGGTGGGTGTTTAAGATATTCTCTTAGCGACATCAAACATATCATTTTCATCCCAGTGCGAAATGATATCATTTTCCTCATTGACCTTGCTCTACAGACTGTTCCTTAATTGTACTCCGTTTGATTTAAGAGTTACGTTTTGCTACGGATGTGCAATTTTCACGTCTAGATCTTTGGGGCAAGATAGGCTGATATCGTTACTGTTTATCCTTGAAATGGAACCAAATCAAAATTAGTTTACCCTCGATAAGGTCTGTCCTTTAAGAAATGAGTAATTGAAATTGCTCTACTTGATCAATACCACACTTAAAAAGGCACTTAAAAGCTTCTTTGAAACAGGGTTCAATTAGGATTTGTATGTTATACAGCCACAAGAATTCACCGCATGCATTACTCCGGGCTCCCCTTGTCCCCACAATAGCTGCTAGAATACATTTGATCAAAGATGATGCTCACTTGTTAAAAGGGATCCTTTTTTTTAGCAGCAAAATAAACCATGTTGCATACCTGCTCTGAAAACTGTTTAGATAAGATCACAATGATATCAGCTAAGATCACACGTGGAGTCAAGAACCGATAATCTTTCTAGAAGCGTCCATTGATAGTGTTAATATGTGACCTATAAACTATTGGGAGAGGCTTACTTATAAGCCATTTCTGTCATACATTGTGAAACATTGTCAGCCTGGCCATGCTTAGACAAGACGTAAAATTTCTTGCCTCTCTTTCATACGTATGAGATTTCTGCCGATGGAAAAAATTAGATGGAATAACGAAGGTATGTAGTCATATATTGTCCTACAGCGCTTGCACCTATGTTCCCTTGGACGTCTATACAAGTACTTTTATAAGAAACTAAGCTTAGAGTATGTAGTCAGTTCCATAATATACCCGATATAAAACTGACTAACTTTTACATCTGTAATTATGACTCAATGCCAATTCAAATTGAATGGGATTTGAAATTGTTTTTAGAATACTTGGATATATTGATTCTTTTTTAATATTATCAGAGATTTCTAAAATACCAAGTGCGTAAGAGCTATTTTATAAAAATATGAAAGTGAGAAATATGAAAATATAAAAATATGAAAATAAGAAGCAAAATGTGGCATGATGTAACCAGGTGCAATATAAGCAGGCACCCATGTTTAATCGCAGTCTGCTCAAGAGAGAATTCCCACAGCAGTAGAAATCAGCCCAGGGGTCATGCCTGTTAAAAAGGCCCTGTTTTGTTGAATTTTTCGTGCTAGCGATTAAAGTACTTTATCCATAGTAGAATTGGAAGAATGAAATTTTTAGTCAGCTTATCCCAACACTAAATGGACCTTGAAGCTTGGATTAGTGTCAGGTGAAAAGGAATAATGATAAGGATATTTTTCTTTAACAGCTAAAATCCTTTTCGAACTTTTCCGTGAATTAAAACGTTGAATGACGTCACATGTGTTTTTTAAGGTGATGTTCATTTGCAAGTGCAGAAAACAGAACTGAATTGCAATTATGGCTAAAAATGGCATTATGTTTCATTGCTAATCTATTATTTGATAGTGACATTTTCTTGTTCATGATAAAATACACAAAATTTGGCTCCTGGAAATCGCAGGATATCTTTCATTTTTTTTGTAAGTAAAATATATTAAAAATATGGAAAGAAGTCAAGGGAATATGGCACTTGGCCGCAAACTGTGTATAGTGCCAAAATGATAGGATGGACTACATAGAATTTTTGGTATATGCTCTAGAATAATTTTAAGGGTTCAAAAGTTTTGGGATAATGAAATGGTTTTCGCTTTTACGAATCATGTTCTGAAATTTTCATTCTTTTTGAGAGATTATTGGTCGAGATGTCAAAATTTTCATTCTTTTTGAGATGACAAGCATTATAAGCAGCGTAGAGCATTTTCAATTTAAAATGCTGGTTTATAGAAAGTGTACCCGAAATATACTCAAAAATGTCCTGTTCTCGGGAAGAGAATAAAACCTCCAACCGACTTAGAAACAAAATACCATTTCCAGTAAGTGATTTGCAGTCTCTGCGTCTTGAAACGATGTGTATCATGGGAATTTTTTTAAAAAAATTACCTGTTAAATGGAGTATATATTAAATGTTGTGATTGCATACTTACCAAGGTTTCTAATATGTTTTCTGAATCCTGAAACAAATAAATGTTTATGTACTTGATATGCAAAGCATGCAAGTTGACATTTTCATGTTTCTTGGATCTCTAAAATGAGAAACCCTCATGAGTTTAACTGCGATCATGCATTCTGCTATAAAACCTCTTAGGAGGTGAATTTGACAATTGTTTGCTTGTTTGTTTTTTTGAAAAAAAGCAATTATGCAAAAGTCTTTCTTTAGCTTTAAACTACAAAAATTTTCATATCAATCAAATTCATATAAGTAGTTTAAAACAAAGATCGATGTTTAATGTTTTATATTGGATTCAAATTATATATTTATAGGATCGGTTGATTTTCTAAAAAGAGGCATTATCGGATTACAGTCTGTTTGACCAAGAAACTTTTAAGCTCTAGTTTTCCTTGAAATGTGCCTTGGTCAAAGCTAGCGTTTATCAGCTAAGTGAATATGTCCTTTGTTTAAAGCGGCTGCTAGGCCTCCCCCTGACTTGACCCGTTGCTATGTCGTTAACAGAGAGTGCAGCTAATCTGGTATGAACTAAGTAATACCACTAAAATCAAGGGATCGATAAATACCATCAGCATTAAAGTTTCAGTTGTCTCTATCCACGGAACGTAAAGTGATTAGGCAGAACAGCGAATTTTGAAGCCACTCAGGCCAAGATCTTTTCAACCATTTTTTAAATCTGTTGTTGGGCAACAAAATTCTTTTACGCATTGGTTTGGAGTGACTGGAGAGCAGGCCTGTTATACGGACGAGTTTGTGAAGGGCAGGTGGTAAGAGAGGATTGTTGTGACGAGAAAACAGCTCGCAGCAGCACAGACTTGCTTGCATGCTCGTGAGCGGTGTATGGACTGAGGCATCTATGGAGAAGTAAATTCTACTGAAAACAGTCGCCTTGGGGACTGCCTAGGTATTTAAGTTAATATTTCATCTTGGTAATTTTTTAAATTTAGTGAGATGGAAAGAAAACTTTTTAGATGATTCTCTGTATTGCCAGGGGCATTATGCATATAAAAGTATTTCTTACATGATTACACATCAATCTATGAAGCATATTCATTTTATATACAATATGAACTACAAAATTATTGTTGACTTTGCATTTGAAAGTGCTACATTTTAGCGTGACACCATACACCATATCGACTTTATATGTATGAATTACTTTCGGGCTGAAAACTTAGTTAAATGAATTTGACCATACACCATTTCGGCAGGTGCGTTCGAATCTGCTACCAGACTATTTTATTTCATAACCATGTGATAAGTACAGAAGTTTGGAAATTGAATCATATCGAAATTTGCCATTTAAGTAATAAAGCTCATTCTTTTTATCACCAACCGTGACATGACCAAATCACCTTTGAAAATGACTGAAAGAATTACCAAAACAAATAAGTTTGAACTTTGGTAACTTTTCACATACAAATAGAGAAAACCTGGAATTTTCAATTCAGAACTGGGTTATCACGGATCAGTCCTTCAAATATCTTATTGGTAGCTTTTGTAGTCTTTTATGGATCGTCTAGACAGCTATGGTACTTCATGGTATGTCAAAATCATTACGGTATTCGTTGGCTGCGTACTTGTACTGCGGTGATTTTTATTGGGAGGAGGTGAATAATATTGCTTGTCTTATCATTTTCAAGCCTACTGCTCGAACTGCTAGCTTACCAGGACCACTTGGCATGTTATAAAATCCTCTTGTGTTGATTTTTATGCTCAAAATTTTATCAAATGAAGAATTGCTTTAAATCAGATGAATGTGCATCTTCTGGCAATCGGAATTGGTTCGAATATGCGTTGTCTTGGTCTCCCATTATAAAGTTGATCAAAAATGCATCGTTTTGCAGAAAAATTAAGTTGCTTGCTTTTTAGATATTGATTCATGTGTATGTTAATTTACTTGCGTTCAAAATATATTTTAAACACTTTGGTTTCATCATACCAAATTCCTTCATTTCTTTCATTAAATTGTGGCTATTATTCACACTCTTCAAATGCCGTAATATTTTTCTCAATTAAATATGACGTTTTTATCAATTTATACTTTATTAGGATCCATTCGTGCATGTAATTTGTTGGCAGAGAATGCATGGAATATGCATTTTCATTTGTCTAGCATATCTGCCGAACTTTTGTCTGATTCAAGCGGCATAACAACGCTGGAAATTCGAGTGTGATCAATCAGTCTTTTTTGATATAATCAACAAATCATAATTGCTATCTTCTTCTATAACTGCATTCTCGAATCTATATGCAAATCTCTCTCTTTTGAAACAATACCGGCTTAAGTTTGCAAATAATGGAAAACGCTTTATTTTATTCACTTTGAGATTTTTGGAGATAAACAGTCTGTTTAAATTTCCAGTAACCAATATGTGGAGCATTCCTTTTAATCGTCCCACCAATCTGTGCAGATCGGGTACGGAACGACTCCCTGGAAAGCTTTTCTTATTTTGAACAAATGAGAAGACCAGAAGATGAATTTTGATGTTTCAGGTGACAATTTAATCGAGCGAATCACATAACGGATCTCTCACAAGGCTAAAAATGTAATTTTGGACATATCTTTTAAAGGGCATGTGTCGTGAACATGATTGGCTAATGCAACACAATTATATCTTGTTCAGTACAAAGCATAGAATCGAGGGTGAATTTTTACGGCAGTAAAAATTGTCTAAGAAAAATAAAAAGTCACGAAACAATGGAATTCCAATCCAAACGCTTTTGTTTTAATAGCCAACTGCTAATGCGACATATGCCCTTTAAGCCAGTATTATGCGAATGAACGGTGCTAGAAATTATTAAAAGAATGTGACATTTGATACAAGACGAAGTAAATATTTTATCAAACTATAAGGAAATAGTCACCTATTTAGTTTGTCCTGCTCAAAGAACATCAAAAGAGTTTTTTTCATTTAGTTTTATCTTGGTAAAGACTTTCTTTTAGCGTTATTACTTGTTTTATAATGCATCTAAGACTGTATGTTTGTGGAAGTTAGAGTAGACTGAAACTAAGACTTTATGGTAGGAAGAATCAATTAAACACCCGATTGTCTGGTTATTAGGGCTCTCGGAGGCCAACAGAGACAAATAAGACGTCTTAAAATTAAAAATTTTTCTGGAGCAGAATTTTACCGACTCTGTTTTTTCATAAATTATGTCAAACATAAATTTTTGTCATGTCGTCACTTTTCCATTCCATTTCTTTCTCGTTGCAAACTCTTTTGAAATTGCCTGGTCTCTGTCGATCTCTGTTTAAACTTTTACTGTTCTGGAATGCAAAGGGCTAGTACAACCAAGTACAAAAGCACTTTTGACAGTTACAGGAATGGACGCTTATATGTGATTATCGTTTACGCTGATCCTCGAGTGATCATAAGGCACACGTGAATTATCATATTTTTGATTAATGATTCATCACAATCGTGATTCATGATTCAGCATACGTGATTCATCACATTTGTGATTCATGATTCAGCACACGCGGTTCATCGCATTTGTGATTCGTGATTCAGCACACGCGGCTCATCACATTTTTGATTCATGATTCAGGATGCGTAATTAATCACATTTGTGATTCATGACTCAGCACACGCGATTCATCACATTTGTGATTCATGATTCAGCACACGCGACTCATCACATTTGTGATTCATGATTCAGAATACGTATTTCATCATATCTGTGAGCTGTTTCCACCTGTGAAGAAGATTGGGGATTTGTTAGGCGTCTTGCATGTGATAAATTTAGACCCTTGATTTTAATTTGCTCGATAATTCACATCTGTTAATTTGAATTCCCTAAAATTAGGTGTCTGGTGAAGAGATTCTAATCGCACACCTTCCGCTTCTTAAGTAGAATTTTCACCGAACATGTGTTAGAATAGGCACCTTTTTTATTGCGTGCAAATCACGTCTTAAGCTTCTGGCCTCCCTAAGCTGTTGCCTAATGTTGGCTTTATGTCGTCCTACCTTGTACCTATTCTCATTCGGAAAAGACTGTATAACTGTTTTTATATCTTGCGTTCATAACTTGAATAATTTCCTGAATCATTCATATAAGAATTACTAGTATACAAATACATATTGTATGGTTTGTTTAGGCTTGGGATGGCATCGTACTTCTAAGCGTTCAATTTATACAAATCAACAAAGATTGTGTTATACAAAGTTATTTCAAAGAATCTTTTTCAGTTTACAAAGACTACTAGCTTCTAAAGCTAGGCTAAGATGTATAAATTGGTTTTGTAGATGTTTTTCCAAACCCGTATTATAATGAGTGCGTGCTCTATGTGATTTGTCTTGCATGAAAATAAACACCTGACAGGGATTAATTAGCGCCTTTATTTTGGGTGTCATGGAGATTCTCACAATAGGTTGTTAGAGATTCTCGCGAAAAATATTTAAGCTACTAACAGTTCTGCTTTCGTGAATATTGGTGTTAGTGTTACATGGTAACTACATGCATTTGACGATTGGTAATGAGGAGCTACTCAGAAAATTAACTGTGCAACAGATCAGCTAAAGATTGATGATGAAAAAGGCAAGTGAAAGAAAGAATGAAAATTAAGGAGTATGAGGGTTGTTGAAAACTTTTGAGATTTTTTCGATCGCAATCTTTCTTGTAAAGAAATAAAAACAATGCATGAATTTGAGTTTCGATATATTTAAATTGATTAGAAACGAAATATGAACAGCTAGCTAAAAGGTTCTACACGATGAAGGACGAGGATATTTTTGTTATTTTATTAGTTTTTGATTCATTCCAATTTTAGTGGTTCTCAGTTTATTACTGATCAATATGTTGATGATCAACACGAGGAAAAGAGGTAGATATCAAATGGTGTTAGTATTGTGAAGTTTATAAATTTAACACATTAATCAGTGGAGAATGAGGCCAAGTGTCAAATTGTTTTTCAGGTGAAGAATGATCGTGACGAAAAGGCTGCTGAAATAGGCGAACTCATTAACGAGTATGAAGACGAGCTGAAAATTAGGGAAAGCGAAAACGATCGACTATACGCCGATTTCGCTGTAATGGAAGACAACCTCGCTGTTGCAAAGAAAGAACGAATAGAGGCCTTGACAGAGTACGACGAACTTCTTAAACAAAATTACGATTTGAGTAAAGAGATCGAAAGATTTGAAGATATGTGCATGGAATTGCGGTCTTGTGTAGCAGTCAATGAACAGGACGTTGCATCGCTGAAACACCAACTCGATAATCTGCAGGAAGAAAGGGACCATGCGTTGGAACTATGGAATTCATCTGTGGAAGAACGAAAAAAGTTACACAAGGAAATGGCGTCTTTGATTCAAGCACGTGATGAGTCGTTGCGCAAAGCTTTCCAGCAAGCAGAGGAGATTAACAAAATAAGAGAGGAGAGAGATTCCTTGCAGCGGATGCTCGATTCTAAACCAGTTAATGGACACTTTGACTTGATTGATTCTGTCCGCCTGTCTCATGGTAGTCCGCTCCATCATCAAAATAACGATATTTCGTCGAACCGGAACCACGTGGTATGTTACATTTTCTCCTTGAGAACACCTGCTGTTCTCGGATACTTCATTATTTAGTGGTCATCTGTTACAAATTTAATTCTTGCGTCTGTGTTCTAATTTTTTAGCAACCTTTCCTATTTTTAAAATGATTCTATATGCTGCATTGTTTAACTTCTTAGTGATAACAGACTTTTTCTTGATGATATTATTTTCTACAATTTACAGTAATTTATTTTAGAATTGATTATTTTGCTTGTAACTTTGACAGCAGGGCTCGAGTGAAACAAAGGAAGTTGCTGTGAGCAATACAGAAGACTCTGTTTCAGAATTCGAAGAGTTGGCAGTTTCTTTGGAAAGAGTAAGAACTGTTATGATTTTTCCTAATTATTTTGGCTTCACTGCTGTGCAGACCCACGTCATGTTTCCAGAAATACAGTGCACGCTCCTGTTTCAGATATATTTACTGAATTTTTTTATAAAGCTATTCATAAATTACTGTTCAGGTTTAACTAGTTTCTCGTTGGAATGTCAGTTCTGATTAAAAAGTATAAACTCTTGCAGCTCGACTCAAAATATGGTATAAGAATTGACACTGCGGTTGATGAGCCAAGAATAATGGTTGTTCACGTTGGAGCCCACGCAGCGTCTACGAGCAATATAAGGTAATGCTCATTTTTGTTTCCTTTTTAGACTTTGGAGCTTACAATGCCTGCCAAAAGTCTAGGAACACTGACATCAATTTCCAAGGTCAAAATCAATCATCCCCCTCTCCCCTACAGAACAATGTTGGTTTACTATCAAACGGGTTAGGATTGTAGGAAGCACTTTCTTTTGCGCTTCTTTTATGATATTTCTCTAAATTATCAACATTGTTTTTGGGGGAAGGGGGCGAAAGTAGCAATTTTTTTTCATGAAAGGAATGAAAGATATCAAATGCAGCATAAATTGCTGGGTGTTCCAAGTACTTTGGACAGGCATTGTAGATGTTTTTCATGTTTTTTAGATTATTTCCTTTTCATTTTTTGATTGAATTTTGGAGAGATGATATTTCATATTGGCGTCAGCTATAGACCTATTCACACTTGTATAATTCTTTATCGTACCAACCATGATTTTTAGCAGTTCTTAAAGAAATATCAATTATTTTTTCTTATCTTTTTTTTCTTTGGCTTTTAGGAAATATGACAGAATAATTTCGATAAACGGAATTTCTGTTGTGCGCGCTGACAAGAAAACGACTGAAAAGATGATCAGGGATTGTCCGGGAAGGCTGACAATGGTGTGATGGATTCTCTTTGTATATAAATCACTGTTTTAGTCCTTGTATTTTATGCCTGTTTTTTTCTGGTTTACTTGAATATAACTCAATATTTCTTTGATTATAATTAATTTGGATTTATTCGTTGAAGTGAAATTTGTGTATACTGAGAGAAGTTTTAGTAAAAAATCCTCCGTTCTTTATTCAAAGCCTGTTATTTCTAAATTTTTATGGCAATCTCTTTGAAGTTCACTCAGAATTTGTATAATCATATCGAGTTTTCGTATCTATTAAGACTTTTAAATGAACATTATATTAGAGAGAGAAAGATTCCTTTTTGTTTGTAAGGTTTTAATTTGCCTTTTATCTTGTTTCAGCACTTTAAAAATTAAATTTACTTTCAAACACAGTTTTTCTCATCATATAACTTTTGCAAGAAGGTGATCAAGGTTATTCAAATTGACAGCAATTAATACTTATTGTTGTCTTTTCCAAGATGTATGCTAACCATTATAAAATCTATGTAATACACGAATGGGCGGTAGCGTTAATTTGTCGTCTGTTTGTTTAATTTGCGCTGTTGCAAAAAGAACGATTTTTTTGCGTTTGATATAGTCTTATTCGCCTTTGTCCCAGGTTTTACGTCGAGAAACATCTGCTGAGAAGTTTGAAAAAACGAAAGATATTGAATTCGCATTACCAAAGACATCATACCGTAAGGGACAAAGAGGTGAGTTTTTTTAACAAATTTTATACTGAAAGAGTTAGGCATAAATAGATTGATAATAAATGAAAGAAAATTCAATTTTTCTTTTGGGTGACTTGCAAACCGAATTTATCAGTAGCTACGTGTCAGTATTTTATATGCTAATACGGGGCTTTATCTTATTCTATTTCTCACCATTCTAATATGCTCGTTTTTATGTGGTAGATCTTGGGGTAACGGTGAAGGTTCAAATCTTATCAATCGATGAGCGATCCCCAATTGCAGGCAAAGATATGATTGAGGACGGGGACCTAATCAACAAGGTGCGACGTTTGCTTTCAGCCCTGCTGCAATTAGTTCAGACTGTTTCATATTTATCTTATCTTACTCTTTATACTACAGTTAGGTCAAGACTACATAAAAGGTTGTTAAAGTTCAAAAACGAAACATTAGATTCCTTTAAAATATTGCATGTACTTAAAAAATGTTGGCAGGAAATTTTTTCGTAGTCTCACAGTCGCACTTTTGAGAAATTGTTCTCACTTGGCGTGTAACTAACAAATATTTCTGTTTAAAGCCTTTGAGCATCTCTCTTTTCTTTTACCAGGTTTCCAGAACAACATAGACTTAGATAAAATCCTCATTTTTGCAACAATATATTTCAAATTGCTGCATGCGAATCTGTAACATAAACAATGTTCAGTTTCAGGCAAAATTTTCGATCAAACAATTTTCCAATATGACATTTCAGAATAAACAACATATGTTTGTCTTAAATCCTGTCAAATTTTTGTGTTAATCTGCTATGAACCACAGTGTCCAACTAACAGCCAGAAAATATAATGAATTGTTATGCTGTTTAAAGTTTATTCGTTATTGTGTAATCAATCAATGGTCACTCCTCATCGGTTATCTTGTTATAGATAAATACTCAAGATATAAGCAAAATATTTGAGGCAGTTTTGTACAAAATTGCAAAGAAGCATGGAGGGAAAATTGCAATGAGGGTGCAGAAGAAAAATTATGCAACTCGATCTAACAATGACGTCATGTCCAGTTCGAAAAAGGTATTTTTGCGTTGGTAATAGTCTTTTTTAAATATAGAGTTCCGAAGTGATGACGTCACAAAAATATTTTTTAAATTTTTCAGTTTTGACCATATATCCCAAAAAAGTATTGCAAAATACATCTATCTGTACATTTGAATCATTTGAATATGTCAAAAGTTGGTTGAGATATAGCAAAATGAGCACAGGTTCATAACTTTTTAACCAGGCCAGAATAACAGACATTCTTTAGCAAATTCGAAACCTTTCATTGGCCATATTTCGCCCAGTTTTGAACATAATTAAATGATTTTGCATATCGAGAGTTATTTCAGATTATTTGGTCAAAATCAAGAAATTCTCAAAAAAGATTTTTGATGACGTCATACTTCGGTACTCTTACTCAAGTATCAAATCTTTTAACCCTATTATCACTGCATGGACAATTTGTTAACTGCATATGTAGAATCCTTTGTCAGCTTTGAGGCAACTCCTAACTTCTCCTCTGCGTAGCCCTCTTTAGCTATTGCCAAAGTCTTTTTATGACTCCAAATTATATCGGATAAAATTTCATTTGTTCCTTGCGCTTTTTATGTGTTCTAAGAAAAGCTGTAATAATATTTTATAACATTTGCAGGGAACTAAAGTAAGCGTCCCTGGTTCTTCGAATGAGCATACGTCACATGGGATGGTATCAACATCATCCACAGGTTCAACGCTTTCTTTGTCATCTATGACATCAGAGCGAACATTTACTTCAGCATACACCGACGACGCTGAGAGTCTCTTCAATGGCAGCCTAACACCGTCCATAGTCGTTTGTCCGTGTGATGAAAGCGAGGATGATGCTGCATCGATTCAAAAGACAAAGGATGCTCCTTCCGACATTCCAAATGAAAATGGATCTGCAGATGAAAAAGGCGAACGAAAGAAAAGCGAACAAGAACAGTTAATAATTGACCAAAAACAAGAAGAAATAACATTGATCACTAAACAGGCTCGACCGAATGGTCATTTTAAGCTTGCAAAGAGGCATTCTGATGCCAAAAGCCTTCGTTCTCTAAAAATTGCAAGCTCAGCAAAGTCCAACAAGCAAGCACTACGGCGAGTGAGAAGCGACGCAGTTGACCGAAGGGCCTCGCCGAAATCGGAATTATCAAAAAATTTGTTATTTGCTGTGGAGGAAGATGAAACGGACTCGGAAAGAAGCGAAAATTCTTGGCTATTACCAAGTCCTGCGCGCACCCCAACTGAAAATCGTAGAGGCAACGATGCAGTCTCTGTCTTTGCTACTCTGCCGCGACAGAAAAGAAAAACAGTCAACGAAGCTGACTGTAATAAAAGGTGCTTTTCCTTATTTCTTACTTAAAAATTTCTAATATAGTTATAGTCTAACTATATTAGTCTAACTAATCTCTGTAGACTATACTTGTCCCACGTCTTGATTTGATTCAGTTGAGGAGGATAGATGTTTCAATACTGACTTGCTTTCTCTGTACGAGCTACTCTGTACCATGAAAGAACAGTACGAATTATTTTGCAATATATACCAAATATAGTAAGAAGGACGAAAACAGCCAAAGGTAGAAAGACTGTCTGCAGTTAGCACGAGTGAGTGGATGTTTTTGCTTGTGTTCTGGAGCTTAAAAAAGAGTCGCATTTTTCAGAAGTGTTAGTTACTTCATGCTTATACCAAGACAAACGTATAATTTGCTCCTTTGGAAGAAAACCTCTTTGGCCACATACTGCTCGTAGGAACAATTTTTCTGTATACAAGCCTCAGCTTGTCAAACAGGCATGCAATGTATAAGTGATATGCTAATGAATTTCTGTATGGGCCGAATCATTGATTTTCACCGGCCAGGCCAGTTTCCTTATGATCAATAAGGCGAAAACTTGAATCTATTCTTGGTTGAAGTTCTAGCTACAAGCACGATCTTGTATTTTTATCAAACTGTCTTTAGATTTGAATCCACAATTACAGCCACCCTTCCGTTCTCCAATAATAATCTAAGTTATCTGCACTATATTTATTCAACAGTCTAAGAAGATGACCTCAGCCTGTTATCTTTTTGGCTTTCCTTTGCTTGATCATGCTGGATACTCTGGTCTATGTGGTTTCGTATCTTGGCTTGAGACGACAGAAATATTATGTTTTACTGCAAGCTCTGCTCAGTTTCTTGTTAGTATCAACGAGTTTTGTTACATATTGCAAAATCAAGTTCAATTTTTAAAATGTTTTAATTAGCGACGAAGTCATGAAATAGCCTCGTTTTATGCTAGTCTTGGTGCATTACGGAATGCATGCATTAACAACAATAACGGTATTCTTCACACGAGTTGTACAATATGCATCGAACAGTTGCATTGATGTTTCAAAATGCGCTAATGTTTACAAGTTTTTTAATTTATCAAACTTTAAAGATAGAGCTTGTGATAACACATTATCTTGCACGTCACTGATGGGTTTTGCCTACTTTAGTTTTGTTTTAAGTAAGCTTGATTCATGTAACTAACTGAATTCTAAGCTGAAATTCTAATTTTTCATAGAACTACGCATCGTGTTCTTCGCTTAGAGAAAATTGCCAGTCAGCCACTTGGCTTTGAAGTCTGTGGTGGCAATAAAGTTGGAATTTTTGTCAAGGAGATCAAGGATGGTAGCATGGCTGCAATAGGAGGAATGAAAGTTGGAGACAGGATTTTATATGTGAGTTCGTAAAGAGTCCTCTCATAGATTTATTAAGATTCTCTTTTATTATTCTAAGAATATCATTATGTTTATCAGTCGTAGAAAGTCTGAGAATTTCTGGACAATGATCTTTTAACTTTAGCTGGCTCAACCTCTTCTGTCTGTATTTCATCAACATTTAAGCAAATACAGAATAAATATATACCATTATTTCACAGATAAATTCATTTGACTTACATTGTGCAACTTTGGATTATGCGACGAGAATCATCTTCAAAAGCGAGCGATTAACACATTTTAGGATTGAAGTTAAATTTGAAGAAAGTAAGTAGAAATCGCCTCTGTTTTTCTTCTCCACAGTTCACCAACAATCTCGTAAGTTTTGAGGCAATCTTTTCTTATTACCTGTTATTGTTTCGATTTCTTTATAGAATTCAAAGATATCCTTAAAGAAGGATCTCAAGATTCACTATACGTCAGGTAAAATTATTTCATACGTTATATTTTATACGTGAAAGTATATGATACAAAAAGGATTCATGTCAAACAAATACTTTGGCATCACAAAAACACATCAATGCTAATGAATTATTCAGGTGCCAGCACAGTCTCTTCTCAGTTTCTCTTCTCATACAAAACACTCTCTCTTTTTCCTTGCAACTTGGCAGATGGTTATATTTCGAAATATTCGGAAATCTTGCCAACAATGTCCTAATGCTGTTACTAAAAGTAGCAGCCTGCACAGGATCAGCTGTCAAAATCCAAATGATAGATCAAACTCTTAGTTCTCGCCCACGTATAATAGCCCTGAATTAATTCTTAAAATTTTTCGTGCGTGTTTATATTTCTAGCATGTTCGTTCGTATTTTCCTTACTTGTACTCTTTCATTGGCATCAGTAGCTTCAGTCTAATTACAGACATAGGGTGACTTTGAAGCAACTTTCAAAATCACAAAAATCTTTTTCCAAACATCAAACGTATTCAGTATAAATTTTATAGTCCCATTTACTGTAGATAGGTTTTTATCAAAATGCTATCTTGTTTCAGCCAAGCAAAGAATACATTTTTGAGATTCTCCTCGTTCAATTTTGACTTTATTGCAGTTTTTGTCTGATTTTGAAGAAAGACCATGTTTTTCCATGGCTGCATAAAAAATGTGTGTTATACTAAACTCTTGTAGGGGCAGAATTTATTCGTATGGTACTGATTCAACGTTATAAGAACAGTTTTTTATTTCAGAACACTGCGATCCGCTGACTGTAACAAAGAAGGCTGGCTTCAGTTTTGTGTTGGTGAAATATTGCACGTGACGAATACGTTGGCAAACTATAACAAGCAAAAACGAAATTCATGGCAATGGAGTGCTGAAAAGGTCAGCAGGAACTCTGCTGGTCAACGGGGTTTTGTTCCACGGCTGGAAAGGTAATATAACATCATTTAACATAACATAACATAACATAACATTACATAACATAACATAACATAACATAACATAACATAACATAACATAACATAACATAACATAACATAACATAACATAACATAACATAACATAACATAACATAACATAACAAAACATAACATAACATAACATAACATAACATAACATAACATAACATAACCTAACCTAACCTAACCTAACCTAACCTAACCTAGCATTATGCATATAATTTTTGTCGACGAGTCATTGATATCACCTATTGTGGCTAAAGTTCATTTTTCATATCAAATAGCTGAAATAATTGATACGCAAAGATTAAAGAGTTGAATTTATGAATAATTTTAAGCAAACACATTTTTTCAGTGGTTTTTTAACTTGATTGTGATTGACAAGTTGCGGGGGCTCGACTTTTCGGAATGTAATCAGTGGCTTTAACCGAATTAAACTTTGACGCAGATATTTTCCCTTTAAAGGTTTCCTGGTTTAAGAGCAAGACAGAGCTATCGTAATCGATTTAATGAAAAAGATTATTTCTTAGAAGCGATTTCTTAGAAAATCATGAAAATATACAGATTGACAAACTATTTTTTCTTGATGTTAAGCAATAGAGGACTGCCAATCTTTATGGTTTCTTTACCTTACCGGTATATTTGAGAGAGCCAAGCTGATTAAATAGTTACTTTTAAATGTTCCATGTTCACAGCTGGGTGAACTTTTTGTTGTTGCTCAAAACCGACAATAATTATCAAGTGCGGTGAAATATTTTATCTCACATTAGAAAGCCATACTTTCTTGTGACTTTTCACTTTCAGGGCTAGTTTTTAAGGTGACAATTTATCTGAAAACAAGAGACCGTCGATGGGCAAGAAAGTCTGGGGTTTTAGGAGAATTATGAATCGTAGTCGCCTGAGTTCTAAGCATCACGTTATCTTTTTACGTGAGGTAGACTTGTGACCTTTTCATCTGGTACATGCCAATAAATCATATGCTAGACGATTGCCCGGTTGTCAGGTGTTTCTAGGGTAACTTAATTATTTAAAGGTAAAATGTATTTGGAATTTTCTTCACAAGTACACACTGCTATTGTCATTCCACAGTTTTGAAGAAACTGAAGAACAACCCCCAAAACAGCCTCATAGTGAGATCGAGTGCAGCCCGCAAAAAAGTGCAACGTTTGACAACAGAAGGCGGCGAAGGCGCTCTGCGTCTGACGTCAGAAAATGGTTACTCAGAAAACCCAGTATGAGCAAAAAGAAAAAGGATAAAGAAATTCAACCTGCTGTTGTTGATGTTGGTAAGAAAATGTCTTCGTTGTCTTATCTTGATTCACTGCTTAAATCTGAAATTTTGAAAGAAGGAAGAATGAAGCTGTGAACGTACAAACTTGTTTTAAATGTGGCTTTTTAAAATATGATAGAGCTTTAAAGATCACAAAGACAGAAACTGATATTATAAATTTTTAATGAAATTAGGCGAAGAGTCTAATCCAACTCTTTCAATACAATCTCCGAGGTACATAGGCATACTTAAAGATCATTTCCGTACATTTAATTGGTTTGTTTACAAAAAAAAGGTGATCAGAAATTTCAAGTGAATCATCCTTTGTTGAAAACAAATTATTTTCAGACACAGCATTATAACACGATTTTGTGCTAAAAAAATTTGGCCCACATTTACGTTTTTATCTTGAAAACTGGTATTAATGTTCGATTTTACTGCTTTGCTGCATATTTATAAAGTAGCATTTGTTCTAATTCTTAAAACGTTTAAGATTTTAAGGAACCCCCAATGATCTGATATACTCATTTTTCTTTTTCATTTCTTTTTTTATTGATTACATGATTTTCTCTATTTATTTATTTTTTGTGCATTCAAATTCTCAATAGTCGATGAAATATGTTTAGCTATTGGCTTTTTAATATAGCAATGACTTATGTTCTATGTTGATTGCAATTACTGCTTATAAGAATTGTTTTGTACTTGTTAGTTATTAGTTATTTTAGTGAAATGTAGATCTCAAAATATTATAATTGATAATTACATATAGCATAGAGAAAGCAGATTTCGAAATATTGTAATCAATTTCATTTTCTTTAATTCTTTCGCATATTCATATCTTTGATTCTTTCGCGCTTTTTTCATTTCAGGTGAACAAGGCCCTTATTACGAGATTCTTTGGGACAACTGATAAACATGTCGAAGAGGAAAATAAAACGAATCAGAAGAACAAAACTTTTCAGATGAAAATTGACATTGTTTCCTATGTTTGTAGACCAATTGAGGTTTATGAGAGGCAATAAATTTTTGGTTTGCTACTATTTTCTGCCATTGCCAGCCATTCTAGCAACCTCATCTTTAACAAAGACAATCTTCTTAATATGGCTATTATCATGTAAATACATACAGGCACTTAATCTAGAATTATGTAAAGAATAATTTTTACATTATTTATGATAATTTTTTCTCCAGCGCTGGATTTGTTTATCAGCTCACCATGACAATAAATACGGGCAGGAGGCTTACAAACATGTTGAGAAGATATTATTTAGGTTTTTACTTTGCATTTTAAAATTTTATCAAATGATCTATATAGTTTTTTATACCACGAATAAATTTTTCTTGTAAATGATGAATAGAGAAGCAAATGCAGAGAGCAAAGTGTGTTGCTTTTTCGGCTCCTTCCTTTTGTAATTCTAGAAGTTTTTAGTGTCGAGTTATATGTCGGAACATTTGGGTATCAACTTGATAAGGTATTATTAATTAATATCCGGAAGCCAGGGTGAAATAGGCCGTATTAAAGTTGAGTTTTTAGCCATGGTCAGGTCAACAGAAGGTTTAAGAGCCATTGCAAAGGTGGTGACTCCAATACGAAATTTTGATCTGAAGCAAAGAACTGATTTTAGTGTGCCATGACCAAACATTCTACATGACCAAATAATTTATGCATCACAGAGAGGTACTGAAGACAGAGCACAGAACCTCACAATACGAAAACATTAAAAACTGTGTTAGAAGTATTTGCATTGCAGATTTCGTGAACCAACAAGCATTAGGTTGTATCAATCCACCATCCGGCTCTGAATGTGTTTATATTTTGGCAGGCTATGTTAAATGTGATCGCCTTTCTGTTTGCGCCAATGACCTCTCATGCATTCAATTAAGCTTTCTATGCATACACGATAAGCTCTTCAGGTCGATTCCAGTAGAATACTGAATACGAGAGAAAGAATGCAAATGATATTCAGAACGAGGTTAACCTCCGGTATTTGTCGACAAACTATTAAACAATGCGTTGCGCTGGTATTTAAATTGTCAACTGTAAAAACCAACTTAAAAATAAACTCACCTCATGGCGTTTGCTCAATATCCATGCAACACAAACAGATTCGTGTCATGATTGACGAAATTTTGAAACAAAACAGGCTGGGATCCCTTCCCGAATATTTTGCAATGAACTCCGTATCCATGATTTTTAGCAAACCCGAGCAATTTTATGAAAATTTGACATCTAGAAGAGATAAGTAGACATGCGAAGGTATTTTAGAAAACGCCATTTTAATGATTGGAGTCTACACTACATTTCTTTAAGAATCCTATAGATTTTTCCAACCTCTATATTCTTAGGAAATTTTTCGTTTTGAGCCTGGACATACTCTCAAAGTATCGTTACATTTTTCAAATCTGATTTGGTTTCAGGGGAACATCGAATAGAATCCATCATATTTTATAGGGTCAATAGGGTCAGACTGTATCAACATCGCTTTGTGTGCAGCAATCAGCTTCTTAAACGCTCAAAGAGGGCATAATCTCAACATCTAAGCTAGAAATATCACACAATCTTTCAATTTGCTATTTGGATAATGTGTTTAAATTCCCGCATAATGAATGACAAGTGTTCTCTGAATATCTCATCAGATTTTTCGTATGTTTCATCCATCTTTTGTTGCTCTCTTTGCATTGTAAATATTGTCATTCTACTGGTGACACTTAATCGTGGGCTAAGTTTAGAGCGTGCACGTCAGTTACGCGAGCAAGTGAATCCACGCTCTGGAAGCTAACATTTCAAGTTTCATGGGAACAAAAAAGGAATCTCGCAAGAAAGGAAAAGGAAAAACTGCTTGTAGCCGATGAAAAATATGCCCGTGATTTCACAACATTAACCATTTATAAGGCGTTAAAGAGATAATTAACTCGAAGGATGCGTCGATTTGAATCAAAACCACAAGACACAAGATCATGAAAATTTGATAAGCGGTGAAATGGCCCAAATTGAGGACGACTGTGAATATATCAAAGGTTTGTTGTTTAACAATATTTCAACGATTATGAATGAGTTGGAGGCCTGTCGAAAAATGTCAAAACCCTGCTTTGATCAAAGAAGTTTGAGGCCTTTATGATGAAGGATGAAGCTAAGAGCAATTTCGAGGCATTTTGAAAGCAGTGCTTTTGCTGGTGTCAGGGCATCACGTAAAGGTTTGTTCTAAGTCTAAGTATGGTTTCTTTAGGAAAGTATTCTGGCTTTAACATGGAAAAACGATAACTTAGTATTTCTGCCCAGGACAGATAACGACAAACTAGTCTAGAAAGTTACTTTCTATAACCCCAGATATGCTTCTTGTAAATATAAGCTTCAGTGAATTCTGACAAAAAGCTCAAACAGGAAATGTCATTATGAATACAAATTTCAATATTGTCTTAAGAGAATGAAAGTTCAAATCATATGAAACTGCGCTATCATCAGAAATGATGCTTGGTAAAGACAGTACTCAAGAATTTACAGCAATAAGCATTTTAACCCTCTGTGTTAACATTTTCATTGTCCAGCTGGAAAAATACTTAAGGTTGGGTGCCCTAATCTTCAACATCCTTCACCGCACGGAGAAGTTTTGTCCTTCTATACAATATTATACTTTTCCACTTGTTTTAACAGTTAAGAGATTATGAACACAAACGAAGAATATTCACATTTTAAATTGTTAGTTTCAGTTTCATGGATCAAAGTTATTTATAACACAGGACGATGAGAATGAAATTTTATTTCGTTGCAACTATGAAGAAACTTTCGTTGCAAGAGCATATTGAAGAATTGTATTTACTAAGAACGGTTTCCTTGAAGAGCCATTCGATCTCGCATTCATTATCCAGCTTTAGCTCATTTGAAAGTAACAAAGAACTGAAAATCCGTCACATTCATCCAGTCATTCCAAATAGTTTCAAACTTGAATCCTATCAGTAGCACATTCCATTTTACTAACCATCCCCTTGCATTATTCATCCAAGTAGAACTCCGATTGATCCCTTTATAGGCCTTGATAACAAGACGAGTTTCACAGCACATTATAAATCTGACCTTGCCTTTAGACTCGCTTTGTTCTCGACTTCAAAATAGCGACGAAGATCACTTTTCCAATTCATTTTCAAGAAGAAGAGCTCAACATCACGCCACAAGTGAAAATAATGTTCTTACAGAAGTGCTGCAAATATTAAAGCTGATGAATGCTATAGAACAATCGATTGAAACATCTACATCCTGAAATACTTAAAATTGTCTGAGCCCCTTATGTTGCATTGAAGTCCAACTATAACGAGTGTTGTACGTTATTGCAATCCATCATGGCTTTACAGTATCGTTACAGTTTTAAAACTTTTCTTAAGCTTGTACAAAAATATGAAGCAAAAATGTAAAAATTTTTATCATTTCGAGTCAAGAAAATGTTCAAGTTATTCTCTTAATAAGTTGTGAAATACATTTTAATTTTCTCTCTCTTGAAAGTTCCATGTACTTTATCCCTTCTCAATCCTTTCACTTCCGTATCATTACATACAACCAACGCGGTCGTGCTCTTTTTTTGGATGTTTGTTCTTTTCCATTCTTTGACTATCAAATGTGATCGTGGGATATGCATACATAGACAAAGTAAGCACAACCTTTGCAAGGCTTTAGAAGAGAAATGACCCTGCAATGTTTGGCTCCGAAAAGAGGTATGTCATCATTGAAAGCTTAGCTCCAACGTGTCAAAGTTAATTGAAGTTAATTTTTTTGGTTTGGCTCAAATTACCGTCCTACTAATCTAAGCAGTGTCTGGGTCGCTCTTTTATTGATATTTGAATTATTTTGAGTTACATAGACAGTATATTATGATGTTTCTTTAAGCGGCAATGTTGGGTGTTGGGAAACTGTAGCTATCTTACAGTTTTCTGAGATAGAGTTTTTCAGTAACATGCCTTATTCATTCCGTATCAGTTGTCATGCAACCAGCGAATATGGCACAACAAAAAAGCAAAGGTTAGAACAAAAGCAGCAAAAAGCAACAGAAACAGAAGCAACAACAACAACAATGATTCCAACCATTGTGTTGCTTTTGTTTCCATGACAACAAAAATCGCAATGTTGGATTCAATATATCAAGTCATTTCATATTTTTCCAAGCCAAAATATATTCCGGAAAACATCCATTTCCAGCATGCACTGATGCCTTTGACATCATAATAGTATCAAAATCATAAAAATCGTTAAATTTTCACTTAAAACTCAATTTAGGGCGTAAATGATATATTTGAGGTACTGAATCTGAAAAACATTACTCAAAGCCAAAAATTTCAAGGAAACACAAATTCTTGAACTGCAGAATCCGAAAATCGAAGCTTTAAACTCAAAGTTTTCAAAGGAATATAAATACCGAGGGTTAAAACAACAGCATTAAATTTATTGCTAGCCTACGTGGAGACTAATAGAGGAAATTGTAAGGTCTGCGTATGTTAAAATCAAGGAAAGACATCTTATTGGCTCTAGAGACATAAAGAGTTTTGAATAAGACAATAGTCTTATGTAATAAGTGGGTACAAAAAAAACTGCGCTATTGCGCAGACCTCACAACTTCCTCTATTTGTAAAGGCTGCACGCAAACTAATTTCTTGCAGCCATCGATGACAACAAGACTGGTCTCAAACCGTATTTTTTAAAGTTTTTATCGCAGATAAAGGGTAAGATTTCCCACTGGATAAAACATTGAAAAAGTGACAAATTGCAGAAAAAGCCTTTCTTGAGATTATTTTAAATCATTTATGTAAGGCCAAAGCCCAATTTTACCAGTTTCTTTGTACCATTCTACTAGTTTCCAGTTTCTAATCCATTTTACTGAAAACAAGTTATTCTTAGGTATCAAAATTGATCTTTCGAATCGATAACTTGTGTTTACTTCTGCTCGTATTCCTCGCCATTTTCATCAGAGTCTCGACAACGAGTCCAAAGAATCATTTTGGTAGTGTACATAAAAATTAACCTTGCACGATCTTTCTCTTTCGAAGCAAACAGAAGCGTTGTTTCTAGCACAAGAAACCGAAAGGGAATTAGCTTTTCATTACTGTATTGAAAAGGGTTATAAAAGTGCAGGTACGTTCGGGCTCAACACCGAAAGATTCTTTAGTATATCGAATGAGCCAAAATCAATAAATTCTTACCAAAACTTGGTATGTGAGCTAATTTTCACAAACATAAGCATGAATTTACCTTAATCCTAGATAATCGGAATGTACTACTTTGTAATCGGATAATTTTCCACTTTTAAAAATAATTTTTATTAAATACCAGCATATTCGACGATAGGACCCTAAAAAGGCAGTTCAGGCAGGCTACTTTTACTTTCAAGAAAGGCTATCAACCTTTCCTTAACTTATATAAAGGAAATAAATATTTCTTATATAAAGAAACGAAAAGATGAATAAATGAATGAATGAATGAATGAATAAATGAATGAATGAATGAATGAATGAATGAATGAATGAATGAATGAATGAATGAATGAATGAATGAATGAATGAATGAATGAATGAATGAATGAATGAATGAATGAATAATGAATGAATGAATGAATGAATGAATGAATGAATGAATGAATGAATGAATGAATGAATGAATGAATGAATGAATGAATGAATGAATGAATGAATGAATGAATGACGCAAATCCACATCAGCCTTATCTTCATATCTTCATTTCAGTTACAGTTGTATCTTCGTCTCTTGCTTGCTTGCTATGACGTCATTATTTAACAACTCTTTGAAATCTCTTGCATAATCTTACGCATATTGACAACAAATGATCCCAAGACTTATTGCTTTCAACTATGACTATGTTTAAACATACTGATCAGAGAAACAAGCAGGAATGAACATTTTACACGGATTGGCTTAAGGTGTAAATAAAATTAGTGTGCCTGTTTATATTTGGAACTTTCTTCGAAGCATTTTGTTTCTAGACAAAGTATGAAGCTCTTGTGAGAATGTTAAATAAACAGCTCCAAAGCCAGTTAAACATGAATGATAAGTTTTTTTCTTCATTATCTTTAGATGTTGCAAAGGATTTGAAAAAAGAAATAACAGTGAAAACTGATGATCTTCGTAATGGATATCACGTAAGGGAAGAGCTTGGCAGGTGGGTAGTAAAGAGTAAATGAATTTTGAATTGATAGAGAAAGTTCCCAGAAATAAATATTTTCTGGCTTTCTGTTTATTGTTGAACAATTAAGAATATCGAAAAGATGACAGGGGGTGGTAATTTTCCTTATTTCCTCAGATGTCACGTTAACTATCAGGTTACTGCCCTCCTATAATTTCCTCGATTATCTCTGCTTCTCTAGTTGTTGAATTCAATGTTTTTTTCTTTGCTGCGCATCGGAAGTTTCCACAAAATGAAAAAATTTTCTATCGTGTGCTGTACAGATTGTTTTAGGACATGACAATAGAGCACTTATTATATAAGTAAATACATCTTTGAGATGCAAGCTATAACCATTAGTCGTGCAAGAGGAAAAAGTCATGTTTCTGAGAGCAGACATTATCTATGTAAATAAACATTAATTTTTAGAGGAAAGTTTGGAGTGGTTCACAAAGTGATCAACAAGGAAGACGGAGGGATATATGCTGCGAAGTTCATCAAAGTGTCTGAATCCAAAAGAAACGAGGTTTTGCGGGAGGTTGAAATTATGAAGAAGTTGAACCATGAAAATCTTATCAGCCTTACTGATGTGTACGACATGAAAACGAGAATTGTTGTTATCATGGAATTGTAAGTTGTTTCACATGTCTTCGAACGTGTCAGAATTATTTCAGGTTTTAAGTATACTTTCCTATTAGAGAGTTTTTGGAGAAGTGTGTGTTAAAGAGTTTAAGCATCTGAAGAACACTAGATCCAGATCTCTTTTATGTAAGTATGTTTTGTCCACGTTTAAGTAAGAATCGTCGCTGAAGCTGAGTAAACAATAATTTTCTATAAACACGCCGATTAGGGCTACTTGAGTAAAAAGAATAAGAAATTACAATCGTTGCGCTTTCTGCTACCTCTCTGGCTCAAGCTTTTATCCCTGCTTTTCTGTTTCTTATCTTTGCTATACATTAATTGGAGAGAAATTTTGTTATTCTTAAAATTTATGTTTTTTGGAAATGAAATCGCAGACTTTGCCGGGAGCAAATAAAAGACGTGTTCCTAGTCTCAATTTTGTGAGTTATTTAGGCGTACGAGTGTTTAATGAACTTCAACTTTTTTGAAACAATAGGCAATATTCTATAATTTTTGCAAAAGATCTTGAAACTATCATTTTTCTACCTTGAAGAGTTAATGTCGTAATAAAACTAATCAAAAACGATAGTCTACGACATACATAATATATTTCATCAATATTGTAAAAAAATGCAATGACCATGGGGGAGATTGCGACTTACGATTGATTGAACTGCTAGGGAAGTTCAAAGATAACAAAGCTTGCTTTTAATTTTCATTCAATAATCGAAACCGGTCGATAAACAAAAAACTCAATTAGATGCTTTGCAATGACTTGCTTTCCTCTATCCTGTTTTTTCTGCTTGTATCTTCATAGTATATCAGGTGGTGAGCTCTTTGAGAGAGTTGTCGAAGACGATAATCTCACAGAATCTGAAGCTGCTATTTATATGAAGCAAATTTTAGAAGGGCTAAAACACATGCATCAACAGTATATTGTTCATTTGGATCTCAAGGTAAGAAATAAATTTATTACACTTTTAGGTGATAATATTAATTTGCTTTTTTAAAATACTATAAAATTTTCAAAATCTAGCTTTTGATATCAGCAAACATCCCTTCAATTATGATATTCAGGGAAACTGTGGCTAAGGAGCACAAAATGTTTTGAAAATCGTGAAGATTTTGCACCTTTGTTAGAATTTGTATGAAAATTCGTTTTTAGCACCTCAAAGAATAAAACTATCCCTACACTACCCCTAAACATTCGATTCATTAAGAGACTAAATATATTTCTGATTATTTTCATCATTTCTTTTATGTGTAATGCACGACATATGTGCAGTGAGTACTTCAAAGTTTGATAGCCCTTATGTTTGTTTGTTTTTGTTATAACGCTTGAGGTTATTTCTTCAAACTATTTATCTAATGTTAAAATTGCAGCCAGAAAATGTAGTTTGTGTGCAGCCAAGAAGCACAAAAATAAAACTGATAGATTTTGGCTTGGCTCGACAGTTGGAGCAAGGAAAGGAGACAAAAATCACTTGTGGAACACCAGAGTTTGTAGGTTTGTAAAAGAACATCGCTCATTAAACAACATAACTTTATGTATTTAAGGAATCTTAACAAACATCGTAGAGTAAATTTCAAATTCTGGCACAATAGAGTTTGTTGACAGAATAAACAACTAAACTTTTATTTACCTTTCCTTCTCTTTTAAGCGCCAGAAGTACTAAATTACGACCCAGTTACACTGGCCAGTGATATGTGGTAAGTTTATCTGTTATTAAATAGTCTTATTGTAGTCAAATGTGATTATTGGGGACTTTTTTCTTACCCCGCACCATAAACTGATCACCACCAACGTTAAGAAACTCCTCAAAAATTTTTATTTTAAAGATGGAATGGAAATTATCCTTTTTCGAAGATTAGGCACCTATTCCCTGCATATTTGACATTGATAGTAAGAAAAGCTTATTGTGACTTATTAGGTAGTCTTTTTAGTGTTTTATCGCGACACGTTTTTGTTTTTTCTAAAAAGTAGCTCTCTTGAATTTGGTATGCTAAGAAACTGTTAAGAAACTTTTCACACTGAAATCTACGAGAATATTAAAAATCTGAGTACTGATCCTGTGTTTTGCTCTTAAAAAAAATAGGTTTAATTGTTTGTAAATACATGATAAGTAACAAAACTTCGTGAATTAATGTGAAATTTGTATTTTGTTTTGCCATAGGAGTGTTGGAGTGATCGCTTACATCCTGTAAGTTGTTCTTTGTTTCTTTGATCATGTACAAAGTCTGTTTTTTTTCGCTTGCGATTATTGCACTAAATTTCAAATGCTTTGCTAATGTAATATAGAATGTTCCAATTTACATTTTGCAATAACATTCTTGCATATGGGATGTGTTTTTGCCATTGAAATCTTAAAAAAAGGAATCTTGTTACTATTAGGCGACAAGGCAATACGATATGTCCTCAAATCAACATGGAAACATTCCACCGGCAGTGCAAACATATTTACACTTAATCTTCATAATCTGCTTTATTTCTGCGATGCATCTTCTTTTGCCAGCCATTCAATTACAATTGCGTCTGTTAAGTTTTTTTCTTGCAAAGAGCTCCTTAGTTAGAAGCAACAATTAATGAACGTTTACAAAGAATGAAAGTGATACTCGTTGAATGATAATACTATGTTTGCTTTTCCAGAATAAGCGGATTGTCACCTTTTCTCGGTGACACGGACACCGAGACATTTGCCAATGTGTCATCTTGCGAGTGGGATTTTGATGACGAATGTTTTGATGAAGTTTCCAAAGAATCAAAAGATTTTATCGAAGGGCTGATCATAAGCAACCCAAGGTTAGTTTGACACTGATACCTCATTTAGGCACACTTCCTAATAATGGACACCTTCTTTTCGACGACCAAGGACTTGTACAAATAGCTTCCAAGCAAAGAAACTTACTTGCGCCGGACACTTCTCTACAACGGACACTTCCATATTACGGACACTTTCCTACAGCGGACATCACTTTCCTACAATGCACACCACTTGCATACAGCAGATAATTCCATACAACGGACACCACTTTCCTGCAACACACACCACCTGCCTACAACAGACACTTTCATACAACGGATATCACTTTCCTACAACAAACACGGAAGTCACTCTACATTGGGCGCCCCCCCCCCCCTCCCAAAACATACACTTCACTGCACCAGATACAGCGGGCACTTGCCTACATTGGACCCTTCTAAACACCAGACACCTCCCTGCCACATACAGTATCTCTTATCTCTCTTTTATCTGTCACATTGAGCTTTCAACATCTTTTAGAACATTAGCCACATTAAGATATTTATCTTTTTCATGTACAGACCATCCATTTTATGCACTCCCAAAAAACAAATTTATATTCATTTCTTCATTCCACTTAATGGATGCTCAAAGAAACAGTTTATAAATCCTATATCAATAAATTCAGTGAGAAACAAACATTATTTCTAGGGATCGCAGAAACGTGGATCTTTGTCTTGAACATGATTGGATCCAGGTAAGGCCCAGGCTTCTTATCTATTTTGCAATAATGATTTTTTATTCGTTTTAGCTGATAAGATTAATGTTCAGGCTAACAAAGCAGGTGCCTCGATCTCAAAATAGTTTTCCTTCATTTCTAGGAATTTATCTCCATATAAATAGCGCAAAAATCTCTTCATAGAAGTGGAAGATCTCGAATATGCTATATACGAATTTTATACCCAAGGTGATGATATATTCCTTATGTTTTCTAGAATCACAGTTTTAAAAAGAAACGGAAGCTAAAGATTGACAATTTGCGTAAATTTCTTGCTAAGAAGCGATGGCAGGTACGGAGAACCACGTATTTATCTGATTGTTTATACACGTTAATTTGTATATACTCATATTTTTAGTCGCAAAGCAATATAGAAGCGGGAACTCTATCACTGCTAGGCAGCCAGCACGCGCAGAGAGGTTTTGCTTTTGCTGGCTCCACTTAATTGTTGATATTTTCCTAAATGGTCTTGGTAAATGAAGCTAAAAATGTCGTTCACCTATGCAATTTCTGTTGTCCTGTGAATTTTGTGCATGAATACCTTTTGCGTGCACCTGCCGTTGGGGGCGAATGCTTTTTACGAAAAATTAGTCTTGTTTTCTCTTAGCGATTGCTGTCAACCATATTCACCCCGCTTTCATCATTTTGCTTTGCGTAAAACTTAGCATCTGATTCAGTCTTAAAGTAATTGACAACGCATTAAATAGATGTATGGCAGATTGAGTTGCTTGTTAAACACCTCAAACCAATTATCATCCTTTCATCCTATTCATAATGGGCTTTTGATAAGCGCGGCCATAAGCAGAGCAGATACTTCAACAGAGGAGCCTTATGCATGGCAAATTGCTGCTGTGCAACAGTTCTCATACACTTCCATATAATCGCAGTCGCCAGCTAAAGACGCTATTATAATAAGAAATCTTCTGATCCTGCAAAAAGAACATTCCATATGCTCTTTATTGCAGCTTAGAGTGCGATGTTCTTTCCGTGAATATTCCTTGAGAGTGATTAGCCAGCATTCCTCGCTATAACAACCCTCCAGCTCAGCTATTAAGTCATTATTTATGTATGATAAGCCATCGATAAACCGAGCAATCTACTTTTTATTTCTTCTATTCAAAATTTGATACTGTTTATGTGTTTGTCATTTGGGAATGTGTTTGCATCACACGAAGGGGAGTCGATCCTCTATCCTAACGTGAAATATATTTTTCATTACGGAGTAAAACCAATTCTCCTTCGTTAAGCTAGACTGGAAGGGGAAGTAAGAAAAAAAGCTAGACTAATTTCTCTGCTAGATTGCATTGCTTCTTTATCAGCTACATAGTAATATTTTTAGATTAACGATACTAGTTAATTTCTATTTTCAGAAATTGAGTGTAATTTTATTTTTTATCCTTTTCCTAATCAAGTTTTTTGCTTAAAGGTCAACTAGGGAGATTCATAAATTTTACCAGATCTTTTGTGTTTTTAACCTAGAAATCAGTCAATGCAGTGCGAGCAGTTCGCCGCTTAAGTTCTTTCGGAGCCTCGCTTTTGGGGAAATCGTCGTCGTTATTACGCGATAAGCCGAAACTTGGGAGTCTTGATTCCCCAACTTTGTCGATATCAGAAGACGGTGAAGGCTCAAATGTAGGTAAAAAAGTATCGGATTCGCAAGAAAAGAAGTGCGTCTCTATAGGGAGCAGTGAAAGTAAAGGAAAGATAGATATTGCGAAGCTAATCGTAAACAGTCCTGAGAAGGACGCAAATGCAAATGAAGCCGACAATTTGAATGAAAGCACCGTCCAAAGTAATGAGAACAAGTCTTCAGGAAAGAAATCTGATGAAAACGATTCGTCTCATAGTCTAGCTAATATTTCGCAGCTACGACAAAAATTCGAAACAGCAACAGGAACATTTCGAAACTCGCGCACTTGTAATACCAGAAGTAGATCAAACAGCTGGGACTGGGACCGTAAAAGCGAAAAAGACAAGAACGATAAAAAGGAAGCGAAGCCAAATATTGATAATGTCAATTCAACTGGTTTTTCAAGTAACGGAACAAAAATAGATGAAGGTGAACGTTTTTGGAAAGGAAGGTCTGAGAAAAATACAATGTCTTTGGGACGAAAGTTTCGAATGGCTGATGCTATGGCAAATCTTTTAGCTGCAGAAAAGAGTAAGGAGAAAGCTTCTTCAATTGAGACATCAAGAATTGGCTCTTCGTGGAGCACAAAGGTTCCCTCAGGCAACGACGCCCTTGCAAAGGACTTCGCCATGCCTACCAAAGAAAGGAAATGTTTAAACGATAAAAGTGATGTCTTAAAAGATCCTGTTTCAAAAAGGAAGGCTATTATGACTGAGGAAAGCCCTGTTAGGAAAGCAGTGATTAAAGAAAATCCCCCGAGTAAAATTGGAAATTTGCCAAAAAATGATTCTCATAATAGGAAAGGTACTTTGTTAAACGAAGAAATCTTAAAGGAAGAATCAGTCTCTAGTCAAAGACACCATAAGGAGAAGGTCATTGAACAGCAAAGCAAGCAACGCCAGAGTGAATGTCAGGTGTCTGACACGGTCCTCGAACGAGGCAATGCTGATCATAAGCCTCCTTCTGAACCTATTATAGTCAATCGGGAAATCTTTAAGAAAAATGGAGAAACGATTAGCGAAAACGCGTCTGTTGTATCTGCGAGAAAATTATTAGAACGAAGCAAAGCTGAAGGACTGCAAAGTTCAAAGAAACTACAGGAGGATTTGTCGACTGAGGTTGGATTGCGCTCTTATCTCGAGCGTATGATAAAGGAAGGTAAACTCCCAGGTGGACAGGTTGACATTGAAATGCCTCATAAAAAGAGCTGGGCAAAGTCGAGTGCTGCTGATAAAAGAGGTTTGTGTGATTGAATTCGTTTCTCGAATGTCAGTTTCATACAGGCATCGGACTTTCTTGTGAACATTTTTAACGCCATGCCAAAATAAAAAGCTTCACCGAACAGTTAGATTTTGTTGCATATTCATACGGTTGTTAAAGAGGATTTTGAACATCAGGTTATTGTTTCTTAAATGTCCGAAGCAATTGCTCAGCGAACAGAATGTCTGTGAAAACAAAAATGTTCTTCACAAACGGCGAGCAAGATTCCTCTTATAAGTTATTATCCGGTTTTTTGTCATTCTTTCGCAATAATATATGTTTTATACTCATTTTGTGTTGTCTCGGATTTATTTTCGAGCATTTTTGTTTGGTCTTTCTATTGATACAAAGAATCAATCGAGTAAAGACAGTTACAATTTTTTTGAATAGCAAGAAAAAAAACTATCAAAATTTCACGAATGAATGCTAAACAAAACATGTTCAGTTTTTAAAATGAATGATGTATTTTAATAATTTGTCTTTTGACAGTTGTGAGAGAACAACAACTCCATGTGGCTATTTATTACCGTTTTGCTTCTTATTTATCAAGATTATTTTTTCTATCTGTAATTCCTTTGCAAATTGTCATCAAACCGTGGAGGCGAATAACTTAAACATAAATGGAAAATGTTTGGGACACTTAGGACGGGAAACTACGAGAAAGGAGCAGAACCACGTTGTTTTAACTTAAGTCAAGATTCTATGATAAAATTTGCTCAAATGAATTGTCTCGATTAAGATTGCCTCAACAGAAAATTTTTCAGTCGAAACTCCAAAGAATCGATCCCCCTTTTTGAAAAAATGACGACACAGGTAAATCTCAGCAATTTCAAAACCTATTGTTTGCCTTATGTTTGCCTTATGTTTGCCTCAAATGACTTCCATTGTTTATACTTTTTTCTAAAGAACAACAAGACCATTGATTTTTTGTAAAAAAAATTGTATCTTCATGGCTTGAGACTCTCATTGCTTTTAACGTTATGCTATTAACAGCCAGATTCTGATGTTTATATATGGCATGGCCTGAGCGTTTCATTTGCTGATCAACTCGTCTTCAATTCAATGTTCAACCCTGATTTTATTAGCACCAAATCAGTGATAAAAATATAAAAAAATGAGTTTAAATTTTGAGTCATTTACTAGTGAAATCAGATCTAAGCCAGTTCCTCCTTCGTACATTTTCTGCTTTGTGTCCCTATGAAAGCAATTTATGACGTAACACGGACCTAGGTGGAGCAAGCTTTGTCACCGTAAATGTGCGCAACATGAAAAGATACTGCGCTAGCAACCCCTTGATCTGCAGATGATTGCGTCGCTTTAATTGAGAACACGCGGGAAAGCTGCTTTTGAGTCACACAACATGAAATCATGCATATGAATTGTGGAAACGAGCTGAGGTTCATCTTGGCTAATTCTGCAGTAAAAGAGGATACGCGATTGGATAATGCGCTTTCGTGGATTAGTAATTCTTTCAACAGAATCTTGTGACCTCTTTACGTGCCAAATCAGTTCTTGCACATAAACAATATATTTTCTAGCATATTTCAAACTAGGCAAAAGACAAAGTACTTGATTATTATTCTCTTTCAAATTTCTTTTTTTTCTTTTTTAAACACAAAGGCTTTCTCGTATTTAAAATCATTTTGCTGTAGATCTAGCACTTGATATTTCACCACGTTTGTGTTAAAATTATAAAAAAATCAGAAAATTGTATTCCCAATTATCTAATTTTGCACATTTTCCTTAAAGTCTGTTGTATGCTGATCCGATAGTCGCTCCAGTCAATATTGATGACGATTGCATATTTTTTTGAAGCCTCGTTTCGAGAACTGCTTTCCAAGAGCATAGCAGCTGAAGATGTGGAGGAGAGTGGAGGCTCAGAAGATGAAGAGCCTATTAAGATCACAGCAAGAAAAGAGAAGTTTGAAGATTTCTACGAAGACATAGAAGAAATTGGAAAGTGGGTATTCTTCACCAATTTACGATATATTAACATGTTAAGTCTATAAATGTTCTCCTGCTAACGCTGCTATGTTGATAAAATTGCCAATATTATATTCCACTTAAAAATTAGAGCTAGATTGACACTATCAAAGTCTTTTGATGCAAAGATGAAGGCAATATCAAATCACTCAACATTTATATGAAAAAAGTATGTTTTCATATCTATTCAAGTTTTCCCTTTCTTTTTCACACTCAAATTGGTGTAAAAGCATTTTCCCCTTTCAGAAAGGACTTATTGGTCCAGGGTTAAAAGCTCTGGCGCAGCAGGCATGCGTTCCGGCAATTTTCAAAACTGGCCTAACATCGTAGTAAATGAAACTAACAAAAACAATCAATTTCTCTTCGCTTAAAATAAGCTACCGCAAAGTGAGCCGGTTGCACAAGAGCCTTAAGAAAACTATCTTAGTTGCTGCATTTCTAATATCTTCCTTATAAACTGCACACTCAATGGTATAGTAATCCGATTTCGATTAGTGCTTCAAATATAGCGTTTTTTCTCAGAGGCAGATTTGGGGTGGTAAGTAAAGTGAGAGAGAGGTCAACAGGCAAATACTATGCCGCCAAGTACATTAAAGTGAGAGCTGCTACCCGTTCTCTGGTGCGGCAAGAAATCGATCTGTTGTGCGCAGTGAGGCATCGAAGGATCGTGAAGCTATACGATGTATTTGAAGAATCGAGGAAATTCATTCTGTTGATGGAATGGTAAGCAAAGTTGTTCTTTGGTACAATAAAATAGGTCGTTATAGTGCCCCTGGAACACAATAAGTCAGTTTCTTTACATGCAGATTATTTTAATTGCCCTTTTTTTGAAGAAAAGAATTCAAGGCTTAGTGTGAAACTGTGATCAATGGTGATATTAAGTCTAAAAAGGCATTTAGTATTTTCTAGATCAACCACAAACAACCTATCTAAAGACACCCAAAACCCTACCAAAATTGCTAAACTTTTTTTTATTTTCCCACATTGCTTTTTCGAGACTTTGCTGTTCATACTTCATGCTGGTAGTAAAAATTCTGCAATCACGGAATTGTCATTGCCTTCCAGGGTCGCTGGTGGTGAACTCTTTGAAAAACTTTCTAGAGAAGAAATTATTTCTGAAGCAGAGGCTGTTTTCTTTGTGAGGCAGATCCTACAGGGCGTTCGATGCATGCACAGGAAAGGAATACTCCATCTCGATTTGAAGGTGGTAGCTTATTCCTTATGGAGCATTATTGCCATTCCATTTTATCTTTATTTACCTAATTACCCTTTTTGCCGTCTTAGAGATGACTTCTTGCTTCGAAACTTAAATAACCTAAGAGTGGCTCATATTACGATAAAAACTAATTGATTATATTTCCAGCCAGAGAATGTCATGCTGGTCGATCCAGATTCAACTGACATCAAAATAATCGACTTTGGTCTTGCAAAGAAGCATGATCCCAAAGATGACATCAAAGTGTTGTCGGGCACTCCTGCCTTTGCAGGTGAGCAAGTTACTGCATAATAATAAGCAAAATGTTAACACTGTTGAAGAGTCACCAAGTGACGTGTGTACCTAGCTTGCAGAAGATTGGCTGCTATTTCAAACAACTCGTAAATGTGTTTTTTAACCCTCAGTTACAATGTGAACTGTATGCTCACAATATCTTCTCTATTTTAGCTCCTGAAGTGATAAACTTTGAAAAGATAACGAAGGCAACCGACATGTGGTTAGTTATTGCCATTTCCTTTTCCACAATCTTCTCGTGTTCGACGTAATGCATAATCAAAATATGAAATGTAGCTTTGAAGTGATATAAAGCTTGGAAGCAAAGTCTTTTCGTCTCGGGGAGGGGAGTAGAGGGAGGGTTGCCTTGACATGTTTGAAGGTGCGGAGACGTGCCATTATTCAGGGGGAAAATATCACCATGAAATACTTTTTAATGTGTTAAATATGTAAAAAATTGGGTAAGATATGACCAATGAAAAGTTTGAGGCTTTTTTAACGGATCACTGTTATTTTGGCTCAGTTCACAAAGTTACAAACAGAGACCAAATCATGTGGCTATAGCCAATTTGTAACAAATAAAACTGATTTAGCACATTTAGAGGTATATCTTGATACGCTTTCAGGTGGTGGGATCAAAATTCTAAAAATAGATAATTGTGACGTCATCACTTTAGAACTCTAATAAATTTTGCTATACCACATGTATTATATCACTCTATTTATTCTAAAAATGTTTTAATGTATGTTTTAAATACACCACGTTTCATCATTATCATTTTTCAGGTCGGTTGGTGTTATTGCCTATGTCTTGTAAGTATCTGCATTTCATTCCTAATAAATACGATATTATAATACGTTACAAGCCGTTTCAAAATCGTTTGCGATTGATTTAACATTTAAAGGAATAATAAAGTGAGTCGTTGCAATTTAATGTCATGAATCGTTTATAAGAATCTGAAATTTTGCAATTGTCTCTTGCCTTAGTTTTTTACTGGGGTTTTGATATTGTTGTGTTTCAGACTTAGTGGGGTATCGCCATTTTCTGGGGACAGCCACCAAGAGACATGCAGCAACGTGACGAAAGCCACTTGGGACTTCGATCATGAGGCTTTTGAATCCGTTTCGGAAGAAGCAAAAGATTTTATCAGCAACCTTGTCATAAAACCCCCTAAGTAAGTTGAAATTTTACTTGCAATTTTTTTGTGTCCGCTAATACAGTAAAGTAAAGTGACTTTCATCTAATCATTGTTGTCTCACATCTATTTCTGGCCATTTCACAAAATTTCATCATGTTTTCTTCGTTAATCTTTTTTATCAGCTTGTGATACAGAACCTTTTGAAAATGTTAAAAGCAACAAGCTCTGAGAATCTGAAGATTCGTTAAAAATGACAATTTTTTCTTCAAACAATTTTTTGTTAATCCTTACTCTTAGCTTTTGATACCAGAAAATTTTTCTTTGAGAAACCGGCTCTGAGATTCTAAATAATGGTGACAGTGACAATTTGTTCATCAATTAAGTCAGACAAAAGTGAATTTTTGCTATTTACTTCGCTATAAATTGGATTTTTTGTCAATCTAGATGTAATTAGTAAATTGACAAATTAGTAAAAATATATGTTATTTGTACAAACAAATTTAGAATCAGATGGAGTGGCTGAAAACCCTATCATACAACATCTCGTTGAGGCACAATCTTTTTCGCCTCTTGAATTTTCATCCTCTTTCCTTATTATATTTTCTTGTTCAAGCAAAACCTCTTCAACATTAATTTTGCTATTATGCACTCTTATTCGTTGATTTGTTTTTTTGAAGGCAACGAATGAGTGTTGAAGAATCGATCGACCATCCTTGGATAAAGGTAACTTTATAATCTCAGGTTTCCAGGGTATGATTCAACGCATTGCTTTCAATGGCGTAACGTAGAGAGACGTAATGTAAGGTCACTTTTTCCTTTAGGCCCGAAATGATTAGCATTTGTAAAACAATAACAAAACATAGGACAAAAACATAAAATGGTATTCAACAGATATCAGGCAGTTTCTGGGCCCCTAAAGTCGTTTATCACATTCAGAATTCCAGCTTCACGCCTGTTACGCTACTGCTTGCTTGTGCTATAGAGTTTTTTCTGTAATTGCCAGCTAATATGGAATTCTTTCCCCATGTTTTTCCTATACATTGTGACATTTGAAATGCTGGAGATGAACCAAAAACTAACCATCATAGTTCGGTTAAACATAAATTAACCAAAATAGATATTTTTAGTTGTGGTTTGACAATAATCATTATCTTTTTGACGTATATACTACAGCCCATATGATAATAATTTTTCGTAAGACGATGATAACCGAGAAACCTCTTAACTCAAAAACACCAGGCAATCACTTACAAATGCATTGTAAATATTCATTCTGTACGTTCCCAGTGTTTGAAGCTCGTGTACTTTCATTTTGGGTTATAAAATCATGAGCTCTAAGAGCCAAGCTTTATAAATATGTCTACCTCCTTTTAAAGAGCAGTCAGCGTGTATTGCACTGTGGTATTTCAATCAAAATTATCTAAGTTGAATTTAAAGACACAAACAATATGTATGAATATGCAAAGCATGCTGTTAGAATATGAAGTACAACTGCTCTTCAGGCAGGAGTGCTGCTGCATGATACATAGTACCTTTCGGTTTCTAACAACGAGTCAGCAATCTAGGCGTAGACATTTTAAGCCCAATTCCGAAGCCCTTTCAGTTTACACTGATCGTTGTGAAAGCGGCCATGTTGGCCTAATGTTTTTATAGTTGCTTTTTCTCACAAATTCTTAAAGCAATATAGACAACATCAGCTCATTCGGCAAGGTTTAATTTTAGGCTTATTACGTCCTGTTGGTTGCAACAATTAAGATCAATTAGGATTTGCTTGCTTTTTCTTTTTTATTTGAAATTATATCAGGAGCTAAGCCTGTCTCCAGACATGAAAGTAGCTTTTTAAAGATAGGCTATTTTTCTGCTTGTACAGTCGATCACTGCAAGTTGCATGATCAGATTTTAAAAATTGCAACCAGGAAAGGAAGAATTAAATACATGGATATCTTCAAAATGATTTGATTTGAAGGGGAACAAATAAAGAGGCTAAAAGTTTATAACCAGTTTATTTATTGCCAAGTTTAACCCCGAGGTAATTTATCTTTAAATTCATCCTGGAACAATTCTGATGATAGGAAATATTTATTGTTTTTCAAGTAATGTTGCTGAGTTGCTTGAAGAGAGTTGAGTTGTTGCATTACTGTTTATTAGGCAGCATGTAACAGCCGTGAATATAAGGATATTCTTCGGAAAGTGCAATTCCTACTTTTTATGCTCAGAGATATATAGTTTTGTGCATCCCTGACTTTGTTGATTGTCTTGTAGAACTCTTGCTTTTAACATACGTTAAAGTTCTTTAAACTCATCAAATCTTGCGATTATAACTTTTCCTATATAAAACTTTACAGAAGCGTAGTGACAAATCCAGTGGTGTAATGGAGAAGCTTTTCGGGCAAAGTTTGGGAGTCCTATGTTGGGGATAAAAAGTTTTAGATCTTAAAGCTTTAGATCTTTTAGATACTAGCTAGATATGGATGAGGTCTTTTCAATATTATTGCGTTTGTATTGACAAGGTGAACAATATAAGCAGCTAAAAATCGCAGATTCTCCACAGATGTACTTTATCATCGTAAACAAACGACTAAAGGCTCAACCATGTTTGAATCTACCGGAATGTAAACATTTTATATCAACTACTTCATAAAAATTATTTTGTAGGGTTAAGTAACTGTCTTATTGCCAATATCTTCCTTTTCTATTAACAAAAGATATTATATACAAAAGATATTTTTATGGATACTGTATTGGACTATCTTTAAGCTGGCTATAAAAACATTCAATATCAAAAATATAAAACGTAGCCAATTCTTCTTCCTGCTCATTGCTGTAATTGATATTCATTAAATTTTGTTCTTTCGTTTTCATTCACAGAACGCTCGAAAAAGAAGAGAGAGCCAGATCAAGACTAGGGGCCTTTTCCATTTTACAAAGTCTTTCTCAAACGTAAGTCATATTTTTGTATTTGTTTCTACCTAGCATGAAATTTTCTTGAATGATGATGAAAATGTTTTTTACAATAATCATTGCCAGACTTGAAAGTGGCAAAAGAAGATGGCAAAATTATTCTTTTTCTAATAGCAACGTTGGTTCTATCTACTTTGAATATATTGTGCCTTTTGCAGCTTCAATCCTACCCTGGGTAGTGAGTCTGGTACCCAGGGTACTTCCACCCCTATCTTTGAATATTCCCAGTTGTGCCCCTGCCTTGAGAATTGCCTAAGGCACTTGTCGAACATCTTTTTTTTCAACGAAGAGTTCCCGCTTCCAGGTTTTTTCTTTCGGGTAGCAAATGTGGCTGAATTTAAAAGTCTTCAAAAAAGCTGCTTTCAGACAATCAAAGTTCTTCTTTTTGTCCATCTCTTCTAAATGTTACGCTCTCTTCTACCACAAATACCAAATGCTAATTTTTGGAAGTGCTTGCAAAACGAATGCTGACACGAAAAGAGTATTTCTGGTTCCATTAGGAATAAATTTCGTTCCTTTTAATAACTCCCTGTCTACTAAGCAAAGAGGCCTGGAGCATTCAATTCATTCTTTACTCTCTAAAAATTTATTGCAGGCCTCAAAAACATAGATAAATAAATTCGATAATAAATTATCCATGCGATAAATCCTTAAAGAACAATAATTTCAAGAACAAACGTAGCGACGGCGCTGGGTTTATCTCTGGTTTATCTACATATAATTAGCAGAGATATCAAACTTGAAGATGGGAGAGGAAGCGCCAACCCCAGGGTTGAAGTCAACAAATTTTGTCTAACTCTTTAAGGGTATGGCAAAAAGATAAATACTCTTATATCAGGACCGCCGGACGTAGGTTTGAACAGGGGGGCCAAAACGAATAAAAAGGGCACAAATTTTTTTTCCGAAGCATTATTAAGAAGTGCCAAAAAATGGTACAGATTTCACGGTAATTTAGACAATTATAAAAATTATGACACATGTTGGACATGATAATGATATTATTTTCTTACTTTCATATTTAAACAATTTAGTCCCCCTTGGTATTCGCACCCTCCCATTCCCACTTAAGCACAAATTTGTTCGCCTCCATGGAATTTATATGAAAAGCTACAAAATTTGATGGTTAAGACATCTTAACGCAATCGGCTGAAGGTGCGGGCACATTCTTTACTGCCATAGCAAATTTAATTTGTAACATTGATTAGGTTTATCTCGTCAGCCTTATGAACGAAACAAGTTTTTAACTCTCCTTAAACTTGATCCCGGGGGGGGGGGGGTAAACGTATTACATGTGAGTTCCGAAAAACTCGAAAAAAGCTAGAATTCTGGGACATAGAATCTTGAAAATTGGGTTGCATTCTTAATCAGTCATCGGAAACACAAAAGGGCAGGAATTTACTAATATGATGTTGCAGATAATTTTTTAGATAAGTCAATGGCATATTTTTGCAGTACTTCTAGTCTTGTATATTGTTGTAATCCTAGATAAGAAGTCTTTGTTAGCATGTAGTCATTGCAGGGACACAACTTTTTCATTTCTTCATAAAAAACATTGAACACAATGTTATGAAGCAAGCAATATGTTGCAGTTATAGTTTTACAGATGTCTGATTTTGTTAATATGTATGTCAAGAACCACAAAGGATTTTTGTTGAAATCAAATTTAGTGAACTCTGCTTTTTAACTTGCCTAGTCATAAGTTTATAAAAAGTAATGATTGTAACATGAATTGGTAGCAAAAATTCCTGCTCAAGCTTGAATTCTCAGTGAAAAGAGTTTTGGCAAAGTTACAGAATAGGGTACATTTTACGCATCCCAGAATCAGAGATAGGGCTCCAGTTTCTACTTTCAAGAACACACACGATTTACATTGGACCAACTGACTGTGGAACTGGTAGTCTCCTTTACAGTTGATATTGTTCATCACAGGGGCTTGAGTTTTTTTGCATCAAGACCAACTAAATATTGAAGGAATTTTCAGTGAATGGTCCTCCAACAACGTCCAGAGTTATGTTGTTTTATTTTGTTTCTAAAGGCAGAATATCTGGCATTGAAAAAATACACGCATTATATTTTTCAAAAAGGGGCACTTGTTTATACTTTTTGTAAACAGGGGGGCCTGTGCCCCCGTGGCCCCCTGGCTCCGGCTGCCCTGTATATGCTGCTTCTATGCGGTTCTGTTTCAAAGTTCATACTTTAATGCCATTTTTTGAAAGTTCAACAACTATAAAAATGTTAATAAGTTGCAATTGTTGCAAAAAGGTTAGAGGAAGAGTAAAAAAATTGCTTCTTTTGCCCGGCAAAAATTTCTTCTTTTGCCAAATGACAAAAAGTTCGGGGTTACCGCACCCCCTCCCCCGCACCCCTTCTTTGGCGAGGCCCCTGCCAAACCCTGACATCGTCTGTACGGCAATGTACTATTAAAAAGGAAACTGTTCGCACAAAATGAATGTGTTCATAATGGCAACCTTCATTGTTCTCCTCTTGTCTCCAAAAGAGGGAGGCCTTGACACAGGGGCTTCCAATGAGCATGTCAAATCTCCCGAAGAAAATTCATTTCTCATTTCAAGAGATTATTCTCCCTGAATTATAATCGAATTTCACCACAGTCATTTCTTCATAATATGAAGTAGATTTTCAAAAGCTCACGCAAACTGCTACCTCAATAGCACTTTCAATCTGCAGGTCCTTGTCTATAAAACAATTGGCTGAGCTGAAATGAATGGCGACGCCCTGCCAACCCAGGTCATAAACGCCATAAAAATTCCATTCGCACAGGCAGGGCCTTAATAACCTCATCGTAACCTTTGTTTACAAATTTCTGTATCCTATTAAATATTAGATATTTTTACGAGACCACCTCGCAAACCATTTTCTGAACACACTTGCCCCTGTTCTTTTTAAACCACATTTCCTGTTTATATTTATAGTTTCTTTATCCCTTTAGCGTCGCTTTGTTGGTTTTTTTCCGCAAAGAAACTATTAAATCATGTAAATTGTCTCTTGTATGAACGCATGCACCGCTAACCAGTTGATTACAGTGTTCTCGTTTTTCCGGAATGTTTTCTTTGGCCTTTGTGATTCATCATGTCTGTGTTGATGAGCTCTTTGTTCAAGCAAACCAACTACAAATATGTACCATCCATGCTTTGAGTTGTCATTAAAAACAGTGTAATATTGACCCACGATGTTTTAGTACAGCAGATTCAATGTACTTCTAGCAATAGGAAGTCGTTCTTCATATTATTCTCAAGTCAAAATGTGCCTTATGCAATGATCGCAGTTACTTAGTACTCTTTGGCTTTGAAATTACAAGCACCGGGGAAAGCAAGGAATCGAACATCTAAAAGCAGGTAAGTTTCTCGCGAATCATGAAGAGAAATATAAGGTATTGCTAAAAGAAACATGTTGCAAACGCGGTAAAAAAAGATTGACTGTCATGATTGACCAACAGTCAATTCAAATCAAGGCAGATTGCAAGTTTTTGAAGCGAAGACAGAAGTTCCAAAGTTTCCACTGCTTGATCAGGGTAATTGATGTCATGGCAACCTAGTTAGGCCTCATCCATCTTCTTTTCACTGGGCAATTCCTTGTTAACCGCAGCACTTAGCTTAGTTTCGTAGTTTGTCCATCCTTGAAGCAAATATTTAATCACATTCCACAACAGAACTATTGTCAATTAAATAATTCGTACAGCTTCAAGCTTTTCAAGAGCCCTTTCAAGTGCGTGGAGCGATCAATTGTTTACAAAAACATTTGAGAAGTGTGACAGATACATAGTGTAGGAAATTGAAATCAGTATCCAACTTGATGCTTAGAATCGACAGGTTTTTTATGTTTCTTGCTGTGTTTGCCGGTAACATGTTTTGTAGTATTTACCGAGTAATTTTATTGTGTAATTTTACCGAGGCTCGATGTTCTTATCATTTGGATAATTTAAGGCTCGGACGTTAGTAACATTGTTCGTTTTAGAAATATTATCTGTTTTTGAATGTTTCATAATTTCTCTATAGCTACTATTTCTGGTATTGCTTCACCAGGCAATCTTATCTTAGCAGAACTTGAGATTGCAGTCGATGTTCAGTTTTAGTTTGTTGCACCCAGTCTGCTTTTCTTGATCCTTTTTTCGCCGCACAAAAGAAGCTATTTTCAGGGGGTGCTAGAATTACAAAAGTAACAGAAATGGTAGTACTGACAATGTATACCATTACACTGACAAGAAAATTCAGTTCGCTAACATGATGAATATCACAAGTTATATTGCTCTTATAGCTGACCAAATTTCTAGCTGACCAGTTTTTCAAAATAAGTAGACACAATGTTTTTGAATTTTTACTTGGTAAGTTGTACCGATTGCTGTGTTCTACGTTGTATTTCAGGCTACCGATGGGGTGTCTGTCCCTTCTTGACATCCCAAAACGCGTTTGAGGGGCCCAGGCTTTAGGATGATGTCATTGCTGCCTGACCCCCTTCTACTTGCTACTGCTACATCCGAAAAAATTTCCTTTGGTATTATCTTGGCAAAAAATGACAAAAAGAAATGTTCTTGGGAAGAGGGGTTGCCGTACTCCTGCCTTCACCCCGCTAGCAACAAAGCCGCCATTCTTAGCCCTTGCTAGAATTTTTTTTACAAAAACACACTTCTGAACCAAATTTTTTATTTTCATACATCACAAAGCTCAGATTAAAGTTGAACACTGTAACTATTGATTTGTTTTATTTTTAGAGTGCCGAATTTCAAGATGACGTTTTCACGGACAATCCAGTGCCTCTACCAGAAACTAATATCCGGCACGGAGCATCTGGCATAACAAGGGATGCAAAAACGCCATTTGGAGGCAGGACCTGCAAACAGCCAGTCTTTGAAGTTATCAACACGATGGACGAGAGCACCACTGACAGTCCACCACCTGGTAAAGTACCATTGTTAAGCTGCCATTGCATCTGTATATGGCTATATATAAATATAACAAAATTTCACAAGGGGATCATGACTTACAAAATTTGTATGGCCCCTGTGCCGAGAACCTTCGTGCTAAAGTCATTTAAAGACCCTAAAACTATTAAGCATAGCACAAAAAGCCATAATTTGCATTTTTGGAAATTTATAAAAGAAGATATGCCAAACGGAGCTTCGAATTGCCTGTCATTTAAAACTTGAATAACCCATTCAGTGGAACGACTCTTTGTTTCAATTAAAGGGAGGCCTCACAACTTATCTTTTGAAGTAACTGAAACTCCACCCCTTGGTAGAGCAGTACTATACTGTTTTCTATATTTACTTCTTACATTTTATTTCATAGGTACTTTTTTAGGTGTTCTAATTTGTATCTTTATTGAGCAGAAAAGGTTAAAGGAAAAATATGCCTTTATGAACAGGTAGTTGCGTTGCATGACAGTAAAGGATAGATGTCTTGACTAAAGAAAGGCAGTCAAATATGTGGGGTTGTACTTCCAGTCTATATTTATTTCACCTCGTAATTTCGTCTTGTATTTTCTGGCCATGCACGAAGATAGCTAATTTTATAAACAATACCCTTACCCATTCTAAACCCTACAAAAAGCAAAAAAAAATTGCTTAGAATATTTATGACACATAAATACTTGTAAATGAATAAGAATCTTTTTTTTGGTTTGAAGGATCGCCAAATGGGTTAAAGAACAAAGAGGAGTATCGCGTGCTGGAAGAACGTTTCAAGAATATGGAACGTGGTTACAATGAAATGAAGCAGAGATTACGAAAACATTCGGAGCTTCAGAACGAAATGGAGAATTTGCGTTCCGAACTTGAGAAGTCGTTATCCGCCCATCAGAAACTGCAAGAATCGTTGTTAGTCCACGAGAAGACGAAGGATGAAATAACTGAAAGACACGATCTTCTCAGGAACAAATCGAATAAGCTAGAAAGTGAAAATAAAGTGCTTGTACAAAATTTAGAAATGGTTAATGAAAGTTACGAAAAATTAAGTAGAAAATACAAACGACTGCAAGAGAAGTTAGAGAAAAATGAGGATCTTGAAGATAAAATTGAGGAACTGGAACGGACGAAAGCAAGAAAACTTGAAAAAATTAGAGAATTGGAGGATCTTGTTGCTGACTTGAATGAAAACAAAAGAAGAAGTAACAAAGGAGATGAAACAATGAGAAATAGACTTGAGAAAGAGAATAGATCGTTGCAGAACACGATTGAAAATTGTCATCAGGAGATTGAGGAACTAGAAGATAAGCTGGGAAATTTAGAAACGGAGAATGGTAAATTACGAAGCGAACTGAAACAATGGAGAAGCAGTGGAAACATCGACAACAACAACAAGGTCGATCACAAATCAAGAGAGATGGTCGAGAAACTTGAAACATTGAAATTAGACCTCGAAGAACAAATTGAAATTGAAATTCGTGATAGAAAACTTGCTGAGAAAGAGAGGGATACAATCGAGGAAGAATTTGCAGAGGAAAGAAGTAGCTTAGAGAGTCGAATACAAAAGATTATGAGTCACAATCGACAACTAGAAGATGAGATCAGAGAAATGACGTGTCTTTTAGATGCAAGTAAGAAAAGTTATTTCCAATTGGATGAAGAATTCCAGGAATTGAAAAAGGAAGCAAATTTTGACAAAAGAAAGCATAAAGAGGAAATGAGATCAAAAAACGACGAGGTTGCAGAAATCTCTAAGGTTTATATGAATCTTTTACTGCCTTTTTAATTAAGCAAGTTTGTTAGTTTTTACAAGTCGTCTATGTTATATTTGTTAAAATAGTATTTTTGTCAATTAACCATTTACAAAAACTACAGTTTTCTTGCAAAGGAGTGATATTTTTGCTACTCTATACTTTACTGCGCACTGTGACCTTGCGCACACTAACTGCACAAATTCATTGTTTATAGAGACTTTCACTGTATTATTTTTCTCTTCTTTAATAAACTAATTCATTCATTAATAGGCCTTTTACCTTGACCTAGCTCTATGTACTGATTAATCATTATGCAATAGATGGTAGATTTCCTTACCCTATTCAATAAAATCCCCATTCATTCCTTGTTTTGTTAGTTTGCTTGCCTTTTACCTACACCTTCTACAAAAATCTATGCATTTGGCTTTCATACAATCTTATTTGCTTTTTTTGTTGAAATCTCTGATATAAAAAGTTTTCTAGAGTAAATGTCTTTCTACTTTTTATAAGAATGAGGTTTTATATCCCATAAACTTGTTCTTAGGAAAAAGATGTTCTCAAAATAGAATGCAGCAGATTAGATAAAAAGATGGCGGAGTCAATAGAAGAGATAAGAAGACTGGAAAAGGATCACACCACTGGCAGAAGCACTATTGACAGAAAATCATCTGGACCGAAAGACTTAGAACGAGTGCGGGAGGACCTGAAAATGACACAAGAACATCTTAGGATTGCAACAGACACGAATTCTCTTCTTCAGGTAAATCTTGCTTTTCTTGAGGACTATTAAACTATTCTACAGAATGCCTTTTCATTAGATGTCCCGTTAATGACGCCATCCGTCACTCGTCGCTACTCAAGTCATCAATAGTGTCCCATTGCCAAACAGAACCAAAGACCGAGATGCAAATTTTTGTTCGGAGGGGGGGGGGGGGTAGCCCTGATAAATTGGTTCAACAACAGCCATATTTTACATAATAAAAGTATTTTACTTATGCTACTTAAGTTTTTTTGGAGGGGGGGGGGGGCAAGGCTCCTACGGTCCCCTGCATCTCGGCCTTGAACAGAAGAAGAGCTTTCGTCATTATGCTTTGTTGTTGCTAATTTTGTTCTTGTGTTGTGCTGATATATACCTGAGTATAGAAATTCAAAGCACAATCGCAAGAGGTGTAAATAATCAAGAAAAGTTAGAGATGAAGATAATCAAGCTTGTGTCTATGCTGTCCACATAACACACATAACATCTTTGTTGAATTCTTAGCTGCAGGATTTTGTGATTCTTCAAAAGACGTTTGAATCTTCAAGTTTACCTTTATGTCGGGCTTGAATCTTTAATCATCGAATTTGATGATGAAAGTGCTGCGTTCAGTTGACTCCTGCTAGCATAGCTTTCTGTCATCATTTCCTACAGATTGTATCAAAATGGCCTCTTTTCTATGAATGAGAAATTGCTATTTGTTAATGAATGTCTAAACTAATTTAAAAAAACTTACGCGGGCACACGAAGAGTCCTTGCAGATAACCAAATCTCGGTAAAAGTGAACTTTTTTTATTATTCTCATAAAACGAGCTTCTTTTCTAAAGATTTGTGCAATATCACCAGGATGATGACTTTATTTTTTCATTAGATTTTGAATATCTGAGATAAGTTTAATATCTATCTGATATATCATCTATTTTCACTAAAGAGAAGAGAGTTTTACAAGGAAGTGAAAAAAGCTCAATGCAAAAATAGTTTGAACGAAGCTAAATTATGTATTATTCAGTAACTATATCATCAATGTTTTATCTATGACCATGACAACAAACCAAAACTCAGATTTTGGGATAGTTGGAGGGTCATGGTAGCCAACCTTCTGATAGAAGATGGTACCTGATGATGATATCATCATTGAGCCTCTATTTGGCAATTCAATTTGAAAGAATAGTCCAAGTCAAAATTAATGCTGTTAGATTCATTCAACAGAATGTCTTAGCGGGGCGACTTTAAAAATTAGCATGAAACTGTTGCAAGGACAGGTGAACATTCGTTTACATTCCTATACAATAATTAAAAATCTACTTATGCTTGTTATATCAAGAATTCGTTGCAAACAGTCGTTGTTTATTTCAGCTTGAGATAAAGAAGATGAAACAGGATCACGAGACTGAATTAAATATTCAGCTTATCGAATTAGAGGCAAAGCTGAGCAAGGGTCACGAGTGAGTTATTGACGGATCGAATTTAGAATCAATTCGTATGTGTAACAAAATTATCAGAGATGGTTGCTGTTTTCACGAGCACGTGATTATTAGTCAATCCGATCATTCGATTCTTTGTTAATATGGTGTGGATTGCAAGGTTTATTCTGGTAGCAAAAAAATTTTATTTGTTTTCTCTTTGGTGCTTGCTTTAGTGACTTGATAGCTTAATTAATTGAATTATTTTGAAACTGAAAACTTGTATGATTAAAAGCCCGGCTAAAATTTCATGGTAGCACGATTAAGAACTACATTTTTGTTCAAGATTCATTCATTAGCCAATCTGTTTTTCAGAGGGGAAATAAATCGCATAAGGGAAGAACTTTCATCTTTACCAAATATTGAAAGAAAGGAACTGGAAGACAGAATTACTGTTCAAGACTTTGCTGTGAGTAATTTCTACGACTTTCCAGAAATGTCCTCTCTTCTAGGAACGTGATGTTGTAATATGTTTCTGAAACGGAATATCACCATTGCAACGAAATCTCAGAAAATGTTTTTGCTGATATTCGGCACTCATAAATATGTCACCCCGAAAATGTCAATTTGCATCATAACTTGTTGCTGTTGAAAACTTTCTAGTTTCAACGCACGGATGACTTTCATTTTGAGAAATTGTGTTTTTTAGATTCGTAAACTTCAAGCCATCTTGGAGGTTCGCGAACACGAAGAAAGAACCCATGAAGAGACACAAGAAATTGCCCCCGTCACTTTAAATGGAAGCGAAAGCCCAACAACAAATTCAAACAAAGCCTCAAAGGTATTTTTCATTAAAGGGTTGACAAATATAACCTTACTTCGGCCTGACTCTGTAAGACCTAAGTGACAATTCACGTTATTATTTCTATCAAATCTTAAAATGATACGAAACCTCCAATGTGCCAATCACAGAGGAAAATTACAACCACGACTGACACTTACAATTTTTTGTGACAGCGGCTACGATTGGATTCATGTTTGAATCCTAGATTCAGTATTTTTATTTAGAATATCTATACAGATTGATAAGCTACAGAATTACGTACGGTTTTCAAACTGACTTGTTAACAAAATCAACGTTGCAAGAAGAAAATTGGTTAAAATTTTGTGTACTGTTTTTTTCATTATTTACTGTCTGCTAAAAGGAAATTTTTTTTATACAATGATGTTGAATAATGTAAGGCATGAAGTGAAGTATTTGTGTAACACATTTGGCACAAATTTGTCCGTCTTTTAGAGCTCTTCCGTGTAATAAACTGTTGATTTGAATTCAGTTTTCACAGAATCTACCAGATTCCGTTAACGTCATAATATCAGGTGGTAATGAAGTGAAGGTCACACAAAGTATCGACCACGATGACGAAGAGGATCCTGAAGAAAAAGGTATTAACTTCAGGTCATGTAACTGCTCAATTATCAGATAAAATTCGTTTTCCTTGCAAAATAGTTGTAACCCGATCCCTATTCATGCGAACCTTTTCCAGAATTTTAATGTTGACCTTGTCATTTCTAGAAACACTAACCGACCGCGAGCTGCGCCGGGTTTCTTACAAAATTGCTGGAGGTGCCTGGAATAACATGGGCCAGGCGTTGTGTCTTCGAGGCCCCAAGTATGATGAAATTATGAATAGCAACAACAATGACCAAGAAAAGATTTTCGGGTTGCTATCGCTTTGGAAGTCGGAGATGAAGCAGCCAAGGAGTGTCATGATATCACAGTTGACTGTGGCCATCGAGAGAATGAAACGTAGAGACATTGTCAAGTTCGTTAAGGAGCTCAATGGACGCGAGGGATCTAGTTTGTCAATACGCAAGAGAATTCGTAATTTTGTGCGGTAGAATACCAAAGGTGTATGACGTAACCAATGGAAGATGAATATCCAGTGGCAAAGGCCACAATCAAATCTAGCAGGTCAAGCGATATTCGTTTATTCCTTGGTGATATGAATAGCTGCTTATTAATGATTTATAAGGACAGCGTTAGAAATGAATATTCAAAATATACAACATATGCCGATATATTTTCAATGACACGTGGGTTTGAGGTAACTTTTACTGGCTCGAAGTAGGAGGAGAACGCATTGCCTTGGTCTTAAAGATATTAAGCTTGCAAAGGGTGATAATGTTAAAACGCAATCGGATTTGCAAACTAGAAAGTAAAGCAACTTGAGCATGATCGTTTCGCAAAGCAGCGTTCAACAATGTTACTGTTGGTCCTGAAATCACTCATCAAATCTCAGAATTTGTTAGAAGTTAAGAACAAATTAAGCTACTGTAAAATGAAATTTGGAAAACGTTTATCTCAAGCCATCTTCGGTGAATACTCAAACGTGTTGGCAAATGAGGCCTGAACACCTCCCTAGAGCGAAAAAGCTAGCTGCTGCATTGCTTACACCCTTATCATTTATGAACAAATTAAGAACATCCAGCTGAATTTCAATTCTCTGGTTCTTATGCAAAAGAATGTAATGCATGAAATTTTTGTGTATGCACATGAGAATTTGGCATTATTCTATTCATGTTTCCAAAGAAATTTTTTTAACAACTTGAGCTTGTATTGAAGATCATAATCAAGCGACTGAATTTTTAATTAAACTTAGCACAGAGTTTGTGTCGCCCATGACAAGTAACAATTTTTTTCAATTCTAAGAAAATAAAACAAAGCGGCGAAAATTCTAGGAACAAATTTTGGTCGTGTATGAGTGTTTTTAATTATGGTTTATAAACACATTTAAGGTACCAAGTTGAAGAAATATAATTTGTCATACAACACACGGGATCTCATAAAATCTATTTACCATACTCACGGAGTATGGTAAATGGCAGCCAGTCAGCCAGTCAGCCAGTCAGTCCTTGAGTTGTGTAGCGAGTGGAATGGATGTGTTAACACCTTAATTAAGGTGGTAATGTAAAAAACGTTATTAAGAGCAGCCAGTGTAATTAGTAAGGTCTTGTCTCGTGATAATTTAATGTAAGGCCTATTTAATGTGGGCCTTGCCTAGTGATAATTCGCAAAATTTGCATACAAGAATTGACACTCTCAATTCATTCAAGTGATTACCATTTTTGTATCATGAAATTGATCCAGTCAGAGTCTTAGATATTTTGAAAGCGTAGCTTTGTTATTTTTAAATGTTTTCAAATAAGCTAATTTATCCAATAGAAAAGAAGAATCGCATCGCAAGCATATTTGATGATCTGTTCCTCGACTTAATTTTGAATTTTGATAGACTATTTATACTGTTACTTAAGTGGAACAACTTGTGAGCTTTTAAAAATAATTTGTTATTCATAAACGATCTCAACGGAAGAACTTAAAGAACGATTTTTCTTTTCGAGGTTTGCACTGCTTTCATCTAATTTTGGCAAAAAGTTTTATTTATACAGGCATGTGATCTAATTTAATTAACATTGATGAGCAACGAAAACAGAACGAATATAATCATATTTCTGAAGATTTAGAAAGTCAGGAAAGTTTTTGTTCAATTTCCATAATTATAGAGCAAGACGAAACAGAAACTCGAAGGTGCGTCAACAACGTTGTCATAGAATAATCGATATCAGAAAAGGTGTGAATACCTGCAAGTTGAACAAAAATACATGCAAAAAATAATTAAATGAACATTGTTGCTAACAAGAGCGCAGCTGAAGAAATGTTATTATGTCAAATCTTTCAATTTTGTCAAACTCAAGAAACAGGGAAGAATCAAAATGATTGAGAAAGTGTCGAAAAAGAAAAATAACTAAAATTTATGCTATATCAAGTTAGCTGACAGAACACGTTGGCGTAGATGCAACTGGTAACGTGGGGTTCAAAAGCTAAAAACTTTTGCTTTCTGTAAAGAAGTATGATTGATTGCCTTGATGCAACTCTGCGCAGGGTTCTCCTTGCTATACAGTCTCGTACAATGTGTTAGTACATAATAAATAAAAGCTAGATTCAGTACTTATTCAAATTAATCAAACATTAAGATTGAGAACATGAAGAAAGAAAAAGAAAAGTAGAAAACCATGATCATGTAAAGATACGCAGTGCAGTGCCCAGGAATAACCATTTCAGGGCTTGTGTTAATGTCTAACTGGCTTGTTGCTTTTTCTACATAATTGGCGAGAAAAGCAATTCTGCGTGATAGACAAATACATTCAGCGTTTGGAATCATCAATGACGAAATTAGCCTCGATTTGGTTGGAATCTTGTTTCTACCCGAGGTTGGGAAATTTTCCGCCATTACTTCCAAACAGAACAGAAGTACAATGTCAAAAGTTGACCGAAAACACTTACAATGCCTAAGAGACGAGGAAAAGTTTTTGCTTAAAATGCAGAATCAATTATTGAATCAACAGAAAAGACTAAAAGTAGAAGAAGCAGCGCTTTTAAGGTTGATGAGTGCTAGTGGAACTAGTCGAGGGGGCGTTGGGAAGCAGGGAACAGCCGCCAAGCCCGAGACTGTTGTTAGTCAGCTGGAGTGTAAATCTTCTCATACCACAATTAAAAGTCAGATTGATTGTCTAGATGATACAGTAGTAAACGTTGCTCCTCTAAGTTTGCATGATTTGACTGTTCCGAGTTACAAGGAAAAGGGTCTAGAAGATTCCATTGACCAAGGCAAAGAACTGTTTGATGCACCCCAAGAGGAAAGTGAACATGACAGTGACAGCGAAAGAGACTTCAGTGAACAAGACGATGATGACTGAAATGCCCTATCTTAATGTTTGCTCTCACAAATGAGTAAATTTGTCAAGAATCATTGGAATCCTCTCAAATCCCAGCAGTGGTGATTAAATATTGCTGCTCCTCCTACGAACACCATTCCCTCTGATGGTACCACTTACCTGCTTTTTCTGAATGGCTTGAATACTTGAAGAGTTATGCAGCCTAAAACGATCAAGTTTTGAATTCGCATAGTTGCCAAACTGTGATAATAGGTTCCTAAAGAAACAATGTTCAGCAGCAATTCAAAGGAGATCCAGACAGAATATGCAGTACAGGAAAACTCTATCACCATCATTAGTATTTTGTGAATAATATTCAAGAATTTCTTTTATAAATTTTCAACCATTAAGTTATTCACATTTGATGTAGTGCCATTTCTATCAAATTGCCATTAGTTTTTTGTGAATTGATTGTCAAATGTCATGACCCAGAAAGTATCTCATCAACAAGAATGGACAGATTTGAGAAAAACCTTGATGGGACAAGAGAGAGAACAAGGACTTAAAGAAAGAGTTTCTGAATGAATGAATCCCCTCAATGATAATTGATGTGGCATCATAGATGATTGCCTAAAACCAACAATTATTTAGTTATATGTATTTTTTGTCACAGTTGAAGCCAGAGGGTTCAATAATGGCACATCACAATTTCAGTTTAATTTCTTTTCTGGTATATAAGTTATGCAATAAGAAAGTAAAAATTTAAAAATATAGTTTATCTGATCAACCAAACAACTCACCTTAGGCAAAGAATTTTTCATCATCTTCATATTCAGTTTAACTTCCATTTTCCATGCTAGCATGCATTGGATGGAGTTAAATGATTTCCAAACTGACCTATCTTCCATCAGGTCTTTACCAAGCCTCTCTCTCAAATCTCTTCTTATCAACTTATTAATTCAGCCCATGTTTTCTTTGGCATAACTCCACCAACTGGACCTGCTACCCCAACTGCTCTGCATTTACTTGCCTCATCTATAGGCAAATAATTTGATATGGATGTTTAATGTAAGCCTAGAAGACAGGCTTAGATCTGATGAACTTGAGGTTAGATTAGATCTGGAGAGTATTGGGGTATGTGTGCAGAATAGAAGACTTCCCTGGTTTTATCACTTTCAGAGAATAGATATTAATCAATTGTAATTCCACATTAAATTTTTACAGTCCAAATGTATCTGAATAGAATGCTAAAAAATTGGCATGTGTAAAATTGTTCAAAAATTGACATTTTATTTCTTTAAGACTCATGAACATATACTTCAGGATAACTTGTAAACTTATCCAATTTAGAATGCATGGATTGTTTATATTTGAATTTATTGGAGGGTACTGTCCATGTTGACAAACCCTTAGTCTATTTGTATAATCAGTTTAAAAGGTATCTCTTAAGAAATTACTTTACATGTGCAATTAAAGCGTATTTTGTTGGAACCTCTACCAATGTGTTTGCAGTGACCATTCACAGACTGTAATAATGTTCTCCATTGTCTCACTGTGATTAACACCTTCCATGATCTATGTATCCACAATAACATAATCAACAACACTTCTTTGTAATTAGGTAGTCAGTAAATTCACCAAGATGAACAGTGATGCAACAACCCCTCTTGCTGGCTCCGTTTTTTTTGCATGTTAAACAAGACATAAAAACGACAGCACTCAACAGAAATAACATTTAGGAACCAAACATGATCATCCAGCGTTCCTATAGGTTCCCTTTTTGGGTACCAATCAAACAAGAGACAGTTTTGTGCACAATTGTACTGAGGGTAGGTGAATCATTCCTACCATAACTTAACAATTTGTTTCACACAATAAAGTTTCAAGTCATAGCTTTGTGCCAACCTACACCACCAAATCGCCTCTACAAGTACTCCTCCAGAAAAACAAGGAAACAGTGCAGAAAATTGGTATTTGCTCCCTTTATGCAGTCATGGGAAAGAAACTAGATTTAAATTCAACCTGTGAAATTTTTCCAAGCTGCAAGTCTCTGCTCTGTCTAGGGACAAAGCTCATTACAAAGACACCTCATTAACAACAGCTTGCTTAAACTTGATTCTAATAATTATTGAAATTATCATTTTTTGATTGAAATTATTTGGCTTGGGCAACTAATGGAGAGGGGCATTTGCTAGACAAAGATAAATGTTTTTCTGATCAACCCCTACTCTGCAGTATACACAAATATTTTCATTTTTATCTAAAGCAATTTCAGTTGACAGATTCTCCTCCATGCCAAAATCTTTCTCGGTCTCTTAATAAGATGTAACTGCTTTCAATTTTTCACAACCTGCATGGCATTGCTCACTTTCTTTTTTAACAAAAAAGAAATTTCTTGATCACTTTAACCATCAGTTGACAAGGGCAACCAGCCACACTGAAATTAATTCCTAATATCTTTCTCAAAATTGCCTTTTTGCAATATTTCTATGGGCATATATTGAAGTTTGGATTCTATTAATGGGGCACTTAGTGGGGAGGGTTCCCTCCAGAAAGAGGGAGTTTAATAAATCAAATACAGTATTTCAAACCTTATGGAATTTCATATTGCAAGCTTTGTACTTTTTGGGGCAGATACAGTGCAAGATTAAAATCACATTCAATATATTTCAAGATACAATATTATTTCCAAATAATTTTCTCATTTGTAACCTTATCTCATCATAGTGCCCATTTTACTACAGAGTTTTGATTTTTAAATACAATTTTGCAATTCAGTTCATGATATAACTCAGGCAGCAATAAAATGACACTAACACCAAACACAGGCAGCAATTTAATTGATTGGTTTATCTAGCAATTCCAAACTGCAAACTTTCAAATGTCATACTGGCCTGTTACTATATCACTTATTTTTGAAAACAAATTAGAGGAAATACTAGGAGATCTAAATGTGCCGAAATTCAGTTTGCTTGATTACTATCAGAATGAAAGACAATTTTGACCAAACTCATTATTATTGATCATTTACATACTTTCATGAGGATTTTGGTATGCATACAGGCAAGTTCTTACTGTTAGAATCTGATAGGCTTCAGGAAATTCGGTAGAAATTTCTTTTTAAGTTTAATAAAATTAAGAACATTTTTCGTAATTCTGCTAGGTTTTAGTATATAGGTAGAGGTGAGACAAGAAGAAAACAAAGACAACAAAAATAATATTAAGCCAGTGACTATCATCAATGGGAATACCAATGATTAACTTTTTGCTTTGAATATTAGGTTTGTGATATTTTTAAAAGAAGCGTGCAAAGACACAATGCTTATTCTTTTGAATTAACCTTTAAGGTACCTTTTTCCCCTGCAAAGAAGAGAGAAAACTTGGTTAAAAAGGATTTGGCATCTGGTAACAATCAAAACATAATGATCAATATGTAAATTCTCACAAATTTACTAATTAACATAATCTTTAAATATACATAGCCTACATCCCTTTTACTGAAGTTATGACATATTACATATAATTATAATGAACTCAAAACCAATTTGTACACAGAAATTAAAGATCAAGGTTATTAATAGCAGTGGTTTTCCATGATAATTTTTATTTCAAATCGGTCATGGAGTAGGCAGATAGCACATCCCATTTCTCTGTGTCATCGAATAACAACTTGTAACAAAACCTAGCTTACATTTGAATAAACAATGAAGCCAACAAACAAATAAAAAACAAACAAACAAATAGTCCAGTAGCATAAAAGCAACAAAAAGGTGAATTTCTCATTTCCAGGGGGCATAACCCCTTGCTATGTTTGCTTTAGTGTATGTATGACAGAACCTTAAAAATGCAAAGCAAACCATAATTGGCAACAAAAATTTAAGAGGAAATTGAAAACTATAAAGAATATGATCAAAACTGCATATCCATTTTCACTTACGATTTTGTTATTCTGTACTACATTAGTAAAATACTAGCATGTTTACACTACCCCAAAAGAGAATTGTAGCCAGCAGAGGATTGAGGACTGCATTCAGCCACAACATACATTTTCTGCTTTCTATACAGAAGTTGTATAGAAAAAATTGTTTTGTAAGCTCACCAAATACGAAGTCTGCTAAGTATGTATTCATTATGAATGCAAGGGGTGCAATGTGAATCAAGCATGTATTTTCGGAAGATTTCTGTTTGACATATTTCCAAACGATTTTGAGTCTTGGCATCTTATAATGTTTGTCTACCTTCATCACAATTTAATTTATATATGACCCTTCTATTATATATGGCCATTTTTATTGTCACAGGAGGTTAGGTCATCCTTTTCTGCCCATTTTGCCATTGTATGGTAAAAAGGGCTTGAATTGATAAAACCTGTGCAGTGGGGCTCATTGTCATGTATTGAGAAACAGGGAACAAACTAACTTCCTTCATTAATTGGATGTCATATAAGTCATCCAATGTCAATGCTCTACACCTCTATTTTGAATTGATTAAGGTGATGATTTACATTACTGTTCAATACTTGTAGCTGCGAGACTTGCACAGTACTTGGAAATGAGCACTGTTGTGCAGACTGTAAAATTCCTTTTTGGATAGTCTCCTTGCAGGCTAGTCAAATGGCAAAAACCTCACAGCTTCAAAGAGATGTTACAAAACATTCAACAGATATATTCATATCATAAAATTAATTAGACCAATGACGACATACCCTGAGCTTTGCATCTTCCTCTTGACGTTGCTCATAGTGACTAAAGTCATCAAAGATTGAGGTCTGAGCCTTGTAAGAGTGCACAATGTTAATAACATGTTTTCCCTTTTCTGGAGGAACCTCCTGTGTATCCCTAGAGTTAGTAATTGGCTTGTTCTCGTTGTTTTCCAAGCGTATTGGTCTCAAAAGATTGTTAGGTACATCCTTAACATAAATCCATTTGACATCAAACCTGCCCTTCCACTTATCTTGTACCCAGACCCCTGTCTCAACATGAATGTCCACAAAAGACATCATCTGGGCAACCCCACAGAAATGCCCACTGCCATTTACACTAAACAGCATGTAAATGGGTCCATTACCATTCTTGGACTGTTCTTTAAATGCTTCATTCAAACGGCGATTTCCATGCTCTGTACTTGTCCAAATGCTATACTTAATAGAGCGAAATATATCATCCTCACTGTAGCTTTTGATTATAAAGTACCTTGCATTCTTAAAATCCAGATTGAGTTCCTTCGGGTTGAAATTATTTCTGGTCCAAAGATCACGAAGCAAGGGTGAACAATCCTTTGGAATTCGCGAGTCAACCACACTTACACTAGCAGACTGTCCATTAGCACTATTATTCTGGCGGTTCCAACGACCACCATTACCATTAGCTTGTTGTTTTCCACCCCCATTTTTTGCAACGTTCCCATTTTGGTTACTATAATTTGGTTTTGAGGCTGATGGTAACTGAACTGGTGCTTTCTGTGTTTTAGATGATGGTGGTTTGGGCTTTGCAGGCTGGCTAGCAACAGCTGCCCACGATGCTGGCTTACCCGGTGCATTTGATGTCCCTGATTGTGCAGTACCAGAAGAGCTCTTTGAAACCTTAATTGATGATGGACCTGAGCTACTAACTGTTGGGTCATTACTGTCTTTGATATCTCCTTGATTAGTACCTGATACCGTTAGTTGGGACAAAGACTTCTCAACTGTAGCAGTGGCCGGATTAACAAATGTTCCAAGACTCTGGTCTGGCACTTCCCCATTATCAAATCCTGAAAGTTCACCTTGTTCAACCTTGGCCTTTTCGTGTTCAGGAGGTGGTGGCGGCTTATACAAATCCTGATGTAACTGTCCACTTGGGTTTTCTGCTGTGCCCCATGTTAAGTTCAAATCAGTATTGCCCGTAGGAAAGAAGAATGAGCTTGGATTGTTGAAATATGACCATGCAGTTCCACCAACATATGGTGTAAAAGTGTTTGCAAATCCAGAATTTGATGGATTAAATACATGATCAGGAGTCATAAATTGATTTTCAGATGCCCCACCGGGAGCAAGTCCTCCATAGCTATAATTGGTAACATTATGATCAAATCCCTGGGGCTGAGAACTGGTAGCAGCTGACCAAGCAGGTTGCTGTCCGAAGCCTTGGTATGGTATCTGATATGCGGCTGCATTATTTGTGTTAGTGTAATACCCTGACATAAATGCCTCTAGCATGTTTGCAGCTACCACATCTGGTTGTGGTTGAAGTGGCTTTTGATTCTAAGAAAACAATGGGTGGCATTAGAAACATACAATTACCTCAAAAAACCTAGAGTTGAGATCCTTTCAACAAAATCAAAATAATAAACCCCCAAAGAAAGGTTTTATACTACTTTAATTATACTACAATTTTGTGTTGCCAGGTTCCAAAGAAAGTCTGGATTGTGGATTAGTTACAAAATTAGTAAATAGCCAATGTGTGGCATATAATGTCCTGTCTTGTCTTTCTATTTGATGTAGGCCTTTGCTCTAGGCCTTGTCTAGGCCTTTGTTCTAGGTCCTGCACCCTTACTAAGTAATTTGCATGGGCTAGTGATGGCCTTAACAAAAAAATATTTTTGCCTGCCGGATACAGACGTCAATTTGTAGCTTTTTTATTCAAAAGTCGGTTACTATGAGCTACAATTATTTTGGAGGAAATGAAGGAATATAGACTGAGATAAGTACAATACAGCATGAATGTAGCTATACAAGTGCCTGAGGAACATAAGAGTTTTTTTGTTTTAATAGTTGAAAGCGTTTGTACAAAGATTTGGCCAAAGAAGCAGTCAATCAGCCATGTAGAAATCTCTTCAGAAAAAGGCCTGATCCTCACAAAAATTTGGATCTGTCATATCAACAGCCAAAATCAAAAGCCCAAACAGAACATCAAAATTTATCGTACTAGCACTAGATACTTGCAAGGAAAACAACAACAGTACTGTTTTGCAAAATCTATCATCTTTGCAAACTGCAAAATGTTGACACAAATTGAAAAAAATGCTTTTTAACTGAAAGAGAATCCTTTCTTTATAAGAAGCACTTCCAGCAAATATAGAGGGATTGAGTAAAGATTCAAATTGATTAAATGCAACAGTATTCTGTGTTCTCTCACTGTTAAACCAAAACTGTTTGATTTTAGCTTTTCACCAATTCCCCATTAAATACATTTCCCGTAAATATATATATAAATATAAATATATAATAATCTTTATGGTTTGATGCTTTAGAAAGTTGTCAAGCAAAATTGCAAATGAAATGAACTTGAAAATTGTGAAAAAGCTAGCAAGCCAGCTATCCATATGGCAACTTTGATGCAATTTTTATAAGCTCCCCTTTTTATAAACTCCCTACTGGAAAACTTTCTAAATTTATAAGCCCTCAGGAATATAATTTAAGGATGGATTTACTGTTTACAATCACAGTTTATGCAATATAACAGATACTGCACTTGAGGCAGGTAAACTATTCAAAATATATGTTTATATAATGAAACGCACCCATCTTTAGCAACGCAACCAGATAACCACTTTCAACATTTCCCTGAACCGGCAGGGTGATGACTCAATACAAATTTTATAAAATGCTTGCTTTTGAAAATAGTTCAGGCCTTATTTCTTAGTATGCCATAAACACAACTAGTTGTCTCACAATATATAAACACTTGTTACAGATATTAAAGATAAATTGTATGACAAACTAGACATCAACCACCTCATGATTTCATTTCAAATGCAACAACTTATTTAAAAATTAATGCAAATCATATTGGAAAGTTTTCTGAAAGAATTTATCTTCAATTTATGCAAATTGATCTTCCTTGAAACTTCTCTTTTTAATCTTTAATATACCCACAATCTAGTGCATATAAATGTATAAATGAAATCTCATATTACCTTCTGACTTATATAATAAACAAGGGCTACAAAAAACAAATATATTGTGTCTAGGTAACATGATAAACATCTATAAATAAATAAAGTTCATCATAACAAAAAGCATTTTCGAAAAAGACAAATTATATCTTACTAGTGAAAACGATATGCAGATCAAATTCCCACTGGAAGCATATCTGACAAAAACGCAGCACCAAAGTCCAATTCATTAGATATAAATATATAGTTGTACTGACAAGAGAAAAAATAACACTAACCGGCAAGTTATTTGCGTTATAGTTGAATCCTTTCGCTTCAGCCTTTCTGGTTGCACCTGTTTGAATGAGGAAAACAACGAGATAAAAACAACGTTCAATGCACCATACTTATCAAGATTCCTAATAATAAAATATTTGAAATTTTTTAGGCCAATGGACTTTCTAGGCTTCGCACTATTCATTTCTTACTTCGACGTGCTAACAAGTTGCAATGATATAGAAAGAGGAATAAACTAACCTGGATTGCTTGGCCCGTTTTCTTTCCCTCGCTAAAACAAGAAGAATTACTCGTTAGTTGAAAAACGTCAGGTAGAAGAACAAAATACTGAGTCACAGAAGATTCGGAATAAATAGTTCTCTAGCAAGTCTCAACATCATCTCCAGCCAAATAGCGAATAAACATTTCACCCACAGTGACGAAGGTGTCAAAGTGATGAAAGGAATTGTACATGAAAGACGGGCTGACAGGAGTATATTTTTATAGATATTTCCTATCGTGGGTCCTTCCTTGTTAAATTGTACAAGAAATATAATTTCGATGGTTCATCAAAATTATCTGTAAATTTGGTGCAAAGAAGAAACTAAACGGAGAGCTCCGCGTTGCGTGACGTAACAAGTAAGGTTCTCTGCACAAAATCTAAATAGAAACCTTTGATGAAAATAAACTCACTACAAAACTCAAACTGTTTCCGTTGATAACAAAATAAATAGGTAAGTGAAACTGACGAATAATTTCGATGCCACTGAAAATACTGGTTCGCTCTCGTAAGGAATTTTAAATGTATGCAACTTTCGTTATGTTCAAGGCCGGGCTTCCGACAAAACTAGCGTCATTGCGAAGGAAGTTAAGCTAAGGCCTAACTAGCATCGATCCAATATTAGTTAGTGTCGCTTTTAAATTAAAAAATTTCAACCAAAGAACGAGAAAGACTTTCACTTTGCCTGCGTATAGACCACAGTTTACAAAGTAAAAGCCAGCTACGTTGACAGCAATCGATGGTCGAATCTTTTCATTCAAGGGGAAACTTTTCATTCAAAAATTCTTAAACGATACACAATCCACGATGACCTTCGCATCAGAAGGCTTTTTAAAATACGAGTTCTTGAAAAACGAGAATGAATTGCTTCCCTCCAGGGCCCGATCTTGAACCCAAGCTACAAATTCTCGCTCTTTGTTTGCAAAGAACGGAATCGCGTTGACATTTTTGAGCAGAGAAAAATCTAACAAAGCGTGTAGCTTCCAATATTGTCTCGGTATCTATCCGACATTAAAGGTTCAGTCAAGTAACATCGGGCCATGATATTATTTCCATTTTGCTGAGGTTTGATAGGCTACATGAAACGCTTAACGCAGGTACAAGTAAGATGGCCGCGCTTAGGCCAATCTGAAAAGAAGCATCAAACAAAAAGTTAGGCTATAGACATACTTGGTCCAAGGTAGTAGACATCACAACATGAATTCAGATTTGGTTCGACGATAAGTGAGATCCTTTTCCAAGTCCTAAAATGAAGTTCCTCCGCGTTGAACGTGGTTAATTCCAAACAAAGGACACTTGAGTTTTTCCACTGCGACAATCAAGCACATTCATCTGCACCAATGGGCACACCTTACGTCATCTGTCAATCAAAATATCCTTATAAGGAGCACGCTCTTTGTTCTTCAAGAAACCTAAAGATGGCGTAGTAAGGTTAAAAACCACGGAGTTAAGAAACTCAATGTTATAAACCTGCTACGTTCAGAAGGGTCACTCAACTACTGTCAGTAACTTGAGAAATTATAATTTTTATCAGTAGCTCTTCAAACCTATAAGTAAACTAAAGTCAAACGAATTAGTTTATCGTGGTGGTAAGGATGATGTTGTACTTCCTTGTCGACACTTTTTTATTGTGACGGAACTTTCTACAAACAGTCTAGTCTTCATAAGTAGAACACTTTTCTCACTGGAATGATGTCAAGCTTTTTCATCATAAATCCTGTGTGGACATCTGCAGCAAACCAATCCCCAGGCCCGGGAACAGCGTTATTTCGTTGATCACGAGACCCCACAATACAAAGAAACTCGATTTTCTTGAAACCACAGATGTGAAACCTTGTACAAAATATCCCTTCAATGCGACTTTCACTTTAACGCAATACTAAACTTTCTGGATTTTACTAAATAAGCAATACTAAATAAGCAATGCTCTCACTTGAAAGGGAATTTCCTCCTAAAGGAAATTGGACATCTTGGAAGGAAATGAAAATAGGAAGGAAAAACGAAAGGCATTGTACCAATAACAAATAAATTGGGAACAAATGCAAAAAAATAATGGAAGATGTTCAAAATTTCTCTTGTCTATTTATCTGGCGTGGAAATATTGCATATATATGTATTAGTATATGCAGAATAACTGTGGGGAATCCAAAGCCGCGTTGGTGACACGCGACAGACACACTGAATAGATTGCAAACAAGATGCGTCTCTTTCAACGGTATGAAAAGGTAGTTCTTCTCAAAGAAGTCGACAATGAGTCGTGCCTACGTATCCACAAGGCCGCCGAAAGTGGGAGGACTGGAGGGTCTGGGACGGGGCTGGAGCCCCTAAATAGTACCCAGACTGTGGTAAAATTCCTCTAACAGTGTACTGAATGGGAAGCCATATGATGGGCAGCCAGCCCCCCTCCCAATATAAATTTCGTTCCGACGGCACCAGTGGCGTAGCGTCCGGGTATTCAAGGTATTCAGTGAATACCCTGAGATTTCTCAGAAAAAATATTAATACGACGTATAATTGTAATAAGTAAAAAATGTTTTGGGGCTATTGATTCTGGTTGAATTCGTTACCTTCGATATTCTACATTTTGTACAAGTACAAAATATCACGAAATTCATGGAAACAATAACGCTGCGAAGCATAGAGAAGCTGGGAGATCTTTGAAGCTAATTTTGAAGATTGAGCTACTTCATGTTGTATGGAGATTGGTCATGAATACGCAGTGAATACCCTAGACGGTACTTTAACCAATCAAAATGCTCCTTTCCATGAATAATATTTGCCGTTAATCAGCTAAAACAATGGTTCTGTACGCTGAGTAATATGCAGCGTACAGCCTCAAAGTTGGTTCAAAATAGTCTCGTTATGACATCGATATAAACAGTTAATGGAAGTCGGAGCGGTTGGAGTGATGGAGCTGCACCGAAAACAGTAAACATGACTTAATTAAAAAACTATTGCAATGTCCGTATTACTGTTTCATAATCATTCTCTCATTTGACCACTAAACTTAATCTACCAACAGCAAAGTGGAAAGGAAAGGTAGGCTGCTACATAATGGGATGTTTCTGTTTGTATTATGTGATAGAATTAAAGTGAATGCAGATAGGCCTGGATAATATTCTTATAGTTGCCTGGTGTATTCAGTTATCTTGTTGGCCTATTTTGTTTGCATTATTCGAGCGCATTTATTTGCATTATTGTGCAGTCTCATCTCATTACCTTCGATTCTTTCAAATATTAACTTGTATTGAAAATATCACGATTAGGCCATGAAGAAAAAGTCTATACTGCATACCACAAAATCATTTATAACTCATGTACTGCCCTATGTGAATAATTTTGAAACTTCCGGAAGCCCTTTTGTATTAAGGTATTAAGAGTAGGTGTTTACAGTTACTTCCTCTTTACATCAGTGCAAATGTTAGACGATTCAACAACAACTATTGGGACATATTTCGACCAGTAAAATTTTACTGGCTTTCAATGATATGTTTTGATTTGAATTACTTGTGATGAAATGGTTAGTGGTAATTTGATGCAATGAATGAGTTCGAAGAGTATATTTGAAGGGTCCTTAAGCAAAGTATCGTTTTCATCATAGTAACGCCCTGACAGTGCAGTACTTGCCAACCGAACCCAAAAGAAAATTAGATAAAATGTCAATAGCTAGTCCTTTTAATCTTCCTATTGTCCCTCTATTTTCATCAAGCCCCATCGAGCCACACCCTGCCCCACCCTTTTGATTAATAGAGAATACCCAGTTGAAAAAGTCACGCTACGCCACTGGACGGCACTGTATCCATCAAAATTCTCAATAATAGGTTCTCAACTAAAAACGAATTGCTGCAGCAAGCTACTTTTCTCATATGTATAGTGCATAACAAGAAATTTCTGGAATATGCTCGTGCAATATCACGTGTCAAATGTATGGAATAAGCATGTTACAGCATGTTGCGAAAAGTTTACTCTAGAAGTTTTTACATTTAAATGTTTTTAGTCAACTTGACCATTGCTAAGTGCAGTAAACAGGTCACTGATGCTTCTATTGTAGAATTGGAAATGCTTGCTTTATCAGCATTTAGAGTCACATTGCATAGTCCGAAAGATATTGGGAGATTGTAAATATAAATCTGAAAATGAACCTTGAAAATAAACATGAACCTTGTAGTACACCTCAATCAACCCTTTGTAGTATTGAGGATATGCCATTAACCATCATCATCATCATAAATTTATTTGCCGTTGGTACTTCTATAATTCTAAAAAAGTTAATGTAAGCCAAATTTTACAATGAATCTAAATAAATATATATTAATTATTGATAAAAGGAATACGAAAGTCTTTATTTACAAATTTTACAGAGGCAACTGGCTCCATTCTAATTCTTAATTTCCTTTCTAAAGCTAAAATTTTTTACGTGTATTGTAACATCTTCATGCCTTGAAAGAAGTTCTTCGAAAGTGGATTCAAAATCCTTGCACAAAATCCTTACGCACTTTTATGTACTCGATTGACGTTATTATTGGCAGCTTTCCTACAAAGTAGCTAGATCAGAGAACAGTAGTTGAAATTTGCAATTATAACAGCATTGAACAGTATATTTCCTTGATTATCATCAATATAGTTATCGTGACGATCTAGAGAATGCGTTTACTTTCGTGCTTACTATCATGCAGAGGTCCTCTTCGTGTTGGTAAAAGCCTTTATCGAACATATAGTGCGTTATCCTCTGCAAAATTGCAAAAATCTGTCTGAAGATTGATAAGGAATAAGTTATTGATAAATATATATTTAAAAGCAAAGGACCTAGGGCTGACCCTGGTGGTACGCCGATTTTTATCAGCTTATACGAACTATACTTTTTAAGTAGCTGTAGGTAAATTTCAGGTTTTTTCTTTCAACTCCGTACGCCTCCAATTTTGCGATCAATAAATTGTGCAGTAGGCAGTCACAAGCCTTTGGGAGGTCCATTAGAATAGTACCCACAATGTCCTTTGAATCAAACGATCTTTTCCAATTTCAATGACCATTTGCATGTTGCAAGCATGTTGGGTGCTGTAATGTTTTCAGAACCCTGATAGTAAACTCCCTAATATATTGTTTCTAATTATAAAGAGATAATTTAGTTGATAGCCGAGGAGTCGCCTGTGGGCTGTTGGCTGTCGTGTCGTATCACTTTGAATTGTGCTAAAGTATGTTCTGCAGTTGCAGATGAAAGTGCAAATGAATTGTACAATTGCAATAACTTGTGTAGCTCTGGCAGACATTCTTTATGGCATTCGTTAAGTTATGATTGATCAAAGGGTTTCCATCTTTGTTACCGTCTTTATTGGTATGGCAACTTTTTTACTATAAATTCTGATTACTTTGCTAAAGTTCACCTCATTTATGAAAGCTTTTAGATTACTTCGATCCAAGCTTCTACTAGTTAACTTGGATTAGTATTGCGTATTGCATAAATGTTTGACATGCTACTAGAGTCCGTTAAATGGGGCCCCATCTCAGTTTTCCCTTAGGACCCAGATGCCTCCGTTAAACCACTCTCCTTATTCTACAGTAATTTCCTACGTTTTAAAGTCTTGCCGAAAGAAATAGCATAATTGCATATAAGTTCATACCAAATGCACCCAATATTTTAATTGCTTTCATTTTGTTCCTAACCGCACTAATGTTTTATCTCATCCAAGAAATTGAGATTTTATATATTTATTACATTCGCATAAACACAGTGTTATTTTCACAACGGCAAAGTGCTGAGCTTTTGATACAGATTCAAAACATAACAAAACAACATTAGAATTGAAGATAAAGTCTTATTTTTTACTTGAATTCATGTGTCATAAATCATACTGATTGAATATTCTATGGTCTTCTCTTCGAAAGGGCATTTTTAAGTTGCCCATCTGATTTAAAACAACTGAAGAAATCGTTATAATAACCTTTAAAGGCTGTCCTCTCAAAATCTGACATCTGACAAAATCTAACAAAATTTGTTTGGCTTTACATGGGGTTTTTTGCTCCACCCCCGATCTCTCTCTCAGGCAGGGCGATGAAAATTTTTTTACCATCCTTTCTATTCCTTTTCAAAACAGAGTATGAAATCAAAAGAGAATGAAGTGTTTTTATATTGCTTGATTTTTTTAATCGATTTACTAACTTATTGAGGTTTATTTCTATTATTTGTCTTTCATTTGCATCAATTCGGTAGATAACTCACTCTATCATTGCAATGTCATTTTTGATGTGTAATCATGGCCTACTGAAAATCCTCGAGAAAAAGAAGATACACATGTGTGTTCAGGAAGAAAAATTCTCTTAGTCAATTCAACATCATTGAGATATGCAATCTAAACCAATGGCCATCCTTTCCTTCTTTCCTCGACGACTCTCACCAGAGTTTTAGCATAACTCCTCCCCTCCCAAAATGTTTTCTAAAAACCAATTATCCACGTTTTTCTTAGAATCGTCGAACTGTCTATTCTAAGCGGTATGGTATTTTGTTTAATTTTAGTCACGGAGATGCATTTTTAGCCATTCTAGAAGACCTTATTTAAAAAATGTTCTTTCAAGTCGGATCCAACCATGGTGGGTCCTCCTATGTCACTAAACTTGATTCTTAGCCCTCCCAGGTTCAATTTTGTGGCGCCGTCCCTCGTCTCTATCTATGCCACTGAAAAGTGATGAGAATTTCTAGTACCGAAATATTCTTAATTTTTAACTTCTCATAGTTTTACTGAACTGAGGCTTAATACTGATTGTAAAGTTTCAAGTTTCCCATTCGGAAATTGACCTTGCCTGTTCAAAATAATTCAATTTGATGGATGGGTCCGTACATTTGTTAGAACACAGGGTTCCCATTTATCGCAGGACATCACATGACAATTGCATCATTGCGCTGCAATTGCATCAGCTTCTGTAAATTGTATTCTTCTTAGGGTATATAAGGGGTGGCTTTATAGATAGGTTCAGTCTTGCCGTAAGATTGTCGAACTCAGTGTACCTTGTCGCTAGCTTGCAGAATTGTGTTTGCCGTTACGTTACGTTACATTTTCGCCGTTAGCCATTTAAGATATTTTTAGTCGTTTGCCGTGAACTGATGAATTAGAAGAAGTGTAAAGAGAATTGGATAAGAGTTTTTGCCGTATTTATCGTGTACGTTTCTGCGAACGACCTACAAACTCACATTTGTAAAACCCCCTTTTTAAGCGGTTTTACACATTTAAAATCCCCAAATTCCTAAAATATAAAATTCTCAAGTTTGGTCTTAAGAAAAAATCCAAGTGAACTGTTGACTTTTCTAATTGTAATTGGGTTTCCAATCTATGGGGGGGGGGGTGGGGTGACACACTCCAACGTCCCTCTATCATTTATGTTCCTGGGCAAACTCAAAGGCCAACTGTGCGAAATCGTAGTAAAGCTGTTTACTTCATACCTCAAAGAATGTATTTCGAAATCAGATTCTGTTGTCACTTATCAGGTATAAAACTCAATAAAGCGATACATGTGTGCCAGAAGTGTTTGAAGAAGAAAACGAAAGCGACAATTAGTGAGTGGATGATAGATAAGATTGGCAAAGATTAGCCAAGATTCATAGGTGGGCAACTTTCGGCCTGCGGGCCAAAATCTAGCCAGGAAAGAGAACCTCCATGGCCAGCGAGATGACAAATTATATTATAATTCTTTTGGTTGGCAAGGATGATTTTCCGAGTGTTCGGTAATATTGAATGAAACATTTCGATACAATATGAGTTTATCTTCGTGAAACCTGGGAATAATGAGAAGATTTTTTTACTATCTGTTGGGATCAATTTATCCGGCTTAAAGTAGAAAAATACGGAAAACGATAAGGGAAGACATTCGAGAATATAAAACCAAGTCAGTGGAACAAGCAGTTGAAAAGAGCAAGGGAATAAGAAAAGTGACCAACCGAGGAGAAGGAAACAAAAACTGCTACCCAGCAATTATAAAAGGAAGCAGATGGTACCGTAACAAATGACCGAGAAAGAGTCGTAGAAAGATGAGCAAAGTTCTATGAAATGTTGTATTCGAGGAATGGAACAGAAGTTTTTTGGATTAAGCCCAGAAATTACAGAAATGGTACAGCCTGTGCTAGAAAGTAAGATTGAAGCAACCCTTAAAAAGATAAAGAATGCGAAGGCTCCAAGAGAAGAGGGAATCGTAGTGGAACTGCTGAAAGCAGCAGAAGAAAGATCTATAATAAAACTCAAAGAAATATTTAACCTAGCCCAAAAATGAGAGACCATCCCAGAGAAATGGAAGAATGCGATCATAATACTAATCTATAAGAAAGGGGAGAAGAAAGGATTAAGAAACTACCGACCGATCAGTCTACTCTCTCATGTTTTCAAACTATATATGAGAGTTTTGAAAAACAGAATTTGCAACACACTAGAACCAAAGTCAACTACCAGAGCAGGCAACAAATGGATCACTTGCAAACAATCAATCAAGGGCAAGAAAAATGCAGAGAATACCAAATTCTATTGTTCATGGCATTTGTTGACTATGAAAAAGCATTTGATTCAATAGGACAAGGCACAGTCATGAAAGCACTGCAAAACCAAGGATCGGGCTTCTAGTTGTGTTTGCATCGAATCATTCTTCTTTATTCATAAAAAATTCACGTTACCAGAACTCAATTTTTACCCAATGAATTTAGCTGAACCCGTATGGTATTAAATTTTTTGTGCAGCCAAGAGAATTGTACAAAAAAGAAATGCATTGCAATGCAAGCAAGATGAAAATAAAGGCAAGTGACAACTGCATTAAACAATTCGGAAGATCATATCTTTCCCTATTAAATCAACTTCCAAGCAAATATGTTACGCTTAAAAAACTGCAGATAATATAAACTCTTTACACGTATGCTCTATTCATTTGAATCTAACAAATATATTAGGTAGATATAAACTTTGTCTAAATCAACATTTGTTAATGAAAATCATGAAGCCAGTTCACCAACTGGTCAAATAAAGATGCAATCTAAAATGCAAACCATTCGTTTAAAAAGCTGCTTCTTTATCAGAAAGAATGCGCACGCTACCTGCTCCAAGAATGCTCAAATGGGTTTCAAACGCTAAACTGGCTGTTTCGGGATTTTCCTTTTACTCAACAAGTATTTGTAGAGGTCTTGTTCATGTGGCGCCCAACAAAGGGCGGCTCAAACCTTTCAAAAGTGAAAAGTGAAACATTTATGACAATTTTTGTCTATTGGAATTCTGGTTGGAGCTTGTCGATAGGATGAGGATGTGGATACAACGAGAGGGGCCGTAATGTGAACTTTGCTTGAAGCAAGATTAAAAACAGAAGATGCCGAGATGTATCACAGATGCATCAATAATTTCAACTTTTTAATGGCTGTGGAGATACCTCATCTACTGGGGTTTTCTGAATGCTTTTTATAATATGCAAGGAAGGAACGGGCATTCAGCATTCTTTCTGTAAAGTAAACATGAGATATGCGCGTGCCAGGCTGCTTTTGTAGCAAAAGGAATAATAGGAATAATAGGAGGTATTTTCTAAAACACTTTTCTGCCTTCATAAACAAAAGGAGACTTTTAGAATGTAGAAAAAGCTAATGGTATTTCTATTAGTCCCCCTTTTGCAATGTCCTTTATCCATTCGATGAAACTGCAACACTACTCCTGGGAATTTATGCAAGCGGTAACTCTAAATGCAAAATGAAGGGATTTATGCCTCAATTTCTCCTATGCTACACTGCAGCCATGGTTATATATCACTCTAATATAACAATCTAATATATTTATGCAAATCTGACGTGGCTTTATGCTTGATGCTAAACACAATTACTAACACGTACATTACTTCACTTTAGTCACACGGTCTTTATAACGATAGTGACGCTGTCCCAACTGCACTTTCAACTCGCATGGACAGGTCGTTAATTAATATCTAGCGTTTATTATACATGACTACCAAATACAGGACCTTTTATAAACCATAAAGTAAATTGCATACTATCACATTGCTTTAAATGCTAAAAACAAACCTAACCAAAATATTTTGAAGAAGATTAAGATACGTTCTTTGTTCACACAACGTTTTTGGGCCTAAGTTAAACAAAGCCTATAAAAACAGTTTTAGTTCAAAAATATAACGTGGCAATAAAAATCATCTAACCAAACATACCAAACATTAATTGTTTCAACATCTTTATATAATACGTTGTATAAATACGCAAGACCAAACAGAATTCCAACAGCGTTCGCTTAGAGGTGAAAACATTTCTTGCAAACCACTTTGGTGCCAACAACTGTACGCGTATATGGAAGCCTTTCTATCGGCTAAGCCTCATAACTGTGCATATAGTGTTAGGCCTGATAAGATGAATTGCGAATCTATTCAGTCTTGCGCAAAATTATAAGTTGACTTTTGTAAACGAAACGAACTAAATGTAACGAAAATGAGATACTTATGCGAGCAGAAGGCTAGCTCCTGTCACGCAAAAATAAAGAGATGATGGGATAATCATATTGTAAGCCAATAAGCTTCAAAGGACTCCCTATAGTTATATCGATGGTTTAAGGTTCGAGAAATTGAGTTCAAAACGTGTTACTGCTTGTGTTTTTTATCCCTATATGATCGGCCTATAGCATTCAGGTTTTAGATGGAGCCTGGGTACAATATGGAGGAAGGGGCATATTTCAGTCTAACCTGGAGCTTTGTTAAGACAAAAAAGAGCATTGGTTTTGCAATTTCGATTCAATTTTTCCACCACGGTAGTTTCTGCTTTCCTAAACATGACTTCGCTCTGGTGTAATAGGTGTCCTGTCAGAAGACAGTGACTGTCAGGGGAGTATGGAGGATAAGTAAATAAATCGTAATAAACCATGGCTTGTCTACCTTCAAACTACTTTCTAATCAAAATTTAAACTCTAAATGCTAAAATTAATTCAACATCAGTAAACAATATAACTCCTGACAGACCCCAACTGCTACTAGAACCAATGTTTCTAACTGTCTTCTATTCTAAAGTGAAAATTAGATCCTGGGTACTACAGAAACGAAAACACTGCCAAAAAGCGTTTTCTAGAAAGAGCAGTCACATTTTCCACGTGCAGCTGGGGCCAGACAGCAAGACAACTTAAATATGCTTTAACAAACTCTTGTAAAGTTGACGACTATAAACGCCGTATCAAACAGACACAACAAACAAGATATATGAAATGTAAAACAGCTAAGAAAATTCATATTCGGAACGAATCTATATCTTAAATAATATCAACTGTGATATATCGCCCAAAAACTAATCTATGCATGATTGTGAGAATCTGATATCATAATTAAATAGCAAACAATCGATCCCTTTGTAATAACTGCATGATTTAACAGCGATTGATACATCGTTAAATAACATAAGAGACATACAATTTTCTTATAAAATTACCCTTTCAAAATCAAACAAAAAACAATCTTTAGTTAGTCTACAATACTACTTAAACCAAATCAGTCAAATTCGATCCATTATGGCTTATAATGTCTGAAGAGAATAGGATGTAGGTTAGATCCTTGGCCCGATTTTAATATTTTCTACGGTGTTAATCAAATCTCGGAAACTTTGCACCGATCATACTAACACTGCTAAAGAGCAGCCAAAATCAATGACTTTTGCCAAATGGCTGCTATTACATAGGAGATTTCGGGAAAACTTTCTGTTTTAGACACGTGCACGGATAAAGGGGGATAATCAAACCTACAAAGGCTGAAGTTCCTACAACACGATGGCTGTTCAAAGAACTTTTAGCAAAGGTTGGCTGTTCACTTTTAGTCTTGAGCACTCACAAACATGCAGCAGAAATGTTGGCAATTTGCGGATATGTCCCATACCACACAATGAACAGAGATCGTACGCGTTACAGAAAATTCCGATTTTTAAAAAACGAAAAGGCAAGGGTGTTACGCATGATCAAGTAGGATTTATATTTTAAAAGTAAGTTTGGGCTCCGGAGTTAATAGCTGAGTATCAACAAGAATAAAAAAAACAAAATCTGCTTGTAAGAAAACAAGCTATTTTAAAAATTAAAAACAAATCTGTGTGGCTGAACAGAACTGCAGTTTAATAAAAGAAGAGGATATGAATTTTGAGGTAGGGAATAAAAACGACACCTACCTTGGTGATGTAGGTTTATGATGTCTTAATCAAATACGATAAGAAAGGCGGATACTAACACAGCCACAAAACAAACTTGATTTAACAAACTGAGAAAGAAATTTTAAAAGAACTACTGCTTCTGTCAAATAAGATCGAGAATAGAATCTTACTCTATATTATATACTTTCGTGGGTTCTATAGTAGGACTAAATCGGCGTATAAATGTTTATGAAAACATGTATTATGTTTATATACATGAAGCAACAAGGATCACACGGGACAGTTCCAAGAAGGAAGTTCGGTAGAATTCCAAAAGACACAAGGATACTTGGCAAAAACAGTGCACTTTTGAACCAGTGGCGGACACTTGGGGGGGGGCGAGGGGGGGGGGCAATACTTTAGAGGACAATGGTCTTTTGTTCGAAAACAAAGGGAAACGTGACGTCATCTTATTGAAAGAATAGGCTTGCCCCCCAATATTTGACCAAGTGTCCGCCCCTGTTTTGAACCGTATTGGGTGTCAATTAAATAGCCAATCATATTCACCAAAACTGACACTAGTTATAAACGAAGGTTGGAGGCATACGTCAACAAAAAATGTTTATTCCTGGATATCACGACTTTATTGAATTACTAGTTCACATCGAAATACCTGGCCAAACGAGCACAGGAATACAAGGCCTCTTAAAATGGATCTGTAACGAGACGAAGGATGCACTTCGCAAAAAGGGAGATATGCATTTTGATTCTGATCCTTGTTGCTTGGTGTGTGACACATCAAAGTATCTTTTTTACATTAAAGATTACTCAACAGACTATGTTCATGGAACTTTATCCAAAGATAAAGTCTCTGATTAGTGCTTAATGGCAAAGCTTTATAGATAACGGATCTTTGGAACGTTAGTGGCAAAATATGTCAAACTACAATGAACTCAATTTTGGGCATGAAAATGATGAAAAATTAGTCTTTGATAAACCTTAAAGATAAAACTTAACTATATACTGTAAAATTATAAGTTTAAATTCATATCTTTGATTGCCAGATAAATAAACGTTTGACTTCCCACCACTGGAGACGATTGAGAGTTTGCAGTATTAGACGTCATCACGATGCAAAACAAAAAAATATTCTGCACTGGGTCTCGTGAAACCTGACATCTGTACAATCAACTGATAAAACCTTTGACATATATAATCTCTGATGAAAATGAAATGAGAAACTTGGTGGTAGTTTTAGAAGTTTTAGAACTTACGTATTAACAAAACTTTTGATGGTAAAATTCCAAAACAAAAGTTGAATTGAAGAAAAGTGTGGTGAAGTCAAACGTCAATAGGCTGTCGAAAAATCATGAACAAATTTACCACAACTTGAAATTACGAATGAAAATTCAAATCAACTCATACCGTTACGAAATATACAGGACATTCTGCTACTGCGAACTGCTGAATAAAACTGCCATTCTGGACTCACTCAATTCTAAAACGAAGCCAATTGCTGCTTAAGAGTTGAAGCATTTCTCCACGTGGGCCCTGAATGCGTCGCCATCCGGACACTTAGAATCGCATTTTCTACAAATGAATCCTTCGTGGTTGTTATTACTTTCTTGGCTGCTGGTGGATGATGTTGTAGGGGACGTGGAAAAAGGGTTTTCATCACGCGGGTTCACCGGTGGACTTGGCTGCTCGTCAGAGGCCGATGACCAGCTCTCTCCAGACTTCATCCCAGGAGCACGTGACATTTGTGGGGATCCAAAGCCAGGTTGATGTTGCTGCTCAGATGACGTCAAAGGCCACATGTGGGGCTGATTCATCCTCATGTTATTGAATCCAGATGGGGATCTAGGGGCTTGCTGCTGGGACCAAATACCGCCACCATACCCGAATCCAGAGCCAAACTTGGGAAAAAATATCAACAGGGACTGAGCATCACGGTAAACACAAAAACTATAAAAGCTCAAATGACATAAGTTTGCTTATTAATATATTTTCAAAATTTGATAATTATATGAAACATGCGGGTGAGGGATGTTGCATATACACCTCTGCAATACTTTTATGCTCGAAGTAGTAAGGTGCAATATGAAGCGACAAAAAACAGACAAACCGATCTTCACATATAAAAATCATACCTTAAGAAACCAGTTTTAGATGATTATAAAACTTTATTCAGCTATGGCAAAACTCAAAGTTATACTTTGTTCCAAGAGGTCAGCTAATGACATTGCAGTTGAAAAAGAAAAGAGTAGAACATACCTGGCTGTTTAAGGGCTGATTCTGAGGCATGTTCTGCTGATTACCAAATCTCCATGGCTCAGCTTGAGGATTTAACAAAGGAGATCTTGGGCCCTTGTTCATCAACGAGTACTGGTTCTGCCCTGGTGGAGGTCTAGGCGCGTTCATTTGGCGCTGCCAACCATCAAACTGCCCTGGACTGAAAAAGAAAAGGCAAAGATCCGCCTTTACAAAAATCTCTCACAAAAAACAGTGCCAACTCTCAAGAATTATCAGTAAAATTCAATAAAATGGAAAGAGCGAGAAGGAGCGTTTATTTTGCATCTTAACATCTTTGCCTTGATGGAAAAAGACAAGCGAGGGTTAAGAACATTAAAAACAGAAAACATACCCTCCTGAATTGGGGCGTCTGTCGCCAAAGGGACGATTCGGTCCGTAGTTATTATAGCCATTCCTGTAGCCACCTCTTCCACGATTAAGGTCATCAAGAGGCCCAGAATTAGGTGGGCGCATTTGGTGCTGGTTGGGAGGGCTGAACTGGTTTTTGCCAAGTGCTCTGTCAAAACCCATCTTGGAACCCATAAAGGACGGAGTTGACAGCTGACGCATCAACTTGTTACCTTGATTTTGCTACAAATAGATTATGGTGCAAAGGTATTAGCGAAAAGGAATATTTTGTTTGGGTGTGGGGACTGCTGAGGTAGGTCACAAATTAAGAGCAAAATAAAAAAGGCATACATATAGTGCCACCGTGATATATAAACTGCAAATAAAAAAAAACTGGTGCATAGATTATTATAAGCCAGCACATGCCTGTTTACTCAATTTTTACTCAATTGTCAAGGTATATACATAATACAATGACAGCAGTGGCGAACAATTTGGGGGGGGGGGCAAGCCTTTTATTTTGATAAAATGAAGTCGCATTTTCCCATTACTTTCGAGTAAAAGACCATTGTCTTATACCATTGTCAAAATATTGGAGGGGGGCGACCGCTCCCTCGCCCTCCTCCAGGTTACCGCCACAGAATGATAGTACAAAATCTTAATGTTTAACCATGTTTGATGAACTTGTTCAGAATGAGATTAATAATGGAAACAAAATGAAATATTACAATCTTATGTATAAAAACACTGTTTTACTTTGTAATGAATAGGAAAAGACTCTAATATGGGAGGTTGCAAATCTCTGTCATTGGAGTTTAGGTAGTTATTTCAATACATACCTGAACACCAGTGGCAGCTTCTAACTGCTGGGCCAGCCGCTGGCGGTCACCGTTCAGCTTCAAAATGTGCTCTTGGTACTTGTAAACCTGGCGAAAGGAGTCGCACTTCAAGTGTACAGTGATAAAGATGAATGAACACGAAACAGGCATATGGGTAGGGTGGAAAAAATACTAGTAAAATATTGGTGTTATTACAGTAACATGAGCCTCTATGACTAATCCCCCCACAAACGCGAAGATCAGCTTGAAATAAGTAACTATTACTTGAGAAACAAACGAATGCATGTAAATTCATTACAAGCACAGTGCAGAGTACAAAGATTTTCTGTTACCTGCTCTTGGAGGGAGGCTAGCCTCGCTTGGGAGGTCTCATAATCTCTGCGCAGTTTCTCCCTCTGAGCCTGTGCGCGCTCTCTGTCCTTTCTCTCACTTAAGACATCTTCTTTGTACGATTCAGCCTAGAAGCAAATTGAAAAGTCAACAAACACCTACCAAGTAGAAAACACAACAGCTTGCTACGTTAAACAGTATTTAATTTGAACTAGGTGAATAGGCACAGTGGTAGCACTAGGTGAATAGGCACAGTTGCTGAGAGGGCGTGTTCTCCAGGATGAAACTTCAGACAACCTATTTGAATAATTTAAAGATATAGGAGCATCGAAAAAACACGAAATCATCGCCCCAGTCGATGTATCCATCTTGCTTCTGCTTTTCATGCATTATTGAAAACGATTAATGACGGAAAGAGGAGCTGTTTCACAAGACAGCTTGAAACCTTAATTTTGTTTACTATTCAATACATGTAGCTGGTCAATACAAATTTCGTTTCTGTGTGTATCAATTTAACATTCCATGATTTGCTGTCATTGTGTTTAGTTCTATTTGATGAGAGAAAAGACATAAATTTAATTTCTCTTGACAAAGGCAGAGCTGTGGTGTTACTTTGGTAGGGCATGATGTTAAGTATGACCAAAAGTAAACGGAAGATTGTAAACGAAACGAAACCTGTTGTTGCAACATGATCAGCTGGTCGTGGTTCGGTAGGCCATGTTCTTGAATCAGTTTTTTCAGCTTCCGAAATCCATCAACTTCTTGTTCCAATTCATTTTGAATTCTCGTCAATTCGTCGTTTTTAATCTAAAATGCACAAATGGACACTGAACGGTAATCCGAATCGGCAGTCATTTTATTCGTAATTATATATAAATATATAAGTTAGGTAAGACCCTTGACAATACTCTGTTCATAGTTAGACAGGTGACACGCTATGAAATATGTGCATATGAACTAGCAGCCCTCTATTAAATGGACTGAAGCGACTTTGTCGTAAGCTAACAATTCAAATATGTCAGTAGACAAAACATTACTGGAACTGCTTTAAAAACTAACCTAATGAAAAGGCAACTAAGAGCAGTACAAAAGTGCAACATGAATTCAAGCAGTCACTTGAATTCTGAATAAAGCTGAAATTCGAAGAGCAATAATCGGGTGATAATGTCGTAATATAGAAGCAGAATTTATGGACACTATGAGCTATACCTGGTAGGATTTCAAGCTTTCAGTCATTTTCTCAACTTTGTGTTTTAATTTGTTTTGCTCTACCAACAGCAAATACTTATCCTGCCTGTCCTTTTCTATGGCTTCTCGGGCGGCCATAAACATACGCTCGACTTCTGAAGCTTTTCGAACCTCGTCTTCTTGACTTTGGGCCACGTGTTCCTTAAGTGTCTTAAGTTCTTGCTCCAGTCTATGGGTATCAATTTTCATCAACGCCTCTTCATGAGAATGTTGTGTCTTCAAATCGTCAACTTCTTTCAAAAGCTATTAATTTAAAAAATATCTTTAGATGTTAATAGGCCATTGTTCATTGCATATTTTGGCACTTTATCCCTTCTCATCTCCACCCCGTCCTCATTGGTGTTATTTATATTGTTGTCATAAACTTAGAGGCGATTCTAAAAACACGAGATACCTCCTCAATATCTCGGTTTTCCTCCAAATGATTAAAAGAAAATACAGTCCTGATCACAGTTTATTGCAGCAATTTATCCAAAACAGAACCAAACCTTAGAATTATCACTTTAAAGATATATCCACCATTACAATTCTTGGCAAACGAAATATCATTTTGTTAATGCTTGCTAACCAGCTTTAAATTTATACGTTAAAATCCCAAATCGAAGATAAATTATATTTAGATTTTATCGATATTTTCACAATTAAAACAAAATTGGGAACAAAATCGGGTGACTGGGGCTGAGCGTCCAATAACATATTAATGGGCGAAGCATTGGGTTGGAAAATGACTGCCCTGAAATGACTAAATACGTGTCTGTGGTTTTGTGCAGAATATTTTCCAAACTCTTTTTCATAAATTACGAAGATGGTTCGATCTAGTAGTTCTAAGGTCCATCTTCACGAAAACGAAAAAAATACGCTAATGTCTTGACACAAGGTGTTCGTTTCTACCCTTGGATTGCATTAGAGGACTAGAGGAATGCAAAAGCTGCTGTTTTCTACGCACATGTCAAAACTACTATGAAGAAAAGGAGCAAAAACTTCACAATTTTCTTGAAGTATTTTTGAGGGCATGCTATCAATCGGTGAAGCTATTTTGGACTCAGTCTCTTGAGCTGATCAAAAACATCGATGGCATCAACCTCATTTAACTGATTTATCTACAGGGTCTTCGATGTTTATTGCGAAAAAGCGGGTGGCTTAATTTTCTTTGATTTTTAGCTCATCCGTAATATTTGTAAAGTATTTGTTCAGGATTTGTGCAATTTTTAGGTCGCTGTTTAAAAATTCTCCATTTTCCAGAAGATTTTTCTTCCATTTTCCAAAAGTTCTCCATTTTCATTGGTGATACTTGTACTTTATCCGCGAGAACTGGTTTGACTGTTTACCAGAACTTTTGTCTGCTAAATTTTGGGTGTCTAAATTTTTGTAATAAATTGATTTAGATTTTCTTAATATTGCAACACGTTTATTTCTCGAATGCTTATATGCGTTCCAGTTTTCGTTGGTCTTATTCCTGTTGTAAACATTATTTAGCTTAGACCGGTGCATTTTTGCTTTTCGCAGTTCTTTGTTCATGAACGGACCATCATTTGCACGAACAAATCTTTTCTTGATTGGAGCATGCTGATAAAGTACTTTTGTCATGTTTGTGTTTATACGATCAAAGGACACTTTTCCTGATAAATCGTTTATGGTATTAGCAATATCGTGTGTATCTCGATCCACAACCGGGTATATATACATCCTAGCTCAGAAATTCGATCACGACCACTTGAAGAGTACGAAACGAAAATCTTATGTATGACCGAAAATGTTTGCTTTTATTTAAGCTGACTGACCTGGCCGAAATTCGCCCTAACTGAGTACACAATTACGACCGTCGCAGTGCAGAAGATTTTTCGCATTTAATTCTTAACGTAATCTGGAAACTTTCATATCAAATATCCTTAACAAATAAGACAAACAAGAAAAAACTTTGATACATAACAATTTCAATTTTTCGGGGGGACGCTGCCCTATATCATGAAACTGCAAACGTGTAAAAAAAGATATGGTAATTTGTTCCAAATATGACATTAAAATACAAGCCATTGCGTATATATATTTAGCAGGCCTTCAAGCAAAATCTCAACTCTAGGCAAACAAAGTCCATTCAACAAAAAGCTAATAAAAAATTTTGTCAGTGCCATTCATACCTTTTCTTTCTCTTCCTTTGACTTCTTCAAATCCTCTTTCAACTCATCTGTTAATTTTGACAACCCATTCTTACCGTGGTAGTTGTATTTGTCATCTTTCTTAATCATTTTCTCTTCGACTTCCTTCGACTTGTTGTCTAGTTTCTCTTGTAATACTTTCAAATCTTTTTTCAGCTTAGTCACCTCGAACTCCCTCTCTTTCTTCGTCTTTTCCATTTCAGTAGTTTGTTCAGACAATCTCTCTTCAAGGCTTCTGTTGTCACCCGTTTTCTCATGCAAAAGTTGTTCCATTTTCAGTAACTGGAGTGCTAGAAATACTGGGTCTGGTAACGCATGAGTATTTCCTAAAGCAAAATTTACAAGAAAATCAGCTTTTTGCATTAATGCTAATAGATAAAAACAGAAAATATATATATATATATCTACTTTGTTTGAAAAAGTAAAATAATCCATCTCAGAAGAAATCCACTGTAGGTTACAAAAACAGAACTGAGAAAAGTTGACATACAAAAAAATTATTATTCCTGGCTATCAATTATAAAAGACCGTTACTGGTGAATTTAAGCAATAACCAACTCCGTGGTTAAGTGGCATTTTCTTCACTTATTAATCTCCATTTGTCGGTGTAGGTTTCAAAACTTTTGCGGAAAATATAAGGCCCACAATAACCTTGAAGTCAGATAAAACAAAAGATATTCGAGAACTGTTTGGAGCACAAAACCTTCTAAATATATAACCAGAAAAAGCCAAACTAACTGCTTGGGAGCAGTTGAGTGGGAGTCCTTATGCACTGTTGATAAAATCCACTTCTTTATCTCGAATATCACACGATTTTAACTCAATTACGGGTGACAAAAATTTCCAATAAACCTCATCTCGAGCCTTAGAAACGATCAAACAAAATATTATTTTAATTTTCAACCATTATTGATACTTTGACTTCGACGAAGTTAAGAATAACACATGATTCCAGTCAGGAGTTGCTAGTCTTTAATGGGGATCAAAGCATTGTACAACGGAGCAAGAGTAATAAGAAAACAGTGACAATCGACTTTCGATAGTTGATAACTTTCGTTAGACTAAACTTAACAGAGTTTAGACTTGTTGGAGTCAAAATTACTATAGACATCCAATATGAAACGAAACAGAAGAAAGTAAATCAAGGCATTTCAAATGTCTGACATTTTCGAGCTAAAAACTTTTTGAAATCAGCTTTAAGCGAAGAGCTTGAAACTGTTAACTGATTTTTTCTAACTTTGGTAAGAAAGCCAAGTACTTCAATTTCGAGAGGAACTGTTTTCAATTGTGCTTTCAAAGTAACTAAAAAATCTTCTTGAATATTCTGTGTGTTTGTCAAACCTTTTTGCTTTGTTACATGAAGCTAGTAAAAGCGGGGAAAAACGAATTGTGAATAAACCTTTGCGATGTCGAATATATTTGGTATCAACAGCAATGCAAGGAACTTGGGTAATCGATTGGATCTGATCTGAACAGATCAGCAAAAAAATGAAAATGCTTTTGGCGCATCCACAGATCTTCAAAACGCAATTCAGAATCTGTTGATAACTTCTTGATGCATTGTGCATATTTTTTGTAAATATTTTTTCTATTATAAATATTCGTTCATCTGTTATTTCATACAGTTTATTCCTTTTTTATACAGCTAACTGGTCACAAAATTTCCTTAAGATTCTAGATAGTGCCCCGTGGGCCCGTAGGTTGCCCAAGGCCGGTTTATGCAAATGAAGCAGTCACAGGAATCGTCTCTGCCCTTCCACTTCACTATAACATGTTAACACATAAATAGTTTAAGTTGTACATACCATCAGGGGGCATCGATCCATTCTGTAAAGCATGGAGCTCTTGAAGAACTGCCTTAAGCTCTATCACTTGCCTGTTCAAAACTTGGTTCTCACTTTGAAGGAACTGAGTCTGCAAAGAATAAAATAATAGATCATAGCTGCTTTTGGCCTTTCGAGCGGCCTAGTGACGAATGCTACAACTTTTACAGGCTAAAGGAAAACGATTCCGAAACCGACCCTTATTTGAGACACAACTTTGACACCCTTTAACACTATCTCAATACTATCTCTATCAAATGAAATTAATCCCCAAATCAAATGCAATGATTTTTTTTTAATGAAATGAAATCTCATTTATGCATGATTTATAGTACAGTTGATGGAGGGAGGAGGCGGAAGGTAACCATAAATTTAAAGCGTTAAAGAATTTCGTCAGGTAATAAATAGGTTTTTATCAGAAAGTACATCACTATCATAAAAAAGATCAGATTTCTGCTTGGGGTACCAAAAAATTCCACTTGCTATGATAAATTTGTCATTATTATAATCATCACTACACAACATGATGGGACATAATTTCAACCAACAATTACACAAGAACAAGAGCTAAGTAAATAGTTTCTCAGTCGGTTAATCATGTTTATATTAATCTTTCCACAGTCTAACTTTGGTTTAGTATAGTTTTAAACAGCATGACTTTAAGGGGATTCGCATTAACGTAACACAGCTTCCTCTAATGTAATGGAAGATGCAATTTTTAAGATAATAAGCTTCTGTTTCAGAAAAGGGCACGGTGGCACCAATTGACTCTGGGAAAATATTTTCCCTCTCCCCCCTCCCTCCCTTGACAAAGTATAGTGAGTCTTATCTTCTAAAAATTAACAAACACTTATTGAGTAGTGGCATGACATACTTGGTTGCATAGTCACCTATGGATACAACATTTAAATGTTGCAAAATGGACATTCCATGTGATAGTTTACAAAACCTTTGGGGCTTTGTGTATGGTAAAGATAAATTTTGATGGAGAAAAACAAGTGTTCTTAGCAGAATGGCTCATGTTCGGGAATGGCTTTTAACTGTTAATTGGACGTTGTCTACATTCTAGCTACATAAAAACATTTCCAAAAAGACCTCAGTTACTGGAAATCACTAGCTTCTTGAGATTGGTCTTGAAAAAGATAAATCACTATAAGATACGAATTGCAGTTAACAACTTTGCAATTCGTGCACTTGGCAAAAGGGGGAATAAAAGCATGTTGATTGTGATCTCTAAAAAGCATGGAAAATCCTGGAAAGGATCTGTGCAACAACTTATGTTCAGATTGCCAAAAAGATTTTTAATAAGTCTGATTGATCCAAAATTATTGCATAGAAGCTCCTGTGATAAAGGCAACACAATAACATTTTACATCAGAACTAACTTTGATTTAACTGTTAGAAAATGCACATCAACGCAAGTTCCAAAGATTGTTAGAGAATCAGATGTGAAAATTTATTCAAAGAGAACACAAAGTGAAAATTTATTAACAAGCCTTAGATTCTATTGGTCGGAAGAATAGTCAATCAGTCTTCATAATAAGCTTGCCAATATAATACAACTCTAAAATCACGATGAAGTAGCTATATTAATCAAAACTTCACTATGTGTAGCATGATATAAGAACTCTGCTCTCTTACCAAAAATTGATATTTAATTCATTCATAAATTCTGTTTGAAAACCATATGACCATGCAAAAATTTAAAAACTTGATGTTTTTCAAAATACTTTCTTGAATCTTAAACCTATGAATCTTCCAAGCTTTCAAAATTTCATTAGAGGAAGAAATACACTGTAAGTCACATGTCAGGGCAGACATGGCTCATGACTGCAATTTTTATGTCATTCAGCCTTCAAAGTTTGTATTCAAAGTTATCAAATATAGAGCTACATAGGTTTTGAAGATAATATGTGAATGGCTATTTGTTTAGTGGGGATTATAGGAATAGGCTGGTGTAGATTTTCTTATCTGGATGTTGAAAATGCCCTGTGGTTATTGATTGCTTGTGGCAAATATTTGGTTTTACACACATAAGTAATTAAATAACTGAGAACATAAGTCTGATAAGAAATCTATATTTTGTGGTTATCGATTGCAGGTATAATTCATAAGCAAGGTAAACATTTGGCCAGATTTTGAACAGAGGATTTGAATTTTAGTAAGAGGTCTTTTTCCTGATTTAATCTGTTTTTACAAGTTTCTGCCAAAAATAATACAAGCCTGTAAAAACATCAAAGCAAAGTATTTCTGTTTATTGTGTACATCTGGGAGTCACAGGGACATTAAGACATCTTAAAGTACTGGCAGCAGCCAGATATTTGTGTGTGGCAACTTGAAAAAATGTGTTGAAAATTTTAACAAATCACTGGAAATTTTGTTGTTACATTACATAACTGATTAAATAACTTAGAACATAAGATTCTGATAAGGAATTTATATTTTGTTTCTTAATAGTCAATATTGAAATTGATTTCTTCCTTGCTATCCTTTTATAACTAATTTTACGTAATGATGCTGTTAAACTGCCAATTTTCAGCATCTTCCATTAATAAAAAGTATTGGAACATATAAACTAGAACAATCATAAATGACTGCATTCCAAATGTCTGGATGAATCTTTTCAGACCTGTCAACCCTCTTGGTTTAGCTGGGAGACTCCTGGTTTTGACTGCTTTCTCCCGGTCTCCCGTTTTTTAAAATTGTTCTCCCAGTTTCAAAGATGTCTAGCAGAATGTCTAGGAAGATTCTTCACCAAATTTTCGATTGAACTGCGCATCTTATGCTTCCAAGACAGGTCCATTGTGTATGTTTTCTTTTTACAGAGGTATAATTAAGATATAATGGTCACATTGACTTCCACATGACAACAATTTTTTGTTAGTGCTAACTGATTAACAAAAAAGCACTAAAAGTTATTATGAAGATACTTCACATGATAAATTTTGTCATAAACTGTTTGCCCAGCACAACATTTTATCAGGGATATTTATTCCATTAACAAATTATTGTGACCTCCCTGTTTTTGACCAAATCTCCGTTTTTCTTTAGGAAAAATCCAAAATCTCCAGGTTTTGAACATTTAAGGTTGACAGGTCTGTCCTTTCCAAAATTATGGGCCACTTGAGAAAAGCTGAAGCTATTTTTTCAAGACAAATCCTCCTTCCCCTTTGATCAGTGCTAAACTGTTGAAATTGTGTGGGTATTTAAAGTGTATGGGGGAGGAGGTGAAAAGTTCAAAAGGAGGAGCAATGCCATACCAAGGATCAAGTTTATCTTGAATTGTCTTTGCATGCCCTCAAGATCTGGCATCAATTTGTTTCTGGCAAGGGTTGTATCTACTATGGGGGCATATGACTCAAACACTTTAATCAATTTAATAATCTGTCATATTTGTACTTGTTTCTCTAGAAGTATAAATAAAAGATTAGGTATAAAGATTACTTCATACTATCTTTATTTTTGTGCTCAGATGTAATATTCATTCTAGAAATATACTAATCAGCTTACACTATTTGGTGTATAGAACAGGGGGGTTCCAAGTTGCTACTCTCGAGTCACGCTTAGTGTGATCACCAGTAAACAGTTGCCTGCCTATATGGGACCAAGCACTTTACGAAAGACAGTAATTTTCATTACTAGTGTATTAGAAATAAAAACAGGATTGCAGAGCTTTTTAAAATTGATTTGAAAAGAGATTTTAGCAGCAAATATGGGTTTGTTTTTTATCAATTTCTAAACCTGCAGCAGAACCCTTACATAAGACAAAGCAATTTCTAAAATCCATTCCTTAGATTTTTGGACTTTTATTTGCAAATTTCCTCACTATGACATGTGTTCTCTGACAAACATGAGAGTGAATATTGAAAAGAGGCTCAACTTTATCATCAAATAAGCATCTTGGTGAAAGTTATATATTGAAAAATAAAAATCTAAAAGTGTTGTCCAAGCTAGAAAAGCGCTAACATCCAAAATGGGAAAACAGGTTCTGATTCTTAGCCAAATTTGTTCAAAGACTTTGAAAGGGCTGACAAAAGCTCTTTGTTGAAAGAGCTGGAGAAATGACAAAAACAAAAGAGTAACTTGACCAAGATTGGAGGCAAGTAAGAAATTTAAAGCGGAAACAAAGACCCTTGAAGCAGTGTTTTGCGGGTATACTGAGGGTTTCACGGCGGATTAAAGTAGTTTTGTCTAGTTTTTCAAACAGCTGACCAAGGCCTGAGGTTACATGATACACCAGCAAATTCGGTGCGAAGTACTGAAGCTCATAAGCAAATAAACGAAACAGTTGAAGCAACAGGTCAAGCCATTTCGAGAGATAAATAAACAAGAGCAGCAATTCTTACCCTGAGGTCTCCCCCGTGTCCACTGAGAGAAAAACGATTGTCTCCCCTTCCATTGACACCTCCTTGGGATTGTTCCTCAGTAGGACTCGTGATTTGGGCCTGATGCGATGGCAAAAACGAGGGGGAATGCGGATTCAGCGAATTCCCAATGTGAAAGCCATTCCTTGATGAATTGTTTCTGCTTGTGCTATTGAAATCAAATATTTGATGACTCGAATGATTGAAAGCCCCTGGCTGATGACCTTTGCTTCGTTGTGCCTGTTCTTCGGCAGGCAATTTTCCATTCATGAACGTATGTTCAGAAAACGGAGGTTCATTTGAAGAGAAAATATGCGCTTTCCCATGCGGCCCGATAACATCTTTGTGCTCCTGTTCCCAAATTTTGTTTCTCATTTCAGTGCCCAAGCTGAGCTTTGAAAAGTCCATCCAACCCTCCGGTCCACTGTCTTTGTTCATCTTTTGCATTTCGGATACAGGTAAATCCCATTCTATATGTTCGGCCTCTGTGCTGTTCGACATTTTCGGACTTTCCTTGCCTTAACTCTCTAAAAATGTGAACATATTTCCAGTTGTTTTTTACATGAAACTCAACAATATGGGCCCTTGACCCTTGCTTCTCCGCATCCGTTGTGTAACCTGCAACGTAGCCCAAGCAACATGAGTCCGTAGTAGGCCAACTATGGACTAACAACATGGCATAAACATATTTCATGAGCATTTTGGCAGGATTAATCTAAAATCATAATCAGCCAACGACGTGAATTGCTATGGTCATTTAAATTTAAATGCCACTTGGAACATTCATGCGTTGATAAGCTTATTAATCGTGGGTTCATTCAAATATGGTAAGATTCTGTAGAAACAGAGTCATAGGTGTCGAGGAGTTTAAATTGTGAAGTCCACTGTGAATAAAAATGCCGATTGCCGTATACTTCATAATTTCCCAAAAAGATTATATGAGTTTCCAATTATTTAGTTGGTCAAAGAGTTTATAATTTTTGAGTTAATCTATGAGTGTAATGAATTTGTTGAGAATGACAGTGTTGAATCCAAGAAGTCCGGCCTTGGTGCTTGGTATAATATGGTCAATTCATTCCGGTCAAATCAAACTCAGAAAGACAAAATTGCATAAACTCAATACACATATTCTTTGATGAAAATCAGAATTTAACGGAAAGGAAGTAGAAACTTGTCGCCGATAGTTTGTTTTGAGGAATATGACATATATTTGCCTCACGACAACAGGCCTTTTACAAAAATCAATCACGCTGAACTAACGATAGACAATATTCCAATTAAAAAACAAAGCCTAATGATAGTGGAAGATAAAGGAAGTTAATCGATACTTACTAATTTGCTTTTTGTCTAAAACTGACTTATCTTTACCCCTGACTGCCTTCCTAAACGCCGAGCACTTGACGCTTCTGCCGACTTTCACTACGCCAGCTACAATTCTTCTTCGCCTGCTGAGTTCCTAAGCCATGCAGTGCTAGCATGTGGAGATCTGGGCACAACATCAACAAACGTCATCAAATTCGCTGAGCAAAGAAGAGAAGCAAAAACACCGAGAAGGATTAATTAATGGCCATTTTTGAATTATTGAAATCCAGCCTAAAGCTTAAAGCATATAATTTGAATAAAAAGCACATATCCACGAAACAGTCAAAATACTGACTTGTGGCCAAAATAGTTGCCTAGAATTTACCATTTGATGTTGCGTTAAGACTTTGCAAAATGGTGTTCTCAATCTAAAGATAACATGGAAAACTGACCTTCATTTGAAATTTCTTTCAACTATTAAGTCTTTTCCAAATAAATGTCAGGAAAGTTCAGACATGCAAAGGCAAAGGACTCAGAGGGATGTTGTTTTTGCAGAAACGTATTCATTTTCTGGAATTGTTTTATATTATTTTCGTTTATTTTCAAACAAATTTATTATGCGTGAGGGCCTTGAAATCATGATTTAATTTGCAAATGATCGGAATGTGCAAATTGTTGAGGCTGGTCTGAGTATTTCGTGTTGTTACATACATTGACGTTTTCAGGAATTGATTTATATTATTTTCGTTTATTTTCAAACAAATTTATTATGCGTGAGGGCCTTAAAATCATGATTTAATTTGCAAATGATCGGAATGTGCAAATTGTTGAGGCTGGTTTGAGTATTTCGTGTTGTTACATACATTGACGTCGGAGCTACTTCAAAGTTGGAGGGGCACAGACAGAAAGGAACTCTCTGAGAAATGGGGAATTTTCCAACAATTGAGGAGGCATATGGCCCTGTTGCCACCACCCTCTGTCCCGATTTACAAGACAAAGAAGTGATATATTTTTCATGAAGCCGAATCCGTTACGAAGCGAAATAGTAGCAATAGACCATAGCATCACTTTTGGACTAACCGAAAACTTTTGGACAAACAAACTTTGGGACACAAGTTTATATGATGCATGGCATTTCTGGCTTTGTTTCACGATTATTTTCTTTGGGTTTAGTTTCATGGCCTCATCTTCAATCATCATTAGTAGCATATTTCTGATCATCGACATCTTCTTGGTCATGGCCTTCTTTACCAATTTCGCTACTAACAATTTCTCTCTTTTGCTGTTAAAAACGGGAAATTCTGTCATCGATAATCCAACTTCCTACGTTGTTTCCAAATCGTAGTTCTTAGAATTAATTCCTTTAGTAGATGGAGATACCTCCTCTTTTTTCGTCTGATATCTTGGAAACTGTATGTACTCAGAACATTTTTCAGTTCTCGACGAGGATTTGGCGAAGGGTGATCTTTTCTATCGACAATTTAACTAGCCACCTTTCCACCTCAATCAAGAAAAGATCATCCTTCACATTATTCTGAAACAAGCCAAACTATGTTTTGAAATGTTGCTATTCGATTTCGCCTCGAAGAAAGCCACCAAACATTGAGATGTTTTAAACACAAGAAATCGAAAAGCAGTGAGTCAAAAGTGGAAATAAATTTCTCAGATTGCTTCTTTTTCCATGCTAGTTACCCACAGCTTTTCTACTTCACCTATATAGCTAGCTGAAGTTACCCATGACAGCTAGCTTTAGCATATATTTTGGTATCGTACAAAAAGTGTTTTTCCGAAAGTTTTTCGTCCAAAATCCCCGAAAATACGCCCAAAAGCTTTTCCTCCGAAGATACTTTGCTAAAAATTTTTCGTCAGAAATGTTTTGGTTTTGATGTAGCGAAAAGGCAGCATTTCCAGACTGCATATTGGACTGGGTGGATTTTACAAGGCATAAGAAATCTACTGAATCTAAATAAAAAAATGTGTTGAAATGTTTGACAATCAATGAACACTTAAAGATATTTCTTTAAATCTATCCAGAAGAATGAAAGCCAATAAATAAAAGACGGTTTTTCAACTATAGTTTCAATTTGACAAGACATTTAATTATTATACACAAATATAACATATATAACATGCTTTAAAATACTTGAATGTTTACTTTAAAGATTCGTTAAAAGTAAACAATTTACTAGATTTTGAATAACTTAATTCAGACTAAAGGGCAGGGGTGTAGTGGTAGGGGGCCCAGGTGGGCTGAGCGTCTCTTGTTAATGCCGGAAATTAGTCTATTAATACTTTTGACATCGTTTTTAGCAACATTATGTGCAAAAGACCCCCTTGTTATTTTCATAGCACTACACCACTACCAAAGGGGTTGTGAAAAAAACATCGTAAAATTGTACAAAGTCAAGGAGATTTTATAACTAGGGATAACTGTAGTAAACGTGGCAAAGATTGCTGATGCATGAGAACCATTTTGACGTAAATATTTCTCATCACACGATTACTTCGCTGCTCTCTATGGGGCTCTATGGATAAGGTTTGAAAAAATTCTACATCTGTGTTAAATACAGTTCTGGTAAATGTTTGAATACAACGTAATTGTACAGTTCTAATTTTCTGCAGCTCTATAAAATATATTCTGAAAATGTTTTTGAGCCCAGAAGTTTCATGCTGTGTTGCCCGAAATTAGCTGAAAATTTTCAAATGACGTAGAAATGAATCTCTATTTCATCTACCCAATACAAATATGATAACAAAAAATTCTCTTTGGTTGCAAAAAATGCTCATTGTCTAAGAGGAAATTATCAGTGACGTAGCGATGTTACCAAATACACGCCCTTTTGTGGGCGATTATGTTAGACGCTTTCGGAAATACGTGCGATGTTAATCTCAAATTTGGAATATAAAGAGGGGTATTTTAAACAGCAAAGAATAAACGGCTACGGAGCTGATATAGGACTAGCAACATATCTCTTTATTTCTGCCCTTGTCAGTTACACCGCAGCAAGAACGAAATCTGATACAGATGAAACATTAAGAGTAACATCGAAAACCAAACTTTGCTCTTGTCATCACCAAAGCATGGAAAGCTCTGATAATCATCTTTTTTAAAGACAAGACACAATTATTGTAATTATATAAAAGGTCATTGTTAGTATGAGCTAGGAACTCCAAGCGATAAGGTATGATAAGTGAAAAACTCATCCATTCATAATAAACATCAAATCAATTATTGTGGTTATGAAAATGGTTTATTCAAATAAGCGGCTACGGTTTTGTACTGATCAACTTGCCTTTCAACCTAAGGAAAAGTCGATATTCATAACTGTCGATGTAGCATAATAGCCATATCATGCAGCAAAACGAAATATCATATAGTTTTATATATTTTTGAAAAAAATATCTGCTTTTGCTTCTATTGGTTTTACCCAGCTACTTCATTAAATGAGAAAATTAAAAACAAAAGCACAGAATAAATTTTTATTTTGATATAGAACAAGGTCTTATGAATCAGTTAAAGCCAATATTCCTCGAGCCTTCAGTTAATTTGCTCTTCCATCAATATTCTTTTAATGGATCTTAAATGTGAAGATAGATAACGAATGAAAATTGATTGGAATTTGTGGTTATAGAGCAAAAAATGAACTCTCAGCAATTTCCAAAGTAAAAGACATGTTGCTAATCCACTCTTGTCGTACTCCTTTGGTGTGTGGTTTAACTGGGATTTCGCGTAACAGTTTGCCTACTGCCTCAAGCAATGAAACGTCACTTGTTATTTTTGTGGATTCATGTTGAACGTAACTGTTGCAAGATTTAAGTTTGTTCTACGTCAGCGGTGGAGTTCAAGGAAGTCACGACCGTCACAAACCGGATACGGTTTCATCAGGATAATTGCTATTGGTTTTAAGCGGTTTAACACCCCTGGAAACTTCAAGTATTTGGATTCTGCTCATAGCATTGGCTGGGTGCGGAGATGTTATGATTAGCCACACCCCTGAGCTTATGCAATGTCACCGTGTTAAGTTTATCACTATCAGTTTAATTTCCATGGGGGACCTGTGAATTCCTGACAGTCAAAATTGACGGTCCCATCATTTTCATGGCGAGTTGGTCAGGTCTCTGGAACTGCATAGCCTGCAAACCGTTTCCCATTGGATTCTGCACAGTAAATGCCATGCTCTGATTGGGCATTGAAGAAATCGTCGCATATACTGACGAACTTGAGGTTGGGGAAGCAGAGGAGGCGGTCATACCTTGCAACAGACTCTTCTGCATTGCCGGAAAATTCATGTTCATATTAAAGGTGTTGGCAGCTGTAAGACTGCCATTGTTCGCTTGGGTTATTGCCATAGCCTGGGAATAAGCGTTAGAGTCAGCGATTACAAAATTGTTAGGCCAGTTGAACTCATTGTTATTTCCAATGCTGCTCAGTCCATTTTGAACCATTGCACGTTCCGTTTCGTAATTAGGTGTCGGGAAGGCACTAAGTCCTTGCGCGTTAATGTTTTGCAACCCGTTTACATTTCCAACACCGCTGCCGTTGACCATGCCGACGCCGTTAAGAGCGTTGAATGCCGCAAGGCCATTCATGCCAGTCATACCCGCCTGGTAAGCATTTACAGCAATATTATTCAAGTTGTTAACGCCGTTCGAGTAAGCGGCCATATTGCTCAGTTGATTCAGCCCATTGATCGTGTTCATGTTCATTCCATTGACGGCTGCTAGGCTACCGCCCCCTGGGAAAAGTTGGTTATACTTGAACCAAGTTGGAGAGACTTTCTGGAACACTTGCGACTGTCAAAAAAGAAAAATAGAGTGTAAATGCTTGAATGAGAAGTGTGTAAGTTGCAATGCTATTCTTATACTTGTAGCAATTATTAAAACTTCAAATAATAACAGGGGCAGACAAATTGTAAAGCCCAGCCTTCATTTAACACGTGCCGTAGATGAGTCGTTCTTAACAAAGTTACTTGTGGCAATCTGAGCACTGACTATGACCCAAGTAGTGTCACTTAGGCCCCGCCCCGTTCACATTGCTCCGGATTCCAATTAAAACGGATAAAAAAGTATCCGTTTTCACCTTGCGTTCACACTGCTCCGCTGTTAAAACACGGAGACTTTTGAAAACGGAAACTTTTGAAAACGCAAAACGCAGTGTGAACACCGAAAACGGATACTTTTGGAAACGCTAACAACAACAACAACAACAACACAGCAAGATGCTTAGACCGCGCCAATTTGAACAACTTCTCTTAAACACAACATGGCTGATTCACTCGAAGTTAGTACAGCATTTGGAGGAATATTAATGGCAGTGAGTTGTTTGAAAAGTTTATCAGCAGTCGCAAGGTCTGTAAACCAGTTGATGGCGTTTTCCTTTTTATCCAGAGCGGAACAATGTGAACGCTTCATCGTTTTCACACCGTTGTCAAATGTATCCGGAGCAGTGTAAAACGGATCGATATGAAAACGGTTAAAAATGAATACGGAGCAATGTGAACATAGCTTTAAATAAACTGTCCGTAAGGTTTTTAGTTCAACATAATGGAAAGTAACTAAGCCACTAGATGTACATTTTTTAAATAATTACGTAAGTTTGTATCGTTATGCTCACGAGTGTAGTGTTCGAGGGGGTCATGGGGGCTGAGCTCCCCTGCTGATGCTGAAAATTTGCAAATTCTACTTTTGCTATTGTTTTTCGCAACATTTTGTGTAAGAGCCCTCCTTGTTATTTTGGTAGCACTACACAACTGGTTATGATTGCCATATTCCAAACAAAAATCTAAGCGATCGATTTTCCTTGTTGGCTGAAAGTAAAAAACACAGCAAACACAAACGTCAATGAAACCTAGCTTGCTGCCATTTTGTTTCGGCCTTCCTCAGGGGATTTAAAAAGAAAAGAAAAGTACGTAGCTAAAAGACGCTTTGGAAACTGAAACAAGGCCGCCGTGAACTAACCTCAGCATGGCTTGTTAAGGGGCTCTCGACTAATCTCCGCCGTTTCATGTCAGGACTCGTTGATCCATTTGTGCCCTGACTTGTCGTCGAACTTTCGCTGGGGGTACTCAGCTTCTCTTCGCCTTGCGTGTCATCTTTCCCACCGTGTCCATCTTCCGACCTTTTTCGCTTCCTCTTTGGGTCCTCTTTGTCGCTTTCGCAATCCCTCTCGCCTTCCTCATTTTTGATTTCTTCGCCAACCTCGTCAGTTCTTGACGTTTTCAGGTGTTCTCCTGCAAAGAATGAATCAATAATTAATGAAAATGTCGATACAAACGCATGGTCCACAAAAAATACTACTACAAATCGAAGTTACAGGCTTAGTGTGTAGACGGAAAAGCATGTAAAAAAAATGGATGAGGATTTGTCAATCAAACCTTGAGAACAAACGTCAAAAGTTTGAGAACCATGGCGATTAGAGCAAATATATTGGTTTACCTAGAGAATACTGTTGATAGTTTCGACAGTTTATAGGAAAGTTTTATCTTCAAAGTGTTCTCGGCTACAGTATTATCATCGAGCTTTTCTTGGGAGATGAGAGAAATTTCGAAAAAAGCTGTTCACAAGCAACAGCACTAACTGGGTTTGCACAGCAGTTGTGCTTGAAGTACACTTGTTTTTAACAAAAATGTAAAAAACCACAAGAAGATGGCAAAAATAGCGGAAACATAGCCCACTGTATTACTGTTCGTGCGGCACTCTTCAGAGTAAAGAAATTCATTCAAACATTTTCTTGATACTTAGGTTCATTCACACTATGTTAACGATAAATTTCAAATGTCAGTGTGACAATGAATGAATGAGTAACAAGCTATCCGTTATCCCGCTAGTCATATCAGTTTAAAACAAAAGCCAATGGTTAATAAAAAAATGGCAAGATTAACTTGGGAAATCCAATATGAAATTTAACGCACGTTTGAGGCATCATATTTAAGCTATCAGCTCTAGAACTTTCAACAAATTTGTTTCTAAACACCACTAGCTAAATCACGAAAATTCCCCACAGAATGAGCTTTCTGTTAATTTTCCAAACATCGAAACTGGAAAAAAAATTAAATTTCTTATTCTGGTAACTTAATCAAAGGCTTCGAATATTTTTTCGGGGCGGCCTGCAGTCAAAATACAAGGGGATTTGACACAATCAACAGAAACAAATGCCGTTTTGAAATAAAGAAATGATTGTCTTGATTCAACATGGTTAAGGCATGCAAATTTAGAATTGAGGGAGGGGGTAACAAAACTATAACAGGCATAGCGTTCCCGAAACTTACATCATAGCACATGCGTCATCAGATAACTTCACTTTAAATGTTTCAGAGGATGATTATCATGATAATGCAACTCACACCAAGAAGTCAACAGAAAATAACGATGCCAATGGAACGGTAGGTGCAAACTGTCTAGCATAAATATAACTTCTTCATTTTTGGGTCAATAGTGTAGATGGTAACAAAACTTGCATTTAACTTTTGGAGTCGTACAAACTATTGTACTAAATCGTGTGCATTCATACTCCCAGGCCAGAAGCTCCTTCAAAGCAATGATAAAGGGACTCCAAAAAAATTTAATAGCAGGTCAGATAATTTGCGGTTGTTTAACTTAAGAGCGTGACCACACAGGAAGGAAAGAGCTGGACATGTAAAAGTAGCACAAGAATGCCTTACCGACAGGTGTATTTGTTTCCCTGTGTCTGTTCTCCCGATCTCCAGACGAAGCCCTATCTTGCTCCGTAGTTGTTTGGTGATGGTCCGATTGCATGTGTATTGTATTCTGGGGGTGCGATGTGTGTGATGACTGTTGATGTTGTTGTTGCTGTTGTTGTTGATGGTGTTGTTGCTGTTGCTGCTGATGTTGCTGTTGTTGCTGTAGATGAGCCGTCGCTGCATAAGAAATGTCTCCGTTGATTTTTTGCCGCTCCGGAGATGGGGTGTTTAGTGGTAGGGTCATTATTTGTGGTTGTTGTAACTGTGGTGCTAGCATAGGAAAGCCGGTATTTAGTGCGAAAGGAAATTGTGCATGTGATTGGTCAGTTAAACCATTCAAACCACTAAATCCAAATCCGTTGAAACCAAATCCATTCAACATCGCCGGTGCAAGGCCATTGACTTTTTGGAACTCTTCTTGCTTTCGCTTGGCCTCCTTCGACTCCTTCTCAGCGGCATGGTTCCGTAAAATGCGGTTGATTGAGCTAACACTCGGTACATTTGAATTGTCGCAAACCCCTTCGGACAAAAGGGTATTCCTGATTTCCCATGCAAACATACATGGGTTCTCTTCTTTGAGTTTGACGATTCTGGCCACTACCTTTGGCGTTGCGACTTTCGGCTTGCTGCCGCCAATGGCCCCGGGTCGAACCGACCCCGTCTCATAGTAACGCCCCAGTATCTTGCTGACGCAACCGTGCGAAACTAATAGTTGTCTCGAAATTTCAGAAGGTCGTACACCGCAATGCGCCAGCTCGATGATGCGATGTCGCATATAATCCGGCAGGGGCCTGCCGTTGACGAACACACCTCCTAATTGATTCACTCCGCCAGGGCCTAAAACGCAAAACAATTACACTAACGTCACATTCATTGAACCAATTTCAATAAACACACGGTGCTGCTACACACAGCATTAGAATCTATCTTAATGCGAACATCCAATCCTAAAACTTTCTTTGAAACATTCTACGTCTAAAGCATTTAAAAAAATCAATTTGTTAAACTCCAAGTATATGTCTATGGTTGTATTTATAACAAAGCTGGTAATAGAAGTAGAAGACAACTGACAGCTGTTTTTGCACTGAAGTACCAGAAAACGACAAAGGATTTGATAAAGCAATATGTAAAATTATTGCATAATTGTCATTGCACATGCTTTCTATAAAGCTCATTCAAAAGTAGAAAGGAAAATTGTGTCTACAGCAATCTCCCAGAAGGCCCGCATGTCTACCATCCAAAGTAGATTTCACTAGTTTCGTTTGCTCCTCTTTTCCTTATTTTTTCTAGCTTATAGTAAACCTCTGAAGCTAGTTTTCATTTTTCAGTTTTCACATATAACTACGCCTTTAAGAAAACTTTCATTAAAATATATTTACTAGAAACACGACAATGATTGCTTCAAGAAAAGCAAGATATAAGTTTACATCTTTCTCACCAAGATTGCTATTGCCAAAAATTCCAATTTCGTCTTTGTAGGCTTTGCCGTTCAATATGCCATCCATCCTAAAAGAAGATTATATTATTTATAAAAAAGTATTAGGATAAAAGCATCCTAAAGTCAATTAATATTATCATAAAAACCATTGATTCGCACTAAGTCAATGCGTTTGGTATATTCTACATGCTCGTGGTTTCTTTAACAATGTATACGCTAGAAAGATAGCAATACTCTAGAGAAATTTTTCTTTGCATATTATCCTATTCGTCTTTAGAGAAATGATATAATTCAACCTATGTGATTGCCATTGAAAATTATTCTTGCTAGGAAGGGGTTTTGAATACAGTAATGACAATTCTGCTCCAACTATTACGTGAGGAACATATCACCTAAAAGAAAGTGTATATCTGGACAATATACCCGTTCGTTATTGACTTCCTTTTGGGAATTTTACCTGATGGTTTGAATCGATAGCTTTGAATATTTCGTCACATGTTTAGATCAAAGGGTCGCTTCAAATTGAACGGCATTTTCTTTGTTTTGTTTGTTAAAAAGATAGCCTCTAACAATATAATAGAAACTATGTTTTCTAAACTTATGGAATGTAAGCTTTTTTGGCGAGAACTTTGAAAACTATGAATTCTAACAATATGATCGAATCTATGTTTACTAAACCTATGTGAAGTAGGCCTTTTTGACGAAAAGTATGAGTACAAGTGAAAGGTAATCAGCCTACGTAGCATTTAAGCCATTAACGATGAATCTTCTCGTGATTTCATAATGAAAAAGTAGTGAAATCTTATTATCTTTTGAAACAATCTAGCGATCATTAAAAACAGGGATGTATTGAAACTTTCCACAAGAAAGATATTTCTATACGGAAAACTGCTCCAATTTTCATTTTTCTAACTGTTCTCGAAAATATCACAACGACGAGCTGAGCACACAGTCTCAATTTTTTTAGCACAATAATAATAATTTCTCTTTGAATCGCAACTTATAGCTTCAATTTAAATTGACCAAAAAAGTAAGCGACCATTCAAGTGCTTATTTTGAAATCAAGACACAAAATACAATCGTTGAAGAAGTAAAACTTCATACTCAAGCTCTTGTAACAAATTGCTTTGGAAAATATGGAACATTTCTTTGCAACCGAAAACAATTGACACTGATTTATTTGAAATATTGTTACGGGACGGTACAAAGTAAAACTAAATATATGGAAATTGACCAAACATAAAACTTCATAGAAAGAAAATATTAGCCTTTCGATAAAGGTAGCAATGATGTAAACCCTTTGGCCTGGTTAGTAGGAAACCAACATGCGTAAAAAAGAAAATTGACAATTTTGCTTTAAGAAGCGCTTCTTCAAGAATTGAAAAAAAATCAAACATACCTCTAAGTGGCATCTTTAAGGGCAACTGGGACGCCCAATTAATGCCCTAAAAAAGCAACATGTCTCCGTTATAATTATGATGTAGAGTAGTGTTAGAGAGCTGCTAGTAAAACGCGTGTACGTCACACTCTAGAAGCAACGGCTAGGCCTCCAACGTGATCTAGCGCATTCCGGTCTTGCTCGGGTTTAACGACAGTTCCACGTAGGAATATTTAAAACGTTCGCAGCCTTAATGTGTTATTGAGCTCTGTTGGTATTTGGCGTTTCCTTGATTCTCGGGCACATTGGTTTTATCGTCGTAATGGGAGCTGAGATTTGCGAAGAAAGCTCCCCTCTAGGCAACAGGTACCCTTTGTCAACGTTTGCGATTTGCATTACTTAGTGTTAAGCGGAAAATGGAGCACGCGTAGAGAGCATCGCAACAGGTCCACAGAAAACGGGTATTTGCAATATGGGACCTGTAGGGAAAGGGCTGTCAGGGCAAGCTCTCTAGTAGGTGGCTGTATCCAAAATTTGATCGACATTTTTATTAAGGTCTACTGATCATCGAAAATAATTACAGTTAATATCGAGATGTTTGTGACAAACAGCAAATGTTTGAAACGAGGCTAAGTGCAACTGATTCTTAGGTACCCAATTAAATATGCATCGTCACAAGATGCATTGTCACAAAGGTTTAATCCTAACTCCCCCAAGGCTTTCTAAAAACGGAAACAGTACAAAAAGAGCAATTAACAAACTTTGTCTACATAAATTATCTCAAAGCAAATTTCAGTCCAAAATCTGTGTTGTCCATTCTTGATTTCCTTCAGCGCAAAAATTGAGGGTTTTAGTTCTCAGACAGAAACAGAAAAAGGGGCGTGGAGATTCCATTTGGGAAGATAGCGAGAAGAATATTTTAAAGGTTATTTTGGAGGCTATCTGGGAGGGTAGTGGAGAGGAGAAGGGTGCTCCAAATAACGACAACATGATACTTTCCAGTCCGATTTTGCAGTTTGAAAAATGACCACAATAGATCATCATAAAATTTAGTAGATATAAGGCCAGGAGCATGCAAATGAATTAATCCTGGGAAGATGCATACAGTTCATGAAAAATGAAATGAAAATGAAAATGATCATATAAATGGTGAGATACTGATGGGCATAACCTTTTTCATTACTCCATGGAAACTATATGTTGGCAACAATCAAATCGTTGTTGGTGACAAAATATTAAAGCAGAGATGACATTGAAAATCCCTTGACAATGTGATATATTTCTTTGACACGTTGTGCGGATAATAGTAAGATTTCTAAACATTTTTTGTTTTTCAAACCCGATTTTATCTTTCTCAGTTTTTTCACGTATATAACATAGGCTTGTTCTCAAGCACGAAAACGAGATCTGGATATCGCACTTGAAAAAATCAGCTTTTCAACAATCGAAAAACCAAACGACACATAAGAAAACCCTTTAGAGTGAAACATGCATATTGTATCTATGCTATGAAGAACGCTGCGATTGCAGCGGCTACTTCAAACAATCCAACATATGCATAATAGAGATCGAATGTTCTAAAATTATAGAGAACATACAAGAGTAAAGTATCGTCAAAATGGCTACGTTTGCGTTTGGTTCAAAGTTCCAAGAAGTAAAGTGAAGATATGTTGATGCAGAAGATGAGATAGAAAACAGAATCGTGTCATGTCTGTTTTATGTTTATGGTGTCATAGATCGCACTATTTGCCGCAATTTGAGATGATTTGTCGCCTCAGGTCTCGCCTTATACGACAGCATACACGTCTGTATCCATTCTTACTTGCGGTGGGTGCGCCTTCAGACAGCATTAAATATTCTTCCATCATTCATAATTCAACATGAAATGAATGTTACACTAACTAGACTAGGATAAAGACATAATGAATAGAGCAATATCGTTCAGGCTTCTATCTTCATTGCTAACATTCATAGCAGAAAAACTTTTATAAGGTAGTGAAAGCTGTGTAACCAAAGCAATGCAACGATTTTATCTTTCTCAGTTTTTTCACGTATATAACATAGGCTTGTTCTCAAGCACGAAAACGAGATCTGGATATCGCACTTGAAAAAATCAGCTATAAAGTTTAATTGTCAATATTTTAGTGTATATTATTGAGATGGTTTTAGAGGCTTCAAAAATGATTGTTTTAAATTTAGTGCATTAGTTAGTTAGCGCAAGCGATTTGGTCAACTGGGCAAAAGCCAAAAACAAAGCTTTGTAATAAATATATTTGGTTAAACTTTTGAAAATTATGCAAGCGATTGAGTCTTAGTTTTTTACCCTTTTTCAAAAAACTTTCCTGTTTGTTTTTCAGGAAAAAAGAAGGACGGTGATAAAACATTACTTTTTCAGCAAGAATGTAAATAACTAGGAAATTTGATTTCAGTTACAGGAGAAACTAGAAACAACAGCTTCAACCGTTCGTAAACCGATGATGATGGGCAAGCTTACTCATTTGTTAATGTTTACAAATTGTTTGCGACTTGACAAAATTAAGTGCTCGACGATGTGCGTGATTTGGCAATGATTACGGACCGTCTAATCATTGATCCGGAGCAGTGAAGCCAGCTGGTCCGGTTGCAAGCCGCGGTTCTCCCGCGTTTACCATTCATCAGTCCCGCGCATATTACGATTAGATCAATAGGTCAGTAGATCATGTCAGTACTCAACCTGTCAATCATGCAACTGCTTACACAGCGCGCAAGATAAACCATTGTTTTTAATTGAGAAATTAAACTTGGAGTGCGACGAGAGGTAACTTATTTTGGACATAATGCGGCAACGTCTAACAAAACTGAAACATTCAAGAAAACCACGCAAGGATGCACTATGGGCTATATTTACATTAAAAGCACAAAATCCCTCCCCAACATAGCTTATGAAGAATCACCAACTCTTTCTATGACGCGAAATATTACGAGCGATCCTTTCTATTCGGCTCTAGTAGAATCGTTCATTTTCTCTGTTGCAAATTTTCAATGCAGTTCTTACAGGCAAGACAAAAAAAACTTACCAAGAACTCATAAACATTTTCTAATGAAAACCTTAATACGCGTTTGCAGTTGCTAGATCAGTTGAATGTGGCTAGAGCACCTCTACTGTTGTTTAGAGAACCTTGTTGGTGCGTGATTGCTAGACGTTGTTGTCTGATATTAGTGCCGCTAAGACAATATTCTTGATCGTTCCCGAGTAAGTAAGTTGCTTAATCATTCTATCATCATAAACTCTGCTTTCAAGAATGATTCATTGTTGAGTATTTTATATCAAATTTTCATTCGAAATAATGTCCAATCCTCTGCTCCCCGGGCGCTTTAGACCAAAGACATCAATGCATAGGTGTATGGGACAAGATCGCCATTTTCATAGGTTACTAAGAAACTTCCATGTGGAAATTATTAGAATTCTCAACAACCGCTTGAAAAAATTGAAATATTGAATGAGTCCATGAGTAAATGAATCTATGTTGTGTTTTGCCATATTTAAAAACTAATTTTCAAGAGCCAGCATGGAAATTACTAATCATTGTTTCCAAGGTGTATAATAACAAATTATGTGCCCTACTTCCATTCTGGCAAATAATGCCGGAAACTTTGATCATGGTATGAAAAATTACAAATTAGGGTTAAAATAAATATGCAATTTTCAAAGAAAGGTTTTAAACCGTTTCCATTTTGTAGTTAGGGACCATACAGAAATGTGACGCTGGTAGATAGTGGCCATTATGATAGATTCAAAATCTGTTGTACTTTGATTCAGTTTCTAGACAAACTGATATTTGGGCATTTGCTTTCCAGCTAGTAATTTGATTTCTCTTATTTACCTACTGAATATGAGTTTCTTTCAAATATTGGACATCTAATGATGATGATAATAATGATAATGACGAGGTTTGAAGCGCAACCACGTTCGCAACGCAGATAAGGCAAATGTAGCGTTACATTCCGCGACTTCTTCGACATTTTGGACAATGATATGTTGACCAGGTCAATTCCAAGTTTCCAGGAGATTCTCTGAGCTGAAAATACTTCATGCCACTACTAATTGCACCAACACGTTGAAATATCGAGATTTTTCGCTTCGAAAATGACATCGTAACAATAGCGACGTAACGGCATGGCGAAAGTCATAAATAAAAAGTATACTTACACATAGCACCTCTCAAAGTCCATAAAGAGTAAATATTGCCATATATTGATAAAATAAGAAAATCTTTGAGTAACAATAAATAATATCAAGCAAAAAATTGCATCTCTTACCGTCTTTCAAAGCAAATCGTTGATCTTAAGCTTTGTTTTTAGACTCAGAACAGTACGCCACCTTGAACGAGCACAGGTTTCCTGATCTACGGGTATCGAGAAGGCGACTTTAGAAGGCGCTAGCAAAGCGACTAATCTAGACCAGAACGCATGCACGGGGGGTAACCTCTTGAATGCAACACTAAGTAATGTACGATCTCTCCATCAGAAAGAGGCACCATGCTGAATGTATGTTCTAATTCATGTCTAGCCAATTGCATTTTTCAATTCTTCCAATTTCTTGGTCCTTGTATTCAAATAGTTTCGATTTTCTATGATATTTAGTTCCTTAAAAATCCTTGAACTGAAAAATTCCTCTTAGTTCCAGATTCAAACGATCGCTTTTTTCCCTGTCAATTCATCCTCCCCTCTTGATTAGCAGCATAATTTTCAATCTGTTGGAAAAATACCCAACCGCTTCCTTCCTACCTACCTTGACAAATTTCTGTTTTGGTATTTCGTAAGCAAACCCATTGCATTTGCTTTCACAATCATTTGCAGGGTAATGATTGAATTCTTTTGTATTTGCCATAACGTTTAGGTTCAAAGCACTGAATGGCAAAGCTAGAATGACCTAAAAACAATAGAAAAAGATAGTCAAAACGCCAGGCTTCAATATTCATCAAAAACTTTCAGCTATAAAACTCTGATTTTATCAAATCTCACTTTAAAAAGATATAGCACTTCTGCAGACATGTTTTGTCACTAGAAAATGAATAATTTGACTAAATCTTTCGAGTAATTTTCCAAATAAAATAGGAAACGTAAAATATTTCAAAAATAAAAGCTCGACCAAAAATTGGATGATAATCGAATTTTTAAGTCTCCAATAAAACAAAATCAAATTCCAGCAATACTAGACAGCTGTATTAACCCCCGTGCTAATGGTTTATTGGTCACGCATGACCACTCAAGTTCAAAAGGGCAATCGTGATTATTCATTTTTAATTGGTTGCCCGGGTGGCAAATGAGCACTTGGTCAAGCAATATGCATTCAATAAGCATAACCGAACCGGGGTGAGTATGCATATCTCTTGCCAGCAAAAGGAAGAGTTCTGATTGGCCCATTACGAAGAAAATCACGGGTCGCGCAACTCGTTAGGCTTTCTCTAAGCATGACAGGGCAAAATTATTGACTTTTATAGTTTGGTCATCTAGCTGCTTGCAAAGTTAAAGAGAACCATGTTCAAGGGTCCATTGTATATATATAGATAAGGTGCTTTACTCACAATGCGCCTTATGGGGAGGGTGCCACTAAATTCAGCATTGCACCTTAATATATTGTTCTTAAAATAAAGAAGTTGCAATTTTAAAAGAGCTTTGAAAGACAAAAACAGTGACAGGCTTTCACGAACCATCCTGATGCCCATCTGGTATTCATTAGCATACATTCAAAACATTATAGTTTATCAGGGTAGGCGATCATTTGCGCTAAAATCACAGATTAGAAATGACTATTTTGCGATTCTATATCCACTGAAGCAAGTGGACTGCTTTTCAACAATCGAAAAACCAAACGACACATCAAAAAACCCTTTAGAGTGAAACATGCATATTGTATCTATGCTATGAAGAACGCTGCGATTGCAGCGGTTATTTCAAACAATCCAACATATGCATAATAGAGATCGAATGTTCTAAAATTATAGAGAACATACAAGAGTAAAGTATCGTCAAAATGGCTACGTTTGCGTTTGGTTCAAAGTTCCAAGAAGTAAAGTGAAGATATGTTGATGCAGAAGATGAGATAGAAAACAGAATCGTGTCATGTCTGTTTTATGTTTATGGTGTCATAGATCGCACTATTTGCCGCAATTTGAGATGATTTGTCGCCTCAGGTCTCGCCTTATACGACAGCACACACGTCTGTATCCATTCTTACTTGCGGTGGGTGCGCCTTCAGACAGCATTAAATATTCTTCCATCATTCATAATTCAACATGAAATGAATGCTACACTAACTGGACTAGGATAAAGGCATGATGAATAGAGCAAAATCTTTCAGGCTTCTATCTTCATTGCTAACATTCATAGCAGAAAAACTTTTATAAGGTAGTGAAAGCTGTGTAACCAAAGCAATGCAACACATTCCTGACAAAAAATTTCACCTGCATAAAAAATACTACAAAAATTACAAACTGAGTATATAGTCTAATTTAGACATTTTTTTATTTTAAATGAAAACTTGATCTGGTAGTTGAATTTTTTAAGACAAAATATTTTTGCAAAGTTTCAATTCAGAGAAAGCAGCTAATTCGCAGAAAGAAGAGTTCAAGTAATTAAGAACATGCAGACTTCCTTTTCATGATTACCGCAAATTAATTATTCAGCCTCTTCTCCGCTAAACCCCTATTTTGGAAGCACAAAACCCGTTTTTTCTATTTAGCACCCCCATTAATATATATTTCAAGCTTTAAAAAACATAATGTCTTTTTTCTAGCTTTTTCTGCATTGAAATTGAGCTTGTGGCTATTCAAAATAACCCCCTCTCTATCTACCTCCCCTTTGGTGTCTGGAAAAATAGGCCTCAACCCTGGGAATTTGATATAGAATTAACTATACCGATTTTATGTTTAAGAAGGCTGAAATTTCAGCCTGATAGTCTGCTGAACCATCCATTTTCATAAGGACAAACCCCTTTTACGAGCTATCACTAACTAAATAAATCATCGAAAAAAATTTGTTCCGAAAAGATTTTTATGAAAGCCTTTAGCTATCGACCTCGCAATTTTTGCAGAGCAGAGTAATGGTGTTCTTTTATGGATCGAACAAAAGAAACAGATGATTCAAAACAATTTAGAAAAGAGGTTTTCAAAATATGTAGGGATTTTCTTAACATAAACTTATTAAAAAAATTGCTATCTTTGTACTGCATTGCAAGAAAGACTCCAAAAAAGCTTTAAGATTAAAATATTATGCAAGACTGTAATATTCATCATTTTCTTGCTTGAAAGTTTAAGCAAAAGTGTAATAAATTGAAGATTCACCTTTTTGAGTGCCTGTTCAAAAACATGTATCCATTTTTCCATTGTGCTCTTTACACTACATCTGTCTTGCCTTAAAAAGAAACGTTTTCCAGATTGAAAAGCCTTTCTTTTTCAAAGTTAAGACAAAGACAAAATGTTGTATACTGATCGTGGGCAACAGCCTAAGATAGAGAACAAGGGTATGCACATGGTAGGTATGCTTCGAGGCATGATTCTGCCTTATCGTACCTCGCCAAAATATTCTTGCATTAACTTTGATGTTACAAACAGGCAGTACACCTAAATTTCCTTCAGCTTCTATGACTCATCATGGAATGATTGTCTTTTGATTGGAGATGAGGATGCTTTTTACCTTATTGAGTTGACTGTTTATTTCAGGGGAACGTAAAAGAAAATAGGGGTACAAATGCGGAGAAATGACTCCTCTCTCGTGTAGGTCATCTATATACTGTAAATATCAACTTGTCAATTTGTTAATACAAATCATTTCCTCATTGTTTCTTCTCCTCCTATACTTCTAACAATTTCCAAAGAGCAAGGCTTTAGTAAAACGATCTAGCACCAATATATTATCAATATATATAAACAAAGCAGCACTTTGTATCTGTGTTTTGGCGTTGGATTTGTTCTATATCAATAAATTAAATAAGAGTTTACGAATTCATTCATCAACATTATAACTATGAAGATGTTTGTTAACGAAAATGATGATTCCTATATTACTGAATAGGGAGATGATGAAAATGATGATGATGATGATGATGATGATGATGATGATGATGATGATGATGATGATGATGATGATGATGATGATTGATGATGATGATGATGATGATGATGATGATGATGATGATGATGATGATGATGATGATGATGATGATGATGATTGATGATGATGATGATGATGATGAATATGATGATGATGATGATAATGATAATCTTTCGAATAAATCAAGTCCAAATCAAAAATTCACTGAAAATCACAACCAACTTAATGATCTTTAACCTGCCAGGGCGAGAGCAATTATTTACTGGTTCTTGTTCATTGATTCAATTCTATTAATTAGAAGCCTAAAAATTCACAGTAACCAGTGGCCATAAATTTCCATTGTTATTTATGAATAAACCAATTTCAAGATATCCCCTAGCTTGGCCCTAAAATGCTTTTGCAAAGATCAGCTCCTTTGTCTAAGTTGAAGAAGACCAAATTATTGAAAAATGTTGATTCTAGTTTGCTATATAAAAGGATACTGGGAAATTGAAGGATTGCTGTTTTCTGCTTAAGTATTTTTTGCTGAAGTTACTGCAAAATCCAGCTATCATACATTGTAATGAACTGACTAACAAACCAACTTTCTAACTAATAAACTAATACATAAATTTTCTAACTAGCAAGTCAACCAATTAGCTAGCAAACTAACCACCTCACTTGCATAAATGTTTACTAACTAACCTTTCAATTCAAACAAAAAGATTTTCATTGGTGTGTGAATATGATAGAAAGAAAATGATTTTCGCAATTGATGTTTTCTGGCCATACAATGCCCATGTGAATAGCTTAAGAGACATAGGAACTTTATGCGGACATAACAAAAGTAATTTAGTTCGAAATCAATAATATTTACCTTAAAAGCCTGGTCACATGCTCTATACTTTGCTTTAAACATCGATATTTTTCTTGTATTAAGATACCTTTGAAAACATAAAACAGATAAAGATATAAGAATAGCTAAAATTAAATAGAGAGGATAGAGAGGTTAATGATATATGAAGAAGATTAAGGATATACGAAGCACCCTCGTCTTCAATTCCATTCCTTACTGTGGTTTACATGTAACTGTTGGAACAATATTGGTAATTCAGTACCAGCATGTTCCAGTTTGTAACCCAAATTAGAATAACATGGATTTGATGTGAATAGCACTTTCTGACATTGCATCCTCCAGTCATGATTACAATGGCGAATAAAAAGATCATAATTCACAAACTAGACTTAGATCGTGCATAAATTCGAAATCAACCGAGGTAACTTTACTTTTAGCATCACAATTTCTATTGCTGCAAAATTGCGCCTTGCAAACATCAAATTTCTCCCTCAACACGTTACACAACCTTTCGCATTTTTCTGTTAATAGAGGCAGTTGTCACATCCAGAGATGTTGTTTTCCTAGCCTTGAGAAGAAGCCGCGTCAAATGTCTCTAAACTTTTGAGATTTACGTTCTCTTCTCTTAATTCTTAAATAAATATCCTCATTTGTACAATTTTTTGTGCTAGTTTTCATCAACATTGACAGCAGCTAAACTCCGTTTTTAAAAGATTATTTTTATTTGACTTCGTAACTTTTTTATTCATTGCAAGTCTTTTAAACAAATAAACATCTAGACTTAGGAATGTTTTAGTAAAAACATTGCAAAATGAATCATCACATAAAGTTTTTTAAGGGAAACGATTTTCCACCTCTCGGCTGCCGCATTTTTACACATTTCTAAATCTCGGCTATTTTCAAATACAGCTTGAATCGTTTTCGGGTCTCTAGTTATTTTATAAAATGATCTGGTTGAATTTTTCATGAATCCATTAAGAAATTAAGTTAAATTACAGGTGTGGTTAAATTGGATGCAAAGATGATAAACATCTAAATTTCGGTTATCCTTTCTTAGATTTGAAATTATTAGCTTAATTATAGAAAACAGTACCGCTATTTCAAGTCACAACAAACGCAAAAACAAAATAGAAATTAAAATAGATAATAACTAAATTTCAGCATGTTATATAAAAGATGATACAGTTGTTTCCTTTTTTCTGTGATTCCGGAGTCTTATGTGCAAAAAAGAGCAAGTGTAAAGTGCAATAGAAATATAATTTATGAACCCAATAGAAGTATAATCCATAGAAGTGTAATCAAATAGCATAAATGGGGCAGAAAAGCAAGTGAAATTCGTAATTGGATCTTCGTCAACTTTCTAAGAAGGTTTAGTCTAGATGACGTCACACAACAAGATATATCTGGCTAATATCGCAAGACAAGACAAGCGACACTGAATTACAGATGCCGCTTAAACGCGTATAAAAATGCCCTTTTACACTCCATTTAGTTATCAATAAACAAAAGGAACTAAATTGTTATAAATCCTTTATTTTATGCTTCCTTTTCAAAATAATTTTGAATTGAAGCTATAAGAAATGGAGTCAGTCTTCTGCATTCTGAAATGTTCTCTAGAATTGCACTTAGGCGATTTGCAATCTAGATAGGATGCGAAAAAGCATGAAGACACAGCACTGAATTCTTGAAAAACACCTTCCAGACTCAGTCGCCAGAAAAAAATGGTTCGAATCGCGCGTATTTCAAAAATAGCTTTCCGCCCGGCCACCGCTTACAGAACGATGAAATTAAACATAAATATGTGCTTTCATTATGAACATACTTCTCTTTGCTTCTTGATAAATTTTGTGTCTCCAAACTTTAATCTCGGTAAAAACATCCTTCCTTAGGTAGAACAAATCACTGCCAAGTTGGATCACTTTCATATTTAATCTCAACACTTAACCAAGGGTCCAAAGCGAGTTTCAGTGGACTGAGTTGTATGTTAGCTGCCTTTTTAATAAATCTAAAATTGCTCACAAGATGTTATCAAATATAAGAGTGACCTGTGATTAGATTGATTAGGGATGCACTCAAGAGCTTAAGAGCATCACCTACGGCCTTAAACTGCAGTGTTCACTGGTCACTCACACATTGGCTTATCTGATTGGCTAGAAAACAATGAACAGTCTAATCACATGTGAAAACAAAGCACACTTTTACAGACCAGTGGGAATAGTGAGATGAATGCAACTGTACTCAAGCAAACGGCTGAGCAGGCTTGAGAATCAGAAATCACGGCGAAATATGCGCATCTCCGACCTTGAACACAAGGGCATCGGCGATGAGCACGAGCTGAGCAAAACCGTCATTTCTCGTAATAAGGTAGCTTTTACAAATCTCCGAGTAAGAAAACAGTTGCCGTGTAATTTCAGCAATTCTGATAAAGAAATAATATATCCGGATAATTTAAATAGCCTTTAACTTTGCTAACATAATTCTATCCATTGCAGGCTTTGGCGAATATCAAAATCGTTCAGGTGACGAGTTTAGCTAGCCAACCGAGTTAAGTGACTTTTTAGAGGGTAAAACTCAAGCCTATAATCAATAAACTGACATCACAAGACTCCACCAAACACGGCCAACGGGATCTCTAAATTTGGCAAAATTAATTCTTTACAATCTTGGTCTTAACAAGCTACAAATGTATTGAAAAATGTCTGATGCCAAACATTTCAAAATCAGATTTTTGCGGCTATGTGAAAATCATAAAAAGCGCCTTGGCAAAAGACTTGTAATAATCATATTTGAATCGAATGTTAATTAAAAACATAATAAAGGCTTAATAAAACAAATTTATAATATTACAGACAGGCCATGCAAATCGGATATATCTTTATGCTCTAATAAGAACCCAAATTTGTATGCTTTGTGAAATCAAGAACATTGCAATTTTGTTTTTCTTTTTTTCGAACCATCCCTAAGCATTATTACTACCACTGATATCCCTGATTCTCAGGCATGGGCTACCTAGCAGCAGCAATTGCTAGACGAAATGAGCAAAACATTAGTTCATAAAAGCATATAGGAATTCTTGCGTGGAAAATCTTTTTAGATCGTTGAACAACAGCAAAACTACAACTGAATCATTCTTCTTTCTATCCCTGAACGCAAATAGATAGATAGGATATTGCTTTTAAAAATTTCATAGTCAGCACTGTTTCAACAAGGGTAAAGGCAAAACAGGAAAACGAGGCCACTGATGTTCTCATCTCACAATAAATCATAAAAATAATCTAATCCCTGGCCTATTTCCCATATTGATATCCCTGTGCCGAGTTCTTCTGCTAACAACAGTCTCTCTTGAATGGACTAAAACGAGACAGAGGTACAAAAAGTAAGCTACGAATATGCAAGTAAGGAAGAGACAAATTAATAATGACATCAAAGCAACAAGGCACAAGGACGAAGATGCACAATTTTTAAGATATTTTCATCTACTAGTAAAGTCCCAAGATAGAATGAATCAATAATTATGATTATTAAATTAAATTAAAATGAATCAATGACTCAATAGTCTGAGAAGAGCGGCTATTCGGTTGTTAAATACATAGCCTCTCGAAAGCACCAATCAATTCAACAATAGTTTGAGATAATTTAGTGCCAAAGTTAGAAAATGCACGAATAGAAAATTAAATGAAAGTTACCTTTAATGTTGGATAAAAGACTTTATGCGAATGACCATTAGAATCCCTGAGAGGCAAACGACAGCAAAATATTAGAAAAAACTACAAACGTACTACTCAGCTGTACTACTACCCGCAGAATTCTGTCAGAAATCTGGCTAGAGTCTTTCAACTGGAATTAGATTTTCCTGCTCTCGCATTTAGTCGTTGAGCTAATAAGTCATGCATAATCATCGTGTCAGCTCTCCATTCCAATGTAAGCAGAGAGCCCTCGCACTCAATGCACGTTTTCCTATCTTGCGCCATTTGCAATCATGCACTGCCGACCCCCTTTTTATCTCACCCCCCCCCTGGATTATTACGTGAAAAAATATTCAAATATTTTAGTGGATAAATGCTTTACGCAGATTTTCAATCAATGGATATCGTCCAGAAAAAGCTTGTTTTGTAAGCAATTTTTTAACTTGAACAAATCTTCCAATAAATAAGCTGAAAAAGAAATGAAGCAATGGGCATAATGACAAAACAGGGGCAAGAAAATCGAAAGACACCCTTACTTATATTCTACCAAATGCTCCATGTCACCAGGCAACCATTTTGTTTTCACTTTGTTATTTTTCAATGCATCTATATACCTAAATATCAATAAAATAATGAAAAAAATGAAAAAAATGAAAAACTGAGAGAGAGAGAGAGAGAGAGAGAGAGAGAGAGACCATGTCGAATTTTGAAGCAGCACAAATTATTCTATATTTCAAAATAAATAATTTATATTTCGGAAAGAATCAGAAATGCTCATGCTCTCAATAGACGTAGTTTTCTAGAGCTGTCTATTAGTAACGTATAAGGCTTTTTTCTGTAGGTGGCAAAGGCTGTTATTCTGAGACATGCGTAGATGATCCTTTTATACCTGACTATCCATAAAATGTAGAGATTTCCAACTAACAAGGTTGCATAGAAACAATAAAAAACCAAAAGACTGCTCATGTCTGAAAAATAATTCTGCAAACATTAATTGATGCTAAGACACATTAAAATCAATAACATATATTGTTGAAAATGTCTCTAGATGTACTCACGTGTGACCAACGATTGCTGGGGAATAAAAAATCGTCATTAAGAGCAAAGAAATATTCCAACTTTTCAAAAAATTCTACAAGATTGATAGAGGGGTGATATAACAGCACCACATTCATATATTGCAAATGATTAGCTACCTAAGTGAACATAACAGAAAAAAAACCAAGAGCCACCAATTTTTAAAAATCCTTTTTTTAAAATTGTCAGCAAACTCACTCTACTGTTTGTGGTAAAAAGCTTTGCCTTGAGGCCAATAAAAGTTGGCAAATTGTTTTCTGCTTCATCCCTTTAAACATGCTAGCCACAAGTTTTATTAAATGGTTGTAGTTTACGGTAGGCTCAATATGTTTACACGACAGACAAGTAGACCTGATCTATATATTCTGTGTAAATGCTACTCTATGTAGTTCGCAAGGGTGTCGCATTGAAAACAAACTTTCACTTCTAACGGTTCAAAGACCAGTGGGTCTAGGTGATTCTAAAATGGTTATTTTTATACCAACTAAAGAGGAAAAAATTTTCCTACTTTTTAATACAAAAGAAAAGCAATTTCTAAATAAATATAAAATGAAAAAAGCAAACATAAGCACGAAAAGACCGCTATGGCGTAGACAAAAGGAGTTAGTTTTCACCTTAGGACTCCATTGGCAACATTCTCAATAGGCAAGCGGCACTGAGTGGTCAACCTTAACAGTGATGTGCTCGCGTTTCTGATTGGCCTATTTCCATCCACAACTGGGTATATATAATTCCTAGCGTAGAGTTTTCGATCTATGTTCTGACGTTTTAAACTCTTAAGATTGTCAGACGAAAAGCTTTGGTTTACTCAAAAGTTAGATTTTTCAAAGCCATTTTCATGTGTTGTACCACCAAAAGATTGTTTAAAATGAATAGCCCAATATCTGTCAGACATAAGTAAACAACATATACAATAATTCGGCACAAATTACAGAATGGCTTACGTGATGCTCCTCCCCTGGTATAATCCATACCGTAGAAATTTAAACCAAGCAGTATCTTCGAGCGATCCAATTCTGGGGTGGGTGCCAAGGAGAGAACACAGCTCCTTACCCAATCGAGAGGGGCAACAGGTCCAGGGCTACAACGGAAAAACCGAGGATTGGCCTAACTAACAAAAATCTAAAAAGCTTATTTTGCTCAAAAAATGCGCGTAACGCTTTTGTGGTCAAATTTATAAATAAGGATCATTCTATTTGTTTGTACGACTAGTCTCTGTACGACTGGTTATAGCAATATTTTCGTGTGGATCGAATATGATAAGAAAAAGACCAATTGATTTTGTAACATGATTTTCTACGGTAATCTTAGTTAGCTCCTTGTAATAAAATAAAGAAAATTTTCCAATCTAGATTGCAAAGATCCCTGTCTAGATAAATTCAACCAGTTATCAGGCATCCGGTCTAGAGCTTAAAACTTGTTACAAAACCTAGTGATGAACGATTAATCGTTTTTGTCCTAGCAAAAATTACACCGTGTTTAAGCTTACTCTGATTTTCAATCTTTAGCCCTCTTTCCAATGACCAACTAACCATAATTTTCGTTAAAATTATAATCATCAGCCAAGAACTTCCTTAGGATATTCGACAAGAAAGATTGTTGGCACGAAAAATAAATGACTTTTTACTTAAAGTTCAGCACAATAGGAGAGGTAATATTCATCCTGCTGAAGCCCTTGATGATTAGGCAAAGTATTAATTTACTCCATTCAAATATTTTCTATTGCGTGTCAATACCTATTTCGATTTTATTATTTCTTGTTTTTTTGCCTTCTTCCTGTATTCTGTTATTTGTTATTGCTTTCACAAGATTCTGGGAACCAAGCAGATGATCTTTTCAGTGTTTCTTCCTTCTTGCATATCTTATAAGTGCGTTTGACTGTAGGTAGTTTATCAGCTAACCAGAAATATACACGCTAACCAGAAATCTACCTGGTGGTAACTAAAGGTGTCCGGGAGTAACCACAGTTGCCTTATAAATACTCTCTATAGCCTTACCATAAAATCCACATTTAAAATTCAAAGTTGTTTATTCAGCACTTCTTTGTTGTTAACATACCTTCCGTGATTCGGATAGTCATACGTCATTAGACTGAATCCATCGACGACAGGCGATAACAAATCGAAATCGTCCTTTGAAAACATTCCGGGCGAATCTCTGTAAAAATATTAAGTATATGTAGGATGTAGAAATCAAACTGAAAAAGACCTGCAAAAACTCTTTGGCAAAAGAATCGCTTGTGAATAAAACCAAGAAATTATAGGCCGGAATTTCTAAAAAAATTAAAGACTGGCGAAGAAATAAAATAATAATCGGAAATGTTCAGATCTTCAAAATAAACTGTAAACTTTACAATTACTGTTTTAGATAATTTCCTAATTAATAAGTGTACTCTGGGCTAAATCTAGTTGTCTATAGTAATTCTGGATGTCGTGAAGTTCTTTAATAAATGCAGTTGCTTTTACCGTCTTAGTTAAAAAGAAGAAAACATAGAGCCAGTAAAAACGATGTTGTGTGATCATTGCGTTTAAGGTGTTTATTTGATTACATAAAATACTGTGCGTATATCTAGTTGTGATGTAAAAACCAATGCTCATTGCAGAATCCGCGCCATTGATTCTTAACTGGAAGGGCCAGCAATGTAAAGAAAATTTCCTTTTACCTCCTCTAGCCACACTTATGGCAAACATTTTGCTAACGTTATTCTACTTGTGTACTTTGGTTCAATGTATTTGCTGTAAACTGCAGGCTTATCTATATAAATTATTTGTGCTGATGTTAATTTTTGATGTTAAAATGGCAGATCATTAATATTTTGATATAAATAAATGATCTGTAATTTTCTCTTCAAAATGGTCAGGTTATCATGTATGTGGACGATACCACCATATCATAATCTTCCAATAACATCGATGATCTCAACGATAACGTAAATAGAGACTTGAACTGCCTGGAGCAGTGGCTTCGAGAAAATAAGCTATCTTTAAAGGTTATTAAGACTCAAGCTATGGTTGTAGGATCTCGACTTAATCTTAAAAAGATCTCTGAAGGAAAAGTTCAGTCCTCCTCCTTTGCTATGAGTGACTCACAGATTGAGATTGTTGAGAAATTTAAGTACTTGGGAATTCAGCTTGTTCAACGTCTTGCTTGGGATGAGCACACTAGATTCTTGCGTGCTAAGGTCTCTCGTACTATAGGGTTTTCAAAGTATTCTAAGAAAATACTACTCTAAGAAACTCTTAGCCAAATATATAGTGGTATCGTAGAACCGCATTTCCGCTACTGTTGCTCTGTGTGGGGGAGCTGTGGGGAATCCAGAAGACTTGGGGACACTGCAGAGGTTACTAAATCGCGCTGCCAGAATTTTTACAAACAGTAGCTATGATGCACCTGCTTATACAAAGGTTAAAGTGGCCTATTATCGCTGAAATCATAAAAGTAGAGACAACGGCGATCGTTTACAAATCCTTTTATGGTCTTGCACCAACATTTCTCTCACATATCTTTTCAAAGAACTCATCGCGGGGCACGATCAAGTTGAGAAACTCTGAGACTGACTTCCGCATCCCTCTTTTTAAATCCAGTAATGGGCAAAAATCATTCCCATATCGTGGTGTGCATGTGTGGGACTGCCTTGATCCTGAGATTAAGCAAGGGCCTTCTTTAAATGCTTCTTTAAACATCGACTTTAACCCTATCCAGACTAGGCTTTTTGAAACTTTCGGGAGACTAGGGGGGGGCACAAAGTGCCCCCCCTCCATAATTTCTTTGTCCCTCTAGCTAGGACAATGAACTTTGTTTGGATGGTACTCTTATCTTTTCTCCACATTTTAGTATTATTGTTCAATTTTTAAGTCACGTGGTTTTACGATGACGTCATCATAATGGTGGCCGGGTGAAGCAAAAATTTAGAAAATTTTAGAAAATCTTAAAATATTCATTAATTCCAAAGCATCGGGCTAAGATACTAAAATAAGCAAATTTGATGCATTTTCTAATAGAAACAAGAAGATTGACACAATTTTAATGTTACTTCTCAAAATTATTAACGTTCCAAACAAAAGAACTCAACATATTTTGTACTTGGCTATAGTTTTTTCTATATAACAAAATGATCGATACAACCAAATGTCATGTTTGAGTTCATTTTTAATGCCTTAGCAGACAAATTATTCTAAACTTGCAGTTTTATTAATGTAATACCTATAAATATGCCAACAAATGTGTGCGCATGCGCAGCAGAAAAATCATAGAAAAGGATGTTGAATTTGAATTTTCTGGTCAGAATCATGAAGAGAGCACAAATTAATGCCTAGATACTAATTTTCATCAATATATATACTTTTGTTGCGAATCCGTGGCAGATTGAACTATTTTTTACTTGACTAGTTTTGAAAATGCCCCTACACAACCCCTTGATTAATAATAAAAAAATTATCTTTTTATATGAACATGTGTCAGACAGGTTAAAACTAAAAGTCAGGAGGTCTGAGGGGTATTGCTTTGAAACTCTAGAAGTTATGTAAGAAAAACCAACTAGGGGGGCACTTTGTGCCCCCCCCCTAGTCTGGATAGGGTTAAAGCTTGTATTATAATTATGTTTTGATTTTAACTTTACTTTAGCATTGTAATTAAATTATTTATTTTCGTTTGTAGATTATTTTACTTGTGAACTGTAGATTTTAAATTTTTTTCACGGCCCGCTGAAAAGCAACTATACCACAACGACTACAGGTAGTACGAGCAGAACTGTAGAAACAATAGATAATTCTCACTCACACACAAATGAGCAGATTTGATAACATCAGCTACAAACGAAAAGATACTCACTGGATCATATAGTGGGCTTTAGGAAATCGAGCATGAATTGTAATGCAAACTTACTTAGAATACAGTGGTGGGGGTATTACCAATATGAATTTCAATTGTTGAGAAATGAAGGCCTCTCCAAGCTCCTTGATTAGTGTTGATAATTCACTATGGCGAAAAAGGACAGAAAAAAGGTTTAGAAATGTTATAGAACAGAAATAATTTGTAGCATGCATCAATCATATGCTTTGAAAATCCTAAAAGTATGAAAAGACCTACAGGGAAAGCAAAACATAAAGTTTGTAAGACATAAGAAACATAAGGGAGTTTTGGGCATGTACCAAACATATCTTTAGTATGTATGGTAAGTGCTCAGGGATTGAAGGCAAAACAGAAATTATTTAGAGTCATCAAAGAGCAAAAACAAATTGTGGTATGTACCAAAATGATGCTTAGAATATATCCTTATTAATCAGTGATTTCACAAGGAGAGCAAAACAAACAAATTTGTAGAGTCATCAGCATACACCAAAGTTATAGTACACAGGAAACACATATTAGCTAATAAGTTACCCATGTCTATCTAAGACTATTTGATGCATGCTTTATATACGAATCACAACACCTATATTTCAGTTCTTAATCTTTCCTGAGAAATTTTTAAAAATAATGCAATTTAGCGTACTTTGCTAATTGACCTGCTGTAAAAAAGTTCATGTTTTCAAAATTTTCATCTCCAAAAACCAAACATTTGATGTATTGTATTTACATTTGATGTTTGAAATTTGAAAAACTGTTCATATTTTCATAAAATGCTTTGTCAAGTTTGATCATTCAGAGTCTTAAATGCTTGTCATATGCATAGAAAACGAATGTGCATGTATTTCCAATAAGCCACTTTCTATAAAAGTATATGGAAACATGGAACATATTTCTCACGCTTTATAATGCCCACCAAACTGCGACCAAATTTCAAGAACAATGCCATCAAGTCTCTTATCCTAGGAAGAATGAGTCATACCAAGAACTTCATTAGATTAAAATCAAAGACAATCAATCACAAATAAGAATGAAAATGAAAGGCTGGAGAACAGTTGCTAAAATCAGAAAAGAAAAATGAGGGTGAAGATGGGAAACATAGTTGTCACAAATAATACAAAATAGTTCATAAGAGTAATTTTACAACATTCATAAAAATTGCAAGCTTTCAAACTCTAGTCCTTGCCCCCTCCATTCGTGACCCAATAAAGAGACTGGGAAATTCAAATAACAGTAGACAGCATCACTTGTCATCATAGGCATACCGGGTGAGTTCAAATAGGGCAGAAGCCCCCCCCCCAAGCCCTCCATCCTGTACGCCTATGCTTGATGTTTAGTGCTTGCACTTTATCAACATTTCTTGTGGGTTGGTGAGCATTTGGATGTGGTGCTCACATAGGCTGGAGTGCAATGATGTAGAAGGCAAAGTTACCCAAAAGCTAAAGGTTTTGATATCCCCAAATTGTAAAGCAAATCAACTGCTTTTTTATAATGGTGATTACCGCACTGGGCATGAAGAATGAAGTACTTATGATTTTGCTTTATCAAGTGGCAATCTGCTTCATCAAGTAACACCCCACAACATGAGGCATCACGAATTCCATTTGAAATTTTCACTTAATAGTGCCTTAAATTTTGTTTTCATATAAGGTTTTAAATATAGCTAAAATTAACAAAAAATTCTCGTTTGTAGTAAGTTATAAATCACACCTTGGTAAAGCCAACAATGAAATCTACCAGTTCATATAAAACCTCTTTGCTTGCAAAGATGGTGTGAAAGTCACTCATTGAAAATCCTTCAAATAAGACCCTAGGAACTAGAGAAAAAATTTGAGATTAATATAAGTAAAATAGTTCTGATCACAAAGCTCAGCAACATTCAATTAAGAAGAGAAACCTGCAATCAATGATACCTGCAATCTGGCTGTACATAAAGCTGCTAACAAATGTGGTAAAGTAGAAATGGTGCTTTGGATTCCTTATTATTGGCATTTGGTTAACACCCAATCTTACCAATAAATACAAATGACCCGTTTATTTCAATTAAAAACTCGCAGAAATTTGCTTGGTTGAATAAAGATTTGCAGAGCCTTCAGTTGTGGGTGTATAACAGCTCACGAAGGCACATTCACAAACAGGTGTGGTGTATATAAAGAGAATGTCTGGAAATCAGCAGGAAAATTAGTCTTCACTATAAAAAGCATTCAGCTTCCATGGAAAACAAGGCAAGACAAAACAAGGCACACAAAACTACACGAAATTCCCAAAGTAAAGAAAGAGTAATTTACAAACAGAGAATTCAGAGTAATAAAACCAGGACTGTGCAATTACATTCCTAATGAAAAAAAACAGTGTGATGATATTGGAACCTTTAAGAAAAAGTTTAAGACATTTCTTTTTGATAAGTTTTAAATGAAAATTCTTGGTTTCAGAGACATTTAGGAACTGTGAAGCCCACTTGCAGATGTTGCGTCCAAACTGCCATATAGTAAGTGATTTATTTGTATTTCATATTTGTATAACTAAACTGAATCTAATGGAAAATACCAGATGGAACAAATATACATTTCAAATTTATGAATAAAAAAAGCAATTGGTAAAATTTATTTGAAGGTAGCAGAAGAAAATGGCAAACGAATTCATACTTATGTGAACTTTCGAATTTGCCTTTTTGACATCATGTATCCAGCCTGCAAAGTAACACAAATCTCTTTAAAATGACTGGTACATACATTCCTTGAATGTGAGAAATGCTCTGACATTCATGATAAAAAATTCACAGGTGTGCTGCATGCTGTGAATGCAACTGCTAAAAGAAGGCTGCCAAGCTTTTGTGTGTTTTAAATGGTTACCTAGAGTTGCCCCAGTTTTAACTGATTTTCTTTATAGGGGAAATGAAGTGACAAATGAAAAGAAGTTTACAAGTAGCTTTCATTTTGCTGATTTCAAATATCGACACTAAAATTGTGTTTTTCTTATCGTTTTTCCATGACAAGTATAAAATCTCTCAATTTCCCTGACGTAAAGTTGTGGACATGTTATCCAATCCTATGGATTTACCATAGTTACGCCTTCTGAGAGCTAGGCACAAGACCCCATTTTAAAAATAGCAAAATAGATAATTCTGAAGTGGGGACCACTTTTATCATTTTCAGTAAGTCAAATTGTGTAGGTTTGCCAAGTTGCATGGCTTTTTAGCTAACAGAAAGGATTTTACCACAGTAAGGCTTCTGAGTACTGGGCACAAGAACTCCAGTCTAAAATAGCGCACAAGTTTTTATCCCAAAATGGGTCTATATTCTATCTTGTTTTGCATATCGGATTCTGTATTTTCATCAAGTTCATGTTTTCATCAAAATTTGCATGCTTGCTACCTGTCATGACCCTTATCAAACCTCTACTAGAATACATCAAAACATTTCTTTGTGTCAACCACTTATTACATCACAAGGTCATGTGACACAAAGATCTGACCGCATTCACGCTCTGCCATTGATAAGGCCAAATTTCGAATTAATAACTTCAAATCTATACAATGTATTAAGAAAATTCAGATGGTTCTAGAATCACCATGGGAACCTTTATTATGCAAAAAACTGCTTTTCACCTCATTTCCCCTTTAAGGAAATCACAGAAAAACAGAAAAATTCTTTGTGATCAAATACTTCATATAATTATCAAACAGAGATAAACTAGAAACAAGAAAACCATTGATGTCTTGCAGCATCGCAAAAAATCACCAGCAGCATTATGGAAAGATTAGACAGAAATAAACAAGAAGATTGCATACTTTTATCCATATCATGTGTTCCATCCATTATGTAGCTTCCACCTTTTCTAAAGTTATATAAGGACGAGATATACTTCTTATAACAATGTGCAAGAGATTATTAATTCACCAAAATGCATATCTTGGACGAAAATATTAGATAAGTCTGCCAAGTTAACAACACTGCTTTCCTTTTCATGGACACTGATTCATAGAATCTCTGCCGTACTTATATTTGTAAGTAAGGAATTCGCAAAAAACTTGTCTTGTGCCTAGCATTCTTGTCATTCAGTGCTAGGCCCATTAACAGGAAATACAATAGAAACTCTAGATTTTGATTTTATACCAAAAGATGAGACATGATCTTTCAAAAATGGAATTACTAGCCTCTCAATCAACATCAAATTAACAGGACTGTTATTTGAACTCCACCCATTCCAGGAATAAACAACCTGTTTTCAGGAAAGCCATGACAGCACACCACTCCATCTTACAAAATCAAATTCATCAAGATTTAGAAACTATATTGAGCAATTCCTAATAGTTATTACATGCATGCAAAAACATGCTGTAAAATTATTTCTGAGAATTACCTCCTCTTCAGTTGAAGCCACACAGGGGAAATATAATTGAACTTTTTTCCAAACGTTTTTGCAACGTCATACCCATGGTTATTCCACTGAAAGGGAATCAGAAGTGTTTTATAAAGAGCTATTTTTATTTCAACATAATTCAAAATTTGTAAATTAAATTTCTGAGTGTTTCTTGCAGAAAAGGATGTTTTTGTGAAAAAGACTTTGCAAGCCAATAACAATGGCCATCACAAAGATAGAGCTAACATAGATGACCATAGCAAAAACAGCTAAAAAAGAAGTAAATAAAAAACATTTGGCAATAAATAGCCAAAGTCCTGAGAATTGTTAGATATTATTAACAAAGCAATTAAGTATACGTGACTGAGAAAAAATAGCGATGAGAATGGAAATCCCTTCCTAACAGGCTCTGGTACCCAGAGTATGTGATCTCAAAACCACAGGCAGATCCAAAATTAATCCTGATCTGATATGGGGCGTGACCCTTTGAAAATTAATTGTTTGCCATGCCCTCTAGATCTTTGGTAGTGCCTACTTTAAACAAACATTTGTTAGACCCTGCTATGAACATTTTTTGCAGGTTGTTGTAACCAATTGCCAATTAATACTTCCAAATCTTAATTAAAGCTTTTAAAGGGAGATCATTGTCCTCTGTTGATTACAGCAGAAGTTACTTGGTTTCATGGTTGCAAAAGATCTAGTATTATATTATTCAGGTAGACAAGAAATGATGACACTAAACTAGACTTCTGATAAATATGGCACCACTTCACCTGTGGAGATTTGCTATTATATAGTAGTTAGGCCTTTGGAGATGGACCTACATTTTCTCTTTTGTAGCTAGACTCTATTAGGAAAAGGGATTTTAGCTAGGATTTGGAAGAAAGCTTAATACAGTTGAATAAACCAAAACTTTATTATAGAACACACAAGAATTGTAGGTTGATGAGTGTGCATGTGGGAACTGGTCATGAAGCATGGTGTCTCATGCAAAATGCATTAGACTTGGAAGGTCTGACGTTGGCATATTGAAAATGTTTGCTGGTGTCTTAAAGCAAGGACTGAAAAACACAAGAAAGTATTAAAATATACTCACTGGAGTTACATAGCCCAATACATCTCCTGTTAATGATTTGTTTGTATTCTTGCAAAATGTTTTGTGATATCTCACTATTGTGTCTTGTTTTAGATTTTCTGTTACTAGTTTTCTTTGTAAAACTGTTTCTTCGACCCTGTAAGACTTAAAATAAATGACATCTTAGTTACAATATATAAAAGTATGATTTAAGAAGGGTATACATCTGAACAATTCTGGGACATAGCCACTGCTGCCCTTCTTGGAGAAAGCAAAAATCAGACAGGAGAATCTTTGTCCTTTTTATCTCTAGATCAGCATTGTCTGGCACAATTTGTAAACAGGCAGCTGCTGTCCTTAAGGTTGATGTGCTCAACTATAACATGTAAGGAAGCAATACCCTTTGCACATGTGTTAACGGCTCATTGCCATGTCATAGCTCAGATAGGGTCACAATACTTGACTTGTTAATAAATTTCAAACTTTGCTAGAATAAAGACTTGATGCTGGGCATGACAAAACTTAATTTTTCTTGTTTCCTAATAAATCTTTGTAAAAATTGTTTCCTTTTATTCAGGTAAGTTTTTGTTAAAACAAATTGTATTTGTGTGGAATTCTTTTTGTTACTTGTCATGAACCTTTTTGAGCTACAAAACCTTGCTTGGTGTTGAGCTTTATGTCTTTCAGTTTTTACCAATCAGCTATGTAGTAAAACCAACAAATGCCTTCTTCTTTTACCTCAATTTCTGTGACCCTTTTCTTGGTTTCTTGGCCACTGGAACCTTTCTGGAGAAAATATTTGATTTCTCACAGCTGTTGTGTGGCTGCACCCAACTTGCTCCAAATTTTTTTTTTATAAAAATCTCCTTTCTATTCAAAATTTCATTGCAACTCTATTCTCATCTGACAACTTTTTTCTTTAGAAGCAGCATATCTTTTTGCAAAAATAATGCATTTTAACAAGGTTTTTAATGCTCCATCAAGATTTGCGAAATTTTTTACTGCCAAAATTTGTCATAGTAAGCCTAAATCATTCAGCTAATTCATGCACTCATATTTTAGGTTTGGTTGACAAGTCAACAAATGGTTTCCCAATTTTGAACAAGGTGGTGCAATAATTTTGAAACAGTGGAGTACAAACAAACTGTGTACATTTAAAATGAAATAATTTTTTTCATAGTCCAAAAAGATATGGCAGAATTTCATATGGTTCAACCAAATATCATCCACCCCTATATATAGGACCAGCCCCTAACTAAAATACACGTGTAAAAGATATGGTGTTTTATGTCCAAAAATGGTGTTTTAGCCTCTGGTTTAACAAGTTAGTTGGCCTTTGGAAATAGGCCTTGCAAATTACCAAAAATTGTATTTTGGCTATGAGATTTGATTTGAAATGTATATTTAACATAAAATCGAAAAAGCGTTTAGGCCGGTGTAATATGCGTTTTGGTACCCTATGCAAAAGTGTAACATTGTAAAACGCAATGTGTTTCAAATCATGTGATTTCATCGTAGTGCGATATTATGACACGTTATAAATAACAAATTGAACTCAATGCTTTTTGAGTTTAAAATTTCACAATTTTCAATCAAAAAAACTTTGGAGTCGCCATTAATGTTTTACTTTTTTGTATAAACTTAACAAGGGAAATCACAGCACTGCTTCTTGTTAGAACCCCTTGTTAGAAATAGTTTGATTGTTCTTTACGTTCTGAACAATATAAACAAGAACATTTGTGTTCCCAGACCGGTTCGCATGCTAAATTCCACCATTCGTTTTGGTTCCCTGTTTTTTAAAAGTTTGGGTACGTTTTTGTATAAGAAAAATTGCCATGCGTTTGTGTACCGGGACCATTTTGCATGCTAAATTCCACCATTCGTTTTGGTACCCTATTATTTAAGTGCTTTGGTACGTTTTTGTATAAACAAAATTGCCATGCGTTTGTGTGCCCGGACCGTTTTGCATGCTAAATTTTACCATTCGTTTTGGTACCTATTGTTTAAGTGCTTGGGTACGATTTTTCATATACCCAAAATTGCCATGCGTTTGGGTACCCGGACCGAAATGCATAAGGTTACCGAAACGCATATGACACCGGCACAGCTTACAGATCAGAAAATAATTTGGAGTTACCTCTTCAGTAAGTGCTTTACTTTTACTCTTCACCTTTCCTTTCGATTTTTTATCCTTTTTTGACAACGTCGAAAAGGACAATAAGAATAATCCGAAAAAAAATATTATGAACAATGTGGTACAGTGCGCCATTTTTTGCATCCACCAACAGTTGTTGTCGTTGCACCTAAACTGTTGTTGTTGCATTCTAACAGTAATCCGCCTTTGAGATTGTTGTCCTGCCAAATATGAAAATTGGATGGAAAATAGAAGAAAGTTGTAAGAATAAAAATATTATAACAAATCTAAGAAAATTGTTTTAAAATTTGTTTTGCCTATTTATTCTGGCTTGAAAACAATGCTAATAAATTCATCAGACTAGACAGAATCACTGACGTCGATACTGTTTTGACAATGACAGGTTTAACAAAGAACAATTAATGCGAAAATATGATGCCTATTGACTATGGCATAGGAAAGCATCTGTTGTAAGGGAAAAAGTGTCATAACTTGAAAAGAAAGTTTCTGAATAAAGCACAGAAATCATCTGATGACTGTCATAGCACTGTTTGTTTTGTTCATTTTATAAGTGACAATTTTTTCCAATATTTTACCCCAATATATACACTAAGGACACAGGGGGCACATGGCCTCGATTTTTTAAAACTGGTAGCTTTGTTCTATATATATACTCATGGAAGTGCCTCTTTTTTGTCTTATGTGCCCCTCCCGTGTCTAATTCCTATGCTCTAATGCAATTATTATTTTGAATCTGTTTCTTCGCCTTGCTGAGTGACTGAGTTATGACTTGTGAGTGCCATTTCATTGGAAGAATTTCGTCAGCCTAATGAAGCACTATGTCACTTTAACATTCTGTAGCTAGGCAAGCATTTTGAAACAAATTTTAACTTGTTTGAGCAATTTTTCGCATATATACAAAAAAGGAAATCAGAAGGAAACTTCTGATTTTAGAGAAGAAAATTTGAATAAAACAACATGGAAATCTCATTTCTGGAAGTGAAGAGGAAGGGCTGAAAAGGAACCTTCCGAAAACTCTTAGAGCTTCTGAAAACGCTCCTTTTAGAAAATAGTTGTTTCTTTCCATTAATTACCTATAAACCGTCTGATTCAGAGAAGATATCAATTACAATAAAATAGATACAAATAGCTTGAGGAATATAAAGCGCCAATCTAGCCAAGATAGAAAATAAAACATACGTTAGGGTAGCAAAGGTATGGAAAACGGTAGGGCAAAATGGCGACATGCAAACGATAGCCTAAGGCAGGAAAATGTATTCGCCATTTCTCCGATTTTTGGTTAAAAGAAAATTTAATCATTGGTTTGCATTTTGTGGGAAAATCAGAAAAACCTGAAGCACTGCTGCAAAAGAATTCTGTAAAATATTGCCAAATTATTTATGGAAGGTATTTTTGAAGAAAATTTGAAGAAAAATAAATGATTCTTGTTTAAATTTGAAACAAACCGCTCAAACCTTTTTTGATAACATTGTACATTTGAATCTCAATACTGTTTAGTTATATTTCTGATTTGCTCGTTAACTAAAAACATGACAAGCAAACAATTAATCCGAAACATCCTACGATCATTATGCCTTTGAAATTAATGAATAGAACAACCTAAACACAAAATACCTAGATTGTTTAGCAATCCAACAATTTTGATACTAAGCAGTTGCCTTAGAAATTATTCAACCCTACCCCCCTAAATGAAGTTGTGATAGGATAACTCTGGTCCTTTATAATCTCGCTATCATATCTGTTTCGCTTTTTCTCTGTAATGTATATAATTTTTGTTCTGTTTTTGTAAAGCTTTGTATGATGGTTTTCTGGTTTTTGTAAAAAAATGCGTTATTGCTGATTAAATGAACATCAAATGAAGGAAATCATTGTCTCTGTAATTAAATCCTTTCGCAAGGCCTATTTATTCCCCGCTCTTCCACCCACACAGTTGACTCCAAAGCTTCGACTGGTCTAAAAATCGCTTTAGGAGTCGTCACTTGTTATAACAGCCCCCCTAATATAATTGAATCAATGACGTTAGCCGATTTCAAATAAAAGTAAACTGCTTTCAGCGAAGCGAGATTTTTGCTAACGGCTAGATCTATGACAAATCTTAGCCTCGTTTACAGAAATAAGTGGAATTCCTGAAACAGAACGAGAACGAGGGAAAGAAAGAAACCAACAAAACCAATCACTGAAATAAATGACATAGCAGGAAGAACTCTATTTACTTTACTAATACATCACAATACATATACGGCTTAATGACACGTGACCCAATAACGAATTCAAAGAGGCCTTCCAATTGCGATTGTCTTGTGAAAAGTGTGTTAAGGAAAAACGAAGAAGCGAAAAATGTTTTTCTACATCAATAATACGATGGGGAGGGTCAGTTCAAAATGTTATTATTTTGCTTTACTAAAAACATGAATTACTAAAAATTTCTAACTAAATCTCTCCAAACCATCAAGTTACTCTGTAGTTTTTGAGTCTGAAAGGGAAGTGTTTTTATCTTGGTCGTTTTCATCCGACGAGCTTTCCTGGCTCACGCTGCATATACTGACGTTGAAAGGAGATCCGCATACATCTCTTCCGTTCCATTTGATAGATACCTGATACAGCCCTGGGTGTGTCGCGTAGTATACAACACCATGCAGGTTTGGCTCAATGCAATAAATATCAGATTTGAGCGACTGCTGTGGCAACTCGCTGTTCAAAGGGCCTTTTATCCCATAGCTGAGATATAGGAGATCTAAGGTCGCCGTATGAACGAAAAATGATGTTGGCTTGCCAACCGTTCCTCGAATGAGCCTGGGAAAAAGGCAAAGAAACACATTTAGTAATACATTCGTTGAGAACTTTGCAAGTTTCCCCAGCAATGATTTGACAGAACCAAATACGTGAATAAATTTCAGAAAGAGCTTAGCAACGTAACAAGGTGTTCGATGCTCTGCGCAATTAGATTGTTCTTTCAGCAAAAATAAATTTACTTTGTAACATACTCTATTCTTAATCAAAGCACTTTAAAGGCAAATACCAGCAAAGTTACGTTTTGTTTGCGGAATAACTTTGAAAACGTAGTTATACTGAGCCTATCTAGTTACCGTTGCTTACTAATATGTTACATTCCGGTAGCAGCTCCTACAAAACACTCTGATGGCTGCCTAAACCGTTGATTTTCTTTGATATGTAACATCATGCATTTCTTCAATCTTTTTTTAGATATGAAACTAGAAAAATATCAGTTTTATTAACCCTAGTATCAAAGCCCAATGAATATTAGGAATTCTGTGTTGTCAAACTACAGTTCATCTTTTTTGTTAGTGTACATTGAAGATGGCTTAAATGTGAAAATTAGTACTGATAATTTACCCTTTTCCTGAAACTGTACAACCTCCATAATCATCGATGGATTTGTCTCTGTTTAGCCTCATTTTCCTGTAATTTTTTGAATATGCGAAGTCTCGGCACTCAGAATAAGCTTTTCTCCGACTTATCCGTTTCTTGTACACTAAATTTTTCTACCAGAGGACACGATGATATCAGCAAACTTCATTACGAACAATATTATCAAGCGCTGTTTTCTTACAAGAATTGCTGCATCTAGCAACTTCCTAAATTCACTGAGCATGCAATTCACCGACTCAAACACACGCTTAGCTTTCTGAGAATAATTTGAAAAAAGATTAGCCAAATGTTGCAGCTGAATTCTCTGCAAAAGCCAGAGAAACTTGCAAACAAAAGAAGAATTACAGTTTTGGCAAAATATTATCGTTTGTCGGAACAGTTGCACAGACGTACATGTGGCCATCTGCCCCTTGGAAAGCTTCTCAAAGCGATGTTACTCCCATACGTGCATCGTTAAACAGGAAAAATTGCATCAAATACTCTTTAAAACACAAGTACTATTTTAAGAAACAGTTAGTGAGAGCAATTATCTTCCTAGTAATCAATGACTAAGTCGAATGCAGAGACTTTCTTGGGATCCTCCGGGACTGTCGAAATTTTGAGAGGTTGATTAAGAATGATCATGCCATAAAAGCTACTAACAGTTTATATTTGAAAATGCGATTCTCTAAAACTTAAAACGATTATTTACACGAATCTAAAAAATGTTGTCATAGCTAACGAAACCTAAAAAAACATATACTCTCAGTCTTGAGACTTTTGCACGCTTGTCGGACCATAAAATGACTCAAGTCCGGATAACATGGCGGTCAATCAGCCTAAAGGCCGGTTTCCACCTGAGCGAAATCTTCAGCGAATTCGTCAGCGATTAGAATGTCTTGTTCTTCCCGGGCATAGGCGAATTAGCTATCGGAATATAAAAGTTGCCAGAAGCTCAACTTTCCAGCGAAACATTACTTCCATCTGAATGGAAACGCACTTGGTGAATTCGCTGAAGAATTCGCTCAAGTGGGAACCGGCCTATTGTAATTTTTAGTCAAAAAATTTGTGCTTTGTAGACAATTTAGCAAAAACTGAAGATTGATAAAATCTTTGGGACAGGCTTGATCAGAAAAATTTGAATTCGAAGTGGGATTGTCGAATTTGAGGATCATTTTGGCTTAATTTTGATTAACTGGCTTGCTCTAAATGTTTCAATATTATGGTAGCTTTGGCAAAGATTTGATGATCTATCTAAAGCTCTTTCAGTAAGTAGGTGCAAAGTTTTTGAATGTGACTGCCAATATCTTTGAACCTGGATTCAAACAGCAGTTCAAAGAATGAATCACAGTTCCTATTTTGAATGCTTGGTTGACTGAAAAGCTCTAGAAATGGTCAATGCCTTTACTACATCATTTGAATTTGAAGCGCCAAAACATATTTGCAGTATGTAGAAAGGTCACTCGTTGAACAAATCTCGTGACCGTATATTTATCAGTCAGTATCAAGAAGTCTCTGACATAGACAGACTTGGAATATGCACGACTATTGTAAAACGCCAAACGTGCAAGCAAAATGTCTGTTGGGTTTGACTCGTTAGAATGATCTGATGGAAACTTAATTTCATAGAAGAAATTGCTTAAATTAATACCAATAACAAATTCAAACGATTCTGTTTTTACAATTCATTTAAAGATTTACAGATAAAATTTTCAATTTAAGTTGCTGGCTCGAATTGATACTTTTCAATTTTTTCCTTTGGCTGTCGTTAATTTCTTTTCCTCTTCTGTCATTTGTGAGTCAACACCAATCTTTGTATACAAAGTCATATTTCTTGTAGCCACCACAGTGTACCTCAAAGATTTCAGGCCATCTTTATCTATATATTTTTCAACTTTTTCTAGAAGCTTTTTTCTAAGAAAAAATAATTTTCTAATAAATAAATCAGTAAGTTGTGTTTGTGTAATGCTTGAAGATTTAATGCATAATATTTTTTAAAGCCGAAGTGTTGCATTTAGAAACGTTCAAATTCATAAGTACTTAGAACTTATTTATGATATAAATGTATAGGGTATAACAAAGGGTTTTTAATTAGCTAAGTTAATAAGGAAAGGTCCAAGGACCTATAACAAAGCTCTAACAAGGGAAATTATCGAGGAGGTGAGTAGAAAGAAGGGTAAGATCAAGTTTGTTGATTTTAGCTCCAAAAGATGAAATAATTAAAAATTTTGGGAAGCAAAATTTTACAAGCTATTTAGGAAAGAAGCTAACTATTTAAGTGAATTATACTTAAAGAGTTCACTTGGTTTTTGAAAAGAACCTGATAATTCTAAGCAGCAAATTATAGATTTAATTTTTCTGGTTTTCTTAGAAAGCAGTTTTAAACATTTGGTACCGGAAATAGTTACAGAAAGGCATTGACGCGAGTGCATAGCTTTTTGTCCTGTAAAAATAACAAGCTTTTTCTGGATTTGGCAGATATGTTCATAGAACATAGAAACATAGAAACATAGAATCCCCGATCATGCTGATATCAGAGTACAGTCCCTATATAATTCTCGTTGATCTCTTCAGATTAGTGGAAAGGACTTTGCATTGAAAGGGAGTATAGTTTAATCTATTTTCTATTATACTGGAATTTTATGAAATTCTGTGAAAAATTTTGCACTGATATCAAGAATCGGACCAATTTTAGGCACAGGGTAAAGTTGGAATATAGTCAAATTAATCACTTACGCATGCGCATTCTTTTCGCTTTCTTGGTGTTTTATCATAGTATAGCGCCCAAACTCCATTGCTGGCCGCAAAAAGCGCAATCTTCGAGTTCTGACTCTACAATCAAACGAAAATACGTTATTGATAGACAAAATAGCTATTAAATATTTTGAAGATGTACCGGTGATGTTGGCTAAAGAAAAGTTTATTTCAAAGTCAGAAGAACAAGCTTTTCTCGGCGGTCCAGGTCATGCAAAGGGGAGCTTTGTTTAAAAAAAATTCGTGACAAGCAACATTTCAACAAATACATGTCTGTACTTGCTTTGCTGACTTCCTGTCTTAGGGACAGATTCTTCATGAACATTTCTGTTGAATGAACATTTCATGAACATTACTTTAAAGTTAAATGGTCAAAATTATCTTGAAATATTGGGAAAAGATTATCACCGATGGAACATATCATCGTCTTCTGCACCCCATCCGTAGTACCTGTTCGGGAAACCATTCACTTTAACAAATTTGTCCTTATTGAATGACGTCACCCCTCCAAAAAGATATGGACTGAATAATCTGAAATGGAACATAGTTTCATTTGTCAAAAGAGGTTTTTTTTGTCGGATTCATTCCTTGCTTACAATTGCTTACAGTTACAATTGGGCTGGAAACGCCAAGAGATGCTCTCATAATGAAATCGCCCAGATCATCAACAAACAGTAAAAATAACACTGGGCTTAAAAGACAGCCTTGTCTTACACCACGGGTGCAACTGAAAATGGTAAAAAGTGTCTCATAACCTCTAGCACAAGATGAACCAACTGCAGACGATTTGATCTACAACAAATTCATCAAAAGAAAAGAAATTTTGCCTTAAAGGCAATCGACAGAAGCTGAAGTGGCCTAAGCCACCTGACAATCAACAACTGACCAATCAGTGGGCAAGCAAACACACTCATGCTATTGATTGGCTAATGTTGATTGACAGATGACTCAAGACATTGATGGTTTCCAAGATGTGGCAAGCTTTACATGGATTCTGCACATTCAATAAATTCATAAAATTGATTATTCAGACGGCATTATTTACGTCTACAATACGATATATAAGATAATGAATAAACTCAGCCGTGAAAGTCCTTGGGATAAATTTGAGCTAAGATTACCGCACTTAGGCTATGCAACAAGAAACTGCCAAGATCTTCAGATCCTAAGACTAAATACAGAATATACGAAAAAGGGCTCGAAATACTCGGCTCTGAAATTATAGAACGACACATCTGTTGATATATGAGAGGCCTCAACTCTTGATTGCTTTAAAAACAACTGGAAGCAAACCTACTGGCTTATCAAATATGCGAGCGTCAAAACACGACCCCCTGGAAGAACAGCTATATCAAAAATCTACTCATACCTTGCTCATATCATATACAACAATAATCTTTCAGTCAATATGCCGTCTTCATCTTCTTACCATTAATTTCTTAATAATGTATTTGAAAAATTGAAAATATTTGACCTAAATAAATTTGCTACATTTTTCTTTTGGAGATCCCAGCAAATTTTTCGTATAAAAAGTTGACTAAATATGAGATAGAATTTGAATAAGACTAACTTGTAATTAAATTTATCAACGGCAGGAGCCATGTGTCTCACACTTGAGGGACACCCATAGTCATTTCTGTCATCTTCTGGTATCATATCAACATCATGGAAGACAAAACAGTCAAAATCGTTATACTTTTGCGAATGCTGGAATCCAACGTTCATCATCTTGCCCTTGTTAAATGGCTTGTCGTCAATCTAATAAAAATTGATTACTTTTAGATGGTAAATCAGCAATAACCACAGTTTATTTTTCTGTATTACAATCTTTTATGTGCAATGCTCTCATTTTTTGGATTATTAGAGGCTCGGGTGTTCTTAACTTTGTTTATTATTCAACATTGATTTTCCAAAACGACATAGAATTGTTTCTAAGTCAACTAAAAAATGGTTTGTCTGATCATTTTAGTGACGAAGTTGATAAGCTGATGAAATAAAATTTGTTAAGTAAACATGATAGAAAGTTTCCAAGAAACATCACCTTTTTCCTTCTAATTCTCCATTAAGGTTGGGCATGTTCTTACGGTGTTTTAAGATTTTTAAGATGTTCTTCTACGTATAGTGCATTCTTTAAAAAGAATATTTTTTCTTTTTCGTAAATTCATTGGGTACAATTTTCTTCTAACTTTATAAAGACGAAAAAACTATCATGTTTTCTCATCCTAAAAATTTGACATAAAAACTTTATTTAAATTTCCTATGTAAAATAAAACGAGTCGGAAAGGCAGGTATCTATCAGAAGTTTCAAACGTTCAACAAAGAAAGCTGCCAAAAACATTTAACTTGCTGAAACTTTATTGAAGTAAAAGAAAAATATTTGTTAAAAGTGCCTAGCATAATAGAATTTTATCTGTTTCACTTAATACTATTTTAGCTCTATCCTTTATTTGCTGTAATACTTTGCGCCTTCAAATTAATCAAGCATCACCCAAGAACAATATTCATAATTATAGGGGCTTCAAAATCGCAATGAACTTGTGAGTTCATTGATAACAGTTAGGAAGGTGAATTTAGCCTCTTACCTGTTCAACAACAAAAATCCTATATTCTAGTTTTTGCTTTTGAAGAATTGGATGCAAATATCGCAGTAAAATGGCCAAGTGTTTTTCACGATTGCGAAATGGAATTATAATCGCCACCTGAAAGGTAAATCAGATAGGTTGGTGACAATTTCATGGGCCAACATGGAAATCATTTCCAAAATTTTGCCTAAAAGCAAAGGTTGAATAAATTTTGGCTGGATGTTTAAACCACCGATATTCAAAGGAAACTAAAGTTTTTGCACAGGTAATTTTGAAAATTTTATTTGAATGACCACTAAATTGGAAAAGGGTGAGACAAGAAACAAAGTAAAAAAAAAAAAAAATGAAGAAAGAAAGCATAGAAAGCTTTTGCCACTTACAAGCCAATATTGATTACGCTATTGCTTTTGTAAAACGTAAATTCTTGGGAAAATGACTAAATGCCCTATATATTTTACTAAACATTTCATTAAACTTTTGTTTAGTGAAAAGTTTAGTGGAAAGTTTATTCGATTTTCCGCCATGTTTAGCATTGTTTAGTGCTGTTTAGCCAATGTTTAGTCGTTTTGCCGCCTATTAAACTTTTGTTTTCTAGCATAGCGCCGTAGCTGTGGGAAATCTAAGGTTTTCTAGGGTCAGTCCGTTTGTGACCCAAAATGTCTATAATGCCTTTGTGAGAAATTTGCTTCATCTCCTTGTACGCTACTATGTCTTCAACCGTCATCTTTGTTATCGAATCGCTAAAAAGTATTTTCTTTTCCTTTCGTTTCATCAAATTCTTATTTTTATCCAATTAACGTTTTTCATGCTAACAACCCCGCAGTGTTCTACACAGATCGCAGTTCATAAATGTGGAGTAAAGTTCTGTGAAAAGTTTAGTCACGTTTTGCCACCCTCGCTAAACTTTGCTCAACTTCACTGAACAAATGTTGAGTGAAATGTTGATTGAAGTGTTTAGTCGTTTTGCCGTGGCTTAAAATATTTTGCCTCAAATAATTCCAAATATCTGGCATATATACATATAACAGGAGCAGTAAATGCAAAATTTAAATCATCTTATGATTTAATACTAATGTTCAAAATGAAATTATATAAGCTAAAGATTGCAATTGGCATGCGAGACATGGTCCTCTTTGGCCGATTGAATCCACTTGTTGCCTCTCACCGTTACAAAAAGAAATCAAAGACAATCTCCCGTGTTTTAAAAATGAAACAAAATGTTCCTCTATAGTAAATTTCCAAAGATTTTTCTTGATTAAAATATTGTAGGCAGGCAAATCATGTTAGCAATGTTTGAATGCCAAGGCCCTTATTGTTTTAGGGTGTTGTGTGAAATCGTTTTGATATTTTCATTATGTTTAAATGATACAGATTTTCAAAAATGTAAAAGATCATGCCAAAGACAGTGTCATTTTATTAATAAAAAAACTATCGGGATTTAGTTCAAATCTATGCCACCACCGAAAACTTCTAGTTACGCAACTGGTATGACAAGATGGCCTCTGACATAATTACGATAGTGACATAACATGAGTAAAATTACAACGATAGCAGCTCGTTTGGCACTAATATCAGCATAAACTAAGACAACAAAATTCTGTATATTTATATCAAAAAGTAACGACTACCACATATTAAATTCAGCATGATAATAAACACAATCAATGGAACTGTTTGGGCATTGGTACTGTACCAATAGTACTTAATCTCATCTCAAAGCCTTTCAATACAAATTTGGCAACTTAGTTGAAACATCTTGGGTCCTCATAACTCACTATCAAGCCAAATTGATTCCAAATTGTTAGCTGTTTGAACTTTGAGCTAAAAAATTGGAGTGCATTTATGAGGTAGCATCTCTTGTTTGAAACCACTGGTCATGCCATTATAAAAAAGAATTCGTTATCTAAAAATGACGAGCTTGTCGATAAACTTTGATACCTTTCTTGTCTAGATATAACATTTATGTCAAATCGATCTGTCTCTACTTCTAGATTATGGGCACTTAGTTTCGACCATGCAAGACTTTGTCTGTTTTGAAGTCTTGTACAATGTCATGATAGGAGTCATTTGTTATATAATGATATGGACACCCTATGTCTGCTTATTAGCCACATGTTAGTTATGTAAAAAGTTAGTTGAAATTGGAGTATCGACTCGAAAACATGGCGTTTCTTTAAGTATTTCTACACAGTGAGAATATAATATAATTAAAGACTGCTTTAAACTGTGCAAGTATCTTTTTATATTTCAATGTGCCTATTAAGCCTGCTCGTAATTTTCTTCCCAAAAAGCCCCAAAACCTGGGTACTGTCCCTAAACGTTAGAAAGGGGGCTGTTCTGTAGGCAACTTCAAGAAGCCACACCCAAGACCGCACCCTATACCACACCTATAGTCATATCCTGTATACTTGCACTATTGTTAAAGATCGTTTCAAAAATTGCTATGATCTTATTACTTTGTGTCTTTACGTAGCAAAGGTCCATTCTTTTGCAGAACTATTCCACACCACTTTTTGTGCCAGTAAAGGCATTTTGTTATCTGTTTTTATCTGTAGTGCATCATGAAGCAAAATAATCTATAGCTTCAATTAGTTAAAAAATACTGTTGAAATGTAATCTTTGAGTTTACCTTGCGTCTTGGTTTGCATTCAGATGGCTTCCAATGCCCACCGAACTTGACTTCAAGAAATCCATTCTTCTTTGCTAGCTCGTTCAAATCAACATCACTGAGATCGACTTTCAATCTTCCTACCAAATAAGAAATAGAGGCATGACAACAGAGCTGTTGAAAATGAAGTTTTGAAGCTTAGAGACAACGCTTCATCTTTTTTTGCTGAATGTAACTTGAGCTAACGTTGAAAACGTGATCAACCATAGTGCCGTTGCTACTGTAGGGCGTAGTAAGGGGTGTGAGGTGTGGTGGTTGGGAGTGACAACTCTCATTTAAGAACAAGTTTTTGTCATGTGGGGGTACTTTGTCGGAAAAAATTCCTACTTGTCAGCAAATAAAGCATGGCTCACCAATATTTACGACAAATGTGACTTGAGCTTCCCCCTTGAGCAAGATAGCTAGCACCGGTCCTAAATTTTATCGAAAGAATTTGGAAGAAAGACTATGATTTAAAGTATAATTTCTAGGGCAACGCCTTGCTCATCCAATTTTTGGCAAGATAACCATCGTAATGCACGACTGTAGTGTATTCCTCTGTCTAAAAATTGGACAAATTAAGTTTAGAAGCCCATCCAAGGGTCAAATTGCTCTATGAAAATATCGTACACCTTTGATGAAAATCATATTGTTTTATCTGAAATCCCTGGAATAGAAATCCTTTTGGTTTTGTAAAAGTTTCGTATGCCATGTGCAAGAATGAATTATTCATCGTGCTAATCAAGTGAGAAATAACAGACACGTTATCGATGTTTATCAATAAAGATAAAAATTACAAAAGGTTCATGATTATTTCTTTTTTTTAAACAATACTGGAATCTTTTCGCCCAAGCGTAAAAAAATTCATGTAGAGATATTTCTCTCAAGATGACCTTTTGGTTTTGTAGAAATTTCGTATGCTATGTGCAAGAATGAATTATTCGTCCTGCCAATCAAGTGAGACAATCGTGAAACAAATTTTTGATTCATGGAATAATGATAATCATCAGTGGCTGAAATTCACATTTTGAGGTGTCCAAGACTCAATACAAGAACATAGGAGTAAGATATGAGAGGCACTGTGGAGAATAGGATCGAAATGATCATATAAATGAAAAATTGATGCTCTCATAGTTATATAAGGCCTACAACAATTTTAGGCGAATTTTCTCCCAGCAATTAAAAAAAGATCATATGCAAAAGCACATTACGTTGAAGGTAAGCGAAAAAATTCATCTTCTCACTGCATTTCCTTAACATTTTATCAAAACAATTATGTATCTTAGGAAGACAATCTAAATTCCCTTAATTTTTTATTCGTGTTCACAGTGGCACCGTTAAACAAAAGAAAACTTCCTATTGTGCAAGCAGCAACCATTAGAGTGCATCTATCGCCTTCCATCTGAGTGGAATTGGCTATGCAAGCCAAATTGTCAAATTAGATAATAACAATAATAATAATGATAACAATGTTAACACAGGATAACCTCTCCAACACACGAAGTTCTGTTATCAACGAAGGCCCTGTGTTTATAACTGCTATATATTACAATAAAACGTTATTTGCATTTACATGGAGGCTCTGCAACTCTACCTGCTTCCACCAATGATAGGTAATACTATTTCAAGTATTTCAGAACGACTGTGACTCAGGGCCCGTTCAAATGAAAACGGAATCAAACTTATTCGTTTCTGCCTTGCGTTCACACTACTGTAACGAATGCATAGATTGTCGCAAGTTGAATAGTGTCACGAAAAAAGATTCACAACCACTTCCTAGAGTAGATGATTTACTTGATGTACTCCAAGGTTCTTGCTTATTTAGCACCCTAGATTTGCGATCAGGGTATTGTTAAATCAGTGTTGACCCCCAGGATGGGGAAAAGACAGCGTACATCACCCCTGATCGCTTATGAGAAGTTTGCCGCCTTCTCTTTGGTGTTTCTGGGGGTTGTGCTACATTTCAACGTGCTATAGAAATTCTGCTATCTGGGCTCACATATGATACATGCCTTTTTTATGTCGATGATGTCATTGTTCCTTCTTTTAATTTGAAACAACACTATGACCGCCTGGCAAGTGTTCTAACAAAATTTCGCTCCCATAATTTACACGTAAAAGCCACCAAATGTCATTTTGGTGCTGCAAGTGTTCTTTTTCTTGGTCATGTAGTCTCTGCTAAGGGTATTCACATTGATCCCAAGAAGATTGAATCTCTTTTTAAACTCCCTAACGCCCAGAATGTGGAGCAGGTTTGCTCATTTCTGGGTCTTTCTGGGTATTACCGTCGCTCTATTCTGTTTGCCATAATGTCCGCACCATTTGTGGCCTTAACCAAAAAAGGAGCTGAGTTGTTATGGACTCAAAAACAACAAAATGCATTTAATTCATTAAAATACCACTTATGTAGTGCTCCTATCTTAGCTTAGCCACAGCTTGACCAACCATTTTTACTCCAAACTGATGCCTCCGACATTGGTGTTGGAGCTGTTCTAACTTAGCTTGATGACTCAGGTATTGAACATGTTCTTTCTCATGCCATTAGATCATTATCAGACCGTGAACAGAAATATTCTGCTACTGAAAAGGAAGCATTAGCAATAATATTTGTAACTGATCATTTTCGCCCCTATCTATTAGGCAACAAATTTACTGTGGTTACAGACCATAGTGCTCTTCGTTGGTTGCACTCTTTTGAGCCAAAAGGCCGTATTGCTAAAGGATAATGGACTTACAGAAATGGAAAATCTTCTGAGGTACGCCATTGGCCAGGCTCTGAAAATGGAAACGCTGATGCACTTTCACGTTTGGTCTCAACTAGTTGTAATCAGGGTGTTAACACGCCAACAAAACCTATCCAAAACTGTACCGCAACTGTAGCCCCAGGCTTTTACCAGAGTATTCTTTTGTTGTTCCATCTGCCTTGATTCAGTCTGAGAGATTACAAAGTTGCGCAGAAGTAGAGATTACAAACTTCGCAACGAATTCGCAGCGAATAATAAACTGCAAAAAGTAGAAACTATTCCTACTTTTTCGCTGCGAAATTTTTCGCCCTGTAAAATAAACCAATTAGAGCAGCATTTGAAGACACCTTACTTCTGTTTTGGTTTCAGATGGCCTTCGTCTTTCCGCATTTTTTTTCTCAAACACTCTCGCCTATAAAGGCCGATTTCCATTTGACATTGTTTGTGCGTATTATGTCTTATGTTTGCCCGCAGTGTAAGTGTATAAATCGGGAAAGAAACTCTTGTATATCTCTTGAACATAACATCAACCTTCATTTTGGATAGTCCGATATACAATAATAAATAATAAAACAATAGTGTCCATAGGGAGTCCATAACATCTCTCCTCTTCTTCAAAAACCAAAGTTACTAACATCGGTAATTTATTAAGAAAGTAGTTTGCAATGAGTGATAGCTTGACCATAACAGATAGGCATCATGCGTGGTCTCCTTGGATATCGACGTACAATATCGGCTTCAGGTTCAGTGTCTGTTTGAACTGTATCATCATCATCATCATTATCAGTTTCTGAATCGATTTTTGACTGAAAGGAGTTAAAAAACTTTTTGAAAAATGAAATGTTTCGAGTTATCCTATGGTCAGATCTTTCAGCGATTACTTTAGTTCCTCTGATGTCAATGATGCGATATGGCTTCGGATTGAATTTACTTGTCAGTTTGTTCTTTCTCTCTTGTTTGACGAGTACGAGATCTCCTTCTCTGGTGTCGGACGGTTTTGTGTGCTGACGTTTGTCATAGTAGACTTTGGCTTTTGCCTTGCTATCTCTATCGTTTCGTTTGACAAGCTTGTGTTTGTTGGAACTTGGGTTGTGCAGTGCGGTGTTGACCTATAGTTTAAGACAGGGGTCGGCAACCTTTATAAAACAGGGGGCCAAAGTTGATTTCTGAAATGCATACCAGGGCCGCAACTCAAAATAAAGTATAATTTTAATATATACCAACTCTACCTTACTGCTAATCTAATCAATAAAATTGTATTTATCGGTAAATTTTCTGTAACGTGGAAGCTGTACGTAAATACAAACATAGATGTGAAGTACATGTTCACTGGTCAGTATATTACAAGAAGCTAATGTGCAAGTTGGTGCTGCATGTCCTTGTCGAACTTCTCAATATTTGGCAGAATTGTTGATGTTGACAGCCGCAAGTTGCCTTCAAGGTGCTGATCAGTCATTCGAGATCGCAGTCGACTCTTCGCATGCTTCATATTTGAGAAGAGACTTTCGCAGAGGTAAGTACTGCCAAACATGCAACACATCATCCACCATGGAGATACTCCATATAAAACTGGATGATATGAGTTCCCTTGTATTTCTGTTTCAATTCACTGGTACCCTGCAGCTCGATCAACTCCATTTGAAGATGGAATATGAACCAAGTTCCCTTAATTCAGCTGAGTTTTCCAAAGGTGTTGCATAAGCAGGAACATGACAACATGCTCATACATGACATTCACAAATTGACCACGGCCTTGAAGCTTCTTGTTCAGTTTGTTCGAGTGACTAGTAATGACAACGAGGAATGCTAATCTACACAAGAATCTAGGATCACTGAATCCGAGCCGACACTCGTGCTTTGGGCCAAATTATTTACAGGTTAACAGGGGCCTTCCGGGCCACACAAAAGTACCTTGGGGGCCGCGGGTTGCCGACCCCTGGTTTAAGAGAAATAAGTGCAATTCCTTTCTCCAACTGTTTCCTTCAATTTTAGACGTTTGAAGTGGTTTTTTGAGAGGTCGATTGAAAGATTCTACTTCTGCATTCTGTCTAGGCCATAGTGGTGTTCCTGGTTTGAATTCAATTCCTCATGTTTTCATGTATGTTCCCATTTCAATTCCGTTAGATGGTGGACCATTGTCACATATAAATTTGACTGGAATACCGTGTGTTCCAAAGATACGATCAAGTTTTGGAATGATGCTTCCTGCTGCCGTTGATTTAACAATTTCGACTTCAGGAAAACGGCTGTATGTATCAATGACAGACAGCAAGTATTCTCCGGATGGTACTGGTCCAAAGAAACCCGCTTTGACCGTGTGTCATGGTGCTGGCGGTAGGTCTATTGACTGCATCGGTTCCTTGCTGTTTACATGTTCCGTTGCTTGGCAAGCAGTGCATTGATCTACGAATGCTTTCACTGCTTTATCGATATATGGGAACCATAATTTCTCGCGCAGCAACATTTTCGTCTTAGTTGTCCCTGAATGTCCTGGTTTATGAGTTCTATAGCTTTGCGGCGTAGTGTCTGTGGTATGAAGATTCTTGTGCTCTTTAGAATTATGTTTCCCGTGACAGTGAGATCCTGTTTGATGCTGCCAAGAACTTTGAGATCTCGTCTGTTGATGGTAGAATCTTGGATTTTATCCATTTCATGCCACCGATTTCTACGAATCAGGTCAATTACAACTTGGAGGGTTTTATCCTTTTCCGTCTCCTCCTCAATTTATTTCAATGTCATGGCTTTTGGGAAGGCATTTTTGGTGATGAAGTTTACATATTCTTTGGCAATTGTGTCTTGCTCCACACGATGCGACGCTGGATGTTTGATAGGTAGTCTGACGGATTATCTGATCCTTTCTTGAACTTTACGGTAAAGCTGTAGTTTTACAGTCGCAATTGCCATCTCTCGATACGAGCGGGTGGTTTGGAAACTGGATTGTTGAAGATTGTTTCCAGTGCCTTGTGATCTGTAAAGACATCGAAGTTTCCTGCTCCATATAGGAACAGATGTAGACGTTCAATTCCCCATACTAGTCCTAGTTCTTCTCGTTCAGTCTGAGAAAAACGCTGTTCGACAGGTGTCAACGATCTTGATACATATGCTACGATTTTGTGATCTGTCGCTTCCGGTGTCGATGTTTGAGACAGTATTGCACTAATTCCGTATGGACTGGCATCTGTAGTGACTGCTGTGTGCTTGGCAATATCAAAGTAGGCCATATCTGGATCCGATAATGGAGCTTTCCTTATTTTCTCGAATGCTTCTTGTTGGCTTTTCCCCTTTGAAATTGTGCATTTTTCTGTGTCAGCCTTCGCAGGGGCTCTGTGATTGATGCATAGTCTTGAATAAATTTTGCGCAGTATTGAGACATTCCTAGTAGGCTACGGACTTCACTAACAATCTTTGGTGGTTGTGTATTGGCAAAATCTTGTACAAGACTTGGGTTGGGGCTAACTGCTTCCTTGCTGAAGACTAGGCCATAGAATTGAAGACGTGTTTTGTTGAAACGGCATTTCCCTTCATTGAAAGTGATTCCCTTTTCCACGAATCTTTGCAATACTTTCTCTAATGCAATATTGTGCTTCTCAAGGGTCTTTCCCCTAATAATTACATCATCAGACATGTTTTTGGCATTGCTGATATCTTGAATAGTCTGAGAAATGGTGTTCTGGCAAATTTCTGCTGCTGAGTTTACTCCAAAACAAAGTCTTTTGTATCTCCTGAGTCCCTTTTGTGTTGTGAATGTTGTTAGATTTCTCGACTCTTCTGCCAGTGTCAGCTGATGGTATCCTTGTTTCAAATCAAGTTTAGAAAAATGACACGCACAGTTACAATCAGCAATCAGTTCATCTGTCGTTGGCATAGGGTGTCTTGTGCGTAAAATTGAGGTGTTAGGTAAATGCATGTCCACGCAAATTCTTATTTCTTCGCTGTTCTTCTTCGGGGTAATCACCAAAGGACTTACCCATTGTGTGGCTCCTTCCACTTTTTCGATTATGTCATCTTCCTCGAGTCGCTTTAGTTCTTCCTCGACTTTCTTTCGTATGTGGAAAGGGATACGACGTTGTGCTTGGATGACTGGTTTGATTGCAGGATTTGTGTGTAGCTTAACTTCAAAGTTTTTCAAATTTCCGACGCCTTTAAAAACTTTCTTGCGCTGCTTCTGTCATGCTGACACTCGCTCCTGTCACAGAATAGAGAGAGGGGTCCTTTCTCTATTCTGTGCTCCTGTGTCGATGAGAAACCGAACTTCCTGTCCATTGATTTTGAGCTTAGTCTCCAATTTCTTTGTGTATTCGTTCGATCTGATTGGTCAACCTTCACAGTCATGTGCTCGTGTTTCTGATTGGCCTATTTCGATCCACAACTGGGTATATATATTTCTTAGCGTATAGTTTTCGATCTATGTTCTGACGTTTTAAACTCTGAAGAGTGTCAGACGAAAAGCTTTAGTTTACTAAACGTTTGCTTTTTTCAAAGCCATTTACATTAAACATATTCCTCTGAGCTGTCATCTGAGTTGGTATTGCCTTGTACTATGTTTACTTTCTCGCGGTTTTGTTGGCTTTTCTGACGTTGTCTGCAACAGCGAATGAAGTGATTTTGTTTCTTGCAGTAACTGCACACTTTTTCCTTGGCAGGGCAGGGTTTATTTCGATGAGGGTAATCGAATCCACAGTTGTAACAAATAGCTGGTTTCCGTGAAGGTGGATTTGCAGAATTGCGTTTTTGCTGTGTTATTCCTTTCCCACCCGGCCTGTCCCGTCCACCGTGGAGCAGGGGGGCTGGGGGCTTTAGCCCCCCACTTTTTGCAAAAAATGACATATATCAAGTAATAAACTACCGTAAAGCCTCTTTTCATGCAGTTCTAGCCCCCCCTACTTTTTTTAGACCCCCACTTTTCTCAACGCTCCGCGGTGCTTGATCGGCGAGTGTTTCGAAAATGTCCTGGACTTCAGGGCCTGCTTGGTAGGGTAACAATGCTCGCCGTGCAGCAAGGTTACTTTGATCGCTATGGGGATGTAAAATCATCCAAATTCTTTTTTATGGAGAAGATTTACCAGGTTTCAAAGCTATATCACCACTAGTCAGCAGATCTTTGTCAGTAGGTTTTTACGGTTTTTGTAACCATAACTATGATCTCGTTTTGCTTTTTTCCTTTCATAACCAAATTTCTTTTCGTGGACCTAAGCTTTAAAACCAACTCGAACCTGATGCCAAACAGGCACCTTCCCTTCCCTTGCCACCTTTAAAGAGAAGAATGAAGAACTAACTATGAACGACCATTCTTATTTCGTAGTATTTATCTCCTTCCTTATTAATGTTTTTGTAACGGCCCCCTGAAAAGCAGCGCTCGTGGACTGACGGGGCTACCGTGCCTAAATAATTAATAACGTAAAAAATGTAAATGTAATGTGAATATAGTTCCATTTTGACATATATTCCCTAAGAATCACACGCGTATTAAAATTGCATCTTCTATTATTCAAAGTCATACCAGACCGTTCTGGAAAACATTTCTGGGATCTCCATTCAATCCAAGAAGGCTTGGTAAAATCTTTGACAATATTGTGTGCATGCCTCGCTATGCAGGCCAGACAAATTATAAGTGAGAAAACGCCAGAAAATTGTGCTAAAAATGAACGAGCTTCCTAAATAATTGCACCTGCACGAGTGCTAGTTATAGGCGTAACTCAACATATCGAGAACATTTCTCAAAATTCAGACTGAAAGTGCCGGTAACTTTTTTCGCGCAAAGATTGAAATTTTTATGCAAAAAGAAGCGCCACAAGTGCTCTTCTAGTCTTCGTGTGTATTTTTGCGTATCGACATATGCGACGTATACAATATTGCAGACAGTACGGCATCCTCGTGTACGAGCCTACGAGCGCTGTACTGTACTTGTTGATTTAAAATAAAAAGTCGTCTCGAAAATTAAAAAAAAGACATGCAATGCAATTATATAGGGATTATTATGTCTACTTTTTTATCGTGTTTACTTTTTTACGCTCGGAAGCCTGTTTAAGAGAATTAAATTGTAAGAATTTTGATAAAAATTTGAAGGAATAAATTCTGATTAGGAAAACATTATCCAGACATTTTCCGAATTGAATCATTTTCCGTAATGAATCAATTTCATCCTAAACCTAATGAAAATCTTGTTGAACGCCTAAAAAGTAGTCTGCACCAAAATCGTAATCTAAGTATCAGGCCACTGGGCTCTAAAACCTTTTTGGTTTTAATATATCTTTTTGGTTAACTTGTATTCGTTGAATTGTGAGTATGTTGCCTGATCACATGAATATGAATTTGAGTTTGCATTTTAATTTGAAATTTATCGCTGCTGTCTATGTCTATTATCGCTGTTTTCGTTTGTCAAAGCACTTTTTCGCAAGTTTTGAAAATGTATCTTGATAACAAAATAAAAAAAATGAAAATGAGAAAACAAAATAAGAAAAGGTTGATTAAAAAATTTTTTCGTAAGAGGGCATGTTTGATTAACCAAAGTTTTGTTGGTGAACTAATTTCAAAAGCAAAGAAAAATTTAATACAGCAAATCTAACTATGATAGAAAAAAGTTACCAAGAATATCCTCATCCCATTTGCAGCATGGTTGTTTGACTCTCTCTGACATCAAAGGAAACTGCAAAACGGAACCTCTGCCAATGTATTCAGTTGAGAAAACATTTTTGTCCCTGCTCTCCCTGTTAACAAGGAAGGTATTAAAGACGGTTGCTGTTGAAAGTAAGACTATAGCTGCAGCAATTGCCTTTAGTGCGTTCATTCTTGTTTAAGTGAGACCAAGGCCTGCTTTGCTGCGTTTCACGGTGTTGCTAAGGAAGTTTCTTGTAAACTTTCGAAATTGAATGCTTCTAAAGGCTTAAAAGGAATGTTTTTAGAGCTTTTGTGGACACAAGAGGGCTATTAACCCAGTTACGTTCTACTATTGAAAAGATTTCCACCACCTGCAAAAAAATAGCTTTGCAGTACAGTTGCCAAGCTTTGCTAACTAACAAAGATTCAACTAACTGTAGCAAGTTACACGTTTTATAAGAACTTCTGTGTCTGCGCAGAAGCGGACTGACCCACCGAGACGGGAAATGTCCCGATGCGCCCTTTGATTGACCTCCTGATCAGCAAATTCTGCTAGACTTTCTGAAATCCTTAAAAAGAACATATTTTGTTTTGAAAACAGCTTAAAAAACCAAACTTTTTGCAACATACTAAAAGCTTTTTCGTCTGACATTCCTCAGAGCATAAAACGTCAGAATAGAGGGTCAAGGTAGCCAGTCCGCCAGTGAGAATCAGATTTAGATTCCGGTTCCGGAGTCATCATCATCATCATCATCATCATCATCATCATCAAAATTACATTAAACGACCCATTGCGGGTTGATACAAATGTCTACGCATCTATCGTTTGCTGAAATGGTTTCTACATAGACTGTGAAAGGATTCTGAGTTACACTGATTAACTATGGTATCAGGCAAGCTATTCCAAATGGGTATGATGGAAAAGAAGAATGAAAATTTGACAACATCAACTCTTCCAAATTTTGGCATAATCTTTTTTGAGTGTGACCCTCTTGTCATTCTAAAAGCTGCCAATGAAAAAAAGTCAAGGGGTTTCAAAGCAACCTGGCTTGTAAACATTTTATGAACGTATTTTAACTGAAATAATGATCTACGCAGTTCGAGTGAATCCCATTTTAAATGTAACAATAATTCTGTTACACTTGACCGCTGACGATAATCATCCATTACAAAACGGGCTCCATTTCTCTGTACCATTTCAATTCTATGATTCAATTCAGCTGTGTGCGGGGACCAAACCTCGCAGGCATATTCTAAATGGGGTAGGTTGAAGATGCGAATAACTGCCAAAACAGAATCTAATTTCCTATTAAAGAAATCACTCACTAGTAGCTACTATTTATAACAAATATCAGTTGAATGTCTTACCTCGTTTTTCTGAAAAAACGGGGTGTATACCGACCGTTAGCTGCTCTGCTTACAGGGAAAAAACTAAAAAACGAAAATAACAAGAAAAGGTATTCAACTGGTTTTTGTATTATTTATTTCTGACAACTTTGCATTGTCTCTTGTAGAAATTATCTGTTAATGCTCAGCAATTTCTTTCCAATTTTCATGGATTATGAATGCTTACGTTGAAGAGTACCTAAATAGACGTGGCAAGATACTTAAATTTACACGCACACACTCTATTTTTCATAAGAACCAGATATTTTTGCCGAGCCTTGATGTTTTCAACTATTTGATAATTTTAGGCTTAAATGCTCTTAAAATTGTTCTTATTTAGAGAGTGGTTTTTTGCAAATATTTGAGAAGCTACATACTGTATATTTTTCTAGAAATTTTTTTTCTGGGTAAAATTGGAAAATTAAACGAACCTACCTGTAGGTGAAGTTTGATTGTAATTCTGTGAGTCATCGGTCGCGACCGGAGGAGCTGTACGAGATAGTGTGCCGCAGTGCATGTGAACCAGCCTTGAGAGAGTAAAATGGATCAATGACAAGCGACAGGAGGAACTGGGCGGGGTCAATGAAATACTGGGAGGGCGTACAGCTCCTCCGGTCGCGACCGATGACTCACAGAATTACAATCAAACTTCACCTACAGGTAGGTTCGTTTAATTTTACAATTCTATTTCGTCATCGGTCCCAGCTCCCTACAGAGCTGCACGAGATTTTAGAGCAGTCATTGAGACATTTACGTAGAAAACTAGAACAAGCATCAAAGGGTTAACCACTATGATTGTAGAAAAGGGAAGAGGCGCCATTGCATGTAAATCGATACTGGAAGCATATTAATTGGAAAAGAAACCATAAGAAAGCATATTAACTGGAAATTAATGCTGTTCCAAAATTAAAATTATTTTCAGCAGGCAAATTATAGAAACGGCGAAAAGTTTGTTCGTTTGACCACCCTGCAGCTTGCAGAACATCAGCCAAATGATTGCTATTGGAACGCACAGCCTGTGACGTGGATGCGGCCCGAATACTATGGCATTTATACATAGTTGTGTCGATTCCTGCAAGAGCAAGGAATGCTTTACTCCAACGTGCAATTGTGTCAGCTGCAGCAGCGCGATGCGGTTGTGTATGAGTTATCAACAACTGATGAACTCCAGAACGTAGCTTTTCTGTTCGTTTAAGGTATTCTGCTAGGTGGGTATACACACACAGCTTTGGTTCAGCGCAGTACTTTTCAAATCGAAGTGGTTTTTGATGATGGCCTGGACGAGAATGCTTTAACAGATGAACAATGTGAAAGACGTAGCTAGAAGTGGTAACTTCCATTGCATCAATACGTAAGGCTTGAATTGTCTGTCGTCTTTGACCACTCAGCAAGCATAGGAGAAAAGTTAATCGAAGAGTAAGGTCTTTAAGAGTCAGTTGTTCCACGCACGGACAAGAGCGAATGAAATCAAACACAGTATGGACACTCCAAACAGAGTTATACTTCGGAAATGTGAGGCGCAATTGGAAGACACCTCGCATAAAACGTCTGACAATCGGGAGGTTTCCAAAAGACATTTCATCATTACTAGAGTTTAATATGGAACTTAGTGCACTACGAGCGGTGTTGATACAGCTATACGAGAGGCCGGATTCAAAAAGCCAGGTTAGAAAGAGCACAGCATTATGTACATTTGTTTGAACTGGATTGCAGCCATGTCGAGTACAAAAGTCAACCCAGCGTTTTATATGAGTAGCATATTGTTTTTGAGTTGAATCTCGCCACGAAGCCATAATGATATCTACAGAGGGGGTCGTGAAACCCTGCAATGAGAGGGCTTCCCGGATACTAAACAAACCATTAACTGCAGTTTGTGGAGAAGCGGATGTTGTAATTGAGGCATTGTTGGTAACCGCAACAGATTTTTTCTTGGTCTTAGATGGACTGGTGGGGCACACAGCATCTTTTTGAGAATGGGAAACCACGGTTGAGTAGGCCAGTTTGGGGTTACAAGAATTCCGGTTGCTTGATCTTGTTGAATTTTTTGTAGGGCAAGGAGAATGCAGCTAAATGGAGGGAAGGAATAAAACTTTAGATTGCTCCAAGGGAAGGTAAAAGCATTTATTACCTCAGCATTTGCACACAACTGGTTCACATGCACTGCGGCACACTATCTCGTGCAGCTCTGTAGGGAGCTGGGACCGATGACGAAATAGAATTTAAAATAAAGCAATGACTGCTAGCGTTTACGGGCAAACCTGCATAGTTTTATTCTGTTGACATGTTTTTGTTTTTTTCAAAGTTCTCATCTGCAGCTGAGCATGTTCTAGCCTTGTGAAAAATAAATATTCAGGTTATTCGAGGGGGGGGGGGGCTTATTCGAGCGTGGGGGCTTATTCGAGGATTTACGTTAGTTAATTTCTTTGCTTCGCAGACAGGACAAATACTCTATCTCGGGATGTAGCGAGGAAGACAAATACGATATGTTCATGTCATATTCAATCCAACAACTGAACTTTACAATTTAGATCTAATCATTCTAAACAACATCACAGTTTGTTAATCAACACATCGAGACAGAACAAAAGACATACGGTACAAACAACAGAGTACAAAGATTCAGATAAAGACGATGACATTATTAAATTACATACAATAACAATCAGTTCCGGGAAGCACATGCTACAGGGAATTTTCTAAATGTGCGGTTCAACACAAATTGTGCAGTTTTAAATTCTTTTGTATGCTGTTCTAAAGAAAAATATGTGCAGTTCTAATAGATTAGTGAAAATAGATTAGCCCACCAATAACTATGGCGCGCATATACCGCCAAAAATAGCTCTTTCTAAAATTTCACCAACTCTCTAAAAGTTTAGTGATCTTCTAAAAGTTCAGTTGCTCTGTCTAGTCTCGAAATTCCTGTCATTTCCAAAATTTCAACCACCGTTCAACATTTTCTAAAATTTCAATTACTTAAGCAACGTTTCTAAAATTCCAATCGCTTGCTCTGCGAGATTTCTAAAATTTCAGTCATGCTAGGTTAGTTCTAATATTGCAACCATTTCTAAAGTTTGAACCCCCGCTCAACATTTTCTAAAATTTAAATCACTCAAAAGTTTCAGTGGCTTTTCCAAAATTTCAATGGTGAATGTTGATAACCACTTCCTGAACTTTGACAAGCAGCCTCCTTTTTTGCTCCAGCATATAGGAAAGTCATGGCGGTGTCAAGAATAACTCTGTTCCCTGAATAAGTCAGTGGAATAAGTATGTTCCTCTATTGTTGTTCCTGACTAAAAACATCACTTGATTCGTGAAAATGAATACGAGGTTTCCTATGTTCAAGGCGTGGGGTGGATCCAAATACCTGTCTATTGCGACCACCCTATGAGTTCGTGAAGTGTGGCTGTGTGCTCGACTGTGCGAATTAGTCAGGGCTGTTAGCCTCAGATTTTGAGAGAGTTATGCAAAATCGCATACCAGCATGAAACTTCGTCCACAAGGGTAGTTTTGGGCGCTGAACAAGATAAGATGCAGACCCCAGCTGAGAAATGCCCCAAAATGCTATTTTTAGACTGTTGTACTTGATCCCAGGCCCCAAAAGCGTTAATTGTAAAAATACTGCCGCTAGTTGTGATAACAACATGAAAGTTAGAAGAAAAAGACAGTTTGATATGCTCGAAAAGATAGGAAGCAAACCCTAGCTGAGAAATGCCCCCAAATGCTATTTTTAGACTGTTGTACTTGGTCCCAGGCCCCAAAAGCGTTAATTGTAAAAATACTGCCGCTAGTTGTGATAACAACATGAAAGTTAGAAGAAAAAGGCAGTTTGATTTGCTCGAAAAGATAGGATGCAGACCCCAGCTGAGAAATGCCCCCAATTGCTATTTTTAGACTGTTGTACTTGGTCCCAGGCCCCAAAAGCGTTAATTGTAAAGATACTGCCGCTAGTTGTGATAACGACATGAAAGTTAGAAGAAAAAGGCAGTTTGATATGCTCGAAAAGATAGGATGCAGACCCCAGCTGAGAACTGCCCCTGTGTGCTATTTTTAGACCGCTGTCCTAGGTCCAAGTCCGCGGAAGTGGTTATCCTTATTACTTTGATAAACTCTTTTATTTCTGGTTTTCGAAGGAAATTAACATAGGGAATTAAGAATCTTTTTTCATTCTCCTGCAGAATATTGATAAAGGTTTTGTGCAGTCTAGCTTAAATAATTTAAAAAAGTAGTCGAACAGAATTTTAGTGGAAGAAATCTGATACCTTCCTTTTCAAACCCAGTAAATGAACCGGATGTTGTAAT